AAGCATTTTCGCTATTTTCTTTTTTACTTTTTTAGATTAAAATGGACAAAGATCCGGATGAGGTTGAAGGTACGAACGCGAGCGACAATCGCACAAAGAAACGACAAAACGATTCTAAAAGTTCTACTATTTGGAAGGGTTTTAACGCTAAGAAGGAATGTTTGATAAATGGTTGTTCGTACGTCAGTAAAGACAAAACCTCGTCCACAAAAGCGATGTGGGATCATGTACGATGTAAACATAACGAAACTTTTACCAAATTGAAGGAACAATGTAACTCACATGACGAATTACCAACGAAGAAGCAATGTTCAGTAAGTTTGTTTTCTTGAAGTTTAATTTTGTTTTTAGATTTTAAATTATTTAGTAAAAAGAAGGAATCACGATTTTCATACATCCAGAGACAATCACTTGGTTAAAACCATTCTCTCAATGAGATGTGCTCTTCGGCATTTAGATTCTGACTTTTTACACGTTATGGCCGATTCGCACTTTCCAAATACTAAAAAATATGGAAAAGGGCACTTTACGGACATCGTTATTCCTCGTATGGTTGCTGATATCAACAGCCTTATCAGGACTACTATAGGAAAAGGAAAATTTACGATTACTTCAGATGGTTGGAGCTCTGGAGAGAGATCTTTTCAATGGTAAGTTTTCATGTAAATTTTACGGTGAACTCAATTTTACTTAAGCAAGTATTTCTATGGATGTTATAGAAACTTAAAATATTATAAAAATTAACTTTAGTTTTTTTTTAGTTTGACTCTCCATACGGTGGGCCAACAGTACAAACGAAAAAATTTGTAATTGGATGTAAAAGTTTTGGAACGGATGTGAAAACTGGTGCTAACATCGCCGAAAAGGTATTGGAAATATGTGAAGATTACGGCTTTGCAAAAAATCAAATTTTATGTATGGTTAGAGACGATGCTGCTAATATGAAGAAAGCTTCGAAGATTATTGATGTCAAAAGGTAATATATATACATGTATTAAGTTGATAATTTTTTAGCTTTCAATGTGTGTGTCATTTGTTAAATTTGGTCGTTTCGCAAGCCATAAACGCGTCAACTGGAAGCGTCAGTGAAGTGGTTGCCAAAGCTAGAGAGTTCGAAAAACTTTCAAGACAGTTTGAAAACAAAAATAAGTTCAAGGAAGCGCATGAAAGGCTTAACGTACCTTTTACAAAGATTCCACGGGTAAGTTTAAATTTCAAGTTAAATATTACATATATGTTAAATTTTATAGATGACTGTTTCGTTTTCTAGTGTTACAAAAGCTGTAAACGGATAAAACTAATCGTAAATGTTTTGAGGAAATAGTGACAAGGTGGAACTCGACATACATGATGCTTCAATCTTTGTTGGCCAAGTTTCATGTCGTCATAACAATGAAATACAATAAATTTCTTCAAAAGGATCAAGATCAGCTATTGGTAATCGTAAAAATACTAAAGAAGTTTCATGAACTTACAGTAATGTTTTCTGAAGACGATGCAACAGCATCTGCTGTTCTGCCATTATTAAATGGACTGGCCGACTATTTGCAATTAACGCATGAAAAATTAAAAACGTAAGTCGTTTTGCTTAAACTGTCATTTAAGTTTGATATCTGTTGCTATCCGTTTTTTAAAATTTTTTCTGTTTTAGGCAAGAAGAATTCGAAGATGTTGTTAACTTTATTGATGACTTATGGGAAAGATTGACAACGAGAATGGAGAATATACAAAATAAAGAAATAATGATTTCGGCTCAACTAATTGATCCACGTTACTCTCATCAACTATCCGCTAATACAGCCAAAATTGGAGTCAGTTATATCAATAAGATGTTAAAAGCTGGAGTGGATAATGCGACAGAAGAAAACGAACCAAATTTGGATGATCTTGAAGAAGAAAGCCAAAGTTCCCTTGATTTGTCTTTTTTAGACGATGATTTAATCACTACTCGTCAAAAACACGTATATGTTTCTAGTACTCAGGAAGAAACAATTCAGGTAATATTTAATTATTTTTTGTTTAGTTGTTAGATTTATGTGACACAGAAATATGATGAATTACAGAGAGAATACAACGACTTGAGGACCTGTGGGCACGATGACAATCCGTACAAATTTTGGGAAAAGAATGAGAAGCGATTTCCTACGCTTGCTGTAGTTGCACGTGAACTCCTCTCAGTACCGCCGTCTTCCGTACTAAGCGAACGATTCTTTTCCCACACAACTATGTTATTTGCAGACCACCTAAAGTCACGACTGTCAAACGAAATGGCCGAGAAGATTTTGTTACTGAGATGTCAATTGATACAGGAAAAAGATGTGAATTCGGATGCCGATTTTGAAATTTCAGAAGAAAATGAATACTAGAATGTTGTAAAACCTATTTTTTATTGTTTTTTGTTTATTTTAATATAAATTTTGTTAATTTGACGTTTATTTTGTAGTTTTTGAATGAGTTTTGCTTGTCCCCGCGGGGATGGGAGTTGCGGGTACTCGCGACCGCGGGGACTACAAATCCCTGGGGGGTGTAGTAGGGAAGGGGGGTGGGGGCAGTACAAAGATTTGTATTTCAAAATGTAAAAGTTAGCATTATTTTATTGTAGCCTTATCTTGATGGTGTAATACCTGTTTATTATGTGTTACCTTAAGTTTTTTTTTGTTTTTTTTGATGTTTTTCTGATAAACTTACCTTGTTTTTAGAAATAATATAAAAGTACATTATTTAGTTTTTTAAATTTTTTTATATACGTTATTTAACTACAATAATAAGTAGTTAGACGTATTAAATAAAAAAAAGGAAAAAAAACAAAAACAGGAAAGTACATATAGTATGCTGGTACTGTAGAGTATCGTAGCAGTGTATGAATTTTTGTGTGTGTTTTAAAGATACACCTGGTATAGCTTTGTATTATAGTTGTACTGTAAGAGTACATATTATATTATAGTTGGGCTTTCTATTTTTTATTTTATTTAAAATGAGGATGTATTTAAAGATGTGTGGTCATGTTTGTTATGATATACTACAAACATTCTACTTCATCTTTAACGCTACTACTTGGGCAAAAGGGTAGAATGGTAAAAGTAGCATTTTTATAACTTGACCTAGAAAGTGCCCGCTAAGCCAAGCACGTTTTCGTCCCGGTTCGGGCCGGTCCCTTCAGACCCTAAGGCCAGCACTTGTAGGCTTAAAAGCAGGGACTTCCACCAAGGCTCCATAGGCCCAGCCTAGGTCTCGCAACGAAAGATTTGATTTGCAAAACATGCAAAACTAATTTGATGTTAAAGAGATTTACATAAGTATAATTTTAGATTTGTGTTCAATTGACTGAATCTGAACATTAAACTGTATAGTACGTAAAAAACCGTACTGAACTTTCATTTACCACGCCCTCTCTATTCCAGTTGATTGAATTGATGCACAATTTCCGTGTGATTTAATGTCGGCACGCGATGGAGGTTGTCGGAAATATTGTCACCTATATAAATTTAAACCGAGCCAGATGTATTTTAAAAACTCGGCAGACACGTAAAGGCCGTATGTGGTGTGTTGGGTCTGAACCAATTGGAACTTTGAGGTTTGGATGTAGATGTAATGTTTTAGAATGAGGGTAAAGGTTTACAATTTTGTTGGGTTTTACTGAGTTTTTAAGAGTTACAGTAGACAAACAAGGTTTGCTAGATCGGACTGGGCCAAGAAGACTCGGAAAGGACCAGGCATGTATTATTTGGAATTTTCGAAAATCCGGACCGGACCGGACCCGGTCCGGCAAAACACTGTTTTGACCGCGCCGGGCCGGCTTGAGAAATACGAAAAACGGGCCGAGCCTAACCGTTGGGCTTTGGATCTGAACTGAGGCTTAAAGTACGCTTTTCTTGGCTTGTCTTTCACCTTTATCAAGACCTCAAGGGCCTAGCCAGGTCCCGCAACAAAAGGTTTGACTTGTTAAAAGTATAAAGGAGGAGCGTCGGTACCAGTGGGCTCGAGGGCTTAGATGCGATCTAAGGCAATGTTTGTGTGTCAAGACAAAAAATTGGTCTTGGCTTGGCTCTTTTACAGATTTAACTTACAGTAAACATATAGTATTGTCAGCCTTGTTATGTGAAAGTCATCGTTTTGGACAGCAGGAAATATAATTGTGTATTTAGTACTAATTGTGCACACAGTTTTCGTGTACACAAGTACGATGCCTTTTGTACAGGTTGACCAAAGTACACGACATACATTTCTTGTAGACAAAATTAAAAAAAAAGCTATTTTCAAGAATCTTGTTGAAGTTTAATTCGTTTTAAGTGTGCTAATGTCACATAGTGAGTCGCTTACACAGTTGTACCGCTCTCTTATTGTTCTTATTACTAGTGACAATGAAACTCATATGATAATGTTACAACATGACTATGGTTTTAAACCTTTATTTCGAGTATAATAATGTATAATACTAATTTTAATGCATTTGTACTGTGTGTGTCACAAATTTGTTAAAACCCGGTTTTGTTAGTCTTATAAACACTATTTTAAAGTAAAAATGCGTGTCTTTAAATTTTAAGGAATAATATTATGCGTGTCAGTATAAACATACAAATGTCGTATTATCGCTTACTTACGTTACATGTTAAAATACTGGTTGTTTTGTCTAACTTCAGGTTAGAGCGGCTAGAAGCCAGGACTAGAAGCTATGACTAGAAACTAAAACTAGATGCTAAAGCTCTGGGCTAGGGGTTTAACCTAGGGTTCTGGAGCTGAGGCTAGTGTAAGGCTAGGGCTCTGGGCTAGGGCTTTGGACTAGTGCTCTGGGCTAGGGCTTTTGGCTAGGGTTAAGCTTTTATTTGCTTCGGGCTAAAGCTCTGGGCTAGGGCTCTGGGCTAGGTCTTTGGGCTAGGGTTAAGCTTTTATTGTGAACACGTAGGGTACTATCAAGCTATCGTACTGTGATCTTATTGGTTTTTTTGACCAATTGTTAAATCTCCAACTTTCAAATATACCGTACTATTTTCAGCCTCACCATGACGATTCCAATGCGTGCAATTCATCGTACTGTCGATGTGATCGGCGGTGTAATGGGAGTTGTGCTTTGTTTTGCTGTGGTCGTCTTAACCATGACTGTTGTCAAAAACAAAACCCTGAAAATGTACAAGATTATGATCATATGTACTGCTGTGGTTGACTTCTTCTATGCACTGAACAGTCTTATCACTATGTCGGTAAGTGGCGTGAAACTTGATTTTTGGGCTCGTCCTATGTTATATAATGGCATTTGTACTGGAATTTGGTATTGAGCTCGTGTTGTGATCAGAACGGCCTTTGTACTATAAGAACATACTATATAGTACTAAAGACGCTGTTGTACTCAATTTCTTGCAATGTCTATGAAGGATGTAATCTTTGCTCTTAAAATCAATATAAATTCGAAAAATTCAATTTCGAAAATTTTTCAATTAGCGAGACCTATAATTAGAATAAGCACGTTCGCGTGCTATTGTAGGCCACCCAATACGATTGAAATGGCAATGCACTTGTATTGTCTCGATATTTTTGCCGGAAAGTGTAATATAATATTCATGTATATAATACTACAATTAAGTAGTATATAAATGTATCTACAACAATATAAAATAACTTTTCATATAAAAAAAATTATATTATGCTATACGTGAAAGCCAATTATAATAAAAGACAAATACAATTAAACAGAATAACAATTTTTTGTTGACCACAGGTTCAAAATGGCATTATTTTGACAAAAAAAATAAAAAAAATAAAATTTTTAGAGCTTTATGTGTTCAAATTTGAACTGCCATAACTTTTAAGACAATTTAGGTATAAAAGTGAAATTTTTAGAAAATGTAAAATAACATTTGTGTCAACTAACACAATTCTAATTTTTTAAAAATGCTTAAAACTTAAGATGTTACAGTGGTTTTACCGTACTCTACTTTTACAAAATTTTAACTTAAAGGCACAAATTTTCGAAGTGTTGATAAGATAAACTTAGTACCTACCCTATCCTACCCTACTGCATTTTATCATATGCTTGTCTAACGTCATTCACTCTACCATACCTTATTCTATTAAAAAATCGGTCTTACCCTAAAAAACCTACCCTCAGGTAAAAAATAAAAATTAAAAACTTTTCTGAATTTAAAAACAATTTTGAACTTTCAGACAGCCTCACTAGCCGGAGACCTGGTCTACTTCATTCTCGACAACCCCTACCTGCCGCAAAGCTCACTGGTAGCCTACTCAGCTGTTGCCACTCAATTATTCATGATGTTCCTCTGCTTCTGCATTCTTCCACTTCAATTCATCTACCGTTACGGTGTGTTACTTTCTAAACCGTTTACCATAACTTAAATGTCATTCATGGGATTGGCTTGTGTTGTTGCTGCATTGATTCACGCTTCCTCTTGCCCAATTACGTACAAGTACAAGAACGCTGAGTACGACCAGATCTTGGCGAAACAATGGAAAATCAGCAATATGAGTGAACTGCCATTGTATATTGTGGGTAATGCCACTGATCCGATTTTGATGATTCATTTCTCGGAAGTTTTCATTATTACTGGCACTTGCTACAACTTGATCTTGTACATGTTGAAGTTGACCAACAAGATCTTGAAAGGAGATGGAGTTCAGTTCTCGGAAAATACTAGGCTGGTACAGAAACAGATGACCAAAGTGTTGTACGTGCAGGTTGGTACATAGGCATTATTAGCCCTAACCCAGAGCCATAGCCCAGAGTTCTATTCTAGAGCTCTAGCTCAGAATCCTAGCTTAGAGCTCTAGTCCAGAGCCCTAGCCCAAAGCCCTAGCTTTAGCCCAGAGCCCTAGCCCAAAGCCCTAGCCCAGAGCCTTTGCCTAATGCCCTAGCCCAGAGCCTTAACCCAGAGCCCTAGTCCAGAGCTCTAGCCCGGAACCCTAGTGGAGAGCCCTAGCCCAGAGCCGTATGCCAGAGCCCTAGCCTAGAACCCTATCCCATAGCCCTAGCCCAGAGCTTTAGTCCATAGCTTTAGCCCAGAACCCTAGTTCCCAACCCTAGCCCAGAGCTCTCGCTTAGAACCCTAGCCTAGAGCCCTAGCCTAGAACCCTAGTCCAGAGTTTTAGGACCAAAGTACTAGAATCAGTCCTAATTTTACGTCTAGTTTCAGGCCTAGCCTCAGGCCTAGCCTAAAGGTAGCCTCAGGTCAAGTTTCAAGCCTAGTTTCAAACCTAGCTTTAGGCCTAGCCTCAGGCGTAGTCTCAACCCAAGCCTCAGCTCCAATTTCAAAATTAGCTTCAGCTTTAACTTCAAGATTAGCCTCAGCTCTAACTTCAACCCTAGCCTTAATGTTAACCTTAGTTCTAGACCCGCCAATCTTTGCTCAATATCATATTATCTCTACCACTGCTTTAGTCATTACCTAGCCTTACTTTATTTATTATTATCTTATTATTAATTTATTTCATTTTCAGGCCGCCTACCCCCTAGTAGTAGTTCTAATACCCACCTTCCTGTTCACATTCGCTGTTATCACTGGAAGTGAAGTTCAACTTCTTGGAGAGCTCTCTTTCTTACTTGTGCACACCACTCCAGCTTTGAATGCTTTGTCAGTACTGATACTTATGCCGTCGTACCGTAACTATTTTCTAAGATGCGTCAATATCAGGTCGATCCGACCAGTTACATCGGCGAACGACTCGACGATGAAAAAGAGCCAAGCAATGTCGACGGTTAGTACTACTGCACCAATGGCTTAGGTTTTTTTGACTTGTTTTATTTCAATTTTATACTCAATCAAAATGTTTTTCAAATTTTAAGCATATATTAATACAATATAATCATAATATATATTAATTTACTTTGATTACTATTATATTTAAAATTATTTAAGTTTAATAAACAATAATAATCAACAATGTTAGGTTAAATGTAAGGAAAAGCTAGGATAGGGCTAGTGCTAGGGCTTGGGTAAGGTTTAGTTTAAGCTCCGGTAGGACTAGTCAGTATGACTAGAATAAGGCTGGGATACGGCTAGGGTAAAACTTGAGTTAAGTTAAAGTAAAGCTAAGGTATGGCTAAGATAAGGATGAAATAGTAATACGATATTGTTAACGATACAGTAAAATTAGAAAAAACGCAAATAGACTAAACTAGGGCAATATTTGGTTTAAAATACGGTTGGGTAGATTATTTGCAAAAACATGATAAATATAAATCATGGCTCATTATTTTTTGGACAATTTATTACGTATACAAAACTTACCAGACTCTCAGCTGGAGTACCTTGAAACACAGACAACTTTCACAAATTTATATTGCAAACAGTAATGCACGGAAAATTTTGTTTTTCAGGATATAACCTTAAGGTTAAGTCGGAAGAAACATTTTTTCCTAAGGAAATCGCAACAGAACTTGGACGAAGATAAGTTCTAGATAGATTCGAGTACTATAATATTCATAGTAAAGCTTTTATGAAGCCAAAGTCCATGGCAACACTAAAAATTAATGTAAAGTAAAAATAAGTTACTGTTTACATCTGTAGTTTGTATTAAATAGCATACAAAAGTTACAGTAGCCCTAATAAAACATTCAGAGAATCTATGTGTAGGGTTTTTTCCGGCATGATGCAAGACAAAGATTTTGTTTTTTGGGCGATTTAAAATGTAAAAAACGTTGAGTTCATAACGACAACAATGGGATCCACAAATGAGGCTGAGTATTTCAAAATTCTGACTAAGTGTCTAGTTTAGCATTTTTTAAAAATGAATTTTTAAATTTTTATGAACTTTTTGTGACTACGTGTAAAATTGACAACTTGGGCTATTTTTTGTAACTTTGCCTACTGTAACTTCAAAAATACATTTTTTGGTTTCTTGTTAATTTTTTTACTATTTCTTTGGACATTGATACTATAAATATTGGTACTATAACCTTTGTCATCGATACGATAAGTATTCACTACTTTAACCATTGCTACTGCTAATGCACTATAATCACATAATAATACATTTTTAATACTATCACAACCTTTCTATTTTCAAACCATGAGCACCAGAACCAGTTTCAAAGAAGGCCTAGTACTAATTCTTCGAGACTTTGCTGGGTGGACTAGTACTCATGCCGTGCCACATATGGCTATGGCTGATAAAGTGTGGATTTTCCTCTTCTGGACTTTAGTCTTCATCGTATGCTCGGGTATTATGTGTTTTATGATTTATACGAGTGTGGTCAAGTTCTTGCGGTTTCCTACCGACTTGACCTCAAGGTTATATCCTGGAAAGCAAAACTTTCCGTGCATTACTGTATGTAATATGAATCCGTGGAAGTTGTCTATGATTCAAGGTACTCCACTTGAGGGACTGGTGAGTTTTGAATATGTGTTAGGTTGTTCACAAAGTATTGAGCTATGAATTTTGTTAATACTTATAGATTTTTTATAAATTAACCTTATCCTAGGTCCAGTCTGGCTCTACGTTAGCTTAACACAAATCTTACTCTAGCCTTACTCTAGCCCTACCTTAGCTTTACTCTAGCCTTGTCCTATCCCTATTCAAGCCTTACCCAAGCACTATTGTAATCCCGCTCTAACCTTACCGTAGCACTACTGTAGCCCTGTCTTAGCCTTACCCAAGCTCCACTCTAATCCAGCGCTAGCCTTACCGTAGCACTACTGTAGCCCCATTTTAGCCTTACCCTAGCCCTGCTCTAGCTATACCTTAGCCCTGCTACAGTACTACCCTTCGTTCTAATTCTAGCCTTGCTTTAGCTGAGCTGCAGGTATTTTAGTGTAATCCTCTAGCCATTTTCTAGCCTATATCATTTTTAAAAATATATCATAATTTTAAAACTTTAGGTAACAGTATATATAACAGCGTTTAAAACTTTAGGTAACAGCATATGAAGCGGGTGTACAAAACGACTACTACGGGTTTCAAAAAAAGCCTTTTACAATGACTGATGCTATGCGTGCTACACGATGGACAAGGTTTATGTATGAAGAACTTAATGAGCTGGATATTGCTGTAAGTGATATTGTTGTTGTTGTTTTTCTGTAACAAACTTTAAATTTATGTAAAATAGTACAATATACAATTTTCAAATTGTTAACTATTTCAATTAAAAGGTTGAACTCTATAAACATGTTACTTTAGACAAACGGCTCTCTCAGCTACTCGTTTGATGACATTATGCTACGGTGCCAATTTTTGGAAGATGCGTGTAATTTTACGTAAGATAACATATCTTTTTTTTAAATTGTCATAAAAAATATTTTAAGCCTACTTTGATCTACTATAATATACGAGCTCAAAAAGTATTAGATGCCGACATAAAGAACCCACCATTTTTTACACGAAATTACAGGCAAAGTATGGCGGGTTCTTTATGTCCGCACTTAATACTTGAATTACAATAAAAAAAACTTTTTCACTTTCAAAAATAATGTTTTAGTAATAACCTAAACTCCTTCTACGACCCCTACTTTGGTCGTTGCCACACGATAAATAGTGAATTTTTATGGGAATCAAGCCGAGCTGGACCTAATTATGGAATGCGAGTATTCTTTCGCACAGTACTCGACGACTACTTACCTTGGGTTCAAGATTCTGGTATTGTTTATTACATTCATGGGCCCGTAAGTTTAATATTACAGTTTTAACGTTAAAAAGAAATGATAGACTCACTAGTAGGGGTTTAGTGTAATGAGTTGAATAGGAATGTTACGATACACTGAGCTGGGCTGGGCTGAGCTGAGCAGGGCTAGGCTGGGCTGGGCTGGGCTGGGCTGGGCTGGGCTGGGCTGGGCTGGGCTGGGCTGGGCTGGGCTGGGCTGGGCTGAGCTGGGCAGGGCAGGGCTAGGCTATGCTGGGCTGGGCTAGGCTAGGCTGGGCTATGCTGGGCTGGGCTGGGCTGGGCTGGGCTGGGCTGGGCTGGGCTGGGCTGGGCTGGGCTGGGCTAGGCTAGGCTAGGCTATGCTGGGCTGGGCTAGGCTAGGCTGGGCTGGGCTGGGCTGGGCTGGGCTGGGCTGGGCTGGGCTGGGCTGGGCTAGGCTAGGCTGGGCTGGGCTGGGCTGGGCTGGGCTGGGTTGGGCTGGGCTGGGCTGGGCTGGGCTGGGCTGGGCTGGGCTGGGCTGGGCTGGGCTAGGCTAGGCTGGGCTATGCTGGGCTGGGCTGGGCTGGGCTGGGCTGGGCTGGGCTGGGCTGGGCTAGGCTAGACTGGGCTGGGCTGGGCTGGGCTGGGCTGGGCTGGGCTGGGCTGGGCTGGGCTGGGCTGGGCTGGGCTGGGCTGGGCTAGGGCTGGGCAGAGTTGGGCTGGGCTGGGCTGGGCTGGGCTGGGCTGGGCTGGGCTGGGTTGGGCTGGGCTGGGCTGGGCTGTGTTGTAAAATGACTATGTACCTACATAACTACATACAAAAACAACACTATAGTTATCTATTCCTTTATCAATTTAAGGACGAAACCCCATTCCAAGACGCCTTTGGCTATTTTGCTGCCGTAGGCCTTGCCACATCAGCTGGAGTAAATTACTTGGAACGGGTCAAACTAAAACATCCATATAATGATTGTACTGACGATGGTACTGAACTCACGAATTACTATGGAAATGACTATGAAGTGGAAGCTTGTATTCGAAGCTGCATACAAAAAGCTATAATTAATGACTGTGGATGCTACGACCCACAATATAATTATCCTACAGACGGGAATGTTACTTCGTGTTATTTGGCTGATAATCCTTCGGAAAAAAGTTTGTACTTTACTATAGTTTTAGTACGCCTTACTGAGGCCTATTTGTTTTATCTGCATTACTGAGACAATTTCTTTCTAGCATCATTCTGGTATAGTCCTAGTGTCTAGTTATGGCTTACTATAGCACTATCTTAGCCGGGCATTAACCTTATTTCAGCTCTTTTTTAGGTCTAGTCTTGTTTTCTGTTAGCCGTAAACTGACTACAAGTTGTTTTAGACTTACCAAAAGTTAATTCTAGTCTTGCTACAATCGCACCTTAGCTTTATTTTAACCTTAGGGTCTACCTATGTCTGACCTTACCTTTCTCCTGCCCTATTCTTACCTTAATCTACCTCAATTCTTACTTCATTTTCACTATAGCTCTATCCCAGCCATGACTTTACTGTAGTTCTTTTGCAGCCCTACATGAGCGTTTTCTTTGTTTAATCTTAACTTTAACTAAACTTTGTCTTAGAGCTGTTTTTTTTCTTTATTCTAGCATTGCTTTATGTTTTCTCTGTTTACATTAGCCAGCTATATCCAAGTCCAGTCTTAGTTTCTCTTAAAGCTTGACTTAACTTCTACCGTTCTGGCCCTATCTTAGCTTTATCTTGCTTAAAATTTAGTAATAAGCTAATACTTTAGTGACATGTGCCGACGATATCATAAATTCTGTTGATGATGGAAACGATAATGTCACATTTTTAATCACTAGAGATTGTGATTGTCTACAAGCTTGCAAGTAAGTTTATAAAATTAAACTATTTAGCCTATTTTTGTTTTAAAATTAAAAAAATAATATTATTGACAAAGCAAATTTCAGCCAATCATACTACCAAATATCAATGTCTCAAGCTCGTTGGCCTGCCAAAACTTATGTGGTGAGTTAATAATGGTAGGCTGGAGTAAATTTATAGTAAAATAGAGTTGGCTAAGGTAAATTTGTAGTAAAATACGACAAGGCAAGCAATTTGTTTTTACAAATTTTTAATATATTTTTTATAAACCAAAAAAATTACGTAAAATAAGACACAAATATAAAAAAAAAAATTTTTAGCCAAAAACCTGCCGAGAACAGCCAACATCTCAGTATTGGAACAACCAGAGTGAATGTGTTGTATGGTATCAATATAACTCATTATTGCTTGAAGTTTACTTTGAAAGGACTAATTATAAGTCTAACAAGGAGAGTGCTTCCTATACTGTACGTATTACAAAATAAAAAAAAAATTTTTTAAATTAAAAATTTTTCTTTAAAATTAAAAAAAAAATTTTTTTAGCAAAACAACATTTTAAATTATCATATTTAACGTAACTATACTATATGTAAAAATATTTTAGTGGGTAAACCTAATAGCGGACAGTGGAGGTCAACTAGGTCTATGGCTAGGCATGAGTGTTCTATCATTATTTGAATTTGCCGTTTTGGCGGGCATTTTATCAGCTTATTTCATTCGAAAACCGCCTATGCCAACACTCGAAGGTTACAACTATTGGGAAGAGTTTGATCAACAGGTACGTATTATTATACTTTATACTGTACAATTTGATTACTTTGATTACAGTAGGTAGTTTCGGGAGTGAAGAGAGGGAATGAGGGTGGGGAGAGGGAAAGAGGGTGTGAGGATTTGAAAGACTTTCATCTATTCCTACTTAAAAACTTTCTTTACAAAACAAAAAATGGCAAAAACTTCCTTTACAAAGCAAAAAACCGCAAAAACTTTCTTTACAAGACAAAAAATAGCAAGAACTTTCTTTACAAAAAAATGCCAAGAACTTTCTAAACAAACTAATAAATGACAAGAACTTTCTTTACAAAACAAAAAATGGCAAAAAAAAGTCATTTTTTAATTTAAAATTTTAAAACAAAGTTATTTTAGATTCAAAAGAACCCACTAAAGCTGGTACACACATCAACTTCGGATTATGATCCATCACCTCTGGTCCAACAACCAGTGATAGTTCAAAGGCCACCTAATGTTATTGAATAAACTAATATATACTAATATGTAGTGTTGTTATTATAAACACATTTTTAGCTTCGCCATGCCATTTATAAAAATCATAATTTAAATAATTAAGTTAAAATATCACAGTTTTATTAAAAACTAAATTTTAAAATCTTTAAAATATTTCAATATTGTGCTAATAGTAAATACACCGAGATTTTTGGATTCTTGATTATGTTTCATCGATTACAGTCACTGGTGTGGTCGACATCAATCGGGTTTCTTCAGTTCTAGAACTGCCTGCTTCTAATTCAGTGATTGGGATCTGGTGGTAGATTTCTAAATGTTTTCTGGAAAAAACAGATTAAAAGCTAGGACTTAGGCTATGGCTTAGGCTAGAGCTTAGGCTAGGGCTTAGGCTAGGGCTTAAACTAGGGTTTAGGCTAGGGCTTAAATTAGGGCTTAGGCTAGAACTTAGGCTAGGGCTTAGACTACGGTTTAGGCTAGGGCTTAAGCTGAGGCTTATGATATGGCTTACAAATCTTGTTAGGATAGGGCTGAGGCTAAGGATTAATCTAATCTAAGCTTAGACTAAAGCTAATGCCTTTTCTACCTTAGAAAGCACGTCATGCCAAAAGAGGAAATAAAGACAGAGTGACATTTCGTGTAAAAAACGATGCGAAGTGTGAAATTCTATTTTTTGTAAAAAATTGTTTGAAATTAAGCGGTCGGAATTTTGAAAATGAAATTCGTTTGTGGTAAACTTGTAGTGTCATATCTGGACAATTCTTTGACGGATCAAGACCAGTTTGGCCTTCAAAGAACCGCCGAAACATAGCGAATTTTTTAATATTTGTTACAGCTCAAAATTTGATTTATTTTAACTATTATTTGATAATTTCACACGTTTCGTTCAACATTTTAAATATTTATTTTATTTTTTGGATCAATATTTGAGACTTTTGAGTTAACGAAATGCCACGGCCACCTTAGTTCCATTTTTCTTTTATTTTGGCTTGCTGTGGAACGGTCTTAAAACTACTAACGCCGTACCCTTGCTCTAACGTTACCCTTTGTTAAAAAAAACTATCTATGCCCTGGCCCAGCTCCACGATATTTATACCCTAACTCTACTCTAACTGTATCCTGTTTTACTTGACTTCTACCCAGAAATTACCTTAACCGTACCCAGCTTGACCAAGTGTCTAATCAATCTTTATTCTAGCCTTACTTGTTCATTACTACCAGAATTTACTATTCTTTCAGTTCAAAATTTTTCTTTAGTTTTAAAAATTTTGACTTACATTTTCTCTTTTTTCCCAATTCTTCATTTCTTCCTTTATTTTTTCTCCTTTGCTTTCGGTACTGTTTTATATTGTAAAAAAGCCAGACAATAGCACAAAGGCAATAAATTAAGAGTACGATGAATATTGAAGGCCATAACGTGTTGAAGATTTGATCTCGGAGCGACTGAATATATTATTGTTAGTTTGAATAAAGGGTACCATGTAATAAACAATTTTAAAGCTATTTATAACTGCGTATTTTACAATCCTTACCCGATTCATTTCCAATCTGACATTGCCATCTTCTACCAGTTCTCGAAGTTCTGTGTCATAAAATAGCTCATGGCTCAAGTCGTCAGCCGAATCAAAATCTCGGATGAATAAGGTTTCATTCGACAACAACATCACTACATGTTAATACTATCTGTAAACATGTGTTGTAAAAGCAAAATTTAAAAAATTTTATGTTTTATTTTCTTGTACGCGTTATATTGGTCATGGTCATCAACATTTTTAAACTTTTTAACGGGAAAATTAATCTACCCTACCCTACCCTACCGTACCCTACACTACCCTGCCCTACCCTACCGTACCCTACCGTACCCTACCCTACCCTACCCTACCCTACCCTACCCTACCCTACCCTACCCTACCCTACCCTACCCTTCCCTACCCTACCCTACCCTTCCTTACCCTACCCTACCGTACCCTACACTACCCTGTCCTACCCTGCCCTACCCTACCCTACCCTACCCTACCCTACCCTACCCTACCCTACCCTACCCTACCCTACCCTACCCCTACCCTACCCTACCCTACCCTACCCTACCCTACCCTACCCTACCCTACCCTTCCCTACCCTACCCTACCCTACCCTACCCTACCCTTCCCTACCCTACCCTACCCTACCCTACCCTTCCGCCTTCCTTAGTTTTAACAAATTGTTTTACCCTGAATAGGTTTTCCTAGTTTAAAATACCTACCCTATCCAAGAAAGCCTGCCTTGTTTTAAAAAGCCTGCTGTGTCTTAAGAAAACTCTTACATTAAAAATCTGCTATATCTTAAAAAATTATGCCCAACTTTAAAAAATCCTCCCCCCCCCCCTTCCTACACTAAAAAAAACCTGCCCTACCCAAAAAGATCTATCTTATCGTAACACGTATGTCAACCCTAAAGAAATCTGTTTTAACTTACAAAATCAACCCAACTCAAAAAATCTACCCTACCCTAGAAAACCTGACCTAGGCCAGAAACCTGCCTTTTCTAAAATGTTTTCTTAACCTTAAAAATTCTGTCTTACACTAGAAAACCAACCTTGCTCTATAAAACTAGCCTCATTCTTGTAAAACTATACCTGCCTTAAAAGCCTACGATAACTTTTATAAGTAGGTTTTATCTAAAAAAGTTACCCCCCCCCAAATACTCAAAACTCAGCATACCAGCAAGACAACCAACAATAAGAAATCAAACCTTTCCCCAAGCTCTGCCGTTTTCTATTCATAATCCTGACACCCTTATCACGACCTCTCCAAGAACCCCGTCAATCATGCCCTGCGGCCTTTATAATAAACATTTTTTGGGATCGCCAATTTTTCAAAAATGATGGGAAAAAACGGTCTAGGATTTCAAGAGGACTCACATAATATATGACAGGTGTATTATATTCGAGGTATAAAAAACGAACGTAAAGAATCGGCTTTTACGTGGAAAACATATAAAAAGAAGAGATTTGGGACTAACATAAAGCAAAAGCATAACATAACAAAGAAGTAGCTATGTAGAAGTAGAAGGGTAAACCTGTAAAGGGTCCAAATCAATTTTTTAACCAAGTTTTTTTCAATTGTTCAAGTTTACCTTCCCCTACAAAAAAAATGGAAAAAGTTGAACCTAGTCTCCCTTGTGAATTTTTGAAAAAAAATCCTAATAGTGTTAAAATCAGATTCGTTTAACTTTTTCTGTAAGTCAAATTTTTTTTGCGGCACCAAGCTGGATCCCGGTTCACAGGCCCTACATGTGCCGGTCCGGAAGGCCCTTTCAAATTTTTATTTATAATATCTCGACCTTGGACTTGAATTTCAAATAAGCTAGTAATTTTTATTTACTACAAGATTCTCAAAAACCGTATTTTATCCAAAACCGCAAAAAAATGTTCTATAAACTTCTAAAACCACCTAGAAACAACGGACAGTTTTTTAGCAAAAAGTGGTCAAGAAATAAGTAAAGGATAGAAAAGAAAGTGCATGTAATTTGTTGTAAAGAAGGAATAACAAACATATAAACATAAATAATGACTTTTTTTGCAAATGGAGTTTAAAAAAATTTTTAAAAAGTCCTTAGCCCAACTCATTAGTCCGCCTAAAGCTCTAGCCCAAAGCCCTAGCTCAGATCCCTAGTCCGGTGCCCTAGCCCAGAACCCTAGCCCAGCACTCTAGCCTAGAGCCCTAGCCCAGAGCTCTAGCCCAAACCCTTAGCTCAAACCCCAGAGCTCTAGCTTAAAGCCCTAGCCAAAAGTCTTAGCCCTAAACCTATGCCGAGCTTTAGCCCTAGCTTAGAACCCTAGCTTAAAGCTGTCTAGCACTGACCCAGAACCCTGGTTCAGACCCCTAGCACAGAGTCTTAGCCTTAGCTCAACCACTAGCTTTAGATTCTAGTTCTAGTCCAGAGCTTTATAGCTACGGTTTAGCTCTTTTATAACCCTAGCCTTAGATTATTCCAAACCAAAAAAAAAACAAAAAAAAATCGTTACAATGTTTTGTAAAATATTTTCACTCACCCACAAACAACCTCAAACCTTTGTAGATCGCCGTTGGGGGTATTAACAACAAATGTCTTTGCGAATCCAAAAAGTGATCCGAAAATTACTGCAGGGTATAATTTGTGTTTTGAGTAAAGAAAAACATAAAACCATAAAATGTGGGGAAAGCTGTTGGAATTATCGAATAACCACAAAAACGTGAATCATCAGCAATCACCTGCCTTGAATTGATATAATTTATGTAAAAATCTTGAGAATTGGGTTTTAGGCTTAATTTTAAAAGTCTAACGAGTGCCTAAGCTTAAACTTAATAACTTGAAGCTTAATAATCCAACTAGCTTAATCTTTCTTACCCTTTTAGTACGATCTTCGTACGTCAAAGCTTCACATTTATGCTTGAATATAAAGCCAAGCCTAAACGCAACGTTAAATCTATAAGAAGCTAAGCTTGTATCTAATTGTAAGTCTAAATCTAAGTCTTTAAGTCTGACCTCAGACGAAAACCTTAGAGATGAATTCTGAACAAGCCTAAGCTCAAGCCTAGGGTTAAGTTTGAGTCTAAGCCTAAGTCCTAGTCAAAGTTTAAGTGTACGTATAAGTCCAAGCCTAAATCTATTGCTAATTTTGAACGTATGCCTAAGCTAAAGTTGCAGTCTAACCCTAAGCATAAACCTCTCTTAAAGCCTGAGCGTATGTCTTATTTTAAGCCTGAACTTGAGCTTCAGATTGAACTCGAGCATGAGTCAGACCCTAAGCCTAAGCCCAATTCAAAGTGTGAGAGTAAGTGTAATCCTAAGCCTCATTCAAAGTCTGAGAGAAAGTCATAGCCTAAGCCAAAAGCAAAGCTTGACTTTAAACTTAAGCATAAGCTCAAGTCACAGTCTAAGCCTAACTAAGCAGGAGCTTGAACCCAAGCATGAGCCTAAGTCTGAATCTGAGCCTAAAGCTGAGCCTTAGCCTAAAACTGAAGAGAATTTTTTAGTCCGTGCTCAAAATTAGTTTTATGATCAAACCATATAGGCTGTCTAAACTATAGACCGTCTAAACTTTTGCTCTAACTTACTAAACCTAAACTAAAAAATGTTATATGTATTATGAAATTTACCCAAAAAACTTTTTAAGCTTGCATAGTCTAAAAACAATAAAAATCAAACCCTAAAAACCCCCACCCTTTGTTTAAACAAATTCCAACGAAAAAACATAAGCGGCTTCTTCAAAAACTTAAAGCAGAGTTAAGTCGCTAAATTTTCCTCATTCAGATTTTTGTTGGCATTCGAAAAGCGACGCGCTTTTTTTCGCCTCAAGGTCGTGGAAAGCACAAGGAATTGAGATTTAATTTAATTAGCTATGTACACAGGTGAGACAACCGTGACATTGGAACGGTATGGATGTTGGTGTTCCTTGAGCTGGAAAATTATTCGGTTTGAATTTTTTTGTTTACGAGTTTATTAAAATTAATTTATTATCAATAAATAAAGCAAATTTCAGCTTTAACATACTAGACGAATAAATATTCTAAGCCTGAGCTTAAACTTAAAGGCTAAGGCTAAGGCTAAGGCTAAGGCTAAGGCTAAAGCTAAGGCTAAGGCTAAGGCTAAGGCTAAAGCTAAGGCTAAGGCTAAGGCTAAGGCTAAAGCTAAGGCTAAGGCTAAGGCTAAGGCTAAAGCTAAGGCTAAGGCTAAGGCTAAGCTAAATATAAATCAAGGTTTCATTTACGCTCGAACCAAGGCATAAGCCTAAACGTAGATTTAATCCTCATTATAAGCTTAAGTCTAAAACTAAACATAAACCTATTTTAAAGCCTAGACGTGAGTCTAACATTAATTAAAATTTGAAGTCTAAAAGTTGAAACCAACTTTAAGCCTAAACCGAAGTCTAAACAAAAACTAAAACCATGTCTCAGCTTTAGATTAAAACTTAGTGTGATGCCTAATCAAAACTCTAAGTCTAACCATAAGTTTGAAGCCTACACTTAGTAAGTCTAAACTTACTCATTCTAAACCTAAATCTAATTTTAATAACATCTTCAACGTTATAGCTACCAACGTTTATGACGACCTCCCATCTTATAATTAATGACAAAATATATAAATAGTGTTGTGTTTGATATATTGTGCTGCTTAAACATTATTTACACATATCAAACAAGCCTAAAGTTCGGTTGTTCCTCACAAAGACTTATGTCGTATCATAAATCAAGTAAGTTTTCTCGCTTAATTAAATGGCCTTCCGCCTGATGACAGTGGGGAAAGTTTGTCAGTTTTGCACTTTTACGATCTGATTTTGTTCCTCTTGGTTTTAATTTCAAATTTTTTGAGTTTTTAATATATTTTTAGACCAAAAAGCCCCTTAGCCTTAGCTTATTCTTACCTGACTAGTGAGCCTGATTATAAGCTTGATCTTGAAATAATCTTGTGTCTAAGCCTAAACCTGAGCTTTATTTATAACCTAGGCCTGCTACTAAACCTAACTGAGATTGAGCCTGAGTCAAAGCTTAAGCTTGACCTTAAGCATGAATCACAGTCCAAGCCTGAGCCCAAGACTAAGCCGGAGCCTGAGCTAGAGCCTATGCTGAAGCCTGAGCCTGAGCCTGAGCCTGAGCCTGAGCCTAAGCCTAAGCCTGAGCCTGAGCCTGAGCCTGAGCCTGAGCCTGAGCCTGAGCCTGAGCCTGAGCCTGAGCCTGAGCCTGAGCCTGAGCCTGAGCCTGAGCCTGAGCCTGGGCCTGGGGCTGAGCCTGAGCCTGAGCCTGAGCCTGAGTCTGAGCTTGAGCTTAAGCTTGAGCCTAAGCCTGAGAGCAACTGAGCTTGCGTCTGAGCCAAAACCTAAAGCCGATCCCGAGCCCAAACCCAAGCTGTAGCCTTACTCATAGCCTGAACCTGATACTGAACCTGAGCTTAAGTTTCAGCCTCAGCCAGTGGCTAAGATCGATCTCAAGCCTGCGCTTGAGCTTTAGCTTTAAGGTTAGCCTAGTGTGCCGTGTTGTCAAAATACGCTTAAAGTTAAGCATGTAACGCCTAGAAACCTTAATTCTAAAAAATCTGTTCAAAATTTAAAAATTTAATTTAATTTTTACAAAAAGAATTGTTGTAAAAAAAGTCAATTTTTTATATTTTTAATTTAAATTTTGGTAAAAAATAATCACAAAGCATCATCATTCATTTCGCTTTCCCTCCCCAATGTTGCCTCAAAGTTTTGTTTCGAAATTTAATTAAATTTTTTCAAAACATTCGAAAAAAAATTAAACCAACTTGAATATTTTTTTGAGTACGACCATAGGTTTTTTGAAACCTTTTTGTGTGTCTCAAGATTTATTTTCGGCCCAAAGTTCCCTCCCAATTGAAATCAATCTATTTTCGTTCAATGTTTGGGCTGAACTCGCTGAGAGTGATGAGGTGATTATTAAAAAATCCCAACGTTTTGGCGGGTTTTAACAAGTTTCAGGGGGTGAAAAGGGGAAAATTGTCATCCTTTTGGCAGTTTTTGGTTTTAAAACTTCGAAAAAATTAAATTAGGGTTTGGGTTGTTAAAGGTGGGATGACAGGGGGGGGGGAGAGGGGGAAATGGAAACAGAGAGTGGAGGTTAACAGTTGATTGTACTTTAGCCTATAGGAAAAGCCAGGGTAACGAAGAGTACAAAGGCAAAATTAAAGGTTAGATAAAGATATACCTGACATGTGAGGCAAGGGTTTTGTTTGACGGAGTGTAAATATTCCACCGACTTAAATTGTAGTTGTATAGCGTAGAGATTATGTTATGTTAAATAGGACTAGGGCTAGGGTCAAGGCTAGCACTAAGACGAAGCTAGGGCTAGAAGTTAAAGCCAGAATATTTGGCTAGAAACTAAAATTAAAAGCTAGGACTAGATGTGATGGCTCTTGGCTAGAAGGCTCTGAGCTAGAAGGCTCTGAGTTAGAATGCTCTAGGCTAGAAGGCCCTAAACTAGAAGGCTTTAGCCTAGAAGGCTGTAGGCTAGAAGCCAGAGCTAGAAGGCTCTGAGTTAGAAGGCTCTGGACTACACTCTGACTTAGAAACTAGTGTTAGGTTATGCTAAGAGCTAAGGCTACAAACTGGGGCTAAAAACTAAGACATCAAACTAGCGTTCTAGGCTCTAGGGCTGCGAGCTAGAACGCTTTGGGCTAGGGCTCTGGGCTAGGTCTCTTGGCTAGCGCTAACACTAAAGCTAAGCGGGTTTTTTAGTACTACTATCACTTTAAAACTTCAATCTTCAGTTCAGAATTGTTATTCAAAACACACAAACCTAATTTTTTCGTTTTTACGTTTCAGACCAAAGTTTTGTTTATTGCGCGTTTTATACACGGCCATTAAATTTCAAATGATAAAAAAATTGGTTGGCCATGGATTAAAGTTTTCAGACTGGTACGTAAGATGTGTAACATGCTATGTATTCTTGATAAGTTTTTGAAATTGTGTTGGTCGGCGTATGTTACCTTTACCTAACGTTATATGTTACCTTTTCAAACATTGACTATCCTGAACAAACCTTAACCATGGACCTGCAATTGGCCTATGTGAAATTTAAGTTAGGGTTGATCTTTCATATTCTATTACAGTAATAAATTTAAAATTTTTTAAAATTGTTTAAATTGCACTTTTACTTCAAAGTCTAAGACACTTTTATACATTCCGTGGGCCATTAATCAAGATAGTCATAAAGTATTAACAAAGGAAGTTTTTACTGCCGTTTGGTTTAATGCGGCGAGAATAGCACCTTCTTCTGTCAGTAAAATGTCTCAGACAAAGATTTCTCTTTTAAAACTTTTAAAAATTTTTTTTATTAAAGTAGGGTAGAGCAGATATTTTACAGATTAAGGCATAAGGAGTAGGACAGGTTTTTTAGCGCAAGGCAGAAGATAGGCAGGTTTTTTAAAATAAAGTTTTAGGGATTTCTAGTTGTTTTACGATAAGAAAGCTGTTTTAAGATAGAGCAGAGTAGGGTAGAGGAAGATTACGTAACTTTTTAAGTTAAAGTATACTTCTACAAGGTATTGTATACTTTTATAACAAGGGTAGATTTTTTTGAGTAGGGCATGTTTTGTTGTATAAGTTAGTTTTTTTGAAGGTAGGGTAGATTTTTTAAAATAGAGTAAATTTTTTAAAATAGAGTAGATTTTTTAAAATAGAGTAGATTTTTTAAAATAAAGTAAATTTTTTAAAATAGGGTAGATTTTTTAGAGCAAGGCAGCTTTTCTATAATAGATCAAGGCTGATTTTTAAGATTGAGCAAGTTTTATAGGGTAAAGTAGGGTAGGGCTTTTATCATTACGTACGTCTCGATAAATTTTATGTTTATTTTTATTTCGTGCCTAAAATACGCATAAACTTTTTTAATTATCATTAATTTTTTGAGTCAACTACTAATTGTCCGACCACCCACGTAGTAACAAAAACAATAAATTCAGATGAATTTGGCTAATTTCACTTTGAAAAAAGAAAGAGGATAATCGAATTTCGGCTAAAAAACCGGCTATCAAAAGTGACCACAAGATACTCGAGCGTTTCGTTTTTGGGTACGAAACATTTAGAATTAACGGCTGCTTTTCTTGGGTTTGAACATGGTTTTGTAGTGAAGTGTTATATCTTTTTTTCATTTTTGAAACCCTACCTTACCCTACCCTACCCTACCCTACCCTACCCTACCCTACCCTACCCTACCCTACCCTACCCTACCCTACCCTACCCAACCCAACCCAACCCAACCCAACCCAACCCAACCCAACCCAACCCAACCCAACCCAACCCAACCCAACCCTACCCAACCCTACCCAACCCTACCCAACCCAACCCTACCCAACCCTACCCTACCCTACCCTACCCTACCCTACCCTACCCTACCCTACCCTGCCCTACTCTTACCCTAAAAACCTGCTTTACTTTAAAAAATCTGCCCTACCTTAAAAACCTGTCTTACCATAGAAAACCAGCCTTACATTGGAAAACTTGCCTTATCCTAAAAAACCTGCCACACCTTAAAAAACTTGTTGTAGAAGAATTTGCCTCTTTTTTTAAAGTATACATTTTAATAAAAATCTGCCCTACCATTTAATCTTAAAAGTTTACTTTACCTTAATAAAACGTAACTCCTGTATAACTAAATTTTCCAATAACAAACCATTTTTAAATCTTTAAGCAACTCTATACAGGAGTCCCACTGTATTAGGTGCTGTAACGTGAAGACGATTTTTACATCCTAGCCAATAGCAACTTTGATAATACTTTTTATTTTTGAAACTTTTATTTTAACCTCTAAAACTTATAAAAAAATTTTCTTCCAGGATATACCGGTGATGCCGCGACGGGCAGACCGCATGGTCGGGCACATGTTAGGCAGTCGCGGCCCCATGCCCAACCGCAACAACATCCTCGTCCTTCGTCGTCAAGATTTGTCACAACCCGGCTCCATCCGCAGTTATCGTAATCCACACGTTCGTGACAGTAGGCCTCAATCAAGGGCGACGGTACGGAGCGGAAATCAACCGCCAACATATGCTGAAGCCGAGGATATTCGGTCGATAGATGCGGATGAGTTTGATGAAAGACAATCGGCCAAATATTCTGTGGTGACTAAAGATGGAGAAGTTGTGGGAGAGATGTTGGTGGATGATAATGGCATGGTGGAGTTGTTGCAACAAACGGACATTGAAGGAGTTAGGCATCTTAGCGATGAAAAGCTGTCTACAAGGTAAGTCAAAACATGTAATAACAAAGGAATTGCACTAAATATTCTTCTGTTTTTATAACTAAGAGCATAATATATTCCCGAGAACAGCATTTTCAAAAATTTCTAAATGGCCTTGGTTATAGGGTTGGACATTTATCGATATGTGTAAATTTACCGGTAATTTTACAGGTAATAAAAACCCGAATAATTTTTATAGAGTGTACTATTTGATCTTTTTCATTTGTCTTGAATGAACATGTAAAAAAGTCAGACCGAGTTCAATTTTTCAAATCTATCTGGTTCTAGTAAGCTCTCTTTTTGTGCCTAGTGGGTTCATTTTTAGTCCAGTCTTAAATTAGGCAAAAGGCATAGGTTGAAGCTCCAACCTAATGTGGTTGAGTAGCAGTTCCACTCTTGCCGATTTATACTGGCATTTAAATTATGAAAAAATGTTTTGGCTAGCCAAAAAATAATTGTTAAAAAAATTTTTTTGGTTATAATCTTTGAAGTTACCTTTAAACAAAACAATTTTCAAAAAGCTATTACCTTTCAAATTTTAAATGACACTCAATTGACTTGTCTAAACCTGTTCTTATAAACTGGTCATCACACCAAGATACTTTTTGATAAGGCTTATATTTATTAAATACGAAAGAAGGTAAAGAAGGTGTCATGATAATGCGGGTGTGACACTATTGAGGGTTACGTTAAAGAGATTACACTGATTCAGAGTACTAAGCGTACTGTAACCTGTTAGTCAATGCCATTTACAAGGAAAGTACCTAACCTGCTCCGAGGAGGGTGTCACTCTATTGAGGGTGACATTAGAAAAGACCACTTCACTGTGTACCTTTCGAACACATAAGCATATTGAGCGTTCTGTAGGTTGCTAATCAAGGCCATTTAGCAGTTTTTGAAAATGGTTTTTTGGGTGACCTGTTATGCTTTTTCGTCCTATACCGGTCTTGTTCTAAAGCCGGAACGATACTTGGTCTAACTCCTTAGTAAGCCATTTTTAAAAGCTTTTTATCGTCTACAAATCTAAACCAAATCCACATCCAAAGAAGCAACAATTCCATATCACTTTTGATCTCTAAACTTTCAAAAAGCCAGAAAAAACGCCTCGAGGAATTCATAATTTGTCTTTTAAAAGTCTGCTTTGGCCTTCAAATCGTTGTCATTAACAAAATCAATCTAAATTTTTTGTTCCTGCCGAGAATTGACACCCGGCTGTCTTTAAATCAAAAACGCATTCAATTGTTTGTTTTTGTGAAAAGTCGTTTAATGGCCGAATGGTCATTAGAACCAAATATATGGTGCTGTTGAGTTGTTAAACCTGTTGACCTGAGGGCTAGAGATATTTATCTATTTGTTGGTTAAGGATATTTATGTGCTTTCTAGCTGGGTATTAATTTTTGAACTAATATTTGAAGTCGACTCGATTTATAACATATTTTGAAAATTGGTTAGTACATCTATGGGTGAAAATACAAAATGTTCGCCAGATTTGTCGACCGCAAATTTAGAAAACATTCAGTACATCATCCTCCTAGTGAAGTTAATCGGTAAGTTTAATAACAAGGGTGTTGCACGAAATAATACCCCCAGGTTATAGAAATGTATAGAGCATCGTGATAGCCCTATCTTAGCTCTGTTACAGCCTAAATTTAAATTTGTTATAGCACAATCCTAGCCATGGTACAGTCTTACTTCAAGCTCACTCTTGCCCTATTTTAACCCCACTATAGCTCTATCTTAACTTCACTATAACTCTCTCCTAGTTCTAGTACAGCCCTACCCTAATCTCACTGCAACCTTAACTTACTAGGAAATTGCCCAAATATTCCTAGGCTTTTAGAACGAGACCTATAATATATAGATAGGAGAAAGAAGCATAAAAAGTTACCAAACAGCCGTTTTTAAAAATTGCTAAATATATTTGGCTAATGAGCTACAATACGCTCACAATTATATGTTTAAAAAGTATAACTTTAAAATTCAAATTAATAAATTTTTTTTCTGAACGTACATACCTAAAGCAAAAATTATTACTTAAAACCACTTTTCTTAAATATATTATTTGTCTAGCCAAAACGTCTTGTCATAATAGTAAAATGCCAAAATGAAATTAGCAGGATTTGAACTTTTTGCCTTCTGCTCCCCAGACTAATAGTAAGCTCTTAACCTCTTGGCCACATTGCATTAATGCTTTGTTCAACTCAAAAAAAGGCCAAAAAGAGTTAGCTGGTTAAATTCTTTGATCTCTAATACCTGGCTAGTCAAGGCTATTTAGCAGTTTTTGAAAACAGTTTTTTCGGTCACTTTTTACTCTCTTTCATCCTATATAGGTCTGTTTCTAAAAGCTGAGACATATTTGATGCAACTCCCTTATAAGTGAGGATTTTTGAAGATTTTTCAATTTAGGATGGCTTCAATTTTACTCAATGGCTATTAGATTAAAGTCAAGTTCCCAACATATACTTTAAAAACTATTCAATATACTGTACTCTCTTTACATAAGCAACCCGAAGGGACCGACATTTTGCGTTTACTACAGGGAGTGTTGTCTTTAAAGAGTGGGTTTCAGAGCAAATTGAAATCCCGGGGCCAAATTTCTTGTTTACTATAAGGAGAGTTGAATATACAGATGGTTCACTATATAGAGAGATCACGGTATAATGTGACAATACTTTTTTTCTTAAAATAATACATTTCAGATGGCTCTGGGGAATAGTGATAGTAATCTTCATGTGCCTAGCGATCTACCAAATCTCACGACAAGTTCAGTTATTTTTAAAAACCCCCATCTCAACGAATATCGAAGCCGCGTATCCGACAGAAGTTCCATTTCCGGTAATAGCGATTTGCAACAATAATCAATATCGACTCACTTATTTGACTGGGAAACGGCTACTAAATCGACCCAGAAAGTACAAGCATGGGGAACAGAATACAACGAATATTTATGATCAGGTAGGGGGTTTTTTATATATTATATTATTATTAATAATTCTTCAATTAGGCTTATTATCAACATTCTAGTAAGTTGAACCAAAAGTAGCAAGACACTTTTTATTTGACCTTTTAGAAAAAAAGTGTCCCGCTACTTTTGGTTCAAAGATAAATAGATAAATGCCGTCATTGGGGCTAACAAGGAAAGTGCCCAACCTGCGCCGCTCAGCATCAGCTCAAAATTTTTATATGATTTCTTTGTACTATCAGTAGTTCCCATAAAAAATTTTAGCTTGCGCTTTTTAGTTTTAAAATTTAAATATTTGAATTTCCCGCCATCTTGGAAAATTTGGCATTGTGTGTCAATCACTTTTTTAGACTTTTTTACCCCACAAAGGTTCTATACATAGCTTTAACTCGCGCTTTTAACTTTTAAAATATAAAAATTTGTCTCATTTGGCATTGTGTTTCAAGCATTTTTTTTTACTTTTCTGACAAGCTGCGCTTACAAATTAATAAATTTAGGTTTATTTAAAGGTTTTCTACTAGTATATCAAAGAAAAATGATTAAAAATTGAAAAATGACCAAGTTATCAGCTTGAAACACAATGCCAATTCGGCGGGAAATTCAAATCTTTTTTTTGATTTTGATTTTCTTCGAAATTTCTTGGAAAGCGCAATTTAGTAGTTTGCTGAAGATTTTATATTGACATGATTTATCTGTATAAAAATTTTGAAGTCAATCAGAGAGGGGCAGGTCAGGCACTTTTCTTGTAAATTTTTTAGGCCCGGCCCTACTGGGTTTCCTACTAAATGGTTAAATTCAATGTAAAAATAAAAATTTAGGCTCTTCAAGCAGCGTGGGACTACGACGCGATCAAATTTTTAAGGAACGCAGCTCACTGGAAGAGTCGTATGATAATGGACTGTCGATGGCCTAACGGTACTCGTTGTGTGAACCAGTTCAAGGCCATGTGGACTTTAACTGGTTTATGTTGGGCTATTAACACTGATCCTATTATGCCTTATACTGTCTCTGGGGCTGGTAAGTCAAAAGTAGCATAAAGTGTTAAAAAATCTTTTGCTAGAGTAGGGTAGGGTAGGGTAGAGTAGGGTAGGGTAGGGTAGGGTAGGGTAGGGTAGGGTAGGGTAGGGTAGGGTAGGGTAGGGTAGGGTAGAATGAGGCAAAACTAAAATTTTTACAAAATGAAAACTCTTTTTAGGTCCAAGCCACGGCCTTCGCCTACTATTAAACATTGAAAGGTATGAAAGGATCGAAAGTTGTACCCCGACCTTCAAAGCTACTGGTTTACCGGGTTTAAAAATTCTTATTTTTAATCAAAATGACACTGCCATATCCGGAAACGACGGTGTAAACGTACCGCCAGGCTATTCTATGGACATTCCTTTTAGAGTTCAACATGTAAGTCAAACTATTTCAATTTTTTTTGTAAAATACGTTTTTATAAGCGGCTTTTTAAAAATTTGTTTTGAAAAAAAGAGTAAGGTAGGTAGAGTAGGTAGGGTAAAGTAGGGTAGAGTAAGAAAACATAATTAAATATAAAAATAAAAAATATTGTTCAGCGCCACAAATTCCCGGGAAAAACGTGTGTTAAAGAGACGGAAGAGCAGAAATCAACGGCTTACACATCTTTCGATGATCCGAATAACTTGAGAACTTGTGTTATCAGAAGGTTTTTGTACCACGTCGAAGAGAAGTGCAACTGTTCGTTGAAGCGAGCTTACGACCCTGGTTCTAGTGGTATGTTCTTTACCGTTAAAGCCTTGTAAATAGTTGTGCTACTATTAGCCATAGCCCAGAGTCCTAGCCCACAGCCCAAGCCCAGAACCCTAGCCCAGAACCCTAGCCCAGAGTCCTAGTTCAGAGCCCTAGCCCAGAGCCCTAGCCCAGAACCCTAGCCCAGAGTCCTAGTTTAGAGCCCCAGCCCAGAGCCCTAGCCCAGAGCCCTAGCCCAGAACCCTAGCCCAGAACCCTAGCCCAGAGTCCTAGTTCAGAGCCCTAGCCCAGAGCCCTAGCCCAGAGCCCTAGCCTAGAGCCCTAGCCCAGAACCCTAGCCCAGAGTCCTAGTTCAGAGCCCTAGCCCAGAGCCCTAGCCCAGAGCCCTAGCCTAGAGCCCTAGCCCAGAGCCCTAGCTTAGAGCCCTAGCCCACATCACAGTGCCCTAGCTAAAAGTTGCGGGGCTAACGCTGAACCTCTTATGACATCATTTACGCTTTGGTCCTGGCCAGCGGTTTTTTTTCAATTTTTTCTGGCCGGACCAAGCCAAATTAGAGCCGAGCCTAGTGGTCTTTTTAGGTTTACCCTAGAAGCAATTTTAAAAATGTTTTACTATTTGTTTTTAAACGTTTTTAAAATTTAAAATTTAGAAACCCTACCCGCATGCAACGTGGAAGAATACTTTAACTGTGTAGTACCGATTAAGAAATATGGTCATAATTTGGGTTTTAATCAATACAATTGTGAAACTCCGTGCGACCAAATTGATTACATTGCTTGGCAAGATATGAATGAACTTCCGATGAACATTTTCCCAAAAATCATTGATACAGAAGAAAGGGATTCGAGTGAAGAAGACGAGGATCACGATGTTGAGGATGAGGATGATTATTCGGTAAGCCTATTGTTGTCATAAATTTTTTAATATAAAACGGTCGGCGCTCTAGCCTAACCTTAAAAATATTTTTTCATTTTTTTATTTTTCAAATTTTAGTACCCAGCTGAAGTCCTGGAAAGTATAAAATGTGAAGAAAATCAATTGTTAGATGAAAGACAAGTAGAAGATGTCAAATTATATGCTCATAGAGCTTATGAAAAACAGGCTCGTTATCAAGAAGACATTCTTATTAGAACAAAACGACTTATTGGAAGGGTCAATCAGACTGCCAATAGGTATGGTATTTAATTTTTCAATTTTTTAAAATTTTTAAAAAATTTTCAAAAAATTTAAATTTTTTAAATTTTAAAATTTTTTTAAAAAATGTTAATTTTTTAGGTTAATCGAGCTCCAATGGGGCTGGAACGATGATGATTTTGTAGGAGTGTACCAACGTCTTCACAAATATGTGGCTTGTTTTGCAAACATGACAGATCGGCATGCTGATGTGTTTGCAGCCATAAGGTCACCAGCAAGTCACAGTGAAGAACATCGATCAAAATTGCTGTATCAACTGGTCGATCAAAGAGCTTATCAGTCGGATCCGGTAGGTTTTATACTTTACTTTCTCCTGCTTACCCTAGCTTATTTTACTACCGTGCCTTGCCCTGTTCCGCTTTGTTCTGCCTTGCCATTCCTTGCTTGTATCTTGCCTTTTTCTGATTTATCCCACCTTACCATATATTTAAAGGAAAGCTACAAAACTCTGGCCGATGTGAAACGCAAATATGGTGAGAAAGCTGAAAATCGACTGGACGAAATGACAAGATGGGAAGGTGTGCTAGAGAGGTTGGCTTCAATATACGATGAAAGGAACTACAATTTGAAGCTATCTGAAAAGCTGAAGAGGATGAATCGAATTTTGATGTTAATGGACAATTATGACAAAGGCTTGTTACAGAAAAGGGCGTGGGCGGACAAAATGAAGGGTCGAAACATGAATCACTTCTTCGATGAAGACTTTTATGAGGTGGGCATGGTCAATTTTAAATTTCTTTTGTAAAATACGATTGAAATAATTAAGTATCTTTTATAAAGCAATTTTGTGGGCTTTCGGGGCACATAATTATGCGAACAAACAAATACGAGCTGTTATAACGGGTATATCAACTTCAGAACTGGTACAATGTTATTATAAAAGACATGGAAGTGAACATTCTCAAGACGATATCTAACATTGAACTAGCTTTACCTGGGGCCATTAGCTATATTCAAAAAGGCAAAGGATTGGATGTAAGTTTTCTTTTGTTACCTAAAGTTTTTTTAATTGATAAAGCTGATAAAGATAGTAAATTAGTAGGGCGTGCGGGTTAAGGTAGGGTAAAGTAGAAGAAAGTAAAATAAGGTTTGGAAGGATGAGATACGGTAAGATAAGGTACTGTATGATAAAGTATAGTAGGACAAAGTACTGTAGGATAAGGCATGGTAGGATAAGTTACTGTAGGATAAGGCATGGTAGTATAAGCTACTGTAGGATTAAGCACAGTAAGATGTAAGTTGCTGTTTTCTAATACTTTATTCTGTAGGGTAGGGTAGAGTAGGGTAGAGTAGAGTATTGTAGAGTAGGGTAGTGTAGGGTAGCGTAGGGTAGGGTAGGGTAGAGTAGGGTAGGGTAGAGTAGGGTAGGGTAGGGTAGGGTAGGGTAGGGTAGGGTAGGGTAGGGTAGGGTAGGGTAGGGTAGGGTAGGGTAGGGTAGGGTAGGGTAGGGTAGGGTAGGGTAGGGTAGGGTAGGGTAGGGTAGGGTAGGGTAGGGTAGGGCATGTATTTAAATTTTTTTTATATTTTAGACTGGCTCAGTAATCTTGTTTGGAGACACAAGTATAGAGCATGTCAAGTTGTTCGCCAATTTCATGGATGACGCTTTGACTTGCACTTTTGATGAAGTCCGAAACCAAACGATTGTAATTCTGGAGGAATTTCGTAAAGCAATGCATGACTTCCAATCTGCCTATATTAATTTATTTAAAAAAGAACTGCCAGAATACTTGGAACGATTCGATTTTGGCCACAAATTTGTGAAAGAGAACTTCGCTGAGGTCAATGTGTTCTTACACAAAATGAATATTGAAATCTGGCGCCAGGACTCGACTTACAGCATTTGGAGTTTGTTTTGTAAGTTTAAAGCAGTCCAAAGCCCTAGCTCAAAGCCGCAACTCATAGCCCTAGCCCAGAGCACTAGCCCAGAGTCCTAGTCCACAGCCCTAGCCCACAGACCTAGCCCACATACCCAGCCCACAGCCCCAGCGTTAGTCTAGGGCCCTGCCCTTAGGAGTGGGAAACGAGCAGGGCCTACTTTTGAACCTTGGCACAAGCCTGGAGACCAAAGTCTTTACCAAACCCGTTTTCAGTTTTATCTCAGGCCTGTCTGGGTCTTGATTTTCAAACGCGGCATGATCTAAATTAGTTCATGGCTGGGCCGGGCCGGACCTACATGGCCCGTTCCTTATTCTTCCAAAGCCCTAGACCTAGCGCTTATGTTTACAATTTTAGGTGACATTGGTGGAGCATTAGGTTTATTTTTGGGGGCCTCGTTGTTAACCATCATCGAGTTGATATACCTTTGCTTTCAATATGGATTCTGTAAAACTGAAAACCTGAAGCCAAGAAAAATGTAAGTCATGTCGCTCTTCAAGGCGTGTATTATTATTATTGACTAACATTGATTTGCATAACTCAATTATATTAACCTACCCTAACATTTTAACATTGTTTCAGAGAAAAAGATGAAAGTTTGGAGTTGTCAGCCAAGTCGACGGTTGAAAAATCTGCCATTTTGTAAAAACTGTAATATGTACTATAGTTACACAATGCTTACTACGTTAAACTTTATTGATTATTTTTGGTATTACACTGTTTGTTATCACGTTTCCTGAAAGTTATGATAATATTGATATCACTTGTGCTTAACTTATTGGTTTTTCTACACTTTTTGATACTCACAAAAAACTTGTACTTATACATTTTCATACTTACTATATGTCGGCATTTTACTTACTGTGTGATTTTTGATAAATAAGAAATAATAACGTTCGTATTTTACATTATCATCATCAAGGTAAAACCTTAAAAATTTAGAAAACAAGCCGGAGGTAAAGCAAAGAAGAAAGCGGTAAAGAAAATGCAAAAGTCTTGGAACAGATGGAAGAACCGAAACAACAAAGACTACCGTGAATCAGAGAGTAGTGCAACGTCTAGTGATGAATATTCAGAGGATTTGGAGTGGGGATATTCAGCTCCAAAGCACAGCAAACCAGTCGTGCGGTATTCACCGTTGAGTGAGATTCAGGAGGTAAGGACCACCCTCTTACCCTAAAAAGTACCTTATTTACCCTGCCCTATCTTACATTACCCTACCCTATCCTACCCTATTTTACCTTACCTTACCCTATCCTACTTTACCTTACCCTACCGTAAAATACTTTACCCCACCGTAACGTACCCTACCTTAACCTAAATTATTATACTATATCCAACCTTACCTTACTCTGCAATAATCTTTACTACCCTACTCACAAAAAAGTATTCTACCCTACCGTACCTCACCGACCCTACTCTACCTTTCTCTACCCGGCCAATTTTTTTCCCTATCCGGCTTTGCTCGCCCTGTCCTACCGTAAAGTACCTTATGCTGTCCTAAACTACCCTACTCGACCTTATCCCGCTGTATACTACCCTGATCTACCGTAAAGTCTTCTACCTTACCCTATCATAATCGTCTCTATTCTAATTTAACCTTCCACATTCTGCCTTGATTTAAATTACTTTGCTCTTCTCTACCCTAATTTTACTCAAAAAATTAAAAACTTTCTTTCCAGGTCGAAGTAGAACGAGATCCAGAATCAGTAATGTGTTCCGAACCTTCACGACATTCTAGTAAAAAAAGAATTGAAAAAACAAAAGAAAGAAAAAGAAGTATGATGAATCTATATCATCTAAGTCTGTTACAGATTCTGATTCGATACCCTTGGATTTGTTTTCAACTTCTGTCGAAACGAAGCCAGCTGATTCAGTCATTTATCGACCTAGTATTGGGTCTGGGGATAAAGATGTGAGTAAGAAGAAGGATGGTGATAAAGATCATGAAGAAGAGAATGATGATGATAAAGACGATAAGAAAGAACATAATGAAGGCCAAGAAGGTGATAAGAATGCCAGAAAGAACAGTAAACAAGAAAAAAATCCAAAAGATAATAAAAACGTTAAAGTTGATAAAGAAAAGAAAGTAGATGATAATGATAAGATAAAAAAACCAGAAAACAATCTTCAACATACTAAGCAACCCCTTCAGCCCGAGTCATCTATAACACCTCAATTCCAACCCCACACCCCGCCAAAGCCTCGTGATGAAACAGAAGTTGCTCGAGTTGCCCCACCACAACCCTATTCTCCTATACTCCGCCTACCATCTCCAACCCACTCAACTACCCCACCTTCTGATCCTGAACCAGTACTTCGTCGACCTAGTAACCGGTCAGAGAATACTAGTAGTAGTTTAACGACAGACCCAGCTGTACCAAGACTATTGGCCCCGAATGATGATTATTCTGATGAAGAGAGACGAGGTGGTGGCGGTAAGGATCGAAGTTTAAACAATGAAAGCGGTGATCAAGACAAAGATGATAACAAGAGGCAAAACTTAGATGATGCACCCAAAAAAGATAACATCAAAAACGATGACAAAGCTAAGCACAGTACTAAAAAACCAGAAGAAGCCAATAAAGAACAAGATGCCAAGAAGAAACATGACAAAACAACAAAAGAAGAAGAAGAAGACAGCTCCAGTGACAGTAGTAGCAGTGGAAAACAAACTATTGTTTAACCTTTACATAATATAATATAACTTTTAAAAACTCATTTTTAAGATATAGTGTGTACCTTTTGATTCAAATAAACATATCACTTCTACACAACTATATTTTATATAATAATTTTACTATTTATCTGCTACAGAAAAATTATTTTTTTTAAAATCGCGTTATCTATGAGTTATGCCTCAGCTTCAATAAGTCTAAGCTTCATCCTAAGCTCCACTTTAAACCAAATTCTACGCTTAAGCCTAATCCTAAGCTAAACCTAAAACCTAAAAGTTTTAGCCTCACGGTTAAACTTTGGTCTGAACTAAAGCCTAAGTCTAAGAACAAATCTAAGCCTAAGCCTAAACTTAATACTAAACCTAAATCTAAATCTAAGCCTTAGTAAGCCTTGTACAAAGCTGCTCTAGTACATTTTCTCCCCTCTTCCCCCCCCCCCTTTCAAGAACACACGACAAGCCGCCTTCCTCTCACAATTAAAACTGGCTTCCGAACCGGCCCGTTTGTAAACCTTCTTTGGCCCGAGCTGCCTAAAACCCGTTTTTTAAAAATTTTCTTTGCGTCGGCGGAGAAAATTGGCGAACTCCACAACTCCGCTCAAACTCAATATTTTTCCACCGGACAAACCTGGTGATTCTTTCAAGCCCGGCCCGTTGTTGATTTTGGTCAGGCCATGTCTGGCGAATGTCTGGGGCAGTCGAGTAGACATGGCAAACGGGCCGGGCCGAAGCCCGCGTCGGCCCGTTTTTTAATTTTTTTTCCGCGTTTTTTTTACTTATCGAATCAGTCTGAAACTTTTTGTATACCTATGTTTTATTGGGTGCTACCCCATCTAAATGATCTTAAAATTTTGATAGCCTTTACAGTTTTTGACACATGGACTTGGCGGGAAAAAAAATTCAAAAAACGAGCCGACGCTTGCCCTCGGTCCGGCCCGTTTGCCATGTTTACAGTCGAGGCTGCTGTATCTCAAACTAAAAATTTAAAAAACAAACAAAAAGTGATTTTTTAACAACATAGTTTGATAACAAGCAACCTAAAAATAATTTGGTCTTTAAATTTCCAAAAATTTCAAGCCGTATATTTTATTGTAATCACCGTGAATTCATAATTACTGTTAATATCTTCGTCGGACGCTGCTAATTATCAGACCTTACTTTGAAAAATGTGTTACAACTTTATTTTTTCTTCAGCTTTCTAAGTGTAAAATGCTAATTGGTAGTGTTTACCAAAGAAGGCAGTCTGTAAAAAAACTAATTAATAGAATTCTGTATGGTAGAGACTGATGTGTCGTATTGTAGGTGTTAGCTTGCTAGTTAAGGTTACCTAGACAACTTTTTTTTCTAGTTAGATATCATCTTGTAACCTCACAAAAGCTTTGTTAGCTAGAATGCTAGGATGATGAAGTTTTTTCAACTTTAATTTTAAGTTCTTATTTTAGATACGCATTGCCTCAACAATATTCTACTTTAATCAGCGGTTTATACTAGCCGCTAAACCTTTGTTTATTTCAAACGTTTTAAAGATTATACCGTAGCCAGGTTATAACTATACAGTACAAGAGTTATTTTATAAATGAAGCAAAACGATGTTTTTATATTATTTACGCCAATATGTGCCACATTATCCTTATTGACTGGCATTATAGTCCTTGTTGTTAGTGTTAAAATAAAGAAGAAAGACCGCAGACAAGAATACCCGAATATCTTGATGATTAATATTGTTAACGACATGTTTTGCGCTTCTTTCTTTGTTCTCTCAATGATTGTAAGTCATAAAGATTATCTTAGCTATTTTTGATTTGCTTGAACTGCTCTAAAAGTTAAGAACGGATTTACTATATAAATAGGTCATCATTTTAGGGTGGCATACGAACAGAAAAAGAATACTACTTGATATCCCTGAACCCCTTATTGGAAGACGCATCGTCAACATTTATACACGTTCTACTAATGTTTCAATGCAGTTTTTGTCAATTTACAGAAGCTGTAGACTTTGTTCATTTTTACTACCGTTATTCTATGTTGTGTAAAGAGCGTATATGGAGCAAGTTTCGTTATATTTTTATGATTTTAGCCCTGTTTTCGATAATCTTGTTTAACAACGTTTTATTGTATCTCAGTTGCGTGCCAGAGAATCCCGAGTCTATTGCAGATGTAACACAAGCCGTTGCTGATAAAGATATGTTTATGCCTAGGCATGTCAGAACTGATGTAGTAAGTTACGAAAATTACAAAAAAGACAATAAGACGTGACGATTGGGCTAACTCTATTCTAGGCTAAGGCGAAGACAAAGCCTTAGGGCTAAAGCTATCAATTTTGATCTATTTATCGATGTGACACTTAAAACACATTTACACCATAATATTGCTTTAGAACAACAAATGGTTTATAGCTTCTGCAACTATTTGCCAACTTACAAACGTTGTCATATACGGTGGTATAATTATTTGTGGCTACAAAATTAAGCAAAAAATGAGGAGAAACAAATCCACCTCGGACTCAACTCAAAAAGCACAAAGATACCTTATTAGAGTTATGACATTACAATCAATTTACCCATTTTTCTTGTTTATATTCCCAATGATCAGTGCCATGTTTCATATATATACACAAGTCGACGTTAATGAAGTGCTTTACATGAATTGCGTGTTACTTCAAATATTACCGTTGGTGGATGGTTGGCTTATTTTATTGGTATTGCCTTCGTATAGAAGACAATTGTGTGGAAAGTCAAAAGAAAAGATTTTTACCAAGACAAACTTCAGTTGATTTCTTTCAACTTTAAATAATCCATAGAAAAAAATTGTAAACTGTTTAGCCATTGTTTTCATTTTGAACTATGGAAATTTAAATAATTGTGTAGGAAAAGATTTTGGTCGATTTCCCGTCAGTTTTGGTGCATTTGAATTTGCAGTGCGGCCAGGGCCGGGCGCCAGAAGGAACCCCCCACCCCCCCGCCCAAAAAAAAATTTTTTTGAAAAAACTTGAACGTGGTCCCCCCCCTATGGATTTTTTCGACCCTCGCCCCCAGACCAAAAGTCCCCGCCGGGCACTGAGTGCGGCGGTCCTGACCAACTCAAGTAGTTTGTAGAAATAGTTTGATGTTTTAGTATTAATTTAATTGTAAATTAATTTATTGTACCATGGTTTACTGATTGATTTGGTATGTAGTTTTGGTTGATCGTGTAGATCATGTATTTGATTATTTAGTTATACATGATTTTACCTCGCTTAGGCTATCACATCAAATTTTTACGCAATCTTTTTTACATATCATATTACAGCTTGTGTAGACATTTAGCAGTATATTAGTGAACCTCACAGTTTGGTATGTGTCATTTTGTTTTTGACAAGCTAATTTCGTTAACAATCACAAAACGAATTATTTCTTCAAAATTTCTTAGAACTAAAAAACTTGCTAAAACTTTTTATTTGTTATTTCTTTTTTATATTCTGTAAAATCTTGCTTTTTACATTTTCGTTTTGCATTATACAACATTACATTTCTTTACCCCATGCTTCAAAACGATATCTTTGTACTGCTGACAGTGATAATTACAATATTATCTATGCTTACTGGGACTGTTGTGATTATTGTTAGTATGAGGATAAAAAAGAAAGACCCTCGACAAGAGTACCCTGGCATAATTGTTATTAACACGATCATCGACATGTTTTGCTCCATCGTTTATCTGATCACAATGATTGTAAGTATCCGTAAAGTACGATGTTGTATTATCTAAAATGGCCCAAACCAAGTTTGTAATTTTAGTATGTCAAACGTGTTTCAACCTGATCTTGCAATTATAATTTTTAGTCCGGACTACGTTCCCAAAACAATTACTACGCCGTAACAGTCAACCCTTTACTTAAAAACGTACCATCACTTTTTATACAATTGCTAATTGTGTTTCAATGCGGTTTGTCCCAACTCACAGCAATTGTTGATTTTGTCCACTTTTACTATCGCTTTACGACGTTAGTAAAAGGAATAACATGGACAAAGTGTTGTTATATAAACTTTGTATTATTGTTTTCCTCTCTAACGTTTATTGATTTGGTATTTTTATTCTTTGGATCTTCGCCAGAAAGTGAAAAATCTTTTATGGATGTTGCACAATACATTGGAGATGGAATGGAAACTCCAAGACATATCATATTTAATGTTGTAAGCCAAATACATTTATCAAAATAGATAAGTACAACTCAGATACGTAGAAAAAAAAATAAAACTTTAAATATAGAAAACTTCATGGTTTATAACTGCTGCCATCCTTGGCCAAACAACAAACGTTTTTGTATATTGTGGTATCATCAGTTTTGGGATCAAAATCAACAATAAAATGAAACAACAAAAATCTACTCAAAGCTCAACACAAAAAGCTCAATGGTACCTTATTAGAGTGATGACTTTACAATCAATCTACCCATTTTTCTTGTTTATATTTCCAATGTTCAGTACGATATTTCATATCTATACAGAAAGTGGTACGAGTGAAATATTATATGTAAACAACATCATGTTGCAACTGTTGCCACTAATGGATGGATTACTGGTTTTATTGGCGCTTCCTTCGTATCGACGCCAGCTTTGTAAAAGTATTAATGTTGACATTTGTGGTTCTGTTCAATAAATATTTTATAATAGGTCTGAAATCGGTAACTATTATTGAACAATCGACGGACGCGCTCGCCAATGCCCTAGAAGGCTTTCAAGCCCACGGTTTATCAGGGAGGCCCGCGCCCAAGACTTAAAAGCCCTGTCAAAAAAGCTAACACATCTAACCAATACTAAAAGAATAATTTTTGTACAGATTACTCACGGCACGCTTACAACCACAAAAAAGTATGCTATTAGCCTAGTAATCCAACCAATTACCTATGAATAAACAGATGAAAACAGTAATAACGAGTCATTAAATTTTTTAATTAGCTGCACAATCGTTCCGAAATAAATCTCTTTGTATTATGTGACATAGAGTGGAGTTCCTGCATAACAAACCAAGGGATTTTAAAATTGATCGTTGTAAAGGAGTTTTGTTATGGAGTTATTTTAAATGCACTGTGTAGTGTCGGCCGGGGATTTAAACGTTGTTTCAATATATAATAGAAGAGGTCCACTGTACGCGTTATCTCTAATACCATTTTAATTTAAATTTTAGGCCCGGCCCATTTTTGATTTTGGTCTAATTTTTTTTAGGCCGTGCCGGGCCCGATCAGAAAATTTCTAGGCCCGGCCCGGCCCGTTTTAAGAAATTTAAAAAATTTTAAAACTTAAAAACTAAACGGAAATTTGGCTTTAAATTGTTTTTTTAGATCATTTATGGATCATATTATAGAACCCAATGAAATCGAAAAACATAAACGGAAATTGAAATACAAAATTTTAAAAAATTTAAAAATTTTTTTTCGGGTACGGGCCCAATTTTCAAGCCCGGCCCGCGGGCCGGGCCTAACTTTTAGGTTCGGTTCGTTGTTGATTTAGCTCAGGCCCGGCCCTGACTGAAGGTAGGGCCCGGCCCGTTGCTCGTGTCTATATGTACCAAATTAGGTTTCACAGAGTTGACACACAGTATCAAGTGTAATATTATACGAACTATAAATTGTCGGAACAATCCGATGGAATCGGACACACATACAGTAAAAAGTAATAAATGCAACTTTATGTTTTCCTTTTTCACTATGACTTATATTAAACCCATAGTTTTAATTTTGCAATCCAGGAAATACGTTAGCTAGGTTTTTTATTTTCTACATGTTTACATTCTAAAGAATTAACGTTATATAATTACTTTTTCTTAACAACTTGCAGTTAACTATTTTAATAAAATTATTATAAACGATTTTTCATTCCTAAGTTTACCGTTTAACGCTTATAATTTGTTTGAATATTTATTTCTACAGGTTTGTGCGAAATCTTTTAACTACCTACAAACTCATTGTTAGAAATTGTTATACGATACTACTTATCGAGAATTCTGCAATTGTACAACGATTTAATACTGAAATCAAAAAATTATCGTCTATCAAATTAAAACTAAACTCCATATTAAATTTACACTAGAAATCGCCGGGTGACAAAATTAAACGAATGTCTTCAGAAGACCGTTGCTATCAAAGTGTTATTCTTCATTTTAATTTGTTTATTACATCTCTCGATGCTTCAAAAAGGAGAAAAACATAGGATAAACAAAGCAATCCTATTAATAATGCTCCTAGAAGGGGCGGCCTTCTGAAAGCAATAAAAGAATCTGGTTTGACAGTTGATATAATGCTTCCTATTCAATGTGTTACATAAATGTTAAATTTACACAGTTAAATCTTTTCGGAACGTGTTGCAACAGCTTCGGAAGTTAACCTTTGTACTTTAACAACTAGTAAAGTGTTAAGCAACCAATACTACCTACAGGAAATAGATTTTAAGAACCAGGATGAAATTCGACGACATGTTTATTTTATACACTATAGTAATTACTGTTTTATCTATGCTATCTGGACTGCTTGTTGTTCTTGTTAGTTTGAAATTAAAAAAGAAAGACAGGCGAGAAGAATATCCGAATATTATGATAATAAACATTGTCATCGACCTACTTTGTGCTCTTTTCTATGGCGTGTCAATGATTGTAAGTTTTCATAAACTTTGTGTTTTTACGCTTATACCAGAAAAATATTTAAAATTAAAAAATAAATAACTGTGATTTCGTATTTTATAATTCCAGGGCGCAATAAGAACCGAAAAAGACTACTATTTAATATCCGTCAACCCGATGCTTCGAAACGTTAATCCAGTAGTAATACACGTTATGTTGACACTCCAATGCGGGTTATGTGAGTTGCCAGCAATAAGAGACTTTGTCCATTTTTACTACCGCTACACAATGTTATCCAAAGAAGTCGTATGGACTAAATCGCGTTATGTCAATTATATTATCATACTTTCTGTTTTCATGCTAATTGATGTCGCACTTTTGTACGCTGGGTGTGTACCGGAAAACCCAAATAGTATTGCGGATATTACTAGTAAACTTGAAGATGGTTTTCCTATGCCTCGGGATATCATGACGGATGTGGTAGGTTAAGAAAGTAAAAAAACGCACATACAAAAAAAACTCAAATACTAAATAAAAAAGCTTTTTAGACCAATCCAGTGTTTGCCGTAGCCGCTCTCCTAGGCCAAATCATTAACATCTTTGTCTACGCCGGGATGTTTATATGTGGCTTTAAAATCAAGCGCCAAATGAATCAAAATAAGTCCGCCTTCAACAGTACCCAACAAGCTCAAACATACCTTGTAAGAGTTATGATATTACAAGCCGTTTACCCATTTTTCCTATTTTTACTACCAATGTTCAATGCCATATATCACATATATACAAAAAATGATCTAAATGAACGATTGTATATGAACAGCGTATGGCTAGAATTACTGCCATTGGTAGATGCTATACTAGTACTGTTGGTTATACCTTCGTATAGACGTGAATTGTGTGGCCAGAAAACAAAAACAGTTGTCACTAAAACACCTTCTTGGAGCGAAAAAAGCAAAAACACGAGCAATGTTAATCATAATAATGTACGGTGATGATTGTTTTGTACATGGACGTATTGTCGTAGCACAAGATGTTTGAAGAAAGCTTTCATTATAGTGAACAGAAAACCATGTCTTTCTGGCTTGTTTTTTTTTCTTATTAATGAAACCTTTGTATGAAGAAACTCCTGTATAACGAACAAACTTTTGAATACCCTAGCGATTCGTCATACATTCAATTGTAATCTTATAAATTACATAAATATATTCCTAAATTATAGGGCCCAAACTATATATTTATCTTTCATATAACATGCATATATATGGGATAACACATTGATGACATAAGACAGCCTATTGCCAGGCTGCCTTGTTAGATGGCTAGGGATATAGAGTCGACCTATTGACAGGTCGCCCTTTTGGCTGAGCTTTGGGACGACCTCTTGCTGGGTCGTCGCGTTCCAAAACTGGACGTGAAGTCTGATCGCTTCGCGATCTAGCCAGTGGGCGGAGCCACTTTATTCACACTGCTACTATTCACTGTAGCTACAGTAAACTAAATGTTTGTCTTTCGTGCTACAACTCAGACATACTATATCTACTTTAAGATGAATGTCATAAAATCAACTTGTTCCTTATTTTCTAAACTTTAATTTTTGTTTTGACATAATTCAATCTTACAATTGGCTCGGGGTGGCGTGCAATTCCTCTACGAACTAGACTTGTTTTCCATAACCCACTCAAGTGGTGTGAAGTGCTCGTTCTAGTATGAGAATTTTATTATGACATAGTGATGAAAACAAATAAATAATTTATAATTTTTTAAATTTTTTTAGTGCAAGTTTGTTTTCACAATACTTTAGTGCAAATAAGTTTTGTAAGATTAAAAAATTTGGAAATACAATTTCTTATATTTGGAAAAAAAATTACTTAAAGATGAAAATAAAGCCACACAGAACAATATACAGTTCTCTTCATGTAGTAAAAATCAGCCAAAATATGAAGCAAACCCAATCGAATAACACTAGTACACAGCAAATCAGCAACACATTTTAAAAGTCATGATGACATTTTATCCTTTTTTGTTTTCAGTGTCCCTATGACTCACGCAGTCTTGGTGATGTACATTTTGAAAAAGAATGCCAGCTTGGTAATGTATGTGAATGACATGTTACAACAGTTGTTACCTTCATTGGATTCAGCTTCTGTACTATTGTTTTTGCCACCTTATAGGCGGAAATTATTTGAATTTGGCAAAGAGAAGGTCGTTGCCAAAACTTAGTTATTAATCTTACAGATTGTTAATCATTCCACATATTAATAAACCCCATAAAATTTTCCAAAAATATGTTTCTTCCTTTATAATCTTCAAAAAAATCAAAAATAAACAAGTATACATAACATAAAATAACCTAAACATTCTTTTCAACCCGCTTTCTAATGACTGCTCTATCTCAGTCCCATCTTGTCCTTCTGATCAAATGACACATGGATTCTTCAATTGAACGGCTTTTGTGTAGAAGATTGCCATAGTTAGCGTGATATGGGTCAGCATCTCCATTAGCCAGTAGTCTCTTTGGATCGCCAGGCATTCGTGCTTTTTCTGCTAGCTTCTTTTCGTCCGCAAGTTCCTTCACAAACGTTCGGTGAACTGCGTGATATGGCTTAATTTGCTCCTAAAATAAGGCGGAAATAAAATCATATTTAAGTAGTAAATTGACAGAAACAAGGACAAAACGTTAGTTATTATTTGTTTTCTGCCTACGATTACCTAAATTGCCTCAAAAAAACAGTAAACTTGACAAAAAATTGTGAATAGTTCAGTTGACCTATAACAACATAAATTTAAATCCTGATAATTCTGTGTAAAATAAATCAAATTAACTAAAATTTTCTAAAAAGCTTATTTATACAATAGACTAAAAACGCACTCAATATAAAAACATAATCTAGCATTTATTAAAAGTTATATTAATATAACCCCAGTCAAACTCAAGCCCCATAAAACTTCATAAATTTTAAAAACATCATTATTCCCTAATATTCACCTACCTTGTTCAAATAAGGTGTATTCAGCATCTTCATAACCTCCCATTCACGGTCCAACCTCTGTCTGACCAAAGCTACTTGATCGTCATGGACAATAGCATAAGGTTTTCTCGTTCTAAACGCCAAATCAAAAATGAATAGAGTAAACTTACACTTTTCGTTTTCCAGCTGGTTCACCAACATATCCAACTTCCCATGGCTTTCTATCCCAATGAACTTTGTTCAGGTTTCCCAATAAAGATTGAGTTCGTTTCATCTGAAAAGAACGTTTATATTACCTACTTTTCGACTTTTTTAAGAGATAAAAATGTTAAAACCAACAAATAACAATAAAAATAAATAACTCGACCTAGTTTTATATAAAATTAAGTTTATAAACAAGTTTAATTAACATAAAACAACATAAAAGTAATAAAATTAACCAAAAATTGTAAAAAGATAGAAGTAGAACGCAAGGCCACTATAATTTGACACTAGCTAGTTTTCGTTGCGGGACCAAATCAAATTCTTTATGTCAAAGGCAATTTGCAAGAAATTGAAGTACCTGTAACGTACAATTAATAAAATAATGCAAAATCATTTGTTTATTCATTTCGAATAACATTTCCAAACTTCACAAGTTTAAAAAAGTAATAAGCCATCTTAAAATTGATAAAGCTCGATGCTAGGGAAGAATTGACGTTTGTTGTTGGCGCTTAAAACTTCGTTATAGAATGGGACCTGAAGAATCAGTTCAGTGGGTGTATGTCGATTTGTGCATTTGTGCTTGATTGTGATGTAGAATTTGTTTGAAAAGTAGCCAAAATCCGATTTTTTGAAGTAGCAAGTCAAAATGAACTGATTGTTGTGAACGTGGGCTAGTTGTTGGACTGGCTTGGTTGGGTGGGCACTAAAGTTGGTAAAAGCTTTTATTATTATAACAGCTTGAAGGCATTGATCTAAGAGCAGGGCTAGGAATACGGCTAGAACTGGGGCTTTGACCAAAGCTAGCGATTTGGCTAGTGCTAGGCCATGTCCAGAGTTAGGAATATGGCTACAGCTAGGCAGGGCGAGAACTAATTTCAGGGTCTGGAGCTAAAGTAAAAAAACATCTGAACTTACATGCAAGGATTATGAGAAGGCCAGAGTCCCCAATTGGTCATTTCACCAGTAATTTCAGCCGTCTTCACCAACGACTGGTCGATATCACATTTGATCTTATATCCCACTACCTTTTGTCGTTCAAAATCTTTTTCATTGTACGAATCCGAAGTCGACACGGTTAAAACTTGAACAAAAAGAAGTAATATACAGAGTATGAACATATTTTCAATTTTTGAAAAGTTTTGTAAAGAATGTTCTTGATCATGGATCTTGCTATAAATGATCAAAGACTTTGCTACAGACTAGGATGATTAATATATTGTGAGTGGTCATGTGAATCTTGAAATGTTTTGAATTTAAATTTTTGCGCTTGAAACATCTGTAAATGAATTTTTAAAATTTTTTAAATTTTTTGATTGTTTGAACCGATTTTAACTATAAATAATATCATTGGTTTTTTATAGTTTACAATTCAATAAAAAACTTTTTTTTGGTTGTTTTGTGATTGATAAAAGAAAAAAAATGGCTAGAAACAAAAAAGAGAAAACTTTAAATGGAAACTTAATGTCATTGCTTCAAAAAAATTTTTTAATGTTATAAATTTTTCACATTAATAAACAAAAGCTTTTAACAGTTCTGAATTCAAAAGTACCTTTTTTGTTAAAAAACAAATGAAGCCTAGAAGGGTAAGGGCAACCTTCTCGCAGGGCAAGGTTAGACAGAGCAGGGCAGGGTAAAGGCAAGGAGGGCCAAAATCAAAGTAATTTCATGGTTAGTCAGTACAGGGCAAAGCAATGCATGACAAGAAAGAGCAGGGAAAGGTGACGGTAGTTCAAAAACAGAGCAGAAGTTTAAATAATGTATAAAAAATAATTAGGAATGAATGGTAAATGTGCTAGAATGTATGATAATTATCCCCATGATACTTTATTAACCTGGCTAATATGGCCGTTTTAGTAATAAGTCTGGAAACTAACGTAGTTTTCTCTACTTTGGCAATAAACTTTTCTAAAAAGCTTTTTTTGATTTAGGTAAATAATCAAACCCTACCCTGGCCTTTCTCTATTCTAGCCTACCCTTCCCTGATCTTTTTTAGCCTTCCCTACCATAATTCACCGTAACTTACTCTACTCTATTCTGCCCTAACTTACCCTACCCTATCCTACGTGGTCAATTTTTCAAAGAAAAGATAGGGGGAGCGGTAAAAACCAAAAAAAAATGAACCTTAGGTTTAAAATATCGATAAAAAGGTCTGCACTGGTTTTAACGGCTAAAACTATGCTGTAATAGACAGTTTTATATTGTTGTTTGCATAACGTGTCATTTCCGATTACCCAAACTTTAAAACGTGACTCGGCGCTAAAAACTCTTCTTTTTCAGGAGTTATCAATTTCAAATAGCTTTGATTTATCAACTCAAAAACCTTAAAGAAAGTCAATCTCGACCAACTCTTTTGTTTAAAAAATCGACCGGTCGATTTACAAAAACATGAAAATTTTGACCATTTTTTCACTAAACATCAATTTACTGTCATTCCTACTAATACTAGCTTTAAATTTACTGATTATACCTAAAACAAACTCCACGTTCACTCCCGGATTCCAACGATTTTTGCGACGAAATTTTGGCCCAATTGTCGCAAAAAACTTGACTAGACTAGACTGGGGCGTACGCGGCTCTTTCGGTGGAGGAAATTGGTCATTCAGCTCAAAGAGCGATAAAATACCGGTAATTATTGTACATGGATTGGGTAATGTCATGGGAGATTACCATGGACTGAGGGATGAGTTCATGAGACGTGGCTACAAGGATAGTGAGGTCTATGGCACAACTTATGGAAAGGTAAAGAAGCAGGTTGATGTTTATGATACGTTGGAGTGTCAGTTTGTTAATCAGGTAGGAAGTTTTAAATATGAAAAATAAAGGTAGGGTAGAGTAGAATATGACAGAATAGGGCTGAGCTGGACAAGGAGGGGTTTAGCAACGCTGCGTTGGGCAGGGCATACATGGTGGACAAAGCAGTGCAAAGTAGAGTAGGATAGGATGGTTGAGTAGGGTACGGTAGAACTACAAATTTAAAAAATTTTAGATTCGGCATTTGATTTTGGCAGTGTCAGCCTATACCCAGTCTAGAGTCTATGTTATTGCTAATTCCCTTGGCGGTGCTATTTCAAGAAAAGTGAGTCATTTTCAAAAAGTAAAATTTTTAATTTAAAGTATTTCTTCAAAATTTTTTTTTCATTTTTAAATTTACCACACCCACCTTACAGGCCATTCTTGGAGGTGAATGTGTGGACACATTGGAAGACTTGGGGCCTCCAATAACCAACCGAATCGAGGCCTATTTGGGAGTAGCTGGAGCAATGAAAGGCTGTATGTTTTGCATTGGAATCGTCTCGGAGTTCATTCCAATTTGCAGCAAATCTAATGGATTATATGTGAATAGTCAATTTATTCGAGATATTAACAATCGGTAAGGTTTGGTTTTTATTATTTCTAATATTTTTTTTGGAAAAGTGGCTACCGTATTTTACAAAAATCTGAAAAAGAGAAAATTTTTTTGAAAAAAAAATTAGTTTTAAAAATTTTTTTAGCCAAAAGTATGAATCATCAAGAATACTGATATTAGAAAGTAGTGGAGATGATGTTATTGGATTTGAGTCGTTAAATCATACACGCTTAATGGAAATTGATAGAGCTGATCATATCATCATTGTAAGTCCTCTTTACTTTACCCTGCCCTACTTTACCCTACCCTACTTTACCCGCCCTACCTTACCCTACTTTACCCTACCTCACCTTACTCTACCTAAGAAAGTGTTTTACCCGACAGTAAAGTAACCTATCCTACACTACCTGACCCTAAATTAAATCCGTGGATTTTAGTTGAACGGGACAAACCATGAACGGACGGTATTTGGAACTCAAGCGCTACAATATGACTATTTAGTATTGAACAAAACGAATCAAATTCCATTTGTCAACTACAGAAACATGCAAAAACACGACGGTCACACTGATTTTACTTTCTAATTTAAATTGTATTAAACTTATTTGCTTTTATTTAAGTCGGAGATCGCCACATTTAAGTTTTCTTAACATATATAGCTAATGTAATGTCATAAAGCTTGACTCCAAATTTAATTTTAATAAAGTTATCAAATATTCACCTACTAAGGGTCTCCAAGAGCAAAGTAAGTTATCAATACTGCTCTTACAAAATAATTTTTTACCTGTTCACAAATGAGAGCTGAACCACATGTGTCTACAGTAGCTAAACTTCCGCCTTTACAATACTTTTCCACCAGATCATGTTTTCAAACTAAAAAACGACATTTCGACAACACTATTCTGCGTCAATCGGTTATGGTAATCACGTTGAAAACTTCCAAAAAGTTTAAAACTGTTTACAAAACACCTACAATATGAAATCATCTATTTACAAAAAGTGCCTACAATATGAAATTGCACTGAAAAAATGAAATGTTAAAACCTTGAGAACTTTGTTTTCAAACATCCGTTAACCATATGTTTCGATAAAATTATTCAAATGTATAGTTTCCACAACAATGTTAAAAAGTATATAAGCAGGTTGCCAAAACCAAGCATCACTACCTTTGTGTTCTCATCAAGGTAAACAATACCACCTTCCTGTTGTCATCAAGGAAAACACTATCACCTTTCTGTTCTCAGCAAGGTGATCTAGCATGCATTCCTTGATTGTATTTGCAATTTTGTTTATTAATTATTATTATGCTGGAGAGCTAACTATCATCAACGGATGTAGCTCTCAGCTTACCGTAGTCAAAACGGTTGCTAGTGGGGCTCAAACAACCCAATGTACACTGCCTGCCGGAGGATTGTGTACACAAACCTTCACTGTTGGTGCTATGAACTTCCGTGATGGCTTTGGACATGGTAAATATACTACACCCACATTCAAAAATACTTAACAAACTAAAAACAAATTTAACCCGGTGTCTACAAAAGCAATTACAATTAAAAAAAAATTTTGTAAATTCAGCGTCAAATCTAAGTTAAAAGCGTTGTATTTTAGGAAAAACAATTGCTGAATTCTCGTTTGGCGCCACCAACCCTAATGGAGCTTCGAACTATGCATTGAACGTTATTGAAGGCTTTGACATTGCCATGCAAATTATCCCAGAAAACGGATGTCATGTAGCTACGTGTGCTAATGCGTAAGATTGTTTCATTTTTTGAAAGGAGTAGTTTACGTGGAGTTTTTTATATATTATTATACTGTTTAGTAAGTTAAACAAAGTAATCCGTTATGATTCTCCAGCGTCTTACACTATGAAAAATATTGAAAACCATTAAATTTTCAGCGCCTGCCCAGACGCGTATCATAATTCAAACGACAATCATACATATGGTGTGGTTGATGGTACGGCCTTCATTCTTAGTCTTTGTAAGATTTATACTCCTACAAATTCGCGAAACTGCACGCCACCACCCATAACCACAACGGTTAGACCAACTACTACAACTGTGAAACCCTTAACCACTGTCACCACTATTAAACCTTTGACTACTACAACTAAAAAACCTATAACCACGACTACACCTAGAGGACCTATTTCTACTAGTTTAACTATTACCAATAGGTGCACTAATTCTATCACTGTTGTGAAAACAGTTGCCGGTGGTACTCAAACTGTACAATGCCAGCTTGCCGTTGGTGCTTCATGCACTCAATCCTACATAACTGGTGTTATGAACTTTAGAAATGGCTTTGGTTCTGGTAAATTTATGCTTTACTTAATTTTTTATGTAATTTTTTGTTATATACATACATTTGAAAGCATTCAATTTATATACACCACTCTTTTAGGCCACACAATTGCTGAGTTTTCGTTTGGTAATCCTAATGGTAACACCAACTATGCACTAAACGTCATTGAAGGATTTGATATTGGTATGCAAATTATTCCACAAAATGGTGGTCATGTTGCTCAATGTGCTACTGCGTAAGTAAAAATTAACAACAATTATTAAAAACAAAAAAACCCATAGAATAACTGGAAAGAACCCTTCATAATAAATAATTACTAAAATGTTTTAGAAGCTGCCCCGACGCCTACCACAATTCAAATGACAACCATACCTATGGAGTTCCTGCCGGAAATCCAATGGTTTTGAACTTGTGCCAGTTCCAAACGGTAACGACTACCACAACCAGAAAACCAACAACCATTACTACGACTAAACTGATCACTGTTACCACTAAACCTACGACGACTACAACTACTGGTCCACCCTCCACTAACTTAACAATCACCAACGATTGTAGTCAATCTGTAACTGTAGTAAAGACTGTAGCAAGTGGTGCACAAACTACACAATGCCAGCTAGCTTCTGGCCAATCGTGCAGCCAATCCTACGTCACTGGTGTCATGAACTTCCGCGGTGGTACTGGAACAGGTAATTATTGTCATAAAGCTATACTAACTTCCAAGTTAAAGAAAAATTTTTTGCATCTCACTTTATTTAAGTTCAATTCATAGTATTTACAAAAATGTTTTAGGACACACAATTGCTGAATTTTCGTTCGGCAATCCAAATGGTAACACCAACTATGACTTGAATGTGATTGAAGGATACGATATTCCTATGCAAATTAAACCAGCAAATGGCGGTCATGTTTCTCAATGTAACTCTCCGTAAGTGAACCCTTTCAGAATTATTCAAAGAAAGTAATATATGCTTTTTATAAAGCAAGAATTCACCTTGTCCTTGATACTTTTCCTACTTTTTGCCTCTCCTTATTGTTAAACATCGTCTAACCTTAACGAGTGTATAAACTTGTGAAATATTTTAGAAGTTGCCCCGACGCTTATCATAGCTCTTCTGACAACAAAACATATGGTGTTCCAGGCGGAGTTCCAATCGCTTTGAACTTGTGTTACTTGGGATCGTAAAAGACTTGACTATTTTTCCTAGTACTCGATAGTGAAACAACAATATTAAATGTTGTTTACTAACAGCTTATTTTCAAAACATGTAAAGAAAATTAAAGTATTGAAGATAGTAAAAGTGAGAACTACATTTATGTTCATTGTGTTGTATCTGCTAGTAACAACAATATTAAAATTATAACTAACTAACGGTTATTTTAGCAATCTGACAGAAAGCGCTTAATACTACTTTCCTCAAAAAATTTTAAATCCCGACGTTCCGCACTAAGCTTCAAACAGCTACGGTAGCTAAACTTTAACCTTTAACAGAATTTTCCATTATATCATGTTTTTGCGTTCGAAAAACGACATTTCAACAACACTGTTGTGCGTCAAACGGTTATGCTAATCAAGATTAAAATTCTCAATCCTACCAAAGTGTTTTTAAACTGTTTACAAAAAACTACAATATGAAAATGATTGCAAAAACCAATGTTAAAAGGCTAAGTCAATAGAGACGAACAGTTAAATATAGGGATAAACAGTTAAATAACCTTTGTATTCAAACATCAAATAATCATATGTCACGTTAAAATTATTCAAATATCTACTTTTTACAATAATACTAAACAGTATATAAGCGAGATTACAGCACAATGCATTACTACTTTCATACAACACTAGCACCTTTCTGTTCTCATCAAGGTGATCGACTATGAACTCCTTGATTGTGTTTGGTATTTTTCTTATTAACTATTGTAATGCTGGGTTGTTAACTATTGTCAATCAGTGTGTGTTCCCGGTTGTCGTAGTTAAAACTGTTCCCGGAGGTACTCAAACAGCTCAATGCACGTTGGCTGCAGGAGGTGAATGTACACAAACTTTTACTGATGGAGCTATGAACTTTCGAAACGGTTTTGGGCCTGGTAATTTTATAGTATCTCGTTATAAAAACTAACAAAATATACTGGACAATGCTAACCATACCAACTCTATATGATAATTAGATGGAAAAATCATACTTACCTTAAGATTAAGAAAAGGCTTTAAATTTTACAGCTTTTTGCAAACCTTGTCATTTTAGGACACACTATTGCTGAATTTTCGTTTGGCTCAACAAATCCAGACGGAAACGATAACTATGCACTGAACGTTATTGAAGGTTTTGACATTGCTATGCAAATTATCCCACAAGATGGATGTCATGTAGCTGAATGTGATAATGCGTAAGGTTTTACTTTTAATCGTATTGGCCCCATTGTCTGAAAGAGCTTACGTGGAGTTTCTATATATCTCCATATTTTATATTGTAAGTTAAATAAAGTAATCCGTTGTTCCTCCGCGTTAGGCATATCATAAAACATAATTTTGTCAATTTTGTGAACTTATTCTGTTTTTCCCACGTCTTCTTCTATCCATCTAACGTTTTGAACATTCAATTCTACTAAATAACAAAATTATAAAATTAAAATAATAAAAGCAACAAAATTTTAGCGCCTGCCCAGACGCCTACCACAGTTCCGCCGACAACCATACTTATGGTGTTCCTGACGGAACTCCATTCATTCTTAACCTGTGTAACTTTGACGCCGTTACCGGGTTAGATAATTGCGCTCAAAAAACGACTACTACTGCTGGACCTGTGTCGACTAGTTTAACTATCAATAACAAGTGCAATGAACCGGTAACTGTTGTCAAAACGGTCATTGGTGGTACACAAACTACCCAATGTCAGCTTGCTGTTGATGCCTCTTGCACTCAATCTTACACTACTGGCGTTATGAACTTTAGAGATGGCTATGGACATGGTAAAAAATTTCGACAAATATTTATTAGTTTTCAATTTTTTTTATTTTTGCTATATTACAATAGCCATGTAAATGTATCGCTTTCTATAAAAAAACGGCCTAATGTATAATATGAAATAATGCCTAATATATCTACAGGACATACTATTGCTGAGTTTTCGTTTGGTAACTCAAACGGTAACACCAACTATGCTTTGAACGTAATTGAAGGATACGATATTGCTATGCAAATTATCCCAGAAGATGGTGGACATGTTGCTGAGTGTGGTAGTTCGTAAGTGAAAAACTGAAAATATATAACAAACAATTAACGTAATGAGTTAGTTCAACCAATCAGAAAATGTTTTTCAAGAACGGTCATTGTTTACAAGAAATTCTGTATACGTATTTTACCAAACATCCATTCAGAGATTGTACAGACGCCTATCACAGTTCAACTGACAATCGCACTTATGGCGTCCCTGCAGGAAACCCTATGGTTTTAAATTTGTGTGAGTTCGAAGTGATTACAACTACGACAGCTGCCCCTACAACTACTGCTACACCCACTACTAACCTGACTATCACTAACGAATGTACTCAAGCTGTTACCGTAGTAAAGACTGTATCAGGTGGCACACAAACTGTTCAGTGTCAGCTAGCTGCTGGAGCGTCCTGTAGCCAGACATACACAACTGGTGTTATGAACTTCCGCAATGGTTACGGCAATGGTAATACTTTTTGCCAATGACTTTAAGCTTTCAAAACCAAGTCTTGAAATTTTTGAAAAAATGTGTTATTTTTAGGCCATACAATTGCTGAATTTTCCTTTGGCAATTCAAACGGTAACAGCAACTATGACTTGAATGTGATCGAAGGCTATGACATTGCTATGCAAATTGTTTCAGGAAATGGTGGACATACTGCTGAATGTAACTCTGCGTATGTTCATTTTGAGAAAACTTGTAACTCAGCCTAGTCGCTAATTTGATATGATAAAACTTTAAGTTTAATACTATGTACAGCATCCGCTTACACAAAGTTTGTACCATGTATATAAAAAACTCACCAGAAAACTGTACCTAATGTTTGAAACACTTCAGAAGCTGCACTGATGCCTATCACAGCTCATCAGACAACAAAACTTACGGTGTCCCAACTGGAAATCCACTCACATTGAACTTGTGTTACCTTGGCTCATAATCATATAAGATAACATTCATACAAAGTTTATTCAGTAAAGCAAGATAATGTTAAAAGTTTTCGCATTGTTAAAAATGTCAAAATGAGTGTCAGGTCTGTCCATATTGTTATTTCTTAACAATCGTCGCAACAGCTAGTAGGGTTGGAAATCAAGGTGTTAGAGTTTCTTTGCTTGGCAATGCAAGCATTTATTCCTGATACACATGATGCACTACATTCTTTCTTTTGTTGACACTAAAAATGAATCTTATTGTTAATTCTAAACTAATTTTTTAAAATAAAGTTATGGTTTTTAAAATGTCACATTGTCCTTGTCTAACAAGTTTTAATATTATTGTTTTTTGACGATAAACATGCCATTTTCAATTCAGACTGAATCTTGTTTAGCAAAGTGTTTCTCTTGCTGTCATTGGCCAAAGCGGCTTTAACTTTGCTAGACATCGTGTTTACTTTATTGGTACACATTTCTCTAAAATTTAGCTTTATAACTTTTACTTCAGGATTATTTGAGTATGGGACCAACTAGGAAGCAACAAAAGCTTGCTTTTATTTTTTCTAAGACCATGTAACTTACTTCATGCTTTCACAGTTAATCACAACTACTAAAGCAAAAAACAGAGAAGCTACCATAACAATGTTGTAGAACTTCATATTGAATAACGTCGAGTATAGGGGTATACTGATTAATATGAAATTATAAATTTCTTTTATACCATCATTTTTTTTTATTTTTCATAGAACAAAAAACTAATTGGTTCGAAAAATAACACATGGTTCTAAAACCTTAATCTTTATTTGTATACATAACATTAATTACCATAAATTTTTTGTCTAATTTTATTACGAAAAAAATGATTATTGATTTACAGTTTTTTTCTTAAATAGTGTTTACGGTCTGTTTTTTTATAATAATGCTATTACAGCTTACAATTTATCAAGCCATTTTTAATCAAAGTGACACAGCCATAAATATTAGAAGATATTGTAGTCACTGGCTCCAATTTAAGTTCTCACATAGTTTTATCATACTCGTGGATCTGTTAACAAATACTGAAGAGATTGTTGGCAATTTTGTGTTGTTGAAGCGCGGTAATATATACAAACTTGGTGACACTGCTTAGAGTTTGAGCTTGAGATCTTGAACTCAACAGGCTCATTCTTGATCGACCAACTGCGTTTTTGCTAAATTCGGGTTGAAGAAAACCCCGTCTGGAGTGATCATAACCCCACGTTGAAGAAAACCCCTAATTTAGATGCTTTATTACTTATGATACTATTTAGTACTATTTTACAAATTGAGCAAATAAAGTAAAAAATTGGCGCTAGGACAAATGCGGTTTTTGGACATTTGCGGATTTTTTAAAGGTTTTTTTAAATTTTTAGTTAATTTAGTTGTATTATGGTATTAAATTGTACTAAAGTTTAAATTGGTGCGGTTTTAACATAACAGTACCTTTTTGGGCTTTTAGTAACATTCAGTACCAAAAAATATAAAACAGTACCAATTTAAAATTTAGTACTATTTAGCACTAAAACATGTTAAAACAGTACCAATTTACACTTTAGTACCATTTAGTACCATAATACAACTAAATTAACTAAAAAATAAAAAAAACCCCCTTTAAAAAATCCGCAAATGTCCAAAATCCGCAAGTGTCCAAAAACCGAAGATCCGCAAGTGTCTAAAAACCGCAGATCCGCAACTGTCCAAAAACCGCATTTGTCCTAGCGCCAAAAAATTGGTTGTTTTTGACCAAGTTGAAGGTGCTGAGTCTGACAAAAACACTAATTTTATTTTTGGTGCTCCTTATGGTGCTGTATGGTACTAAATAGTACTATAAGCACCAAGCATCTAAATCGGGGTTTTCTTCAACGTGGGGTTATGATCAACCCCGACGGGGTTTTCTTCGACGCGGGGTTTTCATCGATCTGGACGTTTTTGCCATTATCTCTCACGCGTAGCTGCACTTCTAGTTTATTACGATAATCTGAGCCCAGCTCCGCCGTTATAACTATAAATGTCAAAATATTTTCACAACTACGTTGTGTCACTCCGACTTTTGAGAAAATCCGTAAGTTTCATCAGAGTCTTGCACCCTTTTTTAATTTTTTTATGTATATTTTTGGCGTTTGGGCTACTTTTTAGTGATCGAAAATAGGTTATATTGCTCACAAAATAAGTTAAATTTGTTTACATAGACAGATTAGTTAATATTGAATTTTGAACTTTTATAAATCCGAATTTGTTTGAATAGCACAAAAAGTTTATTCCATAACATATGGCAATTTGTTCAATGTAAGAGTTTGTTTGGTGTTTTTAATTTCAAAGCGGCAATCAGAAGATAAAGCTTTGCGATTAGCAACTACTGCAACATCCAGCAGGGTTGGAAATGACGGTAGAGGAGGCTCTTTGTTTGTCCAAACACGCGTTTATGGCCGTGGCACATGCGTCATTGCATGAGTTTTTGGGAGTGCACTAAAATTTTAGAATCAAATTAATTTTTATTTAAAAAATTAGGGTAAAGTGAAGAAAGGTGGTGTAGAATAGGGATAGGGCAAGGGCTAATTCTACGGCTAGGGCTAAAGCAAGCGTTAATGCTAAAATATTCTTACTTCTTGCTGAACCTTAGCTTTCAACTTGTCTACGAAGGCTTGTCTCTTTTGGGTATTGCCAACGATTGGCTTCAATTCAGAAGCCAACATGTTGGCATCATTTGTGCACATAGTCCTTAAAATTAAATTTTATAAAAAAATATTTACAAGACGTCAAACAAAATCAAAAGATCATCATAAAAGGCTTAAAATTCAAACTTTTCAAAGCTTACTTCATGTCCTCAGCCTGACTGAAAGCAACAACGGCGACCAATACAACAAAAGCCAAAAGAGCACTGTAGAACTTCATCTTCTTCGATTGACAAACAAAGAGTATACTGATGATATGATCGTCTAACTTTTCTTTTATACCAAAAAATTAGGTTCAACTTTTAAAAAATGGTAATAAAATTTGTGTTAATCTTATTAATTTATTATAATCTATATTATTGTTTTTTGGTTTTTAGTTTATATAATATATTATTGGGCTGACACGTGCTGGTTAGACTAGACGTAATAGAAGGTTAATATATGGTTTTTGATTAAAAGTTTATATTAGTTATATTAAATGGTTGATCTCAAAATAAAAGGTGCGTTGAGGCAGGAGCTTTATACTAACACTAAGGCTAAAGCTAAGGCAAGGCTAATTCTATGAAATTTAAGAGAAAACACAAGGAAATTAAGAGAAAAAAATCAAATCTAAGGAAGTTTTTTTAATAATAAAAAAGAATTCATGCAATAATTCCGTTGCGTTGTATAAAATTATGGACTATTATGATAGCCTTAGAGAAATTACAAAAAATCGTATGACACAACGTTTATTATGTAATTTTTATGATTTTTGTAATATTTGCCTCGATGTAAAACGACCCAACAAATTACTTCGAGTACTCGGATCTTCTGTTGTGTCAGGTGCTTCTGGGGATGAAACATTAGATACTTGTTTGATCGTTAGATAGACTTAAAACTTTTCTTTCTTACTTTGTATTACGACACACTGGCACCACTTAGAGCTCGTTTTTGTATGACAACCTTTCAAACTTTGCTTCGCCTCGGCCTAGTCCTTTGCTTCGGCTCGGCCTAATTCTTTTCAGAGCTAATGGGCAACTTTTGTTTGATAATTTTATTTTTTTTTGGTAATATAGATAGAAATTCAAATAAAGTAAATTCATGTGAGATGTTTATTATTAATTTACATTATTATTATATTATATAATCACGGTTTCGAATTGAAGTCGTTTTATCAAGAACTTTATGATAAATGGCAATTAGCATTGACTGCAACAAGAGTCAATGTTAGAGATGAGAGTTGCCGAAGCAGCTTGTTCATTCAGGCAGTTGATGGCAGTGTTAGCGCAGGCTGTGTTACAGATTTTCAGGCTGGCACACTAAATGACATTTTTAGAATTTTTTTATAAAATATTTTTTTAAATTTTTGAACTTTTTTTTGAATCAGTTAGGGCGGAGTAGCGAGGAATTAGAAGGGTAGGAAAAACCAAAAAAATTGCTTTGCTAATCTTACGTTGCTTTGAATGAGAGACTTGGCCATAGATGCATATTGTTGACGAGTGGCTGCGTTGGCCAAAAGGTCTTGATTTTCTTTTAGGTAAGAAACGGCTTCGTTACAGTATTGACTAAAAAAATTATTAAACATAGATTTTAGTTTTTAAAAAAGTACTTTTTAGCTTTAGCCTGAGCTTTAGTCTTAGCCTTAGCTTTATCTTTAGCCTTAGCCTTAGGTAACACTATTTATTTTTAGCCTAGCCTCACCCTTGTCTTACTATTTATCTACCTTGCCTCCGCCTTGGCTTTACTTTATTGAGTACTGTAACTTACGCCGCACTTTGACCATAAATCTCAATAGCCATGAAAGCAGCAACAGCAACAAAGACGACAACGGCAGTGCTTAATTTCATTTTTATAGTTTAGTTTTTAAGATATATTGTAGTAATAACTGTAATCTACACTCTATATTTGATGAATATATCAAGAATCGCTAACCCTTTTATACTTTACTAAGGCGATGATTGTTGACGTTTGGCTTACTTTAATATGTAAATATATGTGTTTTCTGTTTTTTGAAATTTTTCGTGAAATTAGTAATCGCAGTAAAAAGAGAAGTGGAAGAGTTAGCTGCTTTTTTTCGAATTTTTAAATTTTTATGGTAATACTACGTTCGGATTTGCTGAACACATACATTAGTAATCAAAAAGGAACATTTAAATATGGTTTTTGTGGTTTGTTTTTTTTTGTGAATTATGAACAGTTCAAAACGTGCTAAACTGTTAGGGTTTGGACAGGTCACTAAATACAGAAACATTTCATTTCTTTCAATCCAAAATTATATTAATAGCTACAATCAGTGTTTTGCCGGATGGGACCGAACCTAAAAAGTTTGAGTCTGGACCAGTCCGGACCCAAAAATTTGAAGTTTAGGCCGGACCGGTCTTGAAAATTGCTAAACAGGGCCGGTGAAAAAAGCTCCGGACCGGTCCAAGCAACAGGACCTACAGCCAAGGCCATTTTGGTTGTAGTTGTAGCTATGAACAATAGTGCAAGCTAACTTTAACTTTTTTTTTCAAATTGGTTAATGCTGGGAAATTTCCACTTTTTGAATGCCATTAATTTGCAGTGCATTTTTCAAGGTTTGTTTAAGTTTACACTGTAACCCAAGGATTTTTTTTTAAAATATTGTTTTTTTACAATAAGGCATCCAAAGTTTCACTGTAATTTATTGTCTACAGAAAAGGGACTCTTTGTTTACAGTAAAATTAAACGTTTTTTTTGGGTAGGGCAAGATTACTTTAAGTGCCAGTAACTTCAACCAGGCTGAGCACATGTTAAGCCTTAGGTCATGGTTAAACCTTGGTTAAAGCTAAGACTAAGCTTAAGGATAACGCTAAGGTTAATGGTAAAGCTAAGACTAAATCTAAAATTAAGGCTAAGGCTAAGGCTAATGCTAAGGCTAAGGCTAAGGCTAAGGCTAAGGCTAAAGTTTTATAACATGTATTAAAATGTCCTTTCACCAGCCGTTCACTTTGTTCACAACGAAACATTAAGACCGTTCGAACGGCAAAAAAAACAATAAGTTTAATAATTGTTTCCACTTTACAACTTTTGGAAAAAATAACATTTACTCTGTCAATTATTTAAACGAAAAACTATTGACCGAACAAAACAGTCCGCGGCTGAAGAGTGCAAAAGAAATAAATGGGATTTCTTCGCAGGTCAAGAATGTTCCGACCGAACGTTGAATTAATTTTTTAAATGTGACGATTGCGCAGTTTTAAATGGATTTAATGGGAGTGAGGGAGATTAAAAAACATTTGTTTTAGTTAAAAATGTTTTATTAGTTACATTTATAGCTAAAAGTAGTCCTAGCCTAGGGCCCTAGCCCAAAGCCCTAGCCCAGAGCTCTAGCTCAGAGTCCTAGCCTAGAGCCCTAGCCCAAAGCCCTAGCCCAGAGTCCTAGCCCAGAGCCCTAGCCCAGAGCCCTAGCCCAGAGCCCTAGCCCAGAGCCCTAGCCCAGAGCCCTAGCCCAGAGCCCTAGCCCAGAGCCTTAGCCCAGTGCTCTAGTCTAGAGCCCTAGTTTAGTGCCCTAGCCCAGAGTCCTCGCCCAGATCTCTAGTCCAGATCCCTAGTCCAGAGTCCTAACCCAATAGTCCAGAGCTCTAGCTTATAGTTTGGCCCAGATCCATAGCGCATAGCTCTAACCTAGACCCCTAGCCGAGAACCCAAACCCAAAATCCAGATAACTGACTAAAGCTCTACCTGAAGCACTAGATCTATCTACACCTTCTTAAACTTTATTTTAGTCCAACCCTAGCTGTATTCTTAGCTTTGTTTTTAGCCACTTTTTAATTTTACTACAGCTTTTTTTCTAGTCTTGCTTACGCTTAACATTACCCCCTTCAAAGCCCTACCCAATTCTGTCATTTTTACTTCTTACTGCCTAAATCACCATTGCCAAAGTTGTATTTTTCGACCCTCCGAACACCCCACCATAATTATCCTTAACTGATCCGCCTAATCGGGCTTAGAGGAGCTCGAAAGGCGAAATAAATTCCGCGTCTTTTGTGAATCCGTTTCATCATTTTTGTCGATTTTTCTCCTGTTCGAAAAAGCCAACGGTGCGAATCGCGGGGCGATCGAAGCGTTTCGGAAAGAAGCAGATCAATAAAAATTGTACATGTATGGGTAAAAAAAGGTCGCGCATCTCCTCGATTTTTTTCGCTAGATCACATTACACGGCTAGCCGGGTTAATGTTTTGGGCTTATTTTTTGGGAGAAGGAGAAGAGACTGGGGGAAGAATGAAAGGAGGGGTTGATTATGCTTAAGTAAAAATATGTAAAGGCAGGCCTAGGTTGGGCTAGGACAGGGTTAAGCTAAGGCTAAAGTTATATCAAAGCAGGACGTGAGAAGATGTAGATAGGACTAGGTCATGGCTAGGATAAAAACAGGGAAAGACTAGATTAAGACCAGATTAAAAACAAGGAAATGCTAAAGTACTGCAAGGGTAAGCACAAGATAAGTCTGTGATAGTGTAAGGTGAGGCTAAAGTATTATCAAGGGAAGGGCAGTCTAGGTCTATGGTAAGAAATAGGTAATGTCTTACTAAGGCTAGAGTAACACCAGGGTAGGGCTAGGCTAGGGTAAGATTAAAGAATGACTAGGCTTGGGCTAGGATAAGGCCAGGGTTAGGCTAGGCTAGGGTAGGATCAAAGTAGTGCCCGATTAGGGCTAAGGTATAGCTAAATTAGGACCATGCCAAAGCTAGAGTAAGAACAAAGTTAAACAAGTCCACGGTATGGAGAGTAAAGCAAAAATAATTTTTGTATTTAAAAATGTCTTTTTATGTAAAATACGTACTGTTTTGTTGTATGCCCATAAATGCGAAAATTTTTTTTTAATTGTAAATATTAAAAAAAACTTCGAAATTTATTTTTACTAATTACAGAGCAATATTACTGAACTTTTTGATCATATCAAAATTTTCATTAGTTTGTCATAAATCACTCTTTGAAACTCTTCTATTGCTATAAATTTTTCGCTTTTAACGAAATAATGGAAAACTTTGTAACGACCTCCATTACCCAATTTATGCGTTTTGCAAAAAACACGCGGTTTTAGTCAGAAAGTACTAATTTTTAAGTTTTTAAAAAATTTTTTTATTAAATTTTGTGTTTTTTAAATTTTTGTGTTAATTTTTTAATTTTAAATTTTTTAAAATTCAAAAACTTTAAAACTGCCACATTTTGTTATACAAATGTAACGCGGTAGCGCAGTTACTTAGGCGAGTATCTTGTAAACAGAGCAATTATGTTTTTTTTTCGATTTTACTCTGCCTTCAAAATAAAGTATTACCTTGGGAAAATAATCGTATTCTGCGGTGGATCAGCTGTTCAACGGCTTTCTGGAGCTCGCTAAGGAGATGAAGCAGACTTATGGCTAGGTTAAGGGGTAGGGATTTGAAGCAGCGTGAGGTTTTTATTGGGTAGGGTCAGGGAGGTTAAAAGTTGAAAACACAGTAGTTCTTGAAATAATACTGAGCCCCGAAGTGGTTGAGTAATGAAGGGGCGAGGTTGGAATTTTTTTTTTTCTCAAATTAAGCAGAGGGAAACATGCTAAATATTTCTTAAAAAAATTTTTTAGGTTAGGTTAGACGTGTAAAGGAGCGGGTTCAGACCCATTTTTTGGCATTGGTTTAGGCCCTGGACCTCAAGCTCATGAGTGCCGGCTTGGCTGTTTTGAAAATTGTTTTGGCCAGACCCTGGTGTAACCATTTTCAAGTCTAAGTGGGGCCTATATTTTTATTATGAGTTGTCCTTTATTGTTTAGAGGTTCATACAATAGAAATAATCTACTCTTTTGCAATTTCGAAACATTTTTTCGAATTGATGACGTTTGATCAATTAGTCGACGTATTAATTACTCAAACAACAAAAGGAATTCCGTTTACTCGCTCCACAGTGTTCCAAACTGTTTTTATAGGCGGTTTGCTCTTTTTTACTTTGGTTTTTATATTATTTTTGCTGATTTTCTTAAAGTTGTTGGGGTACTAATATGTTTATATTATACATACGATTCATGAAAGGCTGTTTGTTAACGTTTTAAGGAAAAAAACAGTGAATAAACAAAGTAATTTTAAATAGGGCTAAAGTTAAGAATAGGACAAGGTTTGATCAAGGCTAGGGCAATACGAGCACAAGGCTAGGACAACGCTAGGGAAATGCTAAGGCAAGGCTAAAGCAAGACGAGGGCAAGGCTGGGGCAAGGCAACGGCTATGGCTATCGCTTGGGCTAGAGCAACGGCAAGGCTTACTGTCAGGGCTAAGATAGGGTAGAGATGTTACGCAACCCTATGAAAAAGTAATTGTAAGAGTTCTTTTTGTTGTTTTTTTTTATTTTGTTATTGAGAAACCTGTTAAGTACTCTCAACTTGTTTTTCTTTACAAAACTTGCTTTGTATAAACTTTTTCTGTGAGTGTGGAAGAATATTTTTATTATTTTATACTTTATCATAGTGATTTCAATTTTTTCTGTTTCTTACAACGAGAGTTTTTATAACTAAAGTAGCGTGTTCTTTATAGCTTTACAAAAAGTTAACTGTACTTTTACTTTTTTAATGTTGTATTCCTTTGTCCTTACACATTCTCCCACACAAACAATATTTTTCTAATCAAAAAGTTTTGTATCAAATCGAGTTTGCGTCTTGGAGACGCGACAAAACGCCCTTAAAACGGTTCGACATCAAGGTCGTCGTGATCAGTTCATTTCACAAAAATCTCATCGCTGCGGATTTTCAACCTTATTAAGTCGGATGGAGGCTGGATTTTAAGGCTTTTTGCTAATTAGGAACAACAACGTCTGTTTATGCTTTTAAGGGGTTTTCTGAAGATATTAGGCTTTGGGGTGGGGTAAGAAGAAAAGTTTAGATTTAGGTAAAAAATGGTGATTTTAAGTTTTTCAATTAGCTATATGTTTACTGTTTTAATAAAAAAAATCTCGCCCTAGCCCCAACTTTAGCTCTAGCTTTGAACCTAGCCCTAGAAATAGCCCTAGCAATGGCTTTAGCTCTAGCTTTGGCCTTAGCCCTAGAAATAACCCTAGCAATGGCGTTAGCCCTAGCTCTAGCATTAGCACTGGCCTTAGGTAACACTGTCACGTTATATTAGAAACTAGGTAATTGTGTTAAAACCAAGTTTACCAGCATTTATTTACGACAACAAAAAGATTTTGGTTGCTAATTTGATTTTGTAAACATGTTGACAGTGGGTTAATGTAATGTCATTTGATTCCCATTGTCGTTCGCTCAACGTCATTTTTTAAATGTATTCAACAAGGGAATGACTTTATTTTAGTTAATCTTTATTTTATTGACTTCATTTTTTAATTTTTCAGTTTTATTTATTTTTGCCGTTTTTAAATTTTTGGGCTCAATATCACTTTGTTTAATAGTCTTATATTAAAAGCTGACATAAAGAACCCGCCATACTTTGCCTGCAATTTCCTGTAAAAAATGGCGGGATCTTTACATATGTTGGCACTTAATAGTACTAAATTTTAAAAAGCTATAACCTCAAAGTACCGGTTTTAAAAAGAAAAACGTTTTTAATTTTAAAAATGTTAGACATGCTTTTCAGCAAAAACAATTTGTTCATCCAATTGAAATAACGTTGAACTTTTTCGAAATCTCAGTAGTGACAAGGTTGATAGTTGACCCATTTTAAAGTCTCTCAACTTTAAGTGCATCTTTTATAGTTCTTCACAGGAAGTGGGTTCGATTTGCGATGGTATTACTAGGCTAACTTTCAATCTTTCTTGTTGTTAGCCATTTTTTATTAGCCCTAGGCTAGCCCTTTTAACTTGTAATAACATCGGGAACAAAAACGTGGTGTATCGTTTTATACAAAACAATATAGCCTATCTTATCATGTACAATAACACTGTTTATCGTTTTATATACATACAATACTATAGTGTATCATATCGTGAACTATACTATACTGTACCATGTTTGGAACCCCCTTATATGCAATGTAAACTCAAACTTTTTAGTCAAAGCTCGGGTGTGATGAGCACTCAGACGGAGGTGAGGCAACGACAGCCAAAACCCGAAAACGTAGCGACGACGTCTAATGGAAGTGTAGCTCAAAGCTCCGAAACTTCATCCGACAATGACTGGGAAATTGTCGGAAAAGCTAAGGAAAATCATAATGTAAGCCTACGGTTCTATTTTTAAAACTTTTGCATGCTAAATACGCAATCCGTATTTTACATCTTACGATTAGACCTATAAAAGCCCAATCTTTCGTTGCAGGACCTAATAAACCCCGGGACCTTCAAATTTACTTAATATAGGTCTCTCTTAGCTTATTACTGTAAAACCCAAAAAAATAGTATACCGTTCATAATGAACGCCATGTTTAACTCTAACTGATTTACAGACCGACATGACAGCCTATATCCGACCCGTCCTCAAGCAATTCATTCCATCAACGTATATCCGCAAAAAAGTCCCGTCCCGCTTCTATCGCGGTCTCTGTACAACAATGGCCATATTCTGGTTCGTCATTGGTGTTCTCGTGTTAAGGAAAACCGAACGTGCCACAACCGCAGTACGATACATTAAAGAGCATGGCCATACGGTTGGCTTGGACACAATTGAAAGATCTTCAGAATTTGCGGAACTTATCAATACTCTTGACAAGGAATTCACACGGCCGCCTGCCATCTTCCTTTTGAATCAATATGCTTTGAATATGACATTCAATTTCTTGTGTAATACACAAGAGTTTGAAGGTGCTCATGAGAGGTTTATCTTTGTTACACTTGATCATGTTGCTAGAGATACATTGAAAGAGTACTGGCCAAACATTAGGCAGTTTTATTGGCCTACTCCTAGTTTATATGTAAGTTTGTTTGATGAAGCCAAAGTACTAAACTATATGTGCTTTAATAATTCACTACGATGTTGAAAGAGTGTTCTGTACATAACGTAAAATTCGCCTTTAATGTCTAATTAAACACGAAATTTATGTTGCCATTTCCTCTCATAAACTATCATTGGTTGAATAATTTTTCCCTTTTTAGAAGCCATTCTCCTTTGCCGAAGGCCCGTACCAAACAATTTATCTTCTCCGTGCCAACATCGGCATCGCCATGCTGAAACGAGGAAAATCGTTTTGGATGATGCAACAAGACACATTCTGGAGAAGAAACTTGTTTGAGCTAAACTTGGAAGATGACCATTCATTCGATGGACTTTTTGACCAAATTGGCAAAGACGAAACTAGCCAGCGGGCTGAGTGGGTCAATGGTAGGATTAATATTTGTGTCTTTAGGTCTTATTAGTATTCGTCAAAGTTTATGTTAACTACATTAACTAAAAACCTCAACTTTTTCTTTAGCTTTCTGAACCTAGTTATAGCCCTAGCACTAGATCTACAATTGAAAAAAATTCTTTAGGAGCCAACTTCTTTATCCATGCCAACAACTACACGTTAGAGTTCTTCGAGTCAATGGCTGGAAAGCTGGCTCATTGGTATGCGCCTGACATGGGAATTATGATTCATCAATGTCACACATGGGGTAGACCCAAGTGCCAATATATCTCACACAAGTAAGCCTAAAACTATCACTTTTTGTTGCCTATATTCCAAAAAAGATTTTTTTAATAACTAAACGCAATAATTCAGTACATGACTTCGTTGTTGACGACATAATTCATAGTCTAAAAACGTTTTTATAAACATTTTTTATTTACAGAATCGGCCACAGCTGGGAGTGGATGTACACAGACCAGAAAGACCCACCATACATTCTTCAATTAGACTGTGAGACTGACGGTGGATCAAAGCTTCAACAATTAGCTCGTTTTGGGTTCTACTTTACAAAACCAGACGGTCGTACGTGCAATCCAGAAGCTGTACGTAAAGCTAAAGAACGCATGGACAAAGGCCAAGTTAAAGTTGATGATGAAAAAAGTTGGTTAACGTTAAGTTGGGGACGATTTCAATTTCGACTATATTGGTGGCTGGTAGATCACATGCTAATGACACCTATTATTGGACCTATGCTCAAGCCATACTTGCCTTTGGTGGGGTATATTCTTATGATTACTATGTAGAGAACTTATCAAGTTATTTTTAAGTCTTCTACTGCATTTTTACTAACATTTCTCTCTGCCAAAACCGTATTTAAAGCTGCTCAGTAACTGTCTTACTTATAGGCCTTCGTTATATAGTATTATAGTGTTTATAGACCTCTTCAAGTCCGATAATCAACAAAATTTTTAATAGTCCCGTCATATTATACGTTAAGCGTCTTGCATTTTTGTTTAATTTTTGCATTTGAATCATTTCGTCTTTAATCAAAACTTTCTTTATAACCAATCGTCTTCATATCGCTGTCAAATTCACAATTTTGATTCGGGTTAGTAAACTTTTTGCGTTTTGAAAATTGTATTAAAACTTTTATCGCACCCATTAAACTTTCAATCATATTGTTTACATTGTCTGAGAGTAGTAGTTCACGTGAAGTTTTGTTTAACATATATGGCTGGAGACTTATACTTCAAATTTTTTTTTCTCAAAAATATTTTTTTCAGCGAAGACCAAAAAATGGCGCAGGAAAACACAAAATTCTGCGCCGTTTTAAAAAGAGAGCACACTAAAACGAGAGACACGAGAGAAAAGACTCTCTCTCTTTCAAACGATATTTTTTTCAAATGGCGCAGGATTCTGTATTTTTCTGCGCCATTTTTTAATTTTCACTAAGAAAAAAAATATTTTTGAAGAAAAAGATTTGAAGTATAAGTCCCCAGCCATATATCATCATATTTTATTTCGTAAGTTAAATAAAGTAATCCGTTATAATGCTGGAGCGTTTTATATTGTTTATCATAATATCATTGAAGCCTTTACCCTAAACAAAATGTACGTAGTCAAACTGTAACTGCTGGAGCTGAAAGTAAGTTTCGTCTGATTGATACAACTGACTAACTAAAAATGTAAAGATTGTGACTAATAAATTTATTGTTATTAAAACAACATAGTGAAAGAACAATGTCATAAAATACGTTTTCTTTTTGGCAGAGTTAAGTTGAGAATCAGAAGGCACTCGTTTGTACAAAACAACAGTTTTCGGTGACACAAAAAGATGCGAAATAGTTTTAAAAATTTACAAAAATGAGAAAGTGAAAACTATAGAGAAATAAAATACGAAGTTCTATAATGATATACAGATATCATACTGAGCATTGAAATTCAGTAAATGACAGAAAAATGAAAGCTTATCACTACTTTTCATACAACCTCGAATTAAAACAATACCTATATAAAAGTATAAAGACAACAGAAAATAAATAGAGATTGATACTCAAAAAAGATAATTTAACCCAGTTTAAAAGTTTTAAAGCCCTTTGTAAATAACAATGTCATAGAAAATAGAGAAAAAGTAAATAACATTACAATAAACTGTCAAAAATAAAAAAAAAAATAAGTAACAATACAATAACTTTTATACAAGAAACAATAAGTAACTTACGAAACAATAAATTAAGTGAATCCCGCTGGGTACTACAATAATAAACTTTATATACACCATACAATGCTCTTAAGACCGCCGACAACATTTTTTAAACAAAAACGTTAAAAAGCACGTTCAAAGCATAATCGAATAATAACATTAGATACATCAGACAAGTCTTAGATCATGAAATAAACAACGAATCGAAGAATCCTGTACAGACATATTTATATTACACCAGAGATAAACCTCGTACAGTATATTACACTAAATCTACATCTTCTACACCATATTCCTCTAGATCCATCGGTGCAATATGTCGTACAAAACCTCTACAATATATTACACAAGACGTATATCCCAAAGATGACTCTTCAACTAAAAATCTATGCCCTAGATTGAGCTGTAGATCTAGCAAATGGTACATTGAGAGCTGTCGAATGTGTTTGAGAATCTTTTGATTGGGTTCTTTTTCGATTTGACCGATGATTTCGGAGATTTGGTACTGTAGAATGAGACGGATTTTGATTTAGGGGGCAATTTGTAGCCATTCTTCGGTAGTGACACTTGTTCTTCTTCGAATACCTGAAAATTGAGACAAATTTCCTTCCACAATAGTTTACTGTAAAAACCCTTAATCCCCCAAAAACTCCTCGTTTCAATCCTTACCGGACTCTCAAATCTCTGTAATCTGGTCCTATTTTCATCTTTTTCAAAGATTTTTTCGGCCGACAAGATTTCGCTGCCTTCTTCAGCATCTGAATACTCAGATTCTGAATTCAAAGTTTCATTCTTTCGTGCCGCTTTCTCAATATCCATCAGAAACAGGTCTTTGTTCAAGGATTCATCCGATGCTGTGATGTTCACATCCTGTACTGATTGTAGGTGACTTGATTTTGAAGTGGATTTTGTGAATTTCATGTCGTAGTCTCTGGAAATGAATAAAGGATTAGTAGGGTATGGTAAGGCAGGAAAGAGAGGGTATGGTAGAGTAAGGTAGTGCAGTGCATGGAAAAACGGGAAAGGATAGGAATGTTAGAGTAAGGTAAGGTAGGGTAAAGGTAAGTCATACTTTAATGTAGGATACAGTAAAGAAGGGTAACTTTCGGGCACAGTCCGTTGCAACTTTAACTCAAGACCGGTCCAGCCCGTTTCCCACCAATATCCCTCAAAAAAAATTCCCTACCTAAAAGTCATTGTAATTCTTCCCTGAAGCTCTCTCTGCTCTCCCAATCCCAATGTAAATGATCTTTTTGATACTTTATGCAACGGAGGGCTTCTATTACAGTTAGTCGTCGGAGTAAACAGTAGTTGTGGCATGCTTCTACACCTTTTGATGCTAGACTTCCTTGAATTTGACGTTGTGTTTAGTGATTCTGAGTCCTCGGGTTCGAGAATCGGTTCGTTTTCGGTTGGCTTTGAGTTGAATTTTCGGAGGAAATTCAAGTCGCCTGGCTTGATCTTCCTCATTGATCGGTAGCGATCGTGTTTTGAGAAAGGATTCATCGATGATTCCTAAAAATATAATTGAAATTTAAACTTGCAGAGAGCGTATTTTACAAAAACACAGCTTAATTTAAAAATTTTTCGTTTTTTGAAAAAAAATTTTAATCTCCCTCCTCCCCCTCTCAAAAAAACTCTCCCCCGCCTACCTGATAATCCGGATCCTCTTCGGCCACATGTTTAGCCAACTGCCTTAACCGTTGATCAAGATCCGCACTGCTTAAGCTGGCATTCTCGTCGACCGGAGTTGATGGTTCTGTATCCAACGTCACTGATACTGTCACGCCCTCTGGGATCGAGTTCTCTTCGCATAGGAATCGTTTCGATGGGAACGGTGGGATTACTGCTGGGCGAATTTCGGCGTCCGAGTGAGATCGGCCGATGCGGATTTGATCGGTTAGGGTGTTTTCGAGGAGTTTCGGGAGATCAGTACGTACTATTTCTTTCAGCCGCCGGTATAGGTCGCCGAATGAGGGACGGGATTCGGAGTTCCACTGAAAATGTCACAAATGGTTTCAAAGTTAAAATTATAAGGGTTTTCAGTACAAAATTGCAAAAAAGGTTGTAGTACCCTCAGTTTTCTTCAAGAGCAAAATTGTTACCTAAAATCATTTAAAAAGCCACAAAATCCACATAAAAACCCTTCTACAGCCAATTTAACAATATTTTTTCAAAAAAATTCTAAAAAATCTTTTTAAAAAATCAAAGTGAAAGCAAAGGTAGAAAATTTCGTTCGACCGATCCCCTACCACAATATTGCCCATAAAACCCCGCAAAACTGACCAAACAACACAAGAAAGCCGTCTTCAGAAGACTCAACGGAGTGTCAGAAGGACAATGTGCTGTGAACCGAACATAATCCAAACCAAACGATGGTGTTCGATATAGTCCAGCATCGTGATCAGCGTCTAGCCGAGCGATCATTTGACAGCAAATAATGCCAAATGAGAACACATCGGCCTTCTCATCGTAGAATCGTTCCATCAGCATTTCTGGAGCCATCCAGTTCTGAGTACCGACTTGTTGTTTGATTTCACCCTTCTGAGGTGTTTTACATGATAAGCCAAAGTCGGCGACGATGGCTTTGGGATGAGATCGGTATTGAGATTGAAGGAGAATGTTCTGAAAAAAAACATATTGTTTTAGGTCTTAAAATTATGCCAAAAGAGCACTTAAAAGCCTTCAAAAGACACACAATATTATTTATACAAGATTTTAGCCCCAAAGATTGTCATTTTATGCCTTATAACCTTAATATCTCCCTCATTTAACCCTTAAAACTTTAATTATATTGCTCTGAAGCTCCTTAAACATCTCATACTCACCATGCTAGTCAAATCCCGGTGCATAAAGCCCTTTCGATGCACAAAATCCATCGCTGAACAGATGTCAAGTGCAATATGGCATCGATACCACCAATCGAACTCAATGCTTGTGTTCAGTATCGTCTGTTGTAGACTCCCAGAATCACAAAAGTCGACCAGTAAGTTCAATTTCCATTCAGCATCACATTGTTGTACACAAATTCCCCTCGTTTTTAAGATATTCGAATGTCTCAGCGTTCTTAACATGTAATATTCGTCCGATACTATCTTTTTCGCTGTTGATCGGCTTTGGTTACCGGTTATTACGGGTTCTTTCATCACTAAGACCGGCGTTGGGCCATGTTTTCCGTTGTGAAGACGTTTTTCGCGGACCTGAAAGAAAAAATATGTTATCCTTAATGAAAAAAGTTGATTTTTAATAATTTCGTGTCAAAAACTTGATTTAGATGTCGGTTTACATAATAAAACAATTATTTTGGCGAAATGCGTCACAAAACACTCCAAATCTCAGTCTATTACAACAAACTTAATTTTTTTATAGGTATACATACACTTTTCTTGATTGTGACCTAAAAACACAACAAAACCAGCAAAAAACTTACTTTATAAGCGACTCCAAAAAAGCCTTTGCCTAAAACTTCAAGGATTTCAAAATCCTCAACGTATTTTAAGATTCCGACGGCTTTTACCGATGATCCAACCTTCTTATTCTTGACCAACTTCAACGATGGTGGTCTTGGCGGGTATTCAATATGACACACATTTTCGTTTTTCAGTGCTTGGGCTGAGGTTTCGGCCAACATTTCGTCGTCTGCTGGGACCATTAGGTCGTTACATCTGAAAAAGTTGTAGATTAGGAGGGTTGGTCATGGTAAATATAAAATTTTAGGTAACAATTTTTTTTGTCGATAAATAAGTAGGAAATAGAAATGAAAAACCTATAAACCAATTAAAAAATTTTATCCCAATAACAGTATTCCACGCAAAAGACCAAAAGTTTCTGCATCCAAACCCGAATAAAGAACATTGTTCAAGTTCATAATCAAATTTTTCACTCCGAATAATCGCACAAAACCCTATTTTTCGCTATTCCCGAGCGAGAGCACAAGAACCGTGATAATAGTCATAAGCCCTTCACATTCCTCATCGAAAAACCTTCCATGAAGTATGAATATTTAGTTTTGACTATGATGTGTTTGGTGATGTCAATGATAATATCATTTTTTTCTGAGCAAAAACTTTTAAACAAAATCAACAAAGTGTCAAAACTTTGAATATACTACTATCGTAATTCCTTTGATCTTCATTTCTTAACACTATTTAATTTCTAGTTTGTTGTTTTTGCCCACTACTTTATCATAAGGGAACAAAAGATACCTACTTTTGTGATGTTGTTGATTGCATTCGAATAATACTTTCACACGTAATAGCTACCATGCTATATTAATGCCATTTGATGTTATCTGTAACATACCAGATATTTTTGAATTTAAAAATCGAGGCAAATTTATATCGCGAACAGTACAATAATAACCTCTCAAAGTAAAAAAATCAGCATAGCCCCCCTCTGCAAAAAATTGTACGCCAACACTAACTATGTTTATCAATAAAGAATCAAGAGTCAAATATTCAGAAGCAACATCAACATTAAAGACCGATATCTCAAAAATCAGCGAATAGTAGGCAACTTCCTCACATCATATGTCAGTCTGTTTCAAATAACGTCAATGGTGGGCAATGTTCAGTCACACCAACTGATAGGAACGTTACTGATAAGCCAAAAATTTCAAAATTTCAAAGACGAAAAGCAATTAGAATCTTCGTACACTGTGAGGAATGACAGAACTATTAACTACAGTAAAAAACACCAATATTTATATACACGATAAATGAATTTAAAAATCCTGTTGATAGACTTAAAAATGTTACAATATTTTTACCTACTATGACACTTAACGAGGAACTGATCCCATTACAGTAAGTCAATATAAATCAAAACACTCAGTTTCAGTAAAATGACGGCCCAAATGTCACATGGGCTTAATCGCGGGAGCTTTGTCGTGTCAAAAAAAGTGCAAAGCTTTGCAAAAAGATGGTGTTAGTAAACAAACTAGTTGTTAAAGAGTATAAAGAATAGTAATGATCTTTTGCATTAGTAATATAAAAAATCACTAATTACTTCAATACATGGTATAAAACAGTGTACTAAAAGATAAAAAGACTGCTGAATGACACAAAGAGAAAAGATGACAACAGTAGTTTAACAGAATTTTGAAAAGTTAACATTATTTATCGCATAAGAACTCAGAATCTAACCTTGAGCTCCACGTAAACAGTACAGGACATCTGAACCTCTAAATTCTTTACAATATGTATTCATATAAACAATAACAAACCACCGCCGAGAAAACAAAAAACATAAGACAGAAAAAATTATAAAAGAAAAAAAACGTGTACTGCAAAATTAGTGAAGCCTTAAGAGAACATCGTTAAGAGTACAAATGACCATCAAAAACAAATACCACAAACAAAAAAAATGCATTTTTTGTATAAATGAATTATCATAACAGACGTTTCTTTATGAGAACATCCAAAAAATACGAGAAAAAGGTTAAAAACAACTGTACAATAGTCCAAAAAGATTTGGTTTGACAACAAAACCATCATAACAAAAAACGAAAGTCCATGGCAGAGGGATTAACGGAAAGTAAAGGGGGAATAACCATAATCATTGACTTGAAAGCAGACGTACAAATACGATTTATAGCTTTAATGTTATTTAATGTAAAGAAGCATGAAGCAAGCTGAGTAAATTTGTTTGAATCAAAGCTGGAATACAATCCAGACTTACATAGCGTGTTAGCTTGACCAAACCATCCATTCGTACCCCGAATTTCTTATGTTGTTAGGTTTTTTCAACCAGAAATTAGCAGTAGAAACAAATTAACGCCATTTAGCTCAAATCCTTACAAGCTGCCATTGTGGAAAACAAAATAAATTATTGGTGTCGGATTTAAGGCGAGGAAATTTATCGGAACGCCGTGCAATTTGTAAACCAGGTCAACTCGCAAATTGCTTTCTTTTATAACTTTTACTGGTTTTTCTTACGCTGTAGCTTACAATGTTGAATTGGGTAATGTTATCTGGGATTATGAGACTAAGAATCGTCTTTAATAGCTTTAGTTGCACTGTAGCTTCAAGTTACTTCAAACTGAGTACTTACTTTCGTGGCCACAACAGACTTAATTTTTCAATTTAGTAATTGGTCGCATCTTTTACATCTTAAGTTTTACCTAAAAATTCAAAAAAAAACAAAAAAGTTACCTTCATATCGGTTTTACCCACTCCACTTTCGAATTTTCGTCCAATGTACCTAAAATTATCAGAACCGACGTCAAAACGTCACCTGTTGACCAATAACCTCAACAAACTTGTAAGCGGAAAAAACTTATCTGAACGAAGTGATCTAAACCCTCGGCTGCAAAAACAAAAATAATATCATTAGTTTTGCGTTCCGCAAATATTCAAGACTGATAATTCTAGGAAAGTACTCGTTGTTACTCAAGGTCTTTCTTTCGATAATAATATTGAAGATGAGATGGATATCAATGTTAACATAGCTCAACTTGTCAATTTTATATAGTTAAAAAAATAACTATATATAACTAAAAAAGACAAAATTTTGTTTGCAAAAATTTTTTTTGTAGATCTCTAGTTATCTTCTTTAAAACTATCCTTCCAAAATGACCAAAAGACTACTAAAACACCTTTATCGTCACATGACCATCCCATGAACAATATCAAAATTTATGAATAAAAACTTTGCCTATAAATTTAGAAAAGCATGCTTTCATCGAAAACATAAAAATAACAATAAAATTGTTTTTAATACCTCTAAAACATTGTTGTTTTTTATACAAAAACTTGAAAGGAATCTACAACAATATTAATAGTTCAAAAACAATCGAGAAGAAAAACATCATAATGTTATACGAATGTAGAATAGTATTACCATAAGGCTGAAAACTTAAATAAATTTTTCTTTGTTACCTAAATTTTATTTAAATTATAGTAAAATTACATTTCTTTATAAAAAAGGTTTGTGACGGATAAAATATATCACAAAAAGATAAACTAACATCAGTATTACCTAAAATTACCCAAAATTGGTTAAAAGATATGAGAAAGTCTCAAATACAGTTAGAAAGCAAAACCCAAATTCTACTTTTTTTAATCGACTTTAATATTATCTAAACCAACATCAAAAACCGTTTAAAAAGCCTATAACCATCTAAAACAATATGTGAATCTCTTGTTATTTCTACATTCTAAGGTTTTAGCTTCAATATTATCTAAAACAACATCAAAAATCGTTTTAAAACCTCAAGACCTTTTAAAACAATATGTGAATTCCACAAAACTCTCGTGTTCACGTGTTGATTCACAAATCTACGTAACGACAAACAAAAATCCGTAAAATCTGGAACGAAAAAGTTGGGAAAGAAAGCGCGCAAGACCTACAAAACTCGCGATTTTTTCGATTTTTCCATTTTCGGATCGAAAAAAGCGAGATTTTCGCCTCAAAAAAAATGTTTTGCGACAAAAAGGAGGGCGAGGCCATTCGCCAAGAATGCATTCGACGGAATGCCACAAAACCTATGCAAATTTCGGGTCGCGAATTCTCTTTTTTTTCGAGTCGGGGCTTTCGAAATGGATAAGACTTTTGTTATGGGCAAGAGTTTTTGTTGTGGCCGAGGTGAAAACAAAGTTACGGAGGAGTAAAGTAATGTAAGGAGATGGAGATAGAAGAGCCGAGATTAAAGCTAATTTTTACAGGGTTTCTCGGTCGAAAAGTACTTAGAATATTACGATCTGTATAAGAAAGTAGGTGAGAAGGCAAAACCTGAAGATACACCTGTTTCCGGTCAAAAAGTACGCAGAACAGAAGTAAATTATACTCTTTCAGGTCCACCATAAACATTATTAACATAGCATTAAGAAACCTACCATAACTATGAAAAAGCCCCAATAATACCACTCCAGCCAATGTTATGGATAATATCCGCTTTTACTCAATTGCACTGAATTTATAAGCCCTTTTCAATGTCATACCTTCTACTTCATGTACAGAAAGCCCTTCTTTATACAGACGTTTTTTCGGCTTTCTATAGTTATGTTAATCACACCTGTTCCTAAGCGTTTTACGTTTTGTGTTCCCATAGTTCGTCTCATGGCTGCGCGATGTGATTCATCGGATTAATGGTCGTATTTCGGCGAGGTTTATATTGAAATGGGATTGTATGACACAGTGACATGCTTCTTGTTTGAAAATGTTGTTTATACTTTTCACTGTGCAATCAAAAAGTGATATTAGGTATGCACCGTGAAATAAAAAAAAGGCCAAAGATTTGCAAAGATACTATGTCATGTCCCTAAAACTCATCACAAATGCTAAAACACAATAAAACAACTTAAAAAACTAAAATATAATAAAAATGCCAAACTAAATAATAGCATTTATCCACACTCGTATAATAACATTGTTTTTCATGTGCAGCCTTTCTTTTATTTGAGATATCCATAATAAATGACATTAACAACGATATGAACCTTCGTGAAACTCGCATTCGAACTGAAGAGCACGGACGTATTCTTGGCGTTCTATTTCGTGACCACGGGCTTGGTTGAAGGCTGAAATGAGATTATGTTAAGTGTTTCAAAAGTTTTGACGTTATAAATATAAAAGTTCGTATTTTACTACCAAAAATAGTTATATCAGTTTATCTTCAGATGAAAAACGTCTATTTTATAAAAAAATATGAAAATTCTAATTTTTTTGAGGAAAACAAAAAAATCTTTGATTGCTAACAAACCTATACCTTCAAAAAAGCTTAAAAATACCAAAATACATCCTTACTCTCTATTGATTCATCCACAGGCCATCCAAGACATTCGTGCATGTAGCGACATACCAAATAACCCGTTCTGTTCAAGCCGTGTGTACAATGTATGCCAATCAACGTATCTGCAACAAAAACAATTATATCTCCCCAAAAACAATTCTATTTAAAATCTCAAACTAAGATCAGATACTACATCAAATCCTCTACCAAAACCCCCACAAACCTTACCATTTTCTATGTTCTCAGCAAAGTAATCCTTGATAGTATCCATAAAGGTGTCTCCCAAGTCTCTCAGTCCTCCAAAATCTCTTCCCGGACACATGATCTTCTTGTACTTGATATTATACTGCTCCAACTCAACTGGATCATAGTACTTTGTAGTGGCAGTCAGATCAATCACAAGGCCCAGCTTGGCGTTCTGCTTTTCCATCGCTTCGACCAGTTCGTCGATTCCAAACGGCTCCAACTCGGTTTCTTTGAAGAAATCCGACCTTAACGGAGTTTTGAAAGCAATCAAACGGGTATCAGCTATTGGTTTTCCACAAGGATTGTATGCTTCCCATCTAGAAAAAGTGGCTTTAAGAAATTTTACATTTAAAACATGTTATTTTAGGCATATGTACACCAAAAAACATAAACTAGGAATATATCAGACGTAAAACATCAAAAAGTGCTAAAAACTAGCTAGATGTGTCCACAAAACACCTAAAAATCAAACAATAATAAACAAGATCATACCTATCAGGTAGTCTTCTAGCAAAACTCCGTCTCTGTGGTCGCTCCTTTTTGCGAATCGGGCTTTGAACCTTACCACGACCAGAACTCTCTTTCTCATCTTCTTTTTGTTCTAACCTGACCTGAAGAATCGCATCTGTAATTTCCTTCTGTATACCATTATTGATAACGTCACCAGCTGCCTGTGATTGAAATGCTGCCATTTCTGTCCCAAGTCCTATCTAAAAACGATAGATAATATAGTTAGCACAACGTTCGATGTAGCTCTTTGAAAAAACATCGTAAAGGTTTATAAGAATATTCGTCTATCGTAAAATAAAATTTTAGTCAAAAAGAATACAGAAAAACAGAAACGACTAAACTCAAGGATAAAAACAATTTACATGAACTTTTCAAACAAAACAATAAAAAATAGGCTACTTCGGCAAATAAGTAAAAACAAATGTGTCAAACTTATTGCTATCTTTCAAAAGCATCGTAAATTTGCATAGAAGTCCACGCTTTTTTTCAATTCATCGATAAATCTTTCAGCTAAAATAATATTAACACAACGCCAACACTCTTTGGCTATTGTCCGTTTTCGTGTTGGGACTCATCGTGCAATGTAGTGCAAGCATAAAATTAAAAAATAAATGTTGAAATGGTACTATTGGTACTTATAATGTTAACCTTTATTCAGTATATTATGTTTCTTTGGTGATCTTTTAAGATTTTTATGAAATTAAGGTTTATATTGTTCATGTCAGGTAGGTGCGGTTTTACGACTTCAAGCATAAAATTTGGGTAAATATCTGTTGTATTTAAAGTTGTTGATATTAAAAATGGATTTATAAGACATCATTTTATTATATTTTTATGGAATAACTTTTGAAATTTTATTTTAAAACAGTTAAAAAATTATATTACTCAAGGTCGGTGGAACGCTGATAGGTGCTTACGGAAATTGATTTTTCTCAAAATTGCCAAAAGATATTGATTTGATTGTTTTTTTATAAAATCTGACGTTCTTTTGGCTACGTTTGCGTACTTTTTGTTTTTTTGTATTACAGTAAGGTTTGCTACAGTAAACTAAAGTTTAATACCACCTTGTGTTTTTTGGTCATTTTTGGGTACAAACGTGCTTAAAATGCCATTTTTAACGGTATAATACAAAGGGTTTGAGCTTGATTATTAGGTATTAAGTGAAGCATATTAATTTCTTGTGATTTCGAAGAAATACGAATTAAATTTGTCAAGGTCGGAGGAATAAGCGCTAAAAACCTCGTTTTGAGGGCATTCGGGATTCGATTTTGAAGTGATATCAGCGGCTCCGTTAAAGAGGTCGACTTTTAAAGTGAGTCGAATTTGAAACCTTGAGGCTGTTTGTTTGTCTGGATTCGTGTTTTACATGATTTTTGATTTTTCTGTTACCTAATTGGTTACAATTTTTTGTTTTGTGAATTATGGCCATGAGGTTGTTGATAGTGATATGTTTTTGGTCAACTTTAGCGCATTCTGTAAGTTTCTTACCGTAAATTTTTGAGAATGTTGTTTTTCTTAGTTAGAAATTTATTTATAAGGGCAATTATTGCCAAAAAAAGAATGTTTGTTACAAAAAATAGGTCGTTTGTTACCTAAAATAAAGTATTTGTTATCTAAAAATAATGTTTTGAGCTAGTTATTGTATCAAATGAATATTGACTATAAAATGGAAATTGAAAGTGAGAAACAGTCGTTTTAGAGGCATTTTTACGATGACATAGTACGTGATGATAGTGGGGTTACGCATCACCAAGTTCAACGTCTTCTACGAGCCATGCAGAGGCTCAACTTCATTGAAGGGAAACTACTGGACGTTGAAAATGTAAGTTGGTTTACCCTACCTTGTCTTGCCTCACCGGCCGTGCCTTATCGTGCTCTGTTCTAGCGCGCCTTGTCCTAACGTGTCATCTGTGCTCTATCGTTCCATGCCTTGCTCTACCGTGATATGCCTTGCCTTTTTTTCTCGGATTTACCCTACCTACTTTTTCATATTGTACCCTACATAACATTACTCTACTTTACAAAGCCATACTATCACATTTCAAATTACATTCTGTTTTAGGTAACATCACCAAGTTCGATTCCATATCTTGATGATTTGTTTGGAGCTCATGATGAACACGGAGAGCCTCAAAAAATATTGGCCAAACCGGATAAACCAGAGGAAAAACCATTTTTATTTGAAGGAGATATGTTACTGACGAATAAACAAATGGATGAAATTGTAATGTAAGTACTGTACTTTTAAAAAATTTTTAGTTTTTTTGCTGGAGAGGGGGGTGGTGTACGGAAGGAAACATTTGAAAGATTTTTAGGTATAGAAAGATTGCAGGCGGGGTAATTTTGGTTGGGGAAGGGAAAGGGCAATTTGCAACGGTTTTTAGGTTTAGAAGCACTGTCGGGCGTGGTAATTTTTTTGGGATGAGGGGGTGGGAGTCGTGAAAAAAATAAAAAAATACGTAGGTTTTTTGAAAAATTTTTGGGCAGGGTAAAAATTTTTTATGGTGCTGAGGGGAGGGGGGGGGGTAAAAATTTTTTTTTAAAAATTGGGCAGCGGGTTTAATTTTTACTTTTCTGACGATAGTGGTTCTTATAACGAGCAGGGTCATAGCTACCTACCCCTACTTCTACCTCTATCTTTTCTCCTACCTCTATTTCTCTCCCTATCCTTACCTCTACCCCTATCCTTGCCCCTACTCCTAAAAAGTTCTCTACCGACGTCACAACTTCGTTTATACCCACAATAACTTTCAGGAACGTAGAACACCAGCTTTTCCTAAAAGACATTGGCAAACCAGAGTTGATGATGAGGAATCGCTTTAAACGCACACTAACTTCAAATGTCATTGCCAGATGGTCGGAGCTTCGAATACCGTACCGAATACATCCTGAACGTGGTCGTAAGTGAAGTCAGGGTGGTTGAGGATAATATTTAGAGTTGATTTTTAGCCAACAAGACTTTGATTGAAGCTGGAATCAAGCAATGGATGGACTCGACTTGTATAGAGTTTGAGGAGAAAACTGGTGCTCTGTTAGGACCTCACATTGTTTTCATCAAAGGCTCTGGGTAGGTTGATATTAAGGTTGTATTTTAATTTTTTAAACTTTTGAATCTAATTATATAAGAATTACCTGATGATAGGAAAGAAGGGAGGAAGACTCCTGTAGAGAAGGGTAGAGTATGCTAGGGCACCGTAGGGTAGGCTAGGCTAGAGACGGTACGGTAGGGTATGGAAAGGTAGGTTGGGGCAGGGTTGGATGTGATAGGTTTGGGTAGAGTAATGTAGTGTAAAAGTTTTTAACGTAAGATTTTATATGATACGGCATAGTAAAGTAGAACATAATGGGAAGTATGACAAGAAGGTAGGGTTTAGTAACGTAGGTTATGGGAAAATACGTTACAGTTTAATATAGCAAAAAAAGGGGGGGGGAGATTCATGACTTGAAGAGGATATGGTAGGAGATAAGAAGACAGACATTTATTATGCAGACTTGTGGGTAAAGTAACTAAAAAGTAGCTAAGGAAGGGTAGAGCAGGGTATCGTAGGATAGGATAGGGCAGGGTAAAGTAGAGTAAGGAGGAGTAAGGAAAGGAAAAGAAGAATAAATCAACAATATTTTTTTAGATGCTATTCAAACGTTGGTAAAAGCTCGCTGTCGGGACAATTTATATCAATTGGGCGTGGATGTGAAAACCCTTTTGTGGTGGCACATGAAATTGGTAATCATTTTTTTTACATATTCTATTCTACTCTATCTCACTCTACCTTACATTATCTTACCATGCCCAATTCTAACCTAGCTTACCCTACTCATTACTACGCTACCTTACTCTAACTTACGTTCTATTACTTTAATTTATCCTTCAATATCTAATTTTTCAGGCCACAGCCTAGGCTTCTTCCACGAACAAGGCAGATATGATAGAGATGGTCACATTAGCATTGCTTCGAAGAATATTCACGTTGGATTCCTAAGTCAATTCACGAAACAAGATCCAGAAACCATGACAACTTTAACTGTTCCATACGATTTAGGATCGGTCATGCACTATGATCAATATGTAAGCTTGTGGTTACTGTAACTTATACTTTACTTTACCTTGTTCTAACCTCCTCTAACTTAAGGAAAGGGCTTTTTAATTTTTTTTTGGTTTTTAAAATGTTGTTACAGAGCTTTTCATACAACGGTGAGCCTTCAATTAGAGCTATGGACCCAAATTATCAAATGACAATGGGGCAACGATACGAATTGACCTTTAATGATGTTAAGAAGATCAACTTGGCTTATTGTCCTTGTAAGTCGATTAAAAAAGTGGGGTAGGGCAGGGTCGAGTGGGGTAAAGCTAGGCATGAGCCCGGAATAATCAAAATCTTGCTCAGGCCCGGCCTGTTCTTCATGCCTAGGTAGGGCAGGGCGGGGTAGGATAATATAGTAAAATGGCAGATTTTTTTCGAATTTTGAAAAAATATCTTATTTTACACTACCCTACCTTATCTTACTTTACTTTAGTCTACCGTACTATACCCTGCGTTACTCTAACATACCTTATTTTTAACTTTACTATACTTTACTCTACCCTATCCTCCTTTACAATACTCTAACCTACCTTACTCTATCCTTTTTAAACCTTACTCTACCCCATTCCTGTCTTCATCTTATTTCAGCTTTACCTTAACCATACTAAAGCCTTAAACTTGCCTTACAGTATAATATAAAAAATCCATATTTTCAGTCAAATGTCTAATAAAGTTAGACTGCCAAAACTCTGGCTACACCGACCCAAAAGATTGTTCGAAATGTCGCTGTCCCACTGGATTGACAGGTCAGAAGTGTACGAAGCCATTGAGAACGGACTCAAAATGTGGTCGATTATACCACTTGGCCAATTCTGATGTAAAACGACTGACTTTTGAAGGGAAAGGAGAATGTAATTTTATGATAAGAGCTAAAGAAGGCGCCAAAATACGGATTCATTGGGAGAAGTTGAACGTCTTTGAGTCACATCCTTGTCAGAACAGTTATGTCGAAATTAAGGTGTGGTTTTTATTCAGCTTGCCCCTACTCTACCTTTACTCTTGCCCTAGCTCTTTTTGCTGTATCTTTATTATCATTAAAGTTATTTTCAGTACCACAAAGACCTCGGTACAACTGGTGCAAGATTTTGTACTCCATACTTAAAGTTAAAGGACATTAACTCAGCTTTGAGTACAGTTATGGTACTCTACAGGTCACAGTCGTTGTTCACCAAGTTTTCATTGACTTTCAGTAGTGGTAAGGTTTCAAAATTTCATTTTTTTAGTAATTTTAGGTAACATATTTCTATGTTATGACCTTTTTTATAACACTGAGGTATTTTAGTTCAGTTTTAATATGAAAATCAAAGATTAGACTTACGTATTTTACAAAAACATCAATTTCAGATGAACCAGCACCGACGAGAAACATTTTCAGTCAATCGATGGCATACTTCCAAAACTTTTTCAGCAACATCTTCCGATCTGATAAGGATAAAACGGATGAATCAGATGGAATGATCAAGGAAGAGTATGATGACTATTCAGATGATGATCACACTAGCTCTTCTACAACTTCTGAAGAGAAAAACCGAGATGTTTCTAAGGCTTCTGATAGTAATGGAGAAGATTCAGCAGCTAAAGATAGTCATTCTGAAGGTGAGTCTACAGCTGCTAATGGTGGTTATAAAGACGGTAACAAAGAAGAAAATACCAATTTGACTGATAGTACTCAAAATGACAGAAAAGTTCAAATTCAAGATGATAATATGCTTCAAAATGGTAACGAGAGCAAAAAGAAAGATAGGCAAAAAACTGAAGGCGTAGTTCAACAAAAAGTTGATGAAAACATTAATATAACTAAAGCTATTGATGAAACTGTACTACCGTCTGCTTCAGACACGTTAGTACTTCTTACGGAGCGAAAATCATTTGAAAAGAGTGAAGAAAAAGGTGGTAAAACAAGGGAAAAAGATGAAAAAGCAGAGGAAGAAGGTGAGAAAGTAGAAGAAAAAGATGGGAAAATAGAGGAAAAAGATGTAAAAGTAGAAGAAAAAGATGAAATAACTGAAGAAAACGAAAAGAAAATAAAAGAAAATGATAAGAAACTAGAAAGAAAAGAAGAAGAACATGATCAAAAAAGTAAAGGAAAGAATGAAAAAGAAAAAGAAGATAAGGAAGATCAAAAAGAACAAGAAATAAGAAGTAAAAATGCAAAAGAAGCAGCCAAAATAAAGCAAGGTGTAAAAGATAAAGTAAAACTAAATGAAAAAGATAAAGAAGAACAATATGAAAACAAACAAAATGACAAATTAGAGCACAATGTAAATGAACAAAATACCGCAAAGAAACAAGACTTTGGAGGTCAAACTGTAGCTCCCTTAATAGGTAAAAGCTCAGAGTTATGGGTGGCAGAAGCCGAAACTTCTGTAGAAAATGATGATATTACTAAGGAAATAAAATATCAAAAAGTAAAGGTCAGTGTCCCAGAGAATAGCTCAATAATATCTTCAACTACAGTTTCAACTATAACTTCGTCAACATCGACCCCAAATTTGGCTAGTACTATAACAAGGTTAATGCCAACTTCACTAATTAATTCAACTGTACTAAGTTCATCAACATTGTCAAGTACAACAACAACCTTAAGCACTACTTTACCCAGTATCACAACTAAAAAACCAAAGCCGGACAGGTCAACGAACAAACATAGTAAACATCATAGTAAGCATCACAAAGGTACGACAAAGAAGATTGTTGTTACTACGACAACTGTAGTACCACATGTGCACGGTAAAGCGAATGATACAAAGAAAGAAGAAGCAGATGAAATGTCATTCAATATAAAAAATATAACTTTAGACGATCTTTTAGGTTCTTCTGGGCCTAAAAGTTTCGTAAAATACGTCGAAACAAGTAGTAGTGGCAGAGAAATTATTACATACGGAGCTGAGCTTAATGTTAACCGATCTGAAAGTACTGCAAACGGATCTGAAGATAGTGTAAACGAAACAAAAAGTGATGTAAACGACTATGAAAGTACTGCAAATAGGCTTCAAAGCACAGTAAACAAGTATGAAGATAATGTAAAGGGGTTTGAAAGCGATAACTTAACAGTGACAACAGCTATGATGATTAACAATGTTACTGAACTATCTCAAGGATCTACTGAAGAAGATATATTCATAAATTCAACTGTTTATGATATTAATACAAGTGACATGAAAGCTACAAATAATGTTACAGTAACTAATACTTCAGTACTTTCAATCGAAGACAAAGCTACGTCAACTAAAACGGGTGATACAACAGAAAACCATAAACATGGTACTAATAATAACGAGACTGTAACAAGTAGTACTAATAATAGAGCAAATGATAAAAATAGTACTAATGATAAGGATAAAAATTATACTAATAGTACCGAAAACAATAACAATATCCCTAATAGTACTAAAAATAGAACTAAGAGCCCGAAAAACGAAATAGAAGTACCAGCAACAGTACAAAAGACGACTAAAACACCAGTAATCGAGAGCTCAACATCCTACTTGATAGACATTATCCTTGAGAACAGTACAAGCTACATTACCCAGCATCCTACTTCAAATAACAAAAGTAGCACTTACATACCAACGAAAGAGGTAAACACCATAAGTAATGGCCAAAAGTCATTTACATATTACAAGTTTGATAATGACAAACCTCGAGATTATGAATTGGTTAAAGAAAAAGGTAAAGATCATGAGAAAGTCAATAAAACAGAAGATCATCATGAAATATATGATGAAATAATAGAAAATAAAGAAGAAGTAAAGCATGAAAGTGCTGAAAATGATGTTCTACTTGATGATGACAAACCAAAAACTGATAAAACAACAAAATCATCCTTAGATTACACAATGATAGGCATTGAAATACGAAGATCACAGCCCAAAGAGCATGTAGAAGTAATAGAGTTGAGTAGTGGAGATGACAGTGAGCTTATACAGTACACGGTAGAAGATTTTGGACAAACAAAAGAAGATAGTAATGGTACTGTAGATGATAATGGGAATGATGAGAGGAGAAAAAATGGCAATGATAACGGGATTTTGGATGCTATTGTAAGTTGTGTTGGTAGGGTTAACGTAGATATAAAATAGTAGAAGAGGGTTATATGATAATACGGAAAGATAGGATAAGGTAGTCGAGAATCAAGGCACGTTTTAGGGTACGATAGGGTTTGGTATACTAGGGTAGGTTAACGTAGAGTGCAGTAGGGTATGGTAGTGGATGCTAAGCAGGGCACTTTGTCGTAGGACCAGCGCAGAACAGGGATGAAAGGTCAGAGTTGAATAGAGTAAAGGGTAAACTAGTAGTATCGTAAGGCGGGATAGACTACGGTATGGTAGCGTAGGCCAAGCTGGAGTAGGCTAAGGTACAGTAGGATAGAGTAAGGAAGCTTACATGTTAGGGTAAATTAGGGTCGGGCAGAGCGTGATGTAGTGGGCTAAGGTACACTAGGATGAACTAGGTAAGGGCGGAGTAAGGTATGTGCTGGGCAGGATAGGGTAAGGTAGGGTAGGATACGGTAGGCTAGGGGAAGGTAGAGTAGGGTTGGGTAAAGCACAGTAAGGTACCTAAAATAAGTTAGACACCAAACAACAGGCGCTTTAATCTCGCATTTTTCAAATTGTAGAAAGCCGAGCCGGACCTAATTATCATGCCATTACAATCCGCCTACAATTCGGATGCTGTTACAAAACAACAAAACAAATTAACGACCGTACTATTTAGCCAGTCTACGGACGAAGCTACAACTCCGACTGTAAATAAACATGATGATGAGGTGCTGGTCGAAGAGGCTTTAGAAGGTAGTGGGGTCTGAGATGTAAACATCTTGTAGTATAACGTAATAATGTTTTGTCACATTGTGGTTTCTGGTGCACTTTAGTCAAGGTAGAGCCAGTAAATTGACTGGTTTGGTACTCTATTCTTGTTAAAATTAAGATGACTTATGTTAATAATTGCCTATTGTGTCTATGGCCAAATTGTATTATAATATTAACTTCATTTTGTTTATCTGTACATATATTATAATATAATTGTAATAAAGTTACAAAAAAATGGCTTTTTGATAGTGGAAGGTGATTTGCAGAGATAGGTAGGCGTCATTATGTATATTACGTATGAAGTTAAGGGTAGAAGTAGAGTAGTGTAAAGAGACGGCTAGACTATGATTAGAGTAGTGCAAAGAAAGGGAAGGGATAGGTAGGTAGACAAAGGATATTTAAGTTAGAGATCGGGGTAGAGGTAAAAGTAGGGGTTGGGTAGGATCAGGTGTAGAGACAGACATGGGTAGGGAGTTAAAGATATAAAAAAAGCTAAACGTAGTAATTTTAAATATAATGACCTTTACATAATATACATATAAGCATATAAGTAAATATCTTATACTTACCAAAATATTTGAGATATAGGTATTACTACAAGTGACAAATATGTATCAAATATACTAAGCTTACATATAATTACCTTCTCTTAGTGTCCTAGTATAATTATTTCTTTTTATACCATAATATGTTTTCTAATCATAAAAAGCAGTCACTACATTACTGCTTAAAAAGGTGTATTATCTCACATGCTAACAAGTTTTTGGCGTTTTTTTTGAAGTATTTTTTGCTACGTAATTTAAAAAAAATTTTTTTTTGAATATAATATTGTTCTATGACATTATTTCATTCATTTCTTCGTTAAATATACTTTTTTTGCATTTTTTTGATATTTCAGTTCATACTTTTGATTAAAAGAAGAGATTGTTATTTTGGTACGTTTATGGTGGATCACAGAATTTTAACAAGTTTACTTCTTATCAAAATTGTTTCTCATGCTGAAAATTTAGAAGTTTGAAGTAGATTTCTTAATTTTTCTAACGGTAGCTAAATATAGAGGAATAATACGCTAACCCTACTTTTGTCAACAATATCTTTAGTATTAGGCTATGACTTAGTGTTTAACTTAGCGTTAGTCTTAGCTGTAGCCTTAGCTCTAGCTCTAGCCTTAACTTTAGCCTTAGCTTGTCATATCTTAAATTTTTCAGATGTTTTTTGAAATTTGTTTTTACCGTAGTAATACAAAAAGCTTTTTACAAGAATTCTTACTTATAGTACAAAAAATTTTTTTGTTTTTTGCACGTAATAACAAGTTCAAAAAAATTTTTTTTGCGTTAATTACATGAGAAAGAAAGTCTAATATAAAATTGTCATGTACTACATTATGCTTTGCTTTGTAATCACTACCCTTGTAAATAAATATGCCTTTCTAAAGTGTTTGTTACAAGAAACAACCCGAAATAGAGTGTTGTTTTAAATTTAAATTGGTAATTAAATGTTTAATAGTTGTTTTCAGTATCTATAGAATGGCATAATTGCTCGGAATAGTATCATGACAACAGCCGAGCTACTATATTCACATGTACAATATTGTGAAGCTGTGATATGTTTTGTTACGTTACTGTTGAGCATCTACTTTTCGTACAAAATTGGAAAAGTTGCCACTATCAGCAAGAACCTCAGGATTGTTATTGTAGGTTTTGAAACGTTTAAGGGTTTCATGAACCCTAGTTCAGAGCCTTAGCCCAAAGCCGTAGCCAAGAGCGCAAGCTTAGAGCTCTAGCATAGAGCCTTAGCCAAGAGAATTAGCCTCAAAGCCCTAGCGTTAGTCCTGAGCTAGAGCCTTAGTCCAGAGCCCAAGCCCAGAGCAGTAGTCCAGGGCCCTAGACCGGATCCCTCGCCTAGAGCTCTAGCCCATAGCCGTAGCTCAGAGCCCTAGCCTAGAGCCCTAGTCCAGAGCCCTAGAGCAGAGCCCTAGCCCAGTGCCCTAGCCCAGAGCTCTAACGAGCTCCAGCATAGAGCCTTAGCCAAGAGCCGTAGCCCCAAAAACCTAGCTTTAGCCCTGGCCCAGAGCTTTAGTCCAAAGCCTTAGCAGATAACTAACTCAGAGCTCTGCCCTGTCTTTTGCTCTAGTTCTAGCCCTTACTCTAGCTTTTGTCCTAGTCCATGCCCTACCCTAGAGCCCGCAGCCTTAGCCTTAACCCAGACCTAGATCTAAACCTAACAGTAGCCATTTATTTCAATACTATGATGATTTTCAGATAGTAAACACCATAATGTGTTTAGTGGTGAACTTTCAAAGCTCAGTGTTTCATTTTGTGCCTAAAGAGTTGTATAGTGTTGAAGCTGGGAATTATGTTGGTGCTAGTTTATCCTACAGCTTTATGCTTATATCACATTACTTTTTGTTTTTACTAGAGTTTAAATACTTTCAAATCGCCATAGAAAGGTTGATTGCTTATCGAGAGAAAGGGAAATATGAAAGTCAAGGAACGGCCGCTGCTTTCTGTATTTTCACTTATTCTGTAAGTTTTTGGGGTTGTACCATATTAAGCTTTTTTAGGTAATAAAAAAAGCATTTTTAACTTTAATCGCCCCAAAAATGACTAAATGTTGTTAGATTTTAGGCTATATTCAGTGCCATTATGCTAACAGCCAAATTTATTTATTATTGGACACATTACCATTACTTACCGTTGGATGGCCGATTGATCAAGACGTTCAACTTTGGCTCAAGTCTTTGGGGATTATTTGTTTTGTTCAATATTTCATCGCTTTTTACTCTTGCTGCTGCGTTTGTAAGTTTAAAGCATTCGTTTTTACCCTACTCTACCCTAACATGGCATACCCACACTGATTTACTTTACCCGGCTTTACTTGGCTTTACTTTGCCTTGCCTTGCCTTGCCTTGCCTTGCCTTGCCTTGCCTTGCCTTGCCTTGCCTTGCCTTGCCTTGCCTTGCCTTGCCTTGCCTTGCCTTGCCTTGCCTTGCCTTGCCTTGCCTTGCCTTGCCTTGCCTTGCCTTGCCTTGCCTTGCCTTGCCTTGCCTTGCCTTGCCTTGCCTTGCCTCGCCTTGCCTTGCCTTGCCTTGCCTTGCCCTGCTCTGCCCTGCCCTGCCCTATTCTATTCTACTCGATTAGTTTATCTTGCTTCACTATACCGTATTATATCCTACCATACCCTACCCTAACCTGCCTTAATCTACCTTCTCCCTACTCTCTTCTTACCCTCTCACTACTCTTTTTTTATTTTTTAACTACCCTTCTTACTCTCTCTCTCTCCTGCACTCTCTCTACCCTACAATATCATTTGTGTTCTACCCTATCTCTTCATTTACTTTCCTCACGCTATCGTGTCTAAAACTACTCTACCCTAAATTACCTTGCTTTTTAGTTGTAGTGTACTACACCAGTTTTAAAAACTAGTTTTATAGATCTTCTACTACATTCACGTTCAAGTAAAAAAGGATGAGAATGACTGTCATTCACTTAACGTTCGTTATGAAATTGAGCAAACCAAATATGTTCTAAATTATATTGTCAGTTTGATGTCAATAGTGTTTGTACTACTAATAGCAGTAGCTTCATGTTATGGCTGTATATTCTACTACTACTTTTACCTTGGTTTTGATGAAGATACCTATGAGATCAAAACGGTAGTTTCTGTAAGTTTTTGATGATTACTGTAGGTTTGCAATTAGGTATCATTTTTTTTAAGTTTTGAAAATGAAAAAAAATTAAGTTTTTTAATTAAAAAAATATTAAAAATTTTTTAAAATTAAAATTCAAAATTTAGATTCAAATAATTATGTTGTGCATATACAACTTTACTACTATGTTATTCATGATCAAAGAGTTTCCACAACTTCAAAAGGCCATAAACAGAGATTTGCCAGCCAGAATGAAAATAAAAACAGTCAACTCAATACGGCCAGACGCGGGAGCTGAAGTCTATTTCAATCAGCTACAAATCTTTTGGGATCGATAGGACACTATGTTATACTGATATAAAAAATACTTTTATTTTGGCAGTTTTAAATTACAAAATAATTTTTAATATTAAGAGTGTATGATTACGGTAGATACGGTAGAGAGAGAGGGTAGTATGATTATAAAAGGGTTAAAAAAGTAGCAAAAGCTTTGACACAAAAAGCTAAACTATAGTTACCATAGGTCTAATGTTAGACTAAGGCTTCTTGTTATGCTAAAACTAAAGCAGGAACAAGACTAAATGGGATAGGACGAGGGTTAAGTTAGGGTTGTTTAACGAAGAATAGAACTAACAATATTGTCAGTTCTAGAGCTAGGTGGGCTAGGATTGCGGTCAGGCTAGGGCTGAATTGGAGTCACGTCTACGACTAACACTAAAGCTAGGCCTAGGTTTCTGAGCTAGAGCTCTGGGTTAAGACTCTGGGTTAGGGCTCTAGACTAGGGTTCCGTGCTTGGGCTAAAGGTAAAGTTAAAGCCACAGCTACAGCTAGAATTAAGGACAGGGTTTAAAAATTAACATTATACTTGATAAATTACGTTTATTGCCTACAAGTTTTTAAACGGAATGCTACACCTTTGGTTTAGACATAACCACCGAACTTCTCACAGTATTCCAACTGCTGGTCATCGTTTGAAAATGATGATCTCTTTCATTTGGCACACTCAAAGCCGTTCCAATCACATTTCTCACAACAAACGAGCCATCGTTAGACAATGTGTTAACAGTCGATGTTGTAGTAGAGGTTTTGTTAACACAAAACTTTCGATTCAATTCATCGTGCACTTTTACCATTAAAAGCGGGCAAAATATAACGTACAAAGCTATTGTGCCATTGTACATCATGTCAACAGCCAGCGGAATGGTAAAACCACTCGTTTTAAAGAGTAATATTACACATAGTACAAAGTTACGTAATGAACTCAAAATTGCCAAAACTTTTAGTACGTTCATTGTTCTTAGCATCACTGATACCTAAAGTTTTATAGACACAATTCTTTATAAATTATGCAAATTCTGTAAATTTAGTAATAAAAAATAATTCAAAATTTCAAGTTAAGGCCTACTCTGTAAGTCTGTTGAACATGTCCCACAGTATGAAGTCGATACTTGTACCGGGCCATTAACAACAAAGCTAGTACTGTAAGCCATGAAAAGAAGTTTATTGAAATTTGTTGAATCATTGAATTCCTAGCTGATAACACTCTATATTTTACGAATAATGTCCATATATACGACACTACCCACTGAAAATATATTTATCAAGCATGACATGACCAGAGAAGAGGCATGTCGATGGTAGGGGCAAAGGTAGAGGCAAAGCAAGGCAAGGCAAGGCAAGGCAAGGCAAGGCAAGGCAAGGCAAGGCAAGGCAAGGCAAGGCAAGGCAAGGCAAGGCAAGGCAAGGCAAGGCAAGGCAAGGCAAGGCAAGGCAAGGCAAGGCAAGGCAAGGCAAGGCAAGGCAAGGCAAGGCAAGGCAAGGCAAGGCAAGGCAAGGCAAGGCAAGGCAAGGCAAGGCAAGGCAAGGCAAGGCAAGGCAAGATGAGTAAAGAAGCAGTGCCAAGTTAAGGAATAAAAAATAAATTTTTAAAACTTACTACTAGTATGCAATTCAACCACGTGACTCTCCTACTAATATCAATTGACATTACTGTACTGTAGAAACAGTCAAAGAAAGACATTAATTGAAAAATCATATTTAAGTGCACACTAACATTAAAATTATGGATTTCTTGAACAAAAGCCACCATTATACTAGGAAATATGTCCAAGTGTTCTTTTAAGCGTAGAAAGCTTCTGAAATAATTTTTTAGGTATTAGGCATACAATTGAAGAAATTTTATAAAAACTTTTGAAATCAGGAACATTCGTATTTTACATTTCAGATAACAACAATTTAAAGCTTTACCTAAAATATCTACAAAAATGCCTTACTTTGTAACCATTCCAATTAAACAAGCAGCAAATATGTTTATAATATAACACTTTTGATTGTACATGAATAAATGTACTTCACATAGGGCTCTGATCAAGGTGATAATAAAACAACATGCTATGGCGAATATTAATAGCTCAACAAATTCTGCTATTAATAATACGGTATATTCTGATGTTGAAGTCATGGTTTACATAGTATCACATACAATATAAAGCTTGTAATAGATATATAGCTTCAAAAGCAAAAGTTTGGTATACTTATAGCCTTACGAAGTATTTAGTTCAATTTATATTGGTCTTAGGCTATATAATACTGGCTAAATAGTACACTACACTCAACAATTATGATATACAAGTACTGCTTCAGACTTAGTATAATTGAGGTTGGTATGTCATTATCTAGCAATGTCTTTATGTAAACCCGTCTTATGTCCTACAAAACAAACCTTGATAAAGTTGCATATTCATTTTGAAATTGAAAAAAATACAAATTCAAACAAGCATTATCAAGCACAAAGCTGTAATATAACAAATTTAAGTTACCAATGGTAGTCAATGCTGTATGATATTAGAATTGATACAAGACGTATTTCTAATTTCCTAATACAGCACTCAATCATCTTTTGTAGTCTATGAAACTATTATCGAGAACAAACTTGTAGTTCTCTATAATTTTAATTTCATGTTTAACATTGTAGGTTTGGTATGGTACATTATAACGTTACTTTTTTACTTTTTTTTGTTTTGCAAAATATCATGTCCGTTCCGGTTGAATGGCGGAGAATTATATAGTACGGTAGAGTACAATATCCAAAAAATAATAAACAATATTTATTTAGTAATTACTACAAGTTAATCGAAAGGAGACATGTCAGGTGAGTAGGACAGGTAGGGCAACGTCTACCATTTTAGCCCTTCAATAATACCAGCAACCATTGTCAAAGCGTTCTAGCGAAGAAGGATGAGCTTTTCATAAAGGACGTTGAGCTTGGCAACGGAACCCTATAACGGAAGCCCACTTTAGCCGTTTGGGTTTAATTTCTTGGTCCAAATCGTAATATTCCAATTACTCAGCTGTTAAAACACCTTCTAGTCCAAAGAGATATTCGAAGCGAATCTTAGAATTACAGCATATAAAAAAATCCATCTGGAGTACAATATATCACCGAACTTTATTGCGAAGTTCGCAAAATTCTCGCTCACACGCGAGGAAAATCCTTTTTAGTATAATAGTGACGCTCGCAGCAAGTTGCGAAACGCTACAATTGAGCGGACGGAATATCACAAATTGCAAAAAAAAATAAATGTGATTTTGAACGGTGTTTACGACTCTGTAAATAAATAAAAATAATTAAAAAAACTCAAAAAATAGCATGTTAATTTATTCCTACAAATCAATAACCTTAATTGTATGAACAGGTTTCTCCTTGAACACCGAACTTTTCACAGTATTCCAACTGCTGGTCATTGCTTGAAAATGATGATCCCTTTCATTTGGCACACTTAAAGCCGTACCCATAACATTTCGTACAACAAAAGCGCCATCATTAGTTGATGTTTGGAATAATGAATTTGATTCTCGTTTTGTGAAAACTTTTTTGTTCAACTCTTCATGAACTTTGACCATAAATATTGGACAAAGCAGAAGGTAGAGGGCCACTGTGTAGGTATAGGTTATGTCTCCAAAGTGGTAAAGATCTACTCCACTAAAAATAAAAAGTATTACGAATGGGTGGGCTAGAACTAACTATAAGGCTAGGATGAGGATAATAAAAGGTAAAGTTAGCAAAGCAAAAAAATTGTCCGGGCTCTAAGCTAGGGCTAAGACTAGGGCTATAGCCAAGAATAGAGATAGAGCTAGGGTTTTGGTTTAGGGCTTGAGTAAGGCTATATTACTTACCATGTCTTCAACAGTAGTACCCCGGCTAGTACAAAGTTCCTTAAAGCACTTGAAATGGCCAAGACTTTTAGGACATTCATGGTTCTTAACATCACTGATACCTAAACATTACCATTTTAAACTATTTTTTATTTTGGAATTTTAAACTTTTTAGCCAACTTTACGTTACAAAGTAAAAAAACCTACCCTATAAGTTTGCTGAACATTGCCGACAGCATGAAGTCGATACTTGTATCGACCCATCAATATTAATGCTAGTACAGTAAGCCATGATACAAAATTTAACAAAAATTGAATTGTAAGTGAAGTTTTGGCTGTCATAACATTATATACTACTAGTTTTGGCCAACCGTACGATAGAATCCACTAAAATATGTTATAGTATATTGATATCTTGTAGTAGCTTTCCAAAATTTTTATATGTGACTGTATAGATATATGAATTTCTAGTTTAATGTAACTTAGGACGCTTAAAGCAACTATGGGGCAAATAAAGTACCATACGTAGCTTAAACTAAAATTTTAGGTAACAACTTACTAGAAGACCGCAAATAATCCAACTTGCTTTCTTATTAATATCTTTGGTTTGAGTAGTACTGTAAAAACAATCAGCGAATGACATAAGTTGAAAGATCATGTTTAAATGAACACTGACGCACAAATCATGAACGCCTTGAACATTATCAACCAGTAAGGCTGGGAAGATGTCTACAGCATTTTTTAACCGGAGAAAACATCTGAAAATGGCGTGGGTAAAGAGAAATAGAACAAGGGCTAGAGTTATACCTAACAGTAACGTTCAAGCTAGTAAAGGCCGACTTAGGCTAGAATTTAAAGTAAGGCTAGGACTTAGGCTAACCCCTAGATTAGAATTTAATGTAACGTCGAGACAAACGGCTGTGGATCAGGCTACCGCACAGGTTAAGGCTTATGCCACAACGTAGACTGGAGCTCAAACGAAGGCCAGGATTTAGGTCTAGGCTAGGACTAGGGATAAGGCTAAGCTTAGAGTAAGGCTTGGGCTTGTAATTAAGCTAGAGCTTAAACTAGAGGGCTAGAGCAAGCTCACACATGTGCTAAGGCATAGGCTTGGGCTCAGGGTAAGAGAAAGACTTTAGAGCTAAAGCATTTCTTACTTTGTGACAATCCCAATCAAACACGCCACAAAAATGTTGATAATGTAGCACTTTTGATTGTACATGAACAAATGGACTTCGCATAAAGCTCTCAAGAACAATATAATCAAATAACAAGATATGACAAATAAAACTAGCTCAACAACATGAGCTGCCACCATAAATGATTCCTCTTCTGTGGTGGCCATGGCTTATTAAGTATAATTTTAATATAATCTTAGTTTTGGTAAGTTTAATATCAATCTTACCAGTAAGTATAAAACTGATAGTATCTTAGTAGGTATAGGTGCAGAATTACTTTCTGATAGTAAGCGAAAATTCAAAAAATTTTAAATTATCAAAAACTTGAAGTAAAATTGTAAGAGATGTTACTCCTTTTCAAATTTTCGACTTTTTAAATTTGTACTTTCACTACCACGCTTATTAACATGGATACTATAACACATACAACATGAGTGATACAATTTTCGTCAAAATTACAATATCTTTGATAAAATATGAAGAAATACTCATAGAAATGCCATATATGGGCTACAATATTATATGGTATTCTAGTATAGATTGTATGCCACATATGCTACAACATATAACAGCGTGATAACAAAGGCCTGATATATGGGTACAGGAAGGAAGGTTGATATGAGTGTATAGGCAACGGTACAGTGTGATATAGTATGTTCAAAAACCTATATTGCTTCAAATAAAGACAGAATAGTATAGATCGTACAGTAGTAGAGGATAGGGTAGGTTAAAATAGAGTAGAGTAGAATAAAGTAAATAAAGTAGGGTAGGGTAGAGTACAATAAGGTTATTTAGGATACGGTGCGGAAGATTAGGGTACGATAGGGCAAAGTAGAGTAGAGTATAATATATTTTATTCAAAGATCCAGAAGCTCACAGTAAGTGATCTATGATGCAATAGATAAGTAAGTACATGTAGTAACGCCAAGTCTTATGATACCGTACCAAGTAGGACCTATTGAATTCAACTGTTCATAAGAGCTTATTACAAAGAAAAGTCCTTTCAAATTATTGTAGCTGACAAATTTAGACTAATATCTTCTTCCTTTTCATGAAAATTTCTCAAAAACAATTAGTTTAAGTACAATTTTAAATCTTTTTTTTAATTGAAACTACAAATTAACAACGTTTTTTATTCTTTTTAAAATTTTAGAATCTTGAAGCCAATTTTAAATTAAAAAAACTCAAAATTCCCACAAACATCTGAGTTTTATTGAAAAATGTAACAAAGATGCTTGAGACAAAAGACAACGCGTTAGACAGCTACAAAACCTGCCGGCTACAACACCAAAATTTGATAATGTTAAGATAATTCATCATATTTGAAAATTTATGCATGTTTTGACAAAAATTTTTTTGTTTCCACCTCCTAGATAACATCTCACGAGTTCCCTGAACTCGGCCTAAATTTAAGGCTCGTTCCTCACTCCGCCTTATCTTTCCCTACTTTAAAACTATATTGCCTTTTTCTACGTTACCCCCACCCTTCCTTATTCTACTCTTTTGCTTACTTTGCTCTTTTCTTTTTTTTATTTATCTTCTAGATGCAGAATCATTGAGCAACTGTTAGCAAACTCCTCAACTTGTGGTAGACCATACACACGGTACGAAAGACAGTAGTCGCTTCAAACTTCAGAATTTAAACAAAACATCAATAATGCTTGATTCAGAATCAATGTTATCTAAACCAGTAGAAAGAAGACGATTTTGTTATTAGGTTGAACCAATAATAGCGAGACACTTAATTTTTTTACAATTTTAAAATGTCCCGTTACTTTTGGTTCAATTTAATAGAATTGGTCTCACTAACCTCCAAACCATCTACTTAATCTTCTCCTTACTTTATCAAATAATTCTGGCCCTTTGTCCCGGCTAGCCGGCTCTTCTTTCTACCCTGAAATATATTGATGTAGATTGAACAGAAAATGAATGTTTGAATTGAAATTTTGTATCTTTGTCTAGCTTTTGCTTTAAAAGTTTCTCTATGTCATCTAACTAACTAAATTATGAAGTGGCAAGCTCCGTTTCGAATAAATAACTTACGTTTTCCGCTGCGACATCAGCTGGTGCGGCCATATATGAAGTTTCACAGTGAAAACTGGCTTTAAATACCTTCAAATCATTTTAAATAGTTAAAACAATAAATAAAAAAGAATAATAATCTAAAAAAGATTCAAAAACAAGTAAAATAAACACATTATTTATCCATTATAAGCTGCCTAACACAATATTGCGGGAAAAAGAATTTTTTTTATTCTTTCGTCGAGGAGCCTTGGCCGCAGGTTGCCATTGTTTTTGCCAGTTTTCAAACTATTCTTTGTTGATTTTCTAGGCGAAAGAGATATCAATGTTATAGAAAAATGGTTTAATATTTAAAAACATGTTATTTATGCCTTGTTTCTCACTTTCCCGTGTTGTTTTCCAATCAAATATAAACCATGATAAGATTGGAAGGTCATTTTGTGTAAAATCAAGTTAAAACAAGTTGGAAAGCAAACAAACTCAAAGTATTTATTGTTTACTCCATGAGATTGTTGTTAACTTTACTTTTATTGTTGCTAATTCCAAATGCATATTGTTATAGATACCTTTTTCAATCTATTAACATAGCCTACTCTCATCTGTCGTATGGAGCTAAATTGGCTGATTTGTTGGTCGAGGATGGTCATGATGTGGTAGGTTTTGAATAAATTTTTAGTTTTAAATGAATTTTAAAACTTTTAATTTTTTGGAATTTTGAATTTTTTTCGAATTATTCGAAATTTTCAAAATTTTTGAAATTTCAGGACTTCATAGTGAGAAAGTACAATACTTTTGTCAATTCTTATGGTGTAAAGAAAGCGAATCTTATTGTGCATGAAAACAAGTATATAAAAAAGATAAACAAGCTGATGGCATCGTTACCAATGTACCACAATGTGTTTGAACAAAGTGGTGACATCTTCACATTCAATGGTGTTAATACGTTACATAAAATTCTATCTACTGGCTGTTTTGGTAGGTTTATAATTTGATATGTTACTTTAGAGTAAGGTAAGGTATGGCCGGAAAGTTTAGTGTAGAATAGAGTATGTTAAGGTTGGTTAGGGTAGGGTAAGGTCATGATTTTCAATTTTAGGTACCATCGAAGACGTACAACTAATCCAAAGTTTAAAAGGCAAAAAATACGATGCAGCTTTTGTGGAACACTTAGATGCATGTGGTTTGATAGTGGCAGAGTTGGTTGGAATAAAGACAGTTATGTTGTTCTCGGTTCAAGGAGTTAGTTTTCCGGCAAGATATTACCTAAATCTGCCTTCAGCTCCTGGATTTGTTCCTGGTAAGGTTTTAATCGTAGCTTTACCTTAGTCCTGCTCTGCCCTAGCGCTGCCTTAGCCCTGTCCTAGCACTGCCTTAGCTTTGCCCTAGCCTTGCTTTAGCTATGCTCTGCCGTAGTTTTGCTTTAGCCCTGCCCTAATTCCAGCCCTAGTTCTAGCCCTAGCTCTAACCCTGCTTTGGCCCATCTCTAACTTTTCCCAACTCTGGCTTGCTCATTTTTAGCTATGATCTGGCTATGTTCTAGCCCTGCCTTACCCTATTTTGTTCTTCATTGTTTTTACTTGCTCGACCCACCTCGTCTTGTTCTAGGCCTCCCATGCTCTATCCCTGATCAAGTCCTGCCCTAGCTTTGCTCTCGCTCTGCTATTCTTTAGCCTCATCCTACTTTACTCTATCGTCAAAAAACCATACCATGAATTAGGGTTTTTCTACTTTAGTTCCATGGTATCCCTACTGTAACCTACTTTTTTTTTCATAGCTGAGTTAAGGCTTATCTAAACCGTCTCTAGCTTCACCGTGACAACGGTTTATATTGCCTTCCCGTATTTTACTATATTATATTGCTTTTGATTACCCCGACATACCATACTGTTACATTCTTTTAATTACTCTACCGTATATTGTTGTTATATTCTTTTTAGTCTATAATGAAGTACCACCATCTGGATATGAAATGAGCTTTGTTGAACGAGCAATGAACCTGTACAACTATTGGCGTTATGAAATGTATATTCCTAAAAAGCTACTGGGGGTAGCTGTAAGTTCAAAAATAATTTTAAAATTTCAAAATTAAAAAAAAAATTTTTAAATTTTTTGAAATTTTTTTAAAATTTTTCATAATTTTTTTATTTTTGAACTTTTACTTTTAGGCTAAACTACAATCAGCTGACTTGTTACCTAAAGACTTCCCTTCAGTAGAAGAGCTTGGATCACAGATATCTTATCTTTTTGTGAATTCAGTGGAATTTCTCAATTTTCCTGACTTTTACACGCCTCAAGTCAAACACATTGGTGGTATTGGAATGCCGAAAGCTGGCAATGTTGATAATTTTATATTACCTATAATAGAGAAAGCTAAGAAAGGAGTTGTGTGGTTTTCATTTGGAAGTATTGTCAATACAAAACTTATGAATGCCAGGATTAGACAATCTTTTATTGCCGCGTTTAGTCAGTTTGAAGAATATGAGTTCCTGTGGCAAATGAAGGACATTGATGAGGATGTTAAGGTAGGTGACATAGTTACCACACCCCTGTCTCGCTAGGAGTAGGGATAGGGGTAGAGGTAGGAAACGGTAGGGAAGTGTAGTTTAGGGTAGGGTAGGGGTTGGAGTAGGGGTTACGGTAGGGGTATGAATAGAGGTAGGTAGGAATATGGTAGAATTACTTATTATTATCATACCTTTACCCTGCCGTACTTCGGCCTTTACTTCTACCCTCTACCACTACTCTGCCTTACCCTGCCACTGCTTTTACTCCTACCCTTACTCTTTCAACCTACCATACCTTGCGTAATCGTAAACCCCTATCCCTTATCACTACCCCTTTCCTACCCTACCTTACCCTGCCGTACCTTTGCCTTTACCTCTACCCTTGTCCCATGTCTTGTTCTGCTCTACCCTTTACCCTTAATTCTACTTTTCCGACCTGTCATACCCTATCTACTCAATTTTACTTTTGCCTACCGTTTCTCTTGCCTAGTTCAAATATACAATACACACATTATCGTATGTACTACCTTCAGTTTCTTTTCCATATCAAAACTTCTATATTTTCAGAATGCATTTGCCTCCTACAACAATATTCACCTAATAGAATGGCTAAATCAACCAGCTTTGTTAGCTCATAACAAAACCAAAGCAATGATATCTCATGGTGGTCTAACTGGACTATTTGAAGCTATCAACTATGGTGTACCACTAATATCAATACCAATGTTTATGGACCATAAAAGATCGGCTGCTCTAGCCAAGTATCATGGCATTGGGGTCATTTTGGACAAATATACATTGACTGTTGATAAGATTGCCAGTGCTTTGAGGGAGGTACTGGAGAGTGAAATGTAAGCATAAGAATTCATTTTACAAGGGTAGGGTGGGGTAGGATGATATTACTAACTAATTTTTCAATTTCAGATACCAGCAAAACATTTTGAAAAAGCAAAAAATGCTAAAAGATGCCAATCCAAAACCAGAAGAAGTCTTCCTTCACTCTGTCAAATATGCTACAGAACATGGTGAAGAGTTGAAGAAGATCAATATTCCGCGCGTCAATTGGATTACCTACTTCTGTCTTGACATTGTTGTACTCATCTTTATCACTTTAGTTATTTTAATCGCTATTTTTGTAAAAATTTTAAAAAGAATCACGAATTTGACCAAAGGTAGAGGAAAGAAGGTGAATAAAGTTAAGAAAAACTAAACTGAATGACTTTAAAATGATAAACTGTTTATTTTTGTGACTATTCGATTAGGTTCTAATCGTTTAGCTGGGTACTATTCAGCGTATCACATGGCCATGGGCGCAACTGGAAATTACAAAATTATGAATTTTATTTTTTGAACGAAAAATTGTTGGAGCATGGATAATATCAAGGTTTTGCAACTTTTTTCGAAGATTTTTAGGTGAATATTTTTTATAAAAAGATGGAAAAGATATTTTAGTATGTTTCTACCACTATTTAATTAATTTTTGCTCAATTTTAGAATAGAATCTGACCTCAAAAGACGTTGAAAGTAAAATAAATCCTATCAACTTTGGTCTGGTTGGAAGAAAGACTTATTCAACTTCAAATCTTTTAAATTTTATGGCTATAATATCTTCACATCTATCCTAGAGAAGTTGATTATGTTAGGAGTGCAAGAATCACCTCGATGAAGAATCAGATGAACTTGAACTGGTCGATGTTGGGTTGGGACGTTTCACTTGCTGTGTCTTTAGCATGTTTGGGTACGTTTTTTGATAATTTTGTATTTTATTTTTAGACCTAAGATATTTGAAGCAATAAACTTGAAGAAAGAGCGCAATTTTGGACGTTTCATATATTGTAGTAAGTAGCCGTTTGGAAAATTGATGGTGTGCGCTTCTTTTGAGATTTACAACTATGATTTTTGGTTTAGATGATTGTGAATAGACTTGGCAAGCTTATGAATGTTAAATTTTGGCCATATTTTTGTTTTAAATTTTTAAAATTTGATTTTTAGCTTAAATTTCGTGCTCTGCTATTGCTAATTTGACTTTATTTTTTACATTCATATTGACTTACCGGTCGGGTTTTGTTATTTTATGCTATAAAACATTTATTTTTAAATTTTTTCTAGAACTATCAAATAATGGTTGAGAATGAACATTACTATGCAACAGTGTTGATGTCAATGACATTTGGCCTTATCAGTTGGATTATGACAACGCTTTTTGGATTCAAGATGAGTAGTTTTGCATTGATACCGGTAACGTGGAGTATGTGTGAATGGTACAAGTTATATGGAGATCGACTTACAATAATTGAGGTAATTTTGACTTATTTCCAGTTTTTTGAAGTATTTTTGGGGTTTTAGGATTGGAAAATGGCATTTCTTAGGATTTTGTTATTTAAAATTTTATTTTCTTACAACTATGTTACCTACAAATGGCATTAAAAAGTCTTGTCGTCAATTTACATGTGTTTTTCAGTGGGAAAACGACAAAATTTTTGTAACAGCTTAACATTGTTAATTCTTGCTTAAAATGACGTTTTAAAGCCTTTTTAATGTAAGCGATCTTTCAGAGGTTTTACATGAACATTCCGAACATATTGGAGACATCAGCCAATTTCGACTTTAATTTACCGGCCGATTTGAACGATATTACTCCGTGTTGTGGGAAATACCCAAAGGGAATAAACAGTAATGACAGTTCTAATGAAGGCAAGCTTAATCAGGTAAGGCTAATTTAAAATTTTTTTTGATATATTAAAAATTTAAATAAAAAGTCTGTATTATGCTCTGTAGCCCTACTTGACCAACTCTCATGCCCTTGGCGATCTTAATCAATTATAGTTCTATTTTCAGTTCTACGCTCTTCATTATGGCCCAGAGTATCGTACCAGTCGACAAGTGCAAGCCGAACAATCTTTGGAAAAGGAATCATCGAAAATGTCATCAAATAGTCATAAATCTGCTTCGAAACTTGATAAAACTGACAATTAGTTGTAAATATAGTATATGAGGTCTTGCAGTAAATAAAAACGATTGAAAATTTCTTGTTTTATCTATTAGACTCTAGTACTATAGTTTCCGTAGACCCGTACTATGATATTACGTAACAGCGCGAATCTGCGAGTACCTTTCCTTTTGTCTACGCCTTTAAAGGAATTTGATTGTATAAGTCCCTAAGGGTCAATTGCGTAGGTCCTCAAAGGTCAACGATCGGTAGAAATGCTTGATAAAAATTTTTCTGAATTGTCAGTATGAACATGTCAGTATCAATTTACACATCCGTGCAAGGCGGCTGCCATTGTTTTTTTGCTCCGTTATTGTGGTTTTTAAATTGTTTCTATAATATATTTGTTGTTTTTTTGAGACAATAACAAGTAGATATAGTAATTGAGTATATTTAAGTTATTCGTGCAAAATATTCGTCTTTGATTAGTTAGTGTAGTATTATTCTTGTATTTTAGAGTGTTGAAAAATGAACTGTGTTAGCAACGTTGCCAAGGTTGTCAGCCAAGAGGCTTCTGGATTCCAGAAGATTGAAAAACGTCAAACTTCCAGCAAGTCAGTTGCACTCAAATTGACAGCTGAATGCAACAAAGCAATTCAGAAGGCTATTGAGATGGGCTGGCCAGTTAGAATTGTGTCGACTGAAACAGTAAGTTGTCTTATCCGTTCAACACTGACTATAATTAAAAAATGACTATAACTAAAAGAAAATTTTATGAAGTAATTTAATTATGTAAAGCAGTTAAATAAACAACAATAATATCTTTCTTCAGGGCGTCACGATTGAGGTTGGTAACAGTAGCACTTCAGTGTGCACTTTTACTTGTAAGCAACAAAGGCTGAATGGTAATGTTGAGGCTGTTAGCCAAACAGGTACAACACGATTCGAGAAGGTTTCTTCACTGAAGAATAAACTTGTGGTCAACGATACCGATAAATCCTTTGCTGACGCACGGCACCAAATTGCTAAATTGGCAGATGTGCAATCTCACGCATAAACAAAAACAGAAACAACAAAAACATCAACGAACAAAAAGAAAAGAACGGTAACTTCATCTGTCGACGGCAATGATCAGGTTTTGTCCATGCTTGAGGGTCCAGCATCCAAAAAAGCAAAACTATCAAATCAGAAGATGGCAACGGCAAAAACAGAAAGTATTGGCAACAAAAATGATTCATCTGCTAAAGGAACGATCAACACGAAATATGGCAGAATCAGCCACGGAAAAAAAGATAGTCAACTTGGACGTCACTTCAGACACTGAGGATTCAGATGTCGAACTGGCAACAAAGGATGTAGATGTCAAACATAACTGGGCAGACTTATACGCCAAGCCAAAGTCTTGTTGTTTAACATCAGACATACCATGCTTAATTGATTGGTTTAGTACTTATCCTGAAGTTGAAGACGCCAAGACTTGTGCTCGATACACAGAGTTGTTTGAGGTTTGTGGTTTTTAAATTTAATTTAACAGTTTTGGGTTACGTAAAAACGTTTTAAAGTACGGATTTTAAAAATTCATAGTTTTCTTGTTTTTAGGTAATCAACTTGTTTTTAAAAAATTAAAACTTATTTGGACAAATATTATGTTTATTCTTGTTTTAGAGTGCTTATCCAACTTACGTTAAATATAACGTAAAACTGGCCGAGGTATACCAAGAATTTGCTAGATTCCAGAAAATCTACGATTATGCTGAATTTGAAGATAAAATTAAGGTAAGTATATTAATATCTTAGCAGACCCAATTACTATGGGAGTGTAGGTGTATGACATTGTTTGCAAGCAAGTGAAATATGTCACTTTTTATGTGTTTTACACAGCATTTACTTATTTCTTTTAGGCAGCTCAAAGGCTTCAGCAACTCCACGACAAGTACGATTCGGATGCCGAGTTTTACAAACTGCGCAAAGAACACCTTACGCATCACCTCAAATTAGAAGCGCTGAGGAGGCGGATTGAAGAATGGAATGAAAAACAATAAAGTACAGTAACTCTGTTTCGTATCATTGTTTATTTATTATTTTACAGTATCACGTACTACGTAATTGTTGTTACCATATCTTTGTTTCTACTTTTTATTGTTATGTTACAATAAAAATAAAAAAAGTTTATCTTATATGATTTATTTAAAAAAATTATTCCAAAAATCGAATTAGTGGAGTAAGTGGTGACATATACTATGACTGGGTCTTGTTTAAAAAACAGGAATATATGGTGCAACTTCCTTGTAAGCATATACAACACTGTATAGTATATTAGTCGTTGATTTTTTATGTTATACCATATACATGTATATGTTTAAAAGGAGGTTATGCGCTGACTCTTTAATTAAGAGCCCTTACTAATACAAGAACTTGTTAGGAATCGGAAGGGAAAAGAAAACTTGAATCACGTAATAACTGAATACAATACAATAAACGCCGTTTGATTTGTTTTCTCAACCAATTTCGTATACGGAAGAGAGGGAGGAGGAAAGGGCGGGGTGAAAGTAAGTTTATACGAAACCAAATGAATATGACCGGATGGATGACTTTGAATTATAAGGTATGGCTACAACATGGTAAGGCAGAAATAAGGCAGGGTAGGACAGGGATAGGTGGAATGCAGGGCAAGGTAGAATAAGATAAAATATGGTACGAAAAGATAAGGTAAGGGTGTAGAGTAAGGTAGAGTAGGGTAGGGTAGAATATGGTAGGGTAGGATAGGGTAAAATAGGGCAGTATACTGTTATTTTTTAAATTTTTTCCATTTTTCATTGCTAATTATCATATGATTTTTGGAATTGCTCCTTGTTTCAAACTCATTTGTTTTAATGAATTGTCTGTTATTTGTGAACATATTCTCACCGTTAAATATAAGGTGCTGATTTAAACTAACGACTTTTTTAGTTTACATACATCATTTATAATATATCATTTTGCAGTTTCAAACATTTTTTAAGAAATTTTAATCAACTTAACAAACTAAAGTTGATTAAGGAGCGTGCTTAAGCTGTAGCTGATTAATAGGAAGTTTGTAAGCTAATAGTCAATGATTGTTACTCATTGTATGTTACTTCGAAAGCTGAGAATGTGATAAGTCATCACAGAATATGGAATTTGCGTCTTTTTGTTTTTCACTGTATTTTTGTATGAACAGATGGTCAAATGGCTTATTTACTATAATCTTAAATTTGATAAATAAAAGGGTAATAATTTATGATTTTAGCTCTTAAAATGCAGTTTAGGCGGTCTGGTATAGTATTTGTGATTTTTTATACGTTCTTTTAAGCTACGTTTCATTTTGTATAAAAATGCTTTTATATATTATAGAGTAGGATTAACGTACGAGTACGGTAAGAAAAATCGGGTTATGTTAAGGCTACCATAGTAGCTACAATACGAGGTCTAGGGCTAGAATTAGGACTAAAGTTAAAGCAAAAGCTAGAGCTAGAGCTAGAGCTAGAGTTAGTTAGAGCTAGAACTTAAGCTTTAGCTTCAGCTAGAGCTATAACTAGTGCTAGGTTAAGGTTAATATATGCCAATTAGGGTAGGATGCCCATGGTTTGATAGTGTATCCAGTTTTAAAAATAATTCGTAAATTTTTTTATTTTAGTCTTGGCTAAGTAATGGACACTAAAACGTTTAGACAAACCATAAGTTTTGCTTACTTTCCAATTCTCTAGCCACTTCATCTTCCCCTTCAACTCTTCCTTTACCTCATCCCTCTAAATTGGTGTTTTATGTCATCGGACGAAACGTATTCTCTGTTTGATCGTCGCTAATCCGTTTATACCATTTAACGTATCTAATAATCGACCCTTCTGGCGAGGAACTGGTTTCACGATGAGGTTACATCTTCTTCTCCTTTTGCGGTAAAAACTTTCTGTATGTTCTTCGTTCAGGTATAGGGAACGCTGTTTGTGTAGCGTGTTTGACTTTGGAAGGCGGATTTTTTGTTTGATTTTGGAGTTTGACACCTTTTTAGAGGGGGGGGGGTATATTGTTATAGTTATAGTGTTTTTCATCTTTAAGTTTATATAACTTTGTCATTCTGTGGCAGAGCCGGCCGGAGTAATTTATGTTTTAGGGTATGGCGTGGTATTTTTTTAGGAAAGTTGACGAAAACACTAAGCTTGACAAGCAAAGGAAATGTGGGGAGGGGCAAGAGAAAGGAAAATTTTTTTCAGGATGGTGGCGGTAGGGGTAAACGATTACTCTTTTCATGGAGGGGGTAAAGATTTGTTTATGTTTTTTAAAGGGGGGGGCTGGGCAGAGGAGGGCAAAGCAAGGCAAGGCAAGGCAAGGCAAGGCAAGGCAAGGCAAGGCAAGGCAAGGCAAGGCAAGGCAAGGCAAGGCAAGGCAAGGCAAGGCAAGGCAAGGCAAGGCAAGGCAAGGCAAGGCAAGGCAAGGCAAGGCAAGGCAAGGCAAGGCAAGGCAAGGCAAGGCAAAGGTAGAGTAGGGTAAAGTATGACTTCACTGTAAAAACCAAAAATATTTTAAAAACCAGCCCGTCTGTTACCTAAAGAATCAAAAAAAAATTCCGAACCGTTGAAAAAAAGTTGACAAATCGAAGTTCACTTCTGACCAAAGTTATTTTTTTTATTTTTGAAGAAACGGGGTGAAAGGAGCAGCGTCGCTTTAAGTGAGTTCAAATTAGGTATGGCGACGCCTCTTGAGTCATCCAAAAAAAAAACGGTGGGGAACAGTGAAGGTTAAACTGTTAACGATTATAATGGGCTATTTAAACTGAAAAATTTTAGTGACTTTGGAAAAAGCGGAGGTGGGGATAGTTTAAAATTACTACTAGAGCCCAGAGCTCTAGCTCTAGCTCTATCCCAGAGCCCTAGCTCTAGCCCAGAGCCCTAGCCTTAGCTATGGTTAATTAATTATATATGACTTTATTGAGTGAAAGTGAGACCGAGACGACGTTTCTTTTTTTTCATTTTTGTTTTTTATTTCAATTAAAAAGTATTATAATCGAATTGCGCAATCGATCTCTTTCGCTAACAGCTATTTCAGCGCTAGCGTTACCTTTACTGCAGCCTAGCCATAGCTTTTAATGTGTCTAAGTAAACCCAAGATCAAACACTAATGTGCTAAGTGTTTTAGCTTTGTGATTTGAAATTGTTCGAAACGGGTCATTTGTTACACGACCCAAATTTGTCAGTTTTGATCAAAGCAGTAACATTGACTCATGGCGTATCAAAAAAAGACAAAATTTTCTGTGAATATAGCTTGCTATAATAGCTAATAATCTGGGTTTATCATTTTTTTATTGTTTTAGCCAAGGTTTTAATTAAAATTTTCAAAATTTTTGAAAAAAGTTTTAAGTTTTAGTTTTTTAGTACGATTAGGACTGACAATAATGAGCCAGAAGGGAAGGGGTGAAGACACAAGAGGTTCTCTTGAGGGTAGGAGCTAAGGCTGGACTACAGAAAGGGTAACGGTAGGGTTACAGTAAGGGTAGGGCTACTGCTAACATTAAGAGCAAGGGTTACGGTGAAGGCGACGCTAGGACACTAGAAAGGGTAAGACCAAGGCTTCAATGAGAACAAAATTGGGGCTAAAGTAAGGGTTTAGGTCTACGGTTAGTGTAAAGCTAAGGCTGCAGTAAGGGTAACGCTAAAGCTTCAGTAAGCATAAAATTAGCACTCGGTTAGACTTTTGATCTATTGAACTATACATAGGTTTAAAAACATTTTCTATTGGTTTCAAGTGTTTAACAGGTGAAAATCATTGTAGCTTTTTATGAGTATTACTACGTGTCTTGTTTATATGATAAGTAATCTATAAGTAACTAAAAGCAAAGTGGCATATAATAACTTTGTTTGAACTTTTTATGATAATAGTCTTGTTACTTAAGGTACCTAGAGGTTTAAGGCTAGTTGGCTAAAACATAATTAAGCGGGGGCTTTAAAGAACATGGCAAAGCTATGAGGACAGGATAAAGCTATGGTGAGGCTACAGTAAAGTTGATCGAATATGTTACGGTAAGGCCACTAGCAGATAAGGCTAGGAGTAGGGCTTGCCCATAAAATTGTTTTGCTGTTTTTAAATTTTTTATCACGCCCAACAGTTTTTTATCGTAAAATGGTAAACATTACCCTTAATCTTAGCTTTATTTTTAGTTTTAGCCTTTAAGGCTTAGTTCAGGTATTAGACTTTTTAGTCTTTTATCCATCATAGCTCTTTTATAGCCCTACCATTTTAAATTTAATATACAGCTTCAAAACGTCATTTTTAAATTAATTTAGTTTTAATTATACCTTTTTTACACTTACAAACCCCTAAAGTTCGTCTTCTTGATCCTTTTTATTATCTTTTTCTTCTAAAGCCTTATAAGTTATCTACTCTTTATACATTTAAACAGTATAAACAAACAGATTTTAAGTTTAGACAGCTTACACCAAAAAGTCTCTAAACTGTATATTTGTGTTTTAAAAAATGTATAAAAAGCATTTTTTTGTTTAATCCGATTTGAATACAAATTTAAACGGCTTTTGTAAGTCATATACATATGCGGAGGCTTTTGGCTAAACGTGGTTTTAACGCTACGTTTTATCATTTTATCATCTGATATAACAATTTAAACGGCCGGAAATTTGAAACTTTTTGGAAATGATAACCTTATTTTAAGTTGTGTCACAGCATTCTTCTAGCTTTAGCCTCAGCCTGACACTGAGTGTGAGCCCTAAGCGTGCGACTGAGCTTGAGCTTCGGCATGAGCATGAGCGTGAGCATGGTCCTGAGCATGAGCATGAGCATGAGCATGAGCATGAGCATGAGCATGAGCATGAGCATGAGCATGAGCATGAGCATGAGCATGAGCCTGAGCCTGAGCCTGAGCCTGAGCCTGAGCTTGAGCCTGAGCCTGAGCGTGAGCCTGAGCCTGAACCTGAACCTGAACCTGAACCTGAGCCTGAGCCTGAACCTGAACCTGAGCCTGAGCCTGAGCCTGAGCTTGAGCTTGAGCTTGATCTTGAGCTTAAGCCTGATCTTGAGCATGAGCATGAGCGTCAGATTAGCTCAATTTCGTGTGAATTTCGGCTAAACCTGTCCTGGGAACCAGGCCTACTCTACTATCTTTAACTTAAATCTGTCTTAGCCTGCCTCAACCTCTAAAGCTACCCTGTTCTATCTGTTCCCTGTGTTTCAGAGCGTTCTTATACTATAGCTAGGGCTAGGACAGTTCATACAGATCTGATGTTAGGTTAGAAGAACTGCAATTATAATAGAAATGTCTTTTTAAAGCTAGCACGTTCCTCTACAACAGCTAGTATTAGTGCATAGATTTGTTTATTTCGAAGTTTGTTTATCTATTTTACTTCTTGGCGTTCACACTTTGTTTTTTATATAAATCTTGAAGCGCCTTTCATTTTGATTATGATTTCATTTGTACCTTTTTGGGTTTTTAATTGTTTATAGACAAGTCTAGTTAAATTACCGTCTTTTTCGATTTTCTGCAGGGTTTTTTCATCAGTATAGGCTGCTGTTTTAAAATTTCGATATCTAGAAATTTTTTGTTTAGATTTTGAAGTATTAACCATATCGATACTATTGGTCTTGGTGATCTTTAAGATTAAGTTTTTAAGGGTGTGGACCGGACGGGGACTTTTGGTCTGGGGGCGAGGGTCGAAAAAGTCGGCACAGGTAGATACCGAATTTTTTGCGAAAATTTTTTTTCCAAAAATCCACAGGGGGGGGGGACCACGTTCAACTTTTTTTCGAAATTTTTTCGTGGGGGGACGGGGGTCCCGCCCCCCTCCCTTCCGTCCATTCCCCTCCCCCCTCTCCCCCCTCCCCCCCCTAGCATCCGGCACTGGATGTGAGTGGGGGTATAGGCAGGGCCGGGCGGGGACTTTTGGTCTGGGGGCAGGGGTCCAAAAAAATCTACATGGGGGACCACGTTCAAATTTTTCGAAAAATTTTTTTTCTGAGGGGGGGGTACCCCCCCATCCTCCCCCCCTCGCGCCCGGCCCTGGGTATAGGGGTAAGGCTGATGAAAATTTTTTAAAACTTCTTAAAATTTTTTTAAAGGATAAGGTAGTGTACGGTAACTTAGGGTATTAAAGAGTAGGGTAGTGTACGGTAGGGTAAGGTACTATTTGTTTGGTGCTCTTTAGGACTTGGTTGCTAGGGGTGCGAGTATAGGGGCGGGAACGACGAATTATTTTTCACCTTTTTTGAAGGGTAGGGTATTGTACGGTAGGGTACTATGGGATAGGGTAGGATAATGTTTCTCTTGGTGATCTTTGTGACTTAGTTTTCAAGGGTGAGAGAGGAAGTAGAGTAAGGTAAAAAAATATTTTAACATTAAAAAAATTTTTTTTCTTTCCCCCCCCTCCCTTCTATAAAATTTTTTTTTCCCTACTTACCCTAGGCTTTTACGCTAAATATCCCTAAAACCGCATAATTATGCCTTCCTCCCACAAATTTTTAAAAATAATGTGCGAAAAATTAATAATTCATTGCCTCGAGGCGTAACATCGAAAAAAGTGTGTCAAGATTTTTAATTCACGCCCCTAGGGGGTAATTAGTTTCAAGCCAAACAATTACAATTTTAAGATTAAGCAGTGTTTGACACGAAAAGGCCAAAGTAGTGTAGATATATATTTATATGTGTTACTTTGTTAGTGTAATTGGACGAGAATGGTTGGTAATAGGGGTTCTGTTACCTTTTGGAGAATATTATGATGGGTTTAGGTATTTATTCGTAGTGTCAAAGCAAATTTTTTTAGTTCTAGTCTTAGCTCTAGCTTTAGCTTTATCTCTAGCTCTAGCTCTATCTCTAGCTCTAGCTCTAGCTCTAGCTCTAGCTCTAGCTCTAGCTCTAGCTCTAGCTCTAGCTCTAGCTCTAGCTCTAGCTCTAGCTCTAGCTCTAGCTCTAGCTCTAGCTCTAGCTCTAGCTCTAGCTTTATCTCTAGCTCTAGCTCTAGCTCTAGCTCTAGCTCTAGCTCTAGCTCTAGCTCTAGCTCTAGCTCTAGCTCTAGCTCTATCTCTAGCTCTATCTCTAGCTCTAGCTCTAGCTCTAGTTCTAGCTCTAGCTCTATCTCTAGCTCTAGCTCTAGCTCTATCTCTAGCTCCAGCTCTAGCTTTAGCTCTAGCTGTAGCCCTACCCCTAGCCTTAATCATGCTCCTGTCGCTGCCTTCCGCTATTCTGTGCTTACCCTTCCGTACTCTCGCCTTTACTCTTATTGTTAGTTTTACTTTTTTGACCTACTATACCTTATCCTATCGTAAGCGCCTATCCTGACCTACCTTCTATTGTCTTGTTCTATTAGGTTGAACTTATTCTTGGCTGGTGGTTATTTTACCGTAACTTATTTTATTTTATCAACTATATTGTAGCCAACTAACCTTAGCTCTTTACGAACCTCTTTTATGGTGTTTGTTTGATTGCTTGAAGTATTTTACATTTTTTAAAAAATTATTGCCATTTTATGCCATGTGATCTTATAATAGTTTTGTCTCAATATTTGTCATGTTATAAAAGATCAAAGAAAGAAATATGTTTGAGAAGTAACAAATTAACTGACTAACATAAGAACGGTCGGCTGAATGGTCGCAATTTTTCATTGTTAGTTAATCATCATACTGCCTAGTTTCTGGTTTAATCATAGAATTTTGTTTTGTTTCAATTAAAGGGAAGACTAACGTGACACTACCTGATTTGAGTTGAGGCTAGCGCAAAATTTAACTTTTTTTAGATTTTAATTTTTAAAATTTAAAGATTATTTTAAATTTAAACTAAATAAACAATTTAAACCCTACTTTTCAAAGTTGTTTGCAACCTTTTGTTAAACTTGTCAACCATGAACCCTTTTTTGGAAAAACCCCTTCCAGCGGTAGCATTTTTTGTTATGGAACAAAGACAAACACCGTTAAGATATCAGACAAAGTAAATTTTCGAAAAAGTATTGGTTCGCTTTTAATTACTTTACAATCTGCTTTTGGAATTTTTTTGATTTTTTGAAATATTTGAAATGGGTTTAGGTTATTTGGAGATTGGTAGCATTGGGTCATTTATAGGCTGATATCATAATATGATAATATTTTATATATATTTTATAAAAATTATGATTACAATGGAACTCCTGTATAACAAATAGCTCAAAGATTTTAAATTTTTTCGTTATAAAGAGCGTTTTACATATTATACAAAAGTTTGTTGGACTGTATTTTATAAAAAAAGCAATTTTTAAACTCGAATGGCTTAAATTAAATTCATAAAAAATTTTTTTTTAAGAGCAGAAGCAAGTACGATCAGGGCCGGGCGCTGGGGGGGGGGAGGGGGTAGACGGCCGCCCTGTTGAACGTGGTCCCCCCTGTGGATTTTTCAAAAATGTTTCGCGAAAAATTTTTTGACCCCCGCCTCCGGACCAAAAGTCCCCGCCCGCCCCCGAGTACGATAGAAAGCATTTTTGTATTATATCAATGTTTACCTGAGTTAAGGTAAAGAATAGGGGAGCTAAATCCAATTTTTGAACGTTTGATGGAGATGGGGCCGGATAAGGCGTGGAGGGAGGCAGTGTAGTAAAAGACAAGACAGGGCTAACTCTAGAGCTAGGACTGTAGGTTGAACCAAAAGTAGCGGGTCAGTTTTTAGTTTAAAAATAAAGGAAAAGTGTCCCGCTACATTTGGTTCATCTTAATAAAACATAAATCTTAACTTCATTTGTCTATAAAAGTTTCGAAAAAAGTTGAACGAGTTCCCCCCCCTGTGGATTTTTTCGACCCCCGCCCCCACACCAAAAGTCCCTGCCCGGCCCTGTGTACCATTTTCTATTTTTTTTTATTTTTTACATTTGGCCGTGTTTTATATTAATATATATTAATTTATACCCATTTTTTATTTTTTAAAACTTTTAATTTTGAAAATTCCAGGCGCGAATGCGCTCTCCATCCTACAGTCCACTGCCCTCACCCATACCGGCAGTCGCATCACAAGCAGTTCGCCGACCCTTCATACCATTTCTATGTTTGGCAGTGTTTTGTATTGTGGCATGGCATTCCTATCCTCAAATATCAGCCAATTTTGACACTGTGCCACTAAATGGTAAGTTTTTTAAATTTTATGTATGAGGGCGTGGTAAAAATTTTTGGTGGAATATTGGGGTGGTAAAACAATATAAGAATCTTTCGGGCGGGGTAAAAAAATTTTGAGTGAGGGGAGGAGGGGGAAGTCATGTGGGTAGGTATAAAAACATTTTTTGACAAATTCAAACAAAAAAAATTGGGCGGTGTAAAAAATTTTTTGGGGGTAGATTAAATTTTTTATAAAAAAATATGGGATGAGAGTTAGGCTGGGAAAAACGAAGCTTTTCACGAATTTTAAACATAATAAAATTTCAATTTCAGTAGAAACAACCACCACCCCACCAGAGAACGAATGCTTGATCATATTGATCACTCCGACTTATGCCAGGCCGACTCGGATGCCAGATATGACGAGAATGGCACAGACCTTGATGTTAGTCAAGAACATTCACTGGGTTGTTATCGAAGACGCCAACAAGACTTCTGATGCCGTGGAGAGGCTACTGGAGCGGAGTGGAATACCGTATACTTACTTGTTCACTACTACTGTTAATCTGCCTAGTAAGTGTACTGTACTTTTTGGTTTTCTATAGCATCAGGCTGGGCTACAGTAGGGTAGGATATGGTAGGGCATTGTAAGGGTAGGGCAAGTCAAAGGAAGGCAGGGCAGAACAGGGCAGGGTAAATTATGGTAAGGTAGGGCAGGGCTGGGTAGACCAAAGTAGAGTAGGGTCAAGGCAGGGAGGGTCAAGTAGGACAAGTCAAGGAAGGGCAGGGTCGAGCAGGACAAGATAGGATAAGGTAGGGTAGGGTACACTGTTAATAAAATTACAGTACCACCTTTTCAGAACGTGGCTGGTACCACCGTAACATGGCTCTAGACGTAGTCAGTACCAAGTACCGTGAGTATAACGAATGTGCCGTGGTTTACTTCGCCGATGATGACAATACGTATGACTATCGTCTCTTCAATGAGTACATCAGAAAAGTGAGAACGGTCGGTTTATGGGCAGTCGGCTTCTCTGGTGGTGCCAAAGTGGAAGCACCTCATGTTGAGAAAGGCAAGATCACGAAATGGGACGTTGTTTATGCTCCGAATCGACAGTATGCTACGGATATGGCTGGATTTGCGGTCAATTTGAAGCTGGTCAGGAATTCAACGTGAGTTTAAAAACAGTCTTCCCTACCCACTCCTATCCTACCCTACTCTCCAATGTCCTACCGTATCATGCCCTGCTTGGTCACGCCTTGACCTGTTCTACCCTAGTCCATCCTATCCTACCCTATAATAACATAAACTCTGGCATAACTTGCCCGGTTCTATTCCACCGAACTGTATTGTACCCCCCCCCTCATACCCTATAGTAGCCAACGTTTTACCTCCCCTATTCTATTCAACGTTATCATACTCTTTTTTAGCTTACCTGACAAGGTACCGTACACAAACTTTACCGTATTTATAAGATGTTTATAAACAAACATTACTGTACTCATGCTTTATTGTTTATACCGTCTTTCATCTTCATTTATTTTCCCTATACTCTATCCTACCCTCCCTACCCTACATAAACTACCCTATAAACTTGTTACTTTCAGAGCCAGATTCGACAAGTCCTGCGGCAAAGGTGATCCGGAGAACTGTTTCCTGAAGAAGCTGAACGTATCCAAAGCCGACTTACAGCCTTTTGGGTATGACAAACAGCCTAAAGACATATTGGTATGGCATACCCAGTCAAGGACGCCTGAAGGCAAAGGATCATCACATGGATATGTATATGAAGAGAAGAAGAAAACGTAGTATATATGGGCTCTATTGCTTTACTGTGCGGTATCATAGCTCTTTTATGCTTCGTCGTGCCGTGAATTTGAACTACAGTGTTCCACCGTGTTCTAGCAGTGTTTTGACACCGTACTGGGATATTAAGTAGTACTTTTGGTACCTTGTTATGCAGTGTTGTATTGTTTTACTGTGACGGATCATAGCTCTTTACTGCTTTACGGTGCTGTGAATTTGAACTGCAATGTTCTACCGTTCTCTAGCAAAGTGTTTTGATACCGTACTGGCCTATAAAGTGGCACTGTAGGGACCTTCTTGTAAAGAATCCTACTGCTATGGTACTCATCTGTACCGGCTTACTTTGCCATACTATATCGTGATGCTTTGTTACCCCCACCGTTCTCTACCGTGCTATGTGGTACTAATAAGTTTTCTTCACTATATATCTTAGGTTAGTACTACTAGTACTATAATATTTTCACACTCTATATAGTACTGCTAGTACTATATTTGTACTAGGCTTGTTATTGTCACAAATTTTGTCTTAACATCATAATAACATATTTTATGTTACGTATATTAAAAAACCGGTTCTAGCTGTCGATTTCCATAATATTATTCACTTCTGCCATACAGTAATCCTTAATACTGTAATAACTTTGTCTTTTCAAAGTTCTTGATACTTTTTTAGTTTTGTAGCATACTGTAGCCTTCTGTTTATTGTATTTTTAGTAATTCTTTATTTTAAAATGCAAAAAAAGACTTGTCGTCATTTTTCATTACTTTACATAGTGAAAAACGACAAAACTTTTCTGGCTTTTCTTTTTTGGACTTACTGTAACTTATAATAACGTTTGGCTTGAGTAGCTTATAATGTCAATTTGTAACTTGTTTATAGTCATATCTTTCACAATTTTAACGTGTAATTCACAAAAACCAAACATCCTTGCGGGTTTTACCATTCATCGACAATAATATAGAAGTTTTTCTTGTTTTGTTGTAATTTTACGGTTCATATTGTTATACATCTCGGTTATAATAAATATTGTTATTGGATTTTGAACTAGCCATTTTTTCAAAAAAAATTTTTTTTCATCAAGATTAAGATCCGAAAAAGTGAAGATTTCAATATATTTTTATATTTTGTCAATAAATTCCTCAACAAACTTAACAAAAACTATTAAACACATACCAAAAAAACTGATAAGTCTCATATGAAACAACTTTTTCAAATAAAAACAGTCAATTTCATATAAAACCACTAATGCCTAAGATAATATTCGATAACCGTCGAGAACGCGGCAAATCCAGCCGCTCCAAATAAAGCCGGCTTCACACCGGCCCGCAGACCAATCGTACCTCCAACTATCGCTCCGGAAAACGTACCATTCTTCCAATCCGACTTTCCTCTCGCCGTTTCTAATAAACATTCCGTTCCTGCGAACATTAGACCAAGAGAAGCAAAGTTTTTGGCGTACGACACCATCCGACCCTTCATTTCGCCCCATGTTTCACGTAGAGATAGCTAAAACATATTTTATCAAACCTTTTATTTACCGTGCTTAATGTTGGCTACAAAACCAAATTTACGTCAGAAAACAGCAACGACACCTCAAAGCCAACATGAATAATATGAAAGGTCTTACCGGTTTCGTTGGATCTTTATTCATACTTAAAGATGGATCGACTGACGCTGTAAACAATCCGAATGCCACTCCTACACCTCCACCAAGCACAAATGACAACGCTGCCTTAAATGCACAGTTTTCCATCGTATTGTGTATTAGCCTTTCTTCTTTCGACATTGGAGGCAATGACAACATCTAAAACATGGATTCTAAGAACTAAGGTTGTTCAGAAGACTCTTTAGTTTATTACCTATATAAACACATCAAATGCAAGACAAATTGTTATTAAAACGAGAAAAAGATGTTTTATTGATGTTACTTAAGCTAGTAGATGGTATGTGAATATAATAGCTCATAAATATAAATTTGCCGCTCAGACCAAATTAAAACTGTTTTAAAAGCATACAAAAAACATTCTTCTTCCTTCTACAACTCAAAAAATATACCTACTAACAAAAAAGTCTTATTACAGCCCAAATCAACAGCTCAACATCAATACCTTACCATATTCGGGACAATCGGCTTCTTTTCAGCATTCCACGGCCGTGACCTGTTGCCAATCATATCATCAACAAGTTTAAAGTATGTGGAAGGTTTGTAGTCAAATACAGGCTCCTAAACACAAAAATACTCACAAAAATAAAAACTTACCGGCTCCTTCGGCTTCGTCTTTTCTGACTTTTTGCTGAAAGGATTCCCAAATATGTCGTTAAAGTCTGTTCCTCCTGTCGTCATACTCATCTTGAAGGTATTTTTATCTACACTGAAGAAAACTAACAAGAATTGAGACGAGTTGTTGAGGAAGAACAAATTTTATTAATTTTACAAAATAAATTTATTTTTTAAAACGAGAGTGGACCCATTTTTACTTTTGAGTCATTTGTTGCTTTATGTTTTATATTTTTTCGGCAGATCCCACTGGCTTTTAAAGGACGTTTACATTTGGATTTGTCCATATGATATACCGTTTTTGGGCTTAAAATTTACCCATTTTTCTTACAACTCTTATAGTTTGTGTTTTAAGTGTTTATTTTTTTAGAAAATGCCAAAGAGAGGAAAGCAAACGGTCCAACGCAGACGTCGTAGACAAGATCGTGCCATTTCACGCTCCTACTCTACGGATTCTGATGGTTTGGGGGAAGAAATCAAAGAAGTGTTTGAACAGATGGATTTTATTTACGGAGAGCTGGAAGGTAATGTTCTTTACATATAGTATTTATGTTTTACTTTTAGTTGTGGTTAACGCGGACTCGTTCGTCTTCTCTAACGTAGAATTGAGTGAAATGGATGGAAGTTTGGATTACGTCTATGAGCAAATTGGCAGTACGTTTGTTTTGAGATTTTTGCAAAATTTCTTATAGGTTTAGGCTACTTTTTTGATATGATATGCATCTCGTTTGTTGTGGTAGACCAAAGCTGATGTTTCTTTGAGTTTTGTTGGCAAATCATTGTGTTTTTGATGAATTAAGGCTATTTTAACATAAAAATGGCTTTAAAGATTAATTTTTATTGTTTTTGACTTCAATTTCTCGCATATTTTAGAATGGCTAGTCGGATATTGTGGATGCTTAGTACAACGAGAACAAACTGGCCATTTGGACATTGATGCCGTGGAGAATTGGCTGGACAGGCTCTTGGGGATTTGTTATCAATTAGAATGTAAGTTTAGATATTAAAATTTCGTTTAAAAATTGGTTTAAAAATATGAAACTTCAGAATTTAGGTAACAAAATTCTAAGTTTTGATTTTATGATTTAAAACATAAAAATTGAGTTTAAAAATAAGGCGTTTGATTAGAAAATATAAAAATGACTTATTTTATGTTAAACTCTTTTCAGCCTGGGTCAAACTTGTTGACCACGTCCTAGAGCACCCTGAAAGCCTGTATGGTAGCGCAGAACTCCCTTCACAGCACGAAAGAGATGCCCAAGAGTTGCGAAGGCGTAGATCTCGAGTAAATGAAGTTCAAGTTTACCTGAACAAGCTCAAGGAACGACATGCAGCTCATTTGGTGACGAATGATCACAGATCTTTGAATGAACTTGATGCAGAAGATGTGCTGGACCGTGTAGCTTATCGTTACAATAGATTTATGGCTGTAGGTTAATTATAGGGTTGGGTCATGTTTGGGAATGGCATTTTTTAAATTTTGGGCTTAAATTATTTGGTTTAATTAGATTTATCCAAACTTATTGATTATTAATTATTGTTAGCTTGTTGAAATAATTCTGAGCCACACTCAAAGCAAATTTTAAGGGTTTTGGGGCTTAGCATTTTTTGAAAAACCTAGTAATATTTAACTTGACTATATATACAATATTTATTGTAAGGAAAATGAGGAATATTAATGGCTTCGTTAACTAAATTTCACTTTTTTCCATTTCAGGCCGCTTTCCCATCAGCAACGGCCGACGAACTGATGCAAAAAGTAATGGGAAAGTCTGTCGAGGACGTTACCCAACTACTGAAGAACCTACCCTTCGATGGCTGTGTACCGGTGCAGAACATTACCCCTACAGCCGAAGTCAATGGAGTATTACCTTCGTAGTATAAACAATTATTTAAATAACTGCATGTAAATATATTGTTTAACATGGTATTTAATATTCTTTCATTTTAAATTGTCTATTTTGTATTTTAACAATAAACTTTTGTTATAATAGACAAAGAAAGTCAAAAAATCAATTTTTAAAGTGTCGAACATCTACTTTAACCATCCTCTTCAACCTTAGCTTCTCCGTACACTCTTCAGCCTACTAATCACCAGATTTCCTTTTCATAGCGTCCAAAAAATGCGTAATCTTTCAAAAAACCTGTCATATATCCGTTCCAAGAAAAGACCGTTGCCGTTGGCGAATTCCGAATTTTTTTTCATGTCATTTATTGATTATGGTACCCAATAAATTATGATAATTTATCAACAAAGATTTTTATTCAAACGAAAACATAACAAAAACAATATTGAAAAGTAAAAAAAAAACAAATTTCACTGGTCTTCAATTCAAATTGGTCAACAACTCCTTGGCCGTTTCAAAAACCGTTGCCAATTTAGGGCTTTCTTCTTGACTCGATGGTTTTTCCTTGAATAATCGTTGGACGGCCGAAACCAGTGGTCGTAGCCTAAAGAAGATCATTTTCTTGGCCGCGGCTGGGTTTTTGCCAAGGATTTCGGAGAGGCGGATTCTGGCAGGGTATGACGAGATCAGGGAGTTGATCGTGTTTAAGTAGTCTGGATTCTGCTGAAATTTACGTGGTTAAAAGTGAGTCATGGGTTGTGCCTCAGGAGTTAAAATTTGGGAAACTTTTTTATACTCCGCACTCAAAAAAAATTACTCTCAAAGAAAACTTTTTTTCACCCTGCCCTCAAAAAAAATTTTTTACCCACCCTCAAAAAAATTTTTTACCCGCCCACAAAAAACTCTCCAAAACAAAAAAAACCTTCACAACCTACCTTCCCAGCCTGCATTTCCCTCTTCTCAGCCAGATCCAGTAGTTCAATATAGCCTTGCAGCTTCTCCAGCTCTTGTTCATCTTCTTTTGGCTTTTTCAAATTGGCCATTAGTCTCAATGTCATCGGATCTAAGGTGCAATGTTCGTGTGCTGCTTCTAGTGTCAAAACGAGTTGTTTTAGTTCGCCTTGATCTAGAGGATCTTTGAGTTCTGGTGCTGGGTAATAGGTGTTTTCGGCCGCGTTTGTGTGGGACAATATTACCTAAAATAAGGTTTTCATTTCCTGAGGGGCAAAGATTATTCATTTTTTGCCTTTATTTTGCTGTTTTAATCAGAAAAGCCCTTTTATAATCAGTTAAGCTTACAAAACTGATTTTTTTTCAAATTTTCAAATATTTTTAGATTTGTTACCTAAACATCAAACTTTTGTTACCTTATTTATCTAAAAACAGAAATTTTACATTTGATTTCAGAAAAATATTAATATTTGTTACTTAAAAATCAAAAATTTCATAATATCAAGTTGTCCAAATATGGATGAGCCATTCAATGCGCCCAACTTTGAAAATTTTGGCTCATCCATATTCGAACAACCTGGTATTTCAAAAAATTTAAATTTTGTTACCTAAAATCCCCACACAAGTCCTAAAAATCTCCACACACGTCCTAAAATCTTACTTTAAGCAAAGGTTTCACATCGAATTCACTGGCCGCCTTTTTGAATGACATCATTTGTTGAACGGCGAAGAAACAGTCCTTCTTGGTTGGTAATTCGGCGCCAATTTCGTACAAATTCACCCACATTTTGAAGTTGTCACGGTCGATTTGAAGGCCTTGCTGAAATATCACATTGAAATTTTAAAAAGTAAAGTCCTCTGGCAAAAAAATGCAAAAAAAAATTTTTCAGGTTAATCTTGGTCCCCTGTAGAATTTTTTTTTCAAGTTAAATTTACCCGTCCCCCCCCCCTCCCGTAATTTTTTTTCTAGTTAAGTTAGTCCCCCCCCTGTTCTACATATAAGATTTTACCCCACCCAGCCTAAATTTAAGCATTATTTACCCCTCTTCTTCCAGATGTTACTCTACCCACCCTACCTTTAAAATCTTGGCAGCCTTCGACTTCTGATTCGATGCCAAATAAGCAGCGGCCAAGTTGTTCCACGCCTTGAAATGATCCGGATCAATGCATGTGACATGATGAAAAGCGGTGATCGCATCCTTAATCTCGCCCAATTCCCAAGCACATACTCCATAGTTGTACACACTTCGTACACTCAATGGTACCAGCTGGTACACTCTCTTATAGTGTTTGAATCCTTTCTTGTAGTCGTTCTTCTCCAACGCCATCATTCCTAGTGCTTTGTGGGCGTTTGGGTACTTGTCATTGGTTAATTCTAGTACTTTGTTCAGTAAATCTTCATCTCTTCGTGTTTCACCAATTAGACATAGATAATATGGATCGTCTGGATGTTGTTTCCTTAGGGTTTCGAGTACTTTTAGGGCTTTCTCCTTCATGTTCATGGCTTGATAGCCTTCGACCACGTTTTTCCAGTCGAATATCGATTCGTACACGGTTATGGCTTCCTAAAAATTTAAGATTTTAAAGAGTTTTAGGTATTTATGGATTAAAGTTTTAGGTATGAACGTCCACAAAAAGTAGCCACATAGTTGTAAAAATGGCCAAAAATCCCTCAAAAACCCTGCAAAATCCATCATCCTGGTTATGATAAGCTTATAGACCCCAACTCACACTAGTCAAAGCCAATGACATTAGCACCTTGGCGTAGAACTTCTTCACACCCCAGGCAGGCCTTAATGGTGAAGATATCCAAATGTCACAAATTCGATCCCTCATTTCCTGAGGGTCCAAAATTTGATCTTTTCGATTTTCCAACTCATCCATTATCGACTCCATCTGTTGAACGGCTCGTTCGACTCGACGAGTGTTTCGACGTTCAGCTTCTGAGCGAAGTTCGAACAATGATATTGAGGTCATGAAGCCGATGGGCTGGGAGAGAATCTGAAGAAAGTGAATGTTTTTAAGGCCAATTTTGATTTTTAAGTTAAATTAGTTTATTTTTTAGTTATTGTTACCTAAATTACATTTTTTTTTCGTTATTTGGTACCTAAATTCAATTTTTTTAGCTTTTTGTTACCTAAAAATAAAATTTTTTATTTTATTCATAGAAAATGACCAAAATAATTCATTTTTGTTACCTAAAATTTTTTGTATATACAAATACCAGAAAAACACATTTTTCTTACCTAAATTTCATTTTTTTAAAATTTTTTACTAAAAATATATATTGTTGTTTCTTGACTTAAAAAACCAAAAAACCTCACTTTTGTTACCTAAAAACCAATATATCCCAAAAACTTTTACTTATTACCTAAAACATCACTTTTTATCCATTAAAGATCAAAACCTAAATTTACCCTACTCGTAGTACAAGTAAAAAAAATCAATTTTCACCTTTTTTAATACCAAGCACCCCAATATCCACCTACTTTAGTGCACAATGCATCCATTTGTTCGAATTTCAACTCCTGAATCGGATCCGTCTTCTGCTCTAACAGTGCTGCAGCTAATAAAACACCAATCTGATCTGGTGTCAGATGTTCAACATTGACATTCTCATCAAATTTCACATTTTGAAGCAACGTATCGTCCTTATTGTCAATGTTCTTTGGATGTGCGACTGATTTGACTTCAGGTATCACTGTTTTAGCGGTATCAACCTTGGTCGTCTGAAAATTTGTTATACCTAAATTTACAACAATAAATAAAGCTCCATACCTTCAAAACAAGTTGCGGCAAACTTTGTTGTTGATATCGTGTCCTTTTTCCCAGCTTTCCATCAAAATCAAATTCGAATCCAACGAATTTCGAAGCCAGTTCAAGAAACCTCGAAGCCACTCCATATAACAATGCATGTGAAGCTATCTGGTAATTAATCAAAAGCCATTCAAAAAATGACCGTCTAGACATAGTTAACGTGTTCAAACTGATATTCACAGATTCCACGTCTTTTGCTACATCACTTTCATCTTCACCACCTTGTTGACCAACAGCTCGTTGAAAAAGATCGATAAACTCATTCTTCTCAAGATTCAACTCTTTTAAATGTTCGGAACAGTATCTTGAAGCTATTGTGATGTTCTGCAAACAAAAAGCGTTAATTTATATAATAGCAAAAAAGAAGAAAGACAGCCGATATTGTGTTAGACTCACCAATTGTAATGAAGCCTTCTGAATTGTAGGACAGACGGTCTCCAAACATAACTGATAAATGTGTAAAAACTTAAATACCATCATAGCATCTTCAGGTAGTTCGTACAATTCAGGTTTTTCATATAAAGCCCGTTTTAAACGTATAAGAAGATCAGCACGTCTAAAATAACCTTATTTTAGATGTAGCTAAACAAAACGCCTAAAAAACAACAAAACTTCCTCAAAAATCAACTGAAACAGCTATTAAACGTAAAGAAGAATAACTAAAAACGTAAAACAATGAAACATAGTTAACTTACTTCACACATGGATGAAGACGAACAAAATCAACTTCAGCTTCCTTTAACAGCTCGTTAACATCAGATTCTGCGGTTTTAATGCTTTCAGCATACTCATTTTCACCTACCAATCAAAGTAAAATCTTTGTAACATTCATAAAACTTACTTTGAGTGTATCCAGCAAAGTTTACGGCTAGAAAAACCTCAAAAATATCGTTTAATTCGTCAATACCAACAATATTAGACCTTGTCATACCTAAAGTTAACGTTTTAAATTAATTTATAAGCCAACTATTGAACAGTAAATGTAAAATACCTAGTTTTTTTTAAAAATTCTAAAATATTTTCGAAATTTATTTATTTTTTGACTTTGATACGGAATGCCAGAAAACCTTTTTCCGTTGTGGAACCAAATTCAACACATAATGCAGATGGAAAAGTGTAAAATACGAATGTTATAAAATACAAATATTCAAAACAAGCACATTTCATTGCTTTCTATTACAATTCACACTAATTTTTATCCTAAATAATTTAATATCACAGATCAATATATTCACCACAGCAAAGTTTACATAAAACCAAATAGAATCAAGGTCGTATTCGAATATGACTTCCATTTTGTGTGTAAATGTCATAATGAGTTAGTGGTGGACCCTCGTACACAAGAGCACCGTTAACAAATACTCTAACGTTGCTTCCCATCCCATTGACGATCGTGTAGTTAGGATTCCTGGGTGCTGTCGCTGAAATTGCTTTTTATGAGTAATGCCATTTTAAAGTTTAATCAAATTTTGAGGATTGAAAGCAGAGATATTGATGTCAAAATACTGTAATTTTGAGACGAATTTAATCTTTATTAAAAAAGATATGGCACTTTTTCTTCAGGATATCAAAAATAAGCATTTAGAGAAGTGGATGGCAGTATAACTAAACTTACATTGTTGTAAATTCTTCAACATTGATGCAGTTTGACGTAGGGCATTCTCAGCACCTTTTAGAGCCTCATTAGTCGCTTGAAGAACAGCACTTTTCACCTTATTCACATCAATCTTTCCATTCCTTCCATACTGCGGTGTGTAATATTCGTTTTGGTAACTCTGACCGCCATAACCCGGACTATAAACATCGTTATGCAAATTCTGTGTATTATATGGATTGTTATAAGTATTTTGGATATTATGTCCAAAATTGGCATCATTAGAATACTCGGCTGGGTAGTTGGGTGGATTAGTACGAGTGGGGTAGTATTGACCAGCTGGTTGGTAGGACGAAAACTTTTGGGCACTGTTGGGCCTGCTTTGGTTGTTATTAGAAGATTTTGGTCGGTTAGGGGTATTGGAGCGATTGGAGCTTGTCGGTCGATTAAAGTTTTGTGGGCTGCTGGTCGATTGAGTACGGTAGGGTTCAGACGAAATCTCTTGGATATAAACCATGTTGAGCGATAATTTTTAGGTAGTTAATGAATCGTAGTTAATCAAAACAAATGAATTTAGCTAGACAAGACTTTGTAGAACATATATTTCGAAAAGAAAACTTCTGAGGCTTATAGGCTTCGAGAATTTAAGCCTAAAGACTTTCAAACCTTCAAAAGCACTAAATTAAAGAAAAAGGGCTTAAATAAAGCCACAATCAATCGTTTTCAAGCTATTACCTTGACTTAAAATGCGTAAAATAACAAGATGAACCAAAGCTGTTTACAATAATTGAAAAACAACTTGAAAATTGTTTGAAGGAACAAAAAGAGAACACTTTTCAGTGTGTTTGAACGTATTTCGAGAGAAATGAGTCAGCCCTTCTTCGCAATAACTGACACAAGCATAGCGCATACCTAAAAAACTAGGTAAAGGAAGTCATAAAAAGGTGAATAAATACTCAAAACATGCTCATATTGATATACTTTGACCAAATAATCATGGAAAAGTTGTAGAAGCACCAAAAATGTATAAATAATGGCAAACACAACATAATTCTCTGAACTTGTGGACCTTATTCTAAACAGCTTAGAAATGGCTCAAATTTGACGTAGAGCATGGCTATGGCACAAAGAACACACATGCAAAGCATTGGCGTTTAAACTGCACTGCTTCTCGGGTTTTGATAAAATGGTCAGCTACAACAATATCAGATGCAAAAATTGATGTCTAAACGTCGAATAATGTCTCTTTTGATGTAAAAGTTGAATTACTTACCCAAATATTAACCATTTCACACATTTATCAACTACAACAGCCGCAAGGGAGCAGACAAAATCTTGTCGTCCAAAAAATATGTCATAAATTCTAGAAAATATGTCGTTTTTGCTGAAAACATGTTTTTGTCGACGATTTTTTCGAGTTCCGACCAACTTCTGGTAATTTCAACGTGTTTCAAAGCCGTTTTGTGGTTGATTTTGTTGCTTTAACGTGCTGTTTAGTTAATAATCGTGTATTTCAACCAATTTTGCTAATTTCTTTGCTATTTCAGAATCAAATTCGAGTCGAAAGTCGTGAAACATGGGCAGAGGCGGACACGTTAGTGGATTTGGCAAATCATTGCCAGATATGTTCAATTCAGAACAAGCCTGCTACACCAACTTATGGGTAAGTCTTTGATACTTGTTTTTGTTTGGTTTTTAGGCAGTTTAACAAGTTTAATTTGGTGCTTTACCATGTTGTTCATCACGGTAAAACTGAAAAAAGCTTTTTTGTTTGTAATATTGTTGTTATTTTTGATGGTTTTGTACCTAAAATACATTTTTTTTTTCATGTCGTTGAGCTTCATCATGTTGTTCATCATGCTGAAGGTGGAAAAATCTTTTTTGTTCATAATATTGTTGGGTTTTGTACCTAAAATCCGATAATATTGTGAATACTCACTTTAAAGTTAAAAACTAGTTGAAATATATTGTTTTAGAGCTATTTTTGGTTTTTTTGATGAAAGTTCTTGATATTTTTGGTTTTGTAAAGAAAGTTATTGCTATTTTTGGTTTTCAAACAAAGTTTTTGCTATTTTATGTTTTGTAAAAAAAGTTTTTGCGCTTTTTTGTAAATTAGTTTTTGTATTTTAAGGAACGACACATTCACTCTTTTGAGAAGCTCAGAAGTCATGGATTCCCTTGTATGCAATCGGTGAACGGAGGACCAGAAGAAGCGTTTTTTGGTCATGAAGTCAAGCACTTGTATGTCTCGACGGCTCCATACACGAAGAAGACGTGCTGCAGATGTAAGACTAGCTTTGATATCGATGAATACAAAGATGAAGAAGTGAAGGATCGCTGTTGTTACCATCCATCCGTCAAAGTAACTGGTAAGTTATTGTTTATGATTTTGTTTTGAGTCTAGGTGGAAATAATGTATAAAGAATGGCATTTTACATGGTGTTTTAATTGAAATTGAATTTTGTGACAAAAATATTAAAAAATAGTGTGATACATTGTTTTTTGAAAAATTAATTTGAAATTTTACCTTAAAACGGTGAAATGTTATCTAAAAAGTTGAAATATTATCTAAAAAAGTAAGGTTAATTTAAATTTTTATTTCTATCTAACTCAACATTTAAAAAAACTTAATTTTTAGGTGAAATCGAAGGCCGCAACGAGGAGAAGAAGTACCCATGTTGTCAACAACCATTTGGATCTAAAGGATGCACCAAGAAGCCCAACCACGTCTATTTCACGCTGACTCCGCCCCAATTGAAAACATTCATCAGAACTCCGGTACCAGCTCCAGGAACATCGAAAAACATATTGATTTTGGAAGCATCATATGTTTATACAACAATCGGCAAGGAAATCTCGAGGATCATTTTGCTCAACTGGAAAGGGAACCTTGTGTTCGACATGTTTGTAAAGACGGCGTTTTCGATTGTGGACTTGAACGAGGAAGAGAATGACCATGATGCCGGAATGTACGAGCAGTTTGCTGAGCCGTGGGATGTTGTAAGTTTATCTTTATGTTATTTTTTGAAATGGTGTTTATGATAACTAATTTTTCGTTATTTTTTAAACTTTGTGCTATATTTGACATATACCAGTTTTCAAAAGCTTTTATTGGCATATATTGTAATGTTTTCTTAATTTCAGGTTCGGTCCAAACTTTTCGAACTGCTGAACGCCGACACAGTTCTAATCGGTCACACATTGGACGTTTTTCTTCGTGCCGCCCATCTGGTGCACTTGAAGTTGCTGGACACAAGTGTTATTTACCGTAATAACAATCAGAATGCCCGGTACACCCTCAAATCAAGTGCAAACCATCATGTGAAGCTGGAAATTGATGAGAAGAACATGAAGGACAAAGCCTCGGCCATCCACAGTCTCACAGCCTTCAGGATCAATGACGAATACCGGCGCAGGTACAACAACAGCATAATGGGAAAGAAGTTTTAAGGTGGCTTTAATGAATCGATCTTGTTGTTATAATTATTTATACGTTTTTTAGTTATCGGTAGTTTTGTTGTTAGTAAAAATAAATATTTAGAAGTTTCTTGAAATTATTTGAATAAGTAAGGTAAATTTATTTAAAAAATAAGATTCCAAATAAAAATAGAAATGCTTATACGACATACGAAGTCATGACACGCTCGATTTTGTCATATATTTGCATTACGATGACTCAAAATGATAATCCGAATTTATAATAAAACTGCATTTGTGACAAAATAAACACTTGGCAGGTTAATTTTCATCGAATTTACTGACTATAGTGAAGGATACCTACATGCCATTTTTTTAATATGTAAAATGGTAGAAGATATTAAAATTTTGAAAAGTGTTTTGTATTTCTTTTGCTCTACTACAATTCTTTGGCTTTGTAACGGTCAAAAGGTTTACGACGAGATTCAATTTGGCAGTAAGTGTAGTAAATACAGTCACAACTCTTTATCACGGCACTTAAGGGACTGGTCGATTTAGTGTAGCATTCAAGGGACTGCCTCAAACCTGTCCTTCTCTCCTGGTTTTTGGGTGTCACACTACTCAGTTACTGTTTCACAGGGTAACTGGGTAATGTGAGGTTACGAATAGCAAGCAAAACGCGGTCGTTACGGGAGGGTGTCACACTATTGAGAGTAATAGTTTGTATTGTAGTTCCTAAATATGTAATATAAGGAATCAATATTTTCTAATGAAAAAGATACTGTTTATTTATGTATTAAGTTTGTGCCTTATAGATGGTGGGAAAACAAAGATGATGTTTGGATCGCCAAGTAAGTTAATATTCCTACCTATCGCTATACAAAAACTTATTCTTAAGGTCAAGAATTATACCTCCAATTACGTCTAGAAGACGAATACATATACTTGATACCGCAGGAATGTGTTCAACAAAACAAATGTTTTTTGAATGATTCTAACAATTATTTTGTGCCAAGGTGAATATTTCTTTACATTTTTTAATTTGGCTTTTTAATTTAAAGATAAAGTATTTTTCTAGTCAGTCAAGTTCATTTTCGACTCAGCTAAAAATATTTGATGGTTCTGTGACTAATAGGCCGTATCCCGTTGGTATATGGGCTGAGGACAATGTTCAGGTTAGTCCTACTCTACCCTATTTTTAGATCTAACCTAAGCCCTAGCCTAAGCCCTAGCTTAAGCCCTAGCCTAAACCCTATCCTAAGCCCTAGCCTTAGTCCTGGCCAAAACCCTAGCCTAAGCCATAGCTAAAGTCCTAGCTGGAGCCATAGCTTGAGACCTAGCTTAAGCCCTAGCCTAAGTCCTAGCCTAAGACCCAGCTTCCGGTGTCTTGTCATACCAACGCTTGGCTCGACAAGGATCAGCTCAATCATAGCCTAGATATATATCAGTTGCAGGTATCCTCCCTAGCCCAAAAGCTTCAATTTGGCCTAGCCGAGAAATGCCCTTTTGTAGTACAAGGGAATGGTGTTTTTGGCTTAAGGTTTTCCCAAAAACCGGAAAATCATATAAATATCTTACTACGTCAATTCAAGTACCCAATTATTGGCATTGGTCTTACTGTCGGCTATTCAGACGCTTTTCCTTATAATGGAGAGCTCGTACTGGGTGGAGGATCAAAGAAGTGCCAAAGAGAATACCAATATGCTCAGGTTAATACTGTAAAATACGACTCGTGGATCTTTGATGTTCAAAGGTAAGAACTTTCTTTACAAAGCAAAAGATGGCAAGAACTTTCTTTACAGAACAGAAAATGGCAAAAAGTTTTTTAACAAAATGAAAAACGGCAATAACTTTCTTTACAAAACATAAAATGGCAAAAACTTTCCTTACAAGTCAATCTTTAACTTTCAGAGTAGTATTTGGTCAAGTAACCTTCACCCAAGATACTCCGGTAACCTTGGCCATAGGCCAACGATATACTGTATTCCCACTGGAGTTATTCAACAAAATAGTAGTCGAATTAGACGCCCGACAAGCCGACAGTCAAACACAAACATATTATGTTAGATATCAAGGAGTAAAGTTTCCGACCATTGGTTTCGAAAGCTATGGAGTCTTGTTGACTATGTACCCTAAGGATTATTTGGGCAAGGTAAGTGCAGGGTGCGGTACTCTACGTTACAGTAATATAGGGTAGAGTAGGGTAAGATAGAGTAGGGTATGGTAGGGTAAAGTAGGGCAGGGTAATGTGCATTTAAATGCAAAGTGACTGTTTGTTCAAAAATTGAAAATTTTTAATGTGACGAAATGCCACAAAAATTATTGGAAATTTTAAAGTTTTTAAATTTGTAAAAAATGCATCTTTAACATATTTGAAACGTATTTTATGTCATTTTTAACTCATCCGTCACTTTTCTCATTTCCAATAATTTTCGTGACATTTCATCACGTTTTTCTATAACAATATTTTTAGTTGACTCCATATGGTTATGAGCTGCTGATTCGGCCAAAAATCGATTGGGCCATACCTAATGACCAAATAATATTGGGTGATAACTTTCTCACCGCATACTGTATTCTACTGGAGTATACTGTACCTCCGAAAATTGGATTTTCAATGTCAGAGTGTATACCAGTGGTACCAAACATGATATTTTTGGGGTTTTTGGTACTTTTAAAAGTTTTGGTTGAGTAGTGATATTGATTTTGTATATATAGTTTGGTCAAAAAATTCTGAGCCAAGTAACCTGTAGAACATAATTAATATTTACTTGGAGTTACAGTACCCGTCTTGTATGTCCTACCGACATTAGTGTTAATAAAATGTAAAAAGTAATACAATATTTCGGATCGTATCTTCTGTGAAGACATTATTAATGATATGACAGTACAAGCTAGTACCATGTCGTATATTAATGGCATTAGGAATCCAAAGATAAAGGTCGTAGCTTTGATGTCTTTACCATAGTATGATGGGACTATCATCTGAAATTTTAAAATTGCAAAAACTTTGTTTACAAAAAGGCTGTGTAGGGCATGGTAAGGCAGAGCAAGGCAGGGTATGGTAGAGTATGGTAGAGGCAGAGCAAAACAGTATAATCGGGCTACGGTAGGTATACGGTAAAAGATAGGGTAGGGCATATTCGGGTAAGTTAAGGTACGTTATGATAAAGCAGGTCGAAGTGGGGTACTGTAATTCAGCGTACTGTAGGGTAGGTTATTATCGAGTAGGGTAGAATAGGGCAAGGTAGGGTAAGTTAGAGCAAAACGGGAGAACAGGACAGGGCAAGGCAGGGCAAACAGGGCGGGCAAGTAAATACAAGGCAGGGTCAGGAGAAGACCAAAGCAGAGCAACTCCAGAACAAGACTAGGGCAAAGCCAGTTCACGACCAGGACAAGACTAGGCAGCTTACCTCAACGATGCCATAAGCAAGATGAGTTAAAAATAAGATAAAAGAAGTCATGAACAAGTTAATTTCTTGCTTATAACCTCTTCGAACTTTCAAACTCTTTTTTCGAATTGTCAGTACTGCTATGGTCACCAAGTTGAAAATACAGGATATTACTGACAAGGTAATGAATGCCATGTGATTATTGTTTCCTACGGATATCTGAAAATGTTTTTTACGTTAAAATTTATGGATAAATTCATCGTAAAATACGTGCATTTAATCTATATAATAAATAACAAAACATACAAAAATTATTAAGAAGTTCGACGAAATGCCACAAAAAGTATTGAAAAATGTGACGAAGTGTCACAAAAATCAAAAAATATTTTAAAAAGTTTTAAATGGCTAAAACTCACTCCAAAGGTATGAGAATGATCATAAGTGAAGTAACATTCTCTGTCATCACCAGTATCTTTACTACATTCAATTAGAGCTTTGTTAAATGGCAATGTCCAGAAACAAAGTAATGGTGATAGGTAGTACAATATCAAGACGTATTTTAGGTGTTTTCGCCAGACCTAAAACCAAGAAACATAAAATAGCCCTAGCCCAGCCTAAGCTCAAGTCTAAGCCCTAGCCTAAGCCCAGCCTAAAGGCAGATGAAGCCTAGCCTAATCCCTAACCCTAGCCTAAGCCCTAGCCTAAGCTCTAGCCTAAGCCTTAGCCTAAGCCCTAGCCTAAGCCCTAGCCTAAGCCCTAGCCTAAGCCCTAGCCTAAGCCCTAGCCTAAGCCCTAGCCTAAGCCCTAGCCTAAGCCCTAGCCTAAGCCCTAGCCTAAGCCCTAGCCTAAGCCCTAGACTAAGCCATAGCCTAAGCCCTAGTCTAAGCCCTAGCCTAAGACCCTGCCCATGTTCATGCCCTAGCATACACTCTGGATGTAGCCCAGCCTTAGCCTTAGTCCTATCTCTAGCCCTATCCTTAACCCAAGATTTAGCTCTTGCCCTAGCCTAAGCATAAGCTTTCGCCTAAGCCCTAGTACTTGCCCTAGCTTAAGTCCCAGCCTAAACCCTAGTTTTAGCTCTTATCCTATCCCTTAGTCCAGCCCGAGTTATAAAAATAAGCCATAGCTCCTTCCGTATCCCTTCCCCCTCAAACCTACCGTATCATGATTAACCGGAAATAGAACACAAGATACTCGGTTGAAAGCCAATATTGTAGCCGCCAATACGCCCTGCAGCTGAGTGTAAAAATAGAAAAAGTAAAACAAAATTTGGAAACGAGAAGGCGCGTGAAGATGGCGAAAGTAACTCTCATATACAAATTGACTCGTCGGCCAACGTTGCACATATTGGTTTAGCAGGTAGCATATTACTTCCTAAAACAAGTATATTATAGTAGAAAAAACATTTTTTGAAATTTTTCAAAAATTTTTTGGAAATCTAATTAATACGTTTTGTAGAGGATGAAAATTTGTATCTATGCTGATAAGTTCACATTAATAATGTCATTTGTAAAGAAGATACGTAAATTTAAAAAATAAAAAAAATAAAAAAGTGTGTCGATGGGTACAAATAGTTTTTTAAGATTTTAAAATCTTTTTTAACAGACCTGGTTAACAGAAATTGTAATACAGAAAAAGAGGTACGTATACTGTGAATTTCGGATAAATAATGTCATTTTTAAAAGAAATAAAGAAAAAATACATTAGTCCAAAAATGTCGAAAATCCAAAAAGGTTCGAATCCTCTTGGATTACCTTTGTTTGAATATCAAAAAAAAAAAGTTTTATGAACATGCCATTTTAAAAGTAAAAAAAATTGTGCAATTTATAGTTTTGTAAAAAAAGTTTTTGCCATTTTTTGTATTGTAAGAAAAGTGCTTGCCATTTTATAGCTTGAAAAGAAAGTTGTTGCCATTTTTTATGTCGTAAAGAAAGTTTTTGTCGTTTCTTACTTTGTAAAGAAAGTTCTTGCCATTTTTACTTTTATCAATAAAGATGCCATTTTTTGTTTTGTAAAGAAAGTTCTTGCCATTTTAAAGGTTGTAAAGTAAGTTTTTGCCATTTTTAGTTTTGTAAAGAAAGTTCTTGCCATTTTAAGCCTTGCAAAGAAAGTTTGTGCCATTTTTTACTTAGTGAACAAATTTTTTGTTATATTTAGTTTTGTAAAAAAAGTTCTTGCTATTTTATGTTTTGTAAAGGAAGTTTTTGCGTTTCTTGTTTTGTAAAGAAAGTTATTGCTATTTTCTTTTTCAAAACATTTTTTTCCATTTTCTGTCTAACCCAAGCCATTTCATGCCAAAAAAATCTTTAACTTACTTGAATTCCAAAAATCGATACAAGTTTATAGAAAACAGATGGAAATCTTTTGCGTTCAATGAACAGTATCCATATAACCATTATGTACATGAACAACAACGGTATACCGTAAACATAAAATATAATGAAGGCGTATGTTGGTGTCATAATTATTGAATTGTTACCTAAAAAATGAGTTTTAGAACGATATTTTACTTTGTTGCAACGTGTAATGCCCTACCCTACCTTGCAATACCCTACCCTGCCCTATCTTCTAATCTACCGTACCCTACTTTAAACTGTGATAATCTCACTCCTTAGCCCTATCCTTCTTCCATCATAACCTGCCTTATCACAAGACATATATAAGCTTAAAAATATCAAAAGCGTAAAGTTACATAATCGTACAACTATAACTTCCTCACCTCCCCAAAACCATAGTATCAAACAAAGTAAATTGAAAAATTGTAACAACTTGATATCTGTGTTTCGTATCTTAGCACATCAGTGTAAACTACAATTCTACAAACTAAAATTATATTATAGTAGGCAAAAAACGTCAACTTTGCTAATAAAGTTTAGCGATTAAATGTACAGCTAACGCATGACCAAGAATAATATGTAACAACGTTTGTAATTAAAAAGTAATTAAAAGAGTACTGTTTACATAACAAAAGTTCATAGTTCAAGATAATATTATCAATAATTTAGGTAATTGTCCTTTTAAAAATAAAAAAAAGTCTACCCAAATTTTTTTTTATAAAAATGATTTACCCTGCCCTTGTTCTACTATAGCATCACATTAATATACCTCTAGTCTAGCCTAAAGATACAATAAAACTGGAAAAACCAATGCCAACCTGCGGCCAAGACTTCGCAACGAAAAAATAAAATAAAATATTTTCCTCGCAATATTGTTTTAGACAGCTTATACTGCATAAATAGAGTGTCTATTTTATTTGTTTTTGACTTCTTTTAGATTATTATTCTTGTTTATTTATTTTTTTTAAACTATTTCGAACGATTTAAGAGCATTTAAAGCCAGTTTTCACTGTGAAACGTCAGATATGGCCGCACCAGCTGATGGCGCAGCGGAAAACGCAAGTTATTTATTCTCAAACTGTGATTTCTATGTCTTAATTTGGTTTTATTAGGTAAAATAGATAGTTGAACAACTTTTAAAACAAATATTAGACAATGGTGAGCGGGCGCTAGGACAAATGCGGTTTTCGGACATTTGCGGATCTGCGGTTTTTAGACACTTGCGGATCTTCGGTTTTTGGACACTTGCGGATTTTGGACATTTGCGGATTTTTTAAAGGTTTTTTTTAAATTTTTTAGTTAATTTAGTTGTATTATGGTACTAAATTGTACTAAAGTTTGAATTGGTACGGTTTTAACATAACAGTACCTTTTTGGGCTTTTAGTACTATTTAGTACCAAAAATATAAAAACAGTACCGATTAAAAATTTAGTACTATTTAACATTAAGAAATATTAAGACAGTGCCAATTTAAACTTTAGTACAATTTGGTACCATACTACAACTAAATTACATAAAAAATAAAAAAAAACCCTTTAAAAAATCCGCAAATGTCCAAAATCCGCAAGTGTCCAAAAACCGAAGATCCGCAAGTGTCTAAAAACCGCAGATCCGCAAATGTCCAAAAACCGCATTTGTCCTAGCGCCGGTGAGCGAAATCTCAGTTCAAACTTTCATTTTCAGTTTAGTCTACATCAATATCTTTTAGGATTGAAGGAGAAGTGACGGCGATGTAAAATAAAAGGCCAGAATCATTTGGTAAAGTAAAGAGAAGATGGAATAAAGGATTTTGGATGTTAGATTATATGAATACTAGCAATATGATTCACTTTGTTCTGGTTTAGATAGCATGGACTTGCCAGAATGTTCAAAGTGAAATATTTTAATGGTAAGTCAATATTCTTTGTGGTTTTATGTGTTTAGGAGTTGAAGATGAGTGTAGAGACGGTGAAAAAGTATTTAAAAGGTTTTGTAACGGATTCCGCTGGTTCTGAAGCTCGACAGGAACTTCAACATCAAATATTTCAAAGGTAACTCAATATTCTTTGGTTTTTGTGTATTTAGGTTTTGAATACGAATATAGCTAAGGTAAAGAAGATAATATAGTATTTTGGAACGATTACCGTCAACAATCTGAAGCAGCTGGTTTTTTGGAACTGATTTGGCAGGTTTTGAAGCGCGAAGGAAACTTCAACATCGAATATTTCAAAGGTAAGTCAATATTTTTTGGTTTTTTTAAGTGTTTAGAAGCTGAAGACCAAAGAGTCAAAATTCAAAATGTCGGAAGATTCCTCATGAATCTCATTTTCATTTTTCAAATTTATTTTTCTACGAACTTTGGTAAAGGACGGTTGACCATGAAAGCAGACGAATCGTTGCGACAAAAGCTACTGCAAGCAGAACTTTTGCCAGCCAAAGATGGGTATGACATTTGTGCTCGAATTTACAGATTTGTGCATCAAAATGACAGACTAGTTCAATCATCGACCAATATTTGTCCTCGTGCTGAGCCACTGAACGACGAAGACATGTAAGTTTTTTGATAGGATTACTGTAGGTATACTGTAATTTTAAAATAATTTTTGTTGAAATTGTATTCTTTGGGATTTTAGCTACCTATTTGTGTATGATTGTCTGACTTTTTGCGTGTGGCATTTATAAAAAATGTCCTTTTAGAAAGATAACACTGGCTCCTCAAGACAGTGAAGTGAGACGTGTCGTGCTAAATTTGACAACCCCTGAAAATATGTTTGTGTTGTTCGTAGTAGATGCAAAGTAAGTCTAAATTTATTTTTTTAGCACATTTTAGCAACTACATTATGAAGTACGACAGCTCGACAAAGTCATTCCGTCCCTTTATTTCCGAACGGAAATACCTTGGCCTTCATATAACTGACAAGTACGTGATTACCCAAAAATGTGACGGTGATGAAGTTGAATATCGAAGTTATGATGGACAGTTGTACCCAAAGACCAAGGACAGCAGTGTATCGTACTGTGGGCAGTACGGACACGGGAGAGATTTGGGTGAAGAAGGGATCGTGCCGTGAATTGGTTAACAGCCAATTGGAACAGACAAGTTGTGATAGGATTAATGCGTTGTTTCTGCCTATGGTGGGGCTTTGATGGGTTATTATAACTTTAAGGATATTGGTAGTTGTAGGGCACATCTACCCTACCTTACCATATGATATATTCCTTACTATACCGTTGCCCTACCAGACCCCTATCATAAATGCAATTTACCCTAGCATCTACTGATGCCGATGCCTTTCCTCCATACTCTAATAACTGCCCTACTTCAAAGTTAAACCCATCCTATCTCTGCCCTAATTAATATCTTTATTAATTTACTATAGGTTCGTTCTACATCAAAGTCTACACTATTACATAACCTGCCCTACTTTACCTTTTGGTGTGGACATCGACCATTTTGGGTACGGTAGGACAGATTACGTAGAGAAGTAGATTTTAATGTAGAACAAGCTTATGTTGAAGCTATGAAGGTATAAATTAGGGTAAGGATAGGGCGGGTTCAATTTCAGGTGTTAGATTAGGGAAAGGCATGGGCTACAGTAGATGCTAGCGTAAAGTTTATTTATGATAGGGTTGTGGTAGGGAAACGCTATAGTAGGGAAGGTACCATATGGCAGAGCTAAGACAGGATAGCGTTTGGTAGATTAGGGTAGGGTATATTGAAGTAGGGTAGGGTAGAGTAAATTAGAGATTTTAGCTAAAACAACAACTTTGAAATCCTCTTTCAGAGAGTATACAAGTATTACAATGCCCCTTTGTCAGATGAAGAAGCCGGCTCAGAGAACTACGCTTTGTTATATCAGTAAGGCATTTTTAGCATATTGTAGTATTATTAAATTAATGTGTCAGAAAATGGTTTTTTGATCATAAATTACTTGTTTTAGACAAGCTATACCAGTCACAACGACAACAACAACAAAAACAACACTGCCGCCTGCAGAAAAGTCGTATACGTAAGTTATTTTTAAAATTTACTATAGTAGAGTAGGTTAGTAATTTTGTTAATTTCAGGGTTGGATACAGGGTATTAGTCTAGGGGTGGGTCAACAATTTTTTTTTGTTAAGGGGTAGTTTTTTTAATTTTTTTTGAAAAATCAACGGGTGGGACCAAGTTCGATTTTTTTGAAAAAAAAATTGTGGAGGGGTAGTGGGGGGAGATAAAAAATGTACTAAAAGCCATTTTTATTTTAGACTGGTCATAACAGTATCAGTTGTCATCGCGCTTATCATAGTTATTTTATCCGCCATTGGAGGTTTCTTATATTGGTATGTCATAAGGAAAGGACGGTCATTAAAATCAATCTTTATTTCTACAAAAAAGGGTTGGATGCAAACTTAGACCATGGTCAAAATGATGATAATGAACAAGAAAAGGAACACAAGAATGAAAAGAAGAAAGACAAGAGTAAAAAGAACAAAGAGAAGAGCCAAAAGATGAAAGAAAAGAGTAAAAAGGATAAGAAAAAAGAGAAAGAAACGAGTAAAGAGAAGGAAGAAGCATCAAAACAAGACTCAACATCAGAGCAAACATCAGGCAAGGACGTAGCAAAGGATATAGATCAGAAAATCAAGGAGAAGATGAAACAATCCTCAATAGCCGACGAACCAAAGCTAATCCTACCTCCATCTTTAGAAGCATCTAAAAGCGTCACAATATCAACAGTATCAGAGAAGCCGGATGAAATAGCTGTTAATGTCGATTTCAAACCACACGATGTGGGTGTTTAAGTAGAGTTAGGAAGAGAAGAAGATGATGTATAATATGGATTGAGGTACTGGATGGAGGGAAGGAAATCAAGGATTATATTATCATATTGTATTGATGTTGTATAACCTTCTGTGTAAATAAATGACTGGTACTGATTATTGTGGTTGTATATTGTTGATGAATGTTGTAAGGACGCTAGATATTGATGAGAGTATGGACGGCTCCCTTCATTACCATAGCCTTTGGTGGAAAAGGCTATGGCTATGGAAGGAGAGAGTCTGGTTGAGCTAGAGAAAGGCTCTGCAAAGTAGAACAATTCAGAGCACTGTAACTTAGGTTACTGTAGGATAAGGTAGTGCAGGGTAGGGTAGATTATGATAGGTTAGAATGAAGTGGATTGGTGTAAGGCAGGGTAGGCTGCTGTAGAGAAACATAAAGTAGAGTAGTAAAAGTTAAGGCAGAGATTGTATAAGGTAAGGCACTGTGTTGAAGCCTACGGTACTGATAAGGTTGGTTAGGGTATGGTATTGTATATACGGTTGGGTAGGTAAGAGTAGAACAGAGTGGTGCACTGTATGGCAAGAGAGGTTGGGGTAGTTTATGGTAGGGCAGGGCATAGTGGAATGATAAGATGGATGATAAGGAAGGGTAGAGAGAGGATTAGGTAAAGCATGGTCAGGGATACGGTAGGGTATGGCCTGGTAGGATTGGGTAGGGCAGGATAGGATAGGGTAGGGCAGGGTAAAATAGGGTAGGGTAGGGTGCGGTAGGGTGGGTACGGTAGGGTAGGGTACGGTAGGGTAAAATGGGGTAGGCTAACAATAAGGAAAAGCAGTATGTTAGGGTAGGGGAGTTTCAAAAAACTTTTCACTGAAAATTTGCATAATCCAAAAGAATTTCAAATTTTGAAATTAAAAATTTCATTCCTTTGCATTTTTTGATGAAAGACGGTCGATATGGAGCTGAACGAAGATCTGCGACGGCGGCTGACTAAACCGAACCTGTTGCCTGCCAAAGATGGCTATGATCTATGTGCTAGAATTTACACTTTTGTCGTTAAACCGGAGAAGATCACTCAGTTCACGACCGAACTTTGTCCGGGACGACAGAACATAAACAAGGTCATGTAAGTTTTGTGGCAGGGTACAAATTGCTTTTTTGGGGGAAAGGGGTGGATAACCTAAGTTTTTGATCTATTTTTCAAAATTTAAACCCGAACTTCTGTTTTTAGGTATAAACTAGTATTCTAAAGGCTTTTTGTTGCCTATTCAATCATAGGGTTTTAATACGATAGATTTATAATATATAAAATGGCATTTCAGGCTAATAACAGGCAATACCTCGGCAGAGGAATTGTTCAATAACGTCTTGGAGCCGGACAAGCCCGACGTGGGAATTCTCGATTTAGATAACAAAGAACGGTAGGTTTGGTATTACCTGTTTTAGGGAGAGTGGGATAGAATAGGGTAGGGTAAGGTAAGTTAGTGTTGAGTAGGGTAGAATAGGATAAGGTAGGGCTGGGTAGGGTACTGGAGAGTAGGGTATTAGAGGGTAGGGTACTGGAGTGTAGAATAAGGGAGATCAAGGCATGATTTTTACTATTTTTCTTTAGAAATAGCTTATCTTTTACTTTCATGCATTTTTGACGAAATGTCACAAAAATTATTGGAAAAATGTTTTTTTATTGTTTTGGATTGTAATGCCATTTTTAGACGTGCCTTATGCAAAAATTGGCGTTTTTCGACTTTTTTGTCTTTTTGACGAAATGTCACAGAAATTATTGGAAAAACATTTTATGGGCGAAATGTCACAAAAGTTCGTTTTTAATTCACAAAATGTCTATAAAGTTTAAAGAACCTTTATTTTTGGCATTTCAAAGCTAAGAAACCTCAAAATTTTATAAAAACTCGATTTAAAAGTGACATTTTTTCATTTTCAGGCACACCGCACTGACATTTGCTTTCCAACAGAAGGCATTGTTTAGTTTTATCTACAAACACTACAACCTCAGGGCCTACTTTACTGATTCTCATATGCTTGTGGAGGACTGCAAGTCACGAAAAGTGATTTTTGTTAATCTTGATGGTCATACAGGTAGTCTGCCGCAAGATAATGGCCACTTTTTCTGTGATAAGGCCATTGGCACCACGGATACGGGCGAGCTTTGGCTGAGCAAAGGGAATTGCAAGGACATGAGTGATGGAATATTGAAGGACACCACTTGTAACGACATCAATTCGTTGTATTTGCCTATGGTAAGGGAGTTATCTTGCTATAGGTTAGGGTATTTACTAGAGTAAAGCTAGAGGGACGATCAACTAGGCAAAGTAGGGTAGGGTAGGGCAGGGCAGAGCAAAGTAGGGTAGTGTGGGGTAAAATACGGTAGCTAGCTACAGTAAATACAAAATGCCATTACTTAACTCTTGCCTATAAAAAAGCTTACTGTAATATCTAAACATGAAGTGTAAAATACGATAACTTAACTATTATGAATGATTTTAAAATTTAATTTTTTTTTCAGGAAGCACTCAGAGATCAAGGAGCTCCATTATCAGATTTCGAGGTCGGCGACGAGTACTATGCCATGTTGTTCCGGTAAGTGGGCAAGACTATGACAATATATCGATACGACTTTATAACACATGGTAACATATTTTTATATAAGCTGGTCGATTTTTAGGTAGTTTGTAAAAATATAAGGTGCCACATAAAGAACCCGCCATACGTTTCCTGTAATGTCCTGTAAAAAATGGCGGGTTCTTTATGTCGGTACCTAATATAAGCGATTTTAAAGTTTTAAAAAAATAATTTTAATTTTTCAGGGTCACAGCATCTAAATCATATACGTAAGTTTGTCTTTAGCTCTACCCATATCTTACTCTTCCGTACCCTACTCTACCCTGACCTACCATAACCTACTTTACCGTACTCTGTTTTATTCTACCCTACCCCACCCTACTATATTTTCTTATACTCCCCCATTTCCAAATGGTCTCTACTCTACCCTATCCTAGTGTACCCTACCCCTTTCTACTACACTTTCCTCTACTAACCACCAATTTCCAGGCTACTCATATCCCTACTATGCGCCTTCATAGCGGTTGGTCTTCTCATAGTAGCAGTCGTGGTAGGAGTAACGATGTATCGTCGAAGGAAGCGAAAGAAGAAAGCTCACAAAGAAGCAACGCTGCTATCCAGCTACCTCGCCTCGCTCTCACCGGACAGTATTGACAACACCCCCGAGGCCAAGGCCTACCCCGCCCCACCGCCCCCTGATACAGTAACCGACGCTTCGGAAAGGTCTTCCAAGGCCAAGAACAGAGATAAAAACAAGGATAAGGACAAGGATAAAGATAAGTGCAAAGGCAGGAAGAAGGTCAAGGATAAGATCAAGAAGGACAAGGTCATAGACAAGGAGAAGATCATAGAGAAGGACAAGACCACAGACAAGGATGAGAGCACGGACAAGGAGAAGACACCAGAAACTGGCAATATAAACCAGCTCGAGGCATGGCTCAACAAGGAACGACAACAGAACGACAAGGGAAAAACAGAAGGAGAACAGTCCAGCTGCGTCAGCCAGAACACTACCTACGAAGTAGGAATTTGAAGAGTATAACATGGTATTGGAATGACAAAAGGATAGCTTTGAGGATTAACTATGGATTACTAGTTCTACTTTAAAAGTGTTTTACTCTGTTGTCTCTGATGGTACTAATAAACTGTGTCTTGGCTACTGTAATATACTATTACAAGCTTGAATATTATCATAGAGAGAAAGTAATGGGGGGGGGGAAGTCAATGACATCTGAAAGAAAAGTAAGGACAAGGCCTTGGGGCCCTTGCCTGGCAAGGGGTAATTCAACGGGGATGGGGGGGGAGGAAAAAGTTAAGGACGTGGTAACAGGGTAAAGGTCCAGCAATGGGACTAGGGCAAGAAAAGAGACGAGAAGGGGAGGGAGGGGGTGTAAAATCATCTTTACTCTACAGAACCCTACCATACCTCTGCCTACACTACTATATTTCCCTTACTGTACCTTTCCTAATGTATCCTATTCTACCCCACCCTTTTCTAGAACAAGCCTTCCCCGGGTGATTTTCGAAAATTGGACCCCTAAGTGAAATAAAAGAGCTAAAACTAACTACTACCCCTCCTGCATTACAACTGTAAAAGGGCCAGGCCATACCTTGGTTTAGGCCCCCGTCGTCAGGCCCACACGTGCCCGCCCGGCCCTTTTCAAATTTGCTTCGACCCGGTCTAGTAGCACCCCTTTCTGGTCTATCCTCTATCCAAATTTAAAGTCACAATGCCCCAGAAACAGCTCAACCAAAAAAAAAGAAAATCAACATCAAACTTTGACCACATTTTCAACAGCAACGTAAATATCGTTTTACAATAACATAAACACGCCCAAATGTTGCCGGAAGGTAATGACTCCACGTTCGTAATTCAATTTGCAAACATAATATGTCAAAACTCAGTTATATTAATGTAGTTTTAGCCATAACACTATAAATACAGTTTATTTCCTATACTGCAATTTTTGATTTATAGTCAACGTTTTAACGTTTTTTCACAAAAATTTTGTTTACAGTCGACTTAATTTTAAGATTCAAAAAAAATAATATCAAAATGCAGAGTCCTAAAACATACAAGTAACTTTGAGTTTTAGCCGGGCTAAAAACTCAAAGATACTTGTATGCTATCCATGTCTTGCCATAGATTACCCATACCCTACCTGTCCTACCCTTTCCTACTATATTTTCCCCTACTGTACCTTGCGTTAGCCACAAAACTATATACAAAGCAAGAATATGAAGTATATTGTCCTTCACTACATCCTACCCATACTTTACTATACAGAACCCACCATACCCTATCTCTGCCTACGCTACTATATTTCCCTTACTGTACCTTTCCTAATGTATCCTATTCTACCCCACCCTTTTCTAGTATTATACATTTTCCCCATTCTGTAATTTGCCATCTTTCTTACCCTTAACGTACTTTTAACCTTATCTCACTGTACTCTACAAAAGCAGAATAAAAACCTACCCTACCATACCCTACTCTGCCCTTCCTTATGTGATCTATTTTACCTTATCCTACTCTGCTTTAACATACCCTACCCGTCTCTATCTTATTCTACCCTACTATATTTTCTCTTACTGTACGTTGTCATACCGCACCTTACCGTACTTTTTTTCTTAACTCACTCTGCTATACAGATGCAGGATAAAAACACATTTTACCATACCCTACCCATACAAAAATACTTTACCATTTTATCATACGTGTATAAAATAATTTTTAAAAATTTGAATTTTTTCATCTCTAATCTCTCTAGTCTTAAACAATATCAATCCTAACCATCAAAGAAAGACAAAAGCATTCGGATTACCGTAAAACCTAATAAACATAACCAATTACCTAGATGCGTACAATTTTATGTGTGACGCAAGATAGCGGTACCTTTTCCAGAATTAAGCGCTATCTCCGAGGGGTTTTGTACTGATTTAAAGCATAATAGTAACGCGTTGAGGATTAATTTACTCGTGTGTCACAAAGAGAGATCGTTAGGGTGAATAGTTTAAATAAGAGCTACCTTACCTTAACTTAAGGTTTTTTGTTGGCTGTAGGTTTGTTTTTTTATTGTTTTTGCTTAAACTATGGGATATTGAGACTTTATAATAAAAAAAATTAAGGCTTATTTTTTATATTGAGAGGGGTTTATAGACTTATTGTTCAGTTTTTAGGCTTATCCTTCGATTAAGAAGCGTATTTTAAGATTTGCTTCGAGTAACTAAACTTGTATAATCTTGTTGTTTTAATACTTACTAACCTAGCCTTCATTTCAGCAACAAAAGTACCTGCACCTCGCAGAACATTCACTTAAAATCGTCTTAAACTCGGAATACATGGCGACCAAAAGAGACTTCAACCCAATACGTGAAGTAAACAACGACTAAGATGACGATATCGTATTCAAGGGCTTTTATGAAGAATCAGAAGACACTAAAGCCAAAAGAAGAAGAATTGTTGGACCAGAAAATAACAACTTCGATGGAAATTATGAAAATAAGCCTTCGACTAATCGAAGAACTTCCGAAAACCAGAGTCAAAGCTATGATGATGAAGATTCATCCACCGGTCAAAGGGATGTGGATTTATCGACCAGTCCAGAGGATGAAAGCTATGAGAACGCAAGTGAAGATCACTACAATGAAGATGAAGAAGATTCAGATGATGACATTGCGATCATCGCTGAATTTCGAAGAGAATTAGAAGAACAGAGCAAGGCTGAAAATGATAAGCTACTATATGAAAGTGTAGATTATTAAAAAGATGAAGAAATAGATGATTCAAAATTGGATGAATTTATAGATTCTGAACATGACTCGAATGAAGATTATGAAGATAATTCAGGATTCTATAAACCTATACGATGTGATTGCTATTTTCCGATTAAATAAACTATATATAATACTATAGAAAATGTCTTTTTGTAAATATAAGAAGACGTGTTGGCTAACCAAACAATATTTTAATTAAAAGATACTAACTTTAAAACCCCATCAGTCAAAAAACAAAGACAAATGCCCATGGGTTAACTTTCAGAAGGAACTTTCAAAATTTAATTTTCTAATAAAAAATGAAATTTAAATAGCAAAACCACAAAGTTAATAAAAAAGAAATGAACGATTTATCTTGCCCTCAGGGGCGTCGCTACGGATTTTTTGTTTTTCGATTTTTCGCGTACATGTACCTACCTGTGGAGATCGGCTCTGGAGAGAGTTGATCAAACCCCTCCCCCCTAGCGACGCCCCTGCTTGCCCTATTTTACCCATAAAACATATTCTACCCTAGCCGGCCCGTTCTTCATGTCTAGTGGAACTTAAATATAACAAATTCCTCTTATCCATCCTGCGGGTGAACAGTTAAACTATTCTCTTATATTTCAATTTTTTAATGATTACAAATAAAAAACTAAAAATAATATACCGGTTTCAAAACCTAATCAAAACATTCTTCTGTTTAATTCAGCACAATTTATTAAAATCACAAATTAAAATGTTAAAAATATTAGGAATAAAGACAAGATCATTATGATAAGGTACCCGTTATGAAAGAATTAGCAACAGAGATTTACATCGTAGAACTCAATATTATTGTAGTATAGTAGGAGAATCAATATCATTGTAGTATAGTAAGAGAATCAGTGTCATTGTAGTATAATAAGACACTCAGTGTCATTTATTAACATTATAGTAGTATGGTAAGAGGTGGTAGAACAATGAAGGGTTTTTAAGTGAACATATTGTGGTATAGTGGCAGATAAATAGAAGTTTGAGGTTAAAATGACAAGTAAATAGAAGAACGAGGTTGTAATGACGAGCAAATGCATATAACATTGATATAAGATATATCAACTATAACATAACCATAGTAGCTAATTTACAGGGCGTTTTCGTCAATCTGTAGCGAGGCAACGCTGTCGTTTGAGCTCTGGCCTACTGTATCCACTTCCATCAAGAGTTCTTGGCCTGCTGTATCTTCTGAACCATCGTCTGGCTTCTGAATATCAGTATCATGACCTTCAGATCCTTCTACAAGCTTTTCAGCTTGTTCACGATCTTCTTCTGGCTTATGAAGCTCATTATCATGACCTTCAGGTTCGTCTACAGGCTTTTCAGCGTCTTCACAATGTTCATCCAAGTCTTTATCGCCTTCTGAAGCTTTCTTTGAATCCATCGTACCACCGACTACCATTGACTCAACCGTACCTTCCATCGTAACTTCAGCAGCCTTTCCCACCGTAACTTCAGCATTCCCTTGTACCGTGACTTCTGTAGCCTCTTGTCTAGCCTGATCAACCACTAGTATAGCTTCCAAGCTCTGATTTCCTCCTTCCAAATCATCTTCACCGTTATACTCGTCAATCAGGATTAGATCATCGTCATCCGAATTCAGAAGGGCTTCTTCATCGTAAATCGTAATATTGTTAGTGTTTTCCATGGTTTCATCCGGAGAATCCAAAAGCTCTTCGTAATTCTGTTCAGCAGCTGGGGTTTCATGAGCTACAGCTTCTGGATTCGTTTTCATATCGTCAAAGACTCCTGATGGCTGATTTTGTTGATTTACAGCTTCAGAAATTACCACATCATTAAGGTCATGACCTTCAGAATGCTGTACTTCAGGTTCAACACTTTCAGAAGCTTGGCCATCAAGTTCAATGCCTTCAGAAGATTGTAAATCAGCTTCTACACCACCAGAAGCTTGTTCATCCAATTCAATGTCTTCAGAAGCTTGTAAATCAGCTTCTACACCACCAGAAGCTTGGGCATCTCCTTCAGCACCTTCTACATCATCTTCATCATCAGACCCCAGATCAACATAGATGATTTCTTTCGGACTTTGCTGCTTTGTAGATGGTGGGTTTGATGTAGAACCGGGTTCTTGGACAATTGGAACTTCTTGATCTTCACCCCCATCTAGTTCCTCTTGATCTTCCTCTTCTAGCTCTTCTTGATCTTCATCTTCTTCGTCGTCAGAAGCTCGTGAAGACTTTGGCTTCAGTTTCTCAAGAAAATGATCGTTCAAATCGAGGCAGGCATCTATGCTCTTTGAGTATCGACCATGCCTGAAGGCTTTTCTCATTCGGTTTTGTAAGACTCTTGAAGTCGATGGAACTTCTGAGTTGCATCGTGAGGTCAATAGAGCTTCGGCTTCGGATCTTGAGGTCGATGGAGCTTCTGAGTTGCATCGTGAAGCCAATGGAACTTCGACTTGGAATCTTGAAGTCGATGGAGCTTCTGAGTTGCATCGTGAAGTCAATGGGACTTCTGATTCGCATCGTGCCGTTGATTTATCTCCAGAATCACAGCTTACCGTTGCAGCAGGCTCTGATCCACAACGTGTAGTTGAAGTAGGTTCTAATTCACACCCTGTAGTTGTAGCAGGCTCTGATTCACACCGCGTAGCATCTGATTCTTGTTCTACAGGCATCGTATTAGCTTCAGAATCTTCTACTTCCATTGGTTCTGCGGTAACATCTTCAAAATCATCATTTTCCTTCGCTGTAGCTGATTCAGAAGTTGAAGTGCCATCAGAATCCTTAGCAGTAACTTTTGGTTCAACAGCTTCTGAATCCATTGCGTTTTCAGATTCTTCATTTACCGTAGCGACTTCAGAAGTAGTTACAGCTTCAGAACCTTCAGTAACTCCAAGTTCTGTACCATCTTGAACTCCGGTAGCCTCTTCATTCACCGTAGCATCTCCAGAATTCATAGCCTCTCCAGAATCCACAGCTCCTTCACAATCATCATCAATGACTTCATAGCCCAAACCATTCTCATCCGATGCATCTTGCACTTGACAAATGTAATCGATCAATGGCTCTCGCTTCTCTTCGTACACCTTTGTGGTAGTCAATGTCATTTTGGCAGTTTCCGCTGAGAACGGTGATGTTTTGAGGAATCCGTTGTATTGATGGACAACCTCATCCAATTGATCATTGAAAGTTGTCAGTTCCCATAGCTCAATATTGAACTTGATCAAGTCTTTTTTGTTTGCAGCGTCGTACAAGAGGCTTTGCTAAAAAATATTAATTTTAAAAAAATTCTGAAAATGAAAACAATAAAAATCCTAAAAAATAAAATTAAAATTTTTTTTTATTTTGAAAAATCCTTACCTTGTCCAAATTTGGGTACTTATCCAATAGATTTGAAACAAATTGATCAATTTCTAGTTTATGACCTCTTCGGCTGAAAATATCAAAAATCAATTAAAATAAAACAATTTTAAAAAATCATTACACCGCTACAAAATTTATCGGAAGAGGAAGAATAAGGAGGAAGGAGAGGAATAAAAAAATCTAAAATATTTTTTGGTCTGCCTGTTCATCCATTTTTCAATTTTTTTTCGGATCGGCTTTGGGAGAAAAGGAAAGGATCCTTCCGCATCCCCTCGCCCGCCCTTCGCTGTCCCTGCCCTTCTTGTAATCAAACATATGTGTTCTAACAATGTACAATTCGGACACGGCGACAGCAACGATGCTGCTTACGATGACCGAATTGTGAAGACAATGTTGCCATCCGCAGCAGATGTTAATTTCGACTTGATGAACCAGAGGAGGACTGGATTGAGGTTATGGATAAGACGGCGGATCCAACGTACGAAGATGTGACCGACGAAAATAGACGAAAAATATATGTCGTTATTTGCTCAAAATTATGCAATTTCATCTCACAATAATATTACAAAAATTTGCATATTGAAAGTTTTGTTAAAAAAAAGTTTTAGAGGCTTCGGAACCCAGATGGTTTGAATCGGAAACCGAACGCTTTACTCTCTACGCCACGCCGCCACTTGATTTCCATGCGTTATCTCCGATAGACTTTTCGGCGCGCTTTACTCTTTTTGGGGATTCGGTCAAAATTTAAAGTCGATTTTCTCGAAAACTAAGCTCCATACGGAAAAACGGTTTTCAGATCCATAATCAGTGATTACAGGGCTTTCAGAATATATAGGTTTCGTCCCAAAGTCAAAGGGCGATTTAAGTTACCTCCCTTGTAAGCTTCTCTACTGAACCTTTATAAGCCCGTCCGCCGGACTTATAACAACAAAACTCTTAAAAAAAAATTTTCGAAAAAACAACAGGGGGAACACGTTCAACTTTTCCAAAAAAAATTTTTTAAAAATCATCAAAAAATGACCTAGCCTCTTTTAAACCGTACAAACCCCGTAAAACAAGTCCTGTAAAGAGACCTCTCTCCAAACCCACCAAAAATTCAACTTACAAAGTGCAATGTTGAAAGAAAGCCTTGATGACAAGCTCACAGTACACCATGGCTTTGCTTGGATCCGTAATCTTCAACTTCTTGCCACTTCTCAACGAATCCGCAAAACTTTTGTCATCTGTTTCAATCAGTTCAGCTAAATCATAGGTCTTCATGACTTCGAGGATCTTCTTCTGCGATACTCGAGGCATCTGTGGTACTTTGCCAGTGTATACAATAACATATACGACTTGAGCGTAGAGTGGACCCGTAACTTTTTCGACTGAGCAAATGTTCTTTTCATTGACCACGATTTTGTACATTTCGAGAATGTCCTTGTCTTGAATCTGGCACTTTTCCTTGGTGAATCCGAAAATGTTCTCGAATTTGACTTGGTATGGGAAGGGGCAGGCGTGGATTGTCTCTAGCTTTTCGTTGGCTATGACAATGTGATTGGTCGATAGGAGCTGAAATTCAATTTTTAATAAAAATCTAGTTTTTTATTATAAAAATCAAAAAAATTGCAATAACTTTCTTTACAAGTTTTAAAATAGGAAGAAATTCGTAAAGGAAAAAATTGCAAAAACTTTCTTTACACAAAAAAAATGGCAAAAACTTTCTTAACAAAGCAAAAAATAGCAAAAACTTTCTTTCCAAAGCAAAAACGGCAATAACTTTCTTTACAGACCAAAAAATATCAAGAACTTTCTTTACAAAACAAAAAATGGCAAAAACTTTCTTTACAAATCAAAAAAGGGCAAAAACTTTCTTTCCAACCCCCAAAAACTTACTTTTCTTTTAACTTCCGCGACCACCTGAATATCATCATCGTCATCCTCAATATCGGCTGGTTCTGGTCGTTTTGGAGCTGTTGAGACACCTGATGTTGTGGTATTTGAAGCTCCTGGTGTTGTAGTGCATGGTTTTGTTAGGGAAGTCGAGGTAGTTGGCTGATTAATAACGTTTGAAGCCGTGATTTCACTTGGATTCACTAAATCATTAACAGTTTCTGCTTCTTTAGCTTCTGAATCCAAACAATGGTCTTGACCATGGAACTCGGAATCCAAAAGATGGTGTTGAACATGATGTTCAGGATCCATATCTTCACCTTGGTTAACATATTCTGAATTCATGCCTTCACCTTGATTAACATATTCTGAATCCACATCTTCACCATGATCATCCGCTTCGAAATCCATCGTTTCCTCTTCATTATGACCTTCAGATTCCACAGTTTCATCCAATGCACTATGATTTGTCACTCTTTTCCGAGCGAAGTTCGCATTTTTTCCCACGAATCTACCTTCTAAGGCTTCACCTTGGTCTGGCATCTCATCATTACCTCCAGTCATTCCTAATGTACCCTCATTTTGTTCATCTGAACATTTTCTCTTCACAATTTCAGCAATTATTTCAATATCATCATCCGAATCGTCTTCATCATGATACTCATCTTCACTTTCATTTTCATAACTTTCCTCTTCTCGACTGGTCGATAAGTCCAAATTCCCTTGGTCGTTCAATGAATCTTCCTCATCATAACTTCGACCATGGTTTTCCGAACTTCTTTGACTGGTCAAAGCTTCATTTTCATAATTGTCATCCAAGTACTCGTCGTCCGGGCCTACTGTTCGTCTTCTCTTGGCTTTGGTGGCTTCTGACTCTCCGTAGAAGCCCTCAAATACAATATCATCGTCGGAATCATTGTTAGCTTCACGTAGTGGGTTGAAGTCTCTTTTGGTCGCCATGTATTCTGAATTGAGAACAATTTTGAGCGAATGTTCTGCGAGGTATTGCAGGTACTTTTGTTTCTGAAATGAAGGTTAGGTTAGTAAATATAAAAACAACAAGGTTAACAAATCAATAGCTTAAAAGGATCACTTATAAGAAAGCCTAAAACACGCTTCTAACACGAAGAATAGACCTAAAAATCTATCGTGAACTAAAAAATAAGCCCAAAACTCTTTTTTAATTTAAAAATAAGTCTTAAAATCCTATAGCACAAGGCATATAAATAAAATTAAAGTAGCACATCCACTCTAAGTTCACTCTTTGTTAAAACTGAGTCAATTAATCCTGAACGCGCGGCTTTCTGTACATCAAATCGGCACAAAACCTCTCGGAGATAGCGCTTAATACTTGAAAAGGTACCGCTATTTTACATCACATAAAAACTTGTACGCGTCTGGATTATGACTGATAAAAATTTAGCCCGCGCTTTTGAGTTTAAAATTAAAATATTTAAGTTTCCCGCTAACTTGTCAAATTTGGCATTGTGTTTCAAGCGCTCCTTTCGACTTTCAGACAAACTGCATTAAAATATTTCTAAAATTAGAGGATTCACTACTTTTCTGAAGGTTTTATATTTACATGACCTTTCTATATAAAAAGTTTGAATTCGATCAGAGCGGGGCTAGTCGGTAAGTTTCTTCGTAAATATAAAAATGGGCCTAAAACTCTCTTTTCTTTGCAACAATAAGCTTAATAGCCCTTTTTAATTAAAAAAACATACGTAAAACAACATAAAGTAAGCTTAAACACCCCTTAAAAATCCAAAAAATAAGCCCATGTACCCTAGTAAATCTAAAAAACCCTTACAAACCCCTATAAATCCCTCTATAAGCCTAAACTCCCAAATAAAACTAAAGCACCCCTAAAGCAGAAACTGTGTTTAACCTACCTACACTTTAAGATTGCTCAAAAGGATAAAACACCTCTTGAACTGCCACTATTTATATAAGAAACGCGCACAAAACTCTCAATTAAGGCGCGCAATCCTCAAGAAAGTGTCATTTCATTGCGCTATGCCTAAATTTGTTCGCTTTTGATCAAGCATATGTGTCTTCTTAAGCAGTTTTATAAGGCCTACCTTGATAAAGTTGCTTTTTATCTCTATTTTATAAAGTGTTTAAACATTGCCTTAACAAGGGAAGTGTCTCACCTCATTCCGGAGGTATGAATCGAGACTAGGCTCATTGGAAAGCCTATTTGAATACGAATTCAACAAAAAAAATTTAGCTGCCGAATAAGCCCCTGAAGCAAGTTATGACGGTTTAAAAATAGTGCAGTGCTTTTTTTCTTTTTGCGTTTGAGAACGATTGGGATCGAGAAAGAAAACAAGGGGAACCGAAGGAATCGGTGGTTCAGTGGTTGGGTGTTGGGTTTAGGGGTGAAAGGATAAGGGTTCGATCCCTGCCAACTCGTTTTGCTTTAACAGCTTTCAAAAAAAATTTTTTTGTTTTTTGTACTATATAGCATTGAATAGAATAGTTTTGATCAGTTGAATACAAAAATTAAGCAATCTGACAAATTATTAAACTTTAAAATTTTTTTTGGAAATTTTTTGTAATTTCTGAAAAAACGTTGAGCACCCTATCACCTAGAATAACTGACCATCAGAAAAAGTAACCTTGCTTTCCCTTCCTTCAGAAAATTCAACAGCTTCGGCGTCATTGTGAGGCAACTGATAATCAGGGAAGAAACGAATGTCATCAGTCTCGAATATTTCAAACCAATCGCCATTAATGCTAACCATGTTGATGCGTCTACCCAATAAATTCGAAAAATTTCCAAAAAATTTTAAAGTTCAATAATTTGTCAAATTGCTTAATTTTTGTATTTAACTGATTAAAACTACTCTATTCAATGCTATATAGTACAAAAAACAAAAAATTTTTTTTTAGAAGCTGTTAAAGCAAAACGAGTTGGCAGAGATCGAACCCTTATCCTTTCACCCCTAAACCCAACACCCAACCACTGAACCACCGAATCATCGGTTCCCCTTGTTTTCTTTCTCGATCTCAAACGCAAAAAGAAAAAAGCACTGCAAATTTTTAAATCGTCATAACTTGCCTCAGGGGCTTATTCGGCAGCTAAATTTTTCTTTGTTGAATTCGTATTCAAATAGGCTTTCCAATGAGCCTAGTCTCGATTCATACCTCCGGAACGAGGTGAGACACTTCCCTTGTAAGATAAATAAGCTAATGAACGTTTTAATCACAGCAAAACTGATCAATCCAAGTTGTTGATCTAAGAAAAATCGTTCAAAACAATCTACTAGTGCGTCCAGGCCTCAGGCCAAAGCAATTTTGACATAACCCCAAAACATGTGGGTCCTGGAACCGTACCCCAAACCGAAACCTAACCCGTGAGCCACAAAATTAGGTCCGGCCCCATCCTTTTCAAGCCTAATCAAAACTCAAAAACAAATAAGTAAAAACCTACGTGAAACAGTTTATAAGCATGAACACACTCCTTGGCCATATTTTTGAGGTACTTGTTCAAGAATCGACGATAGTAATAATCATCTCCTTTTGATACCTGAACAATAAAAAACGTTAAAAATAAAAATTAAATTAGTTAAACAAATTTTATCTATCAAAAACATCAAAACCTTGAAACAACCAATTTTACTAAGAAAATCTAAAAAAATCAAATTTAGGTAACAAAAACCAAAAAAATCAATTTTAGGTAACAAAAAATCGATTTTAGGTAACAAACCCCGAGTTTTTTTTAACTATGAAAAAAGCCACAAAACCTACCCCAAACATATCCACAAGAACAGCGAATATTTTCGGTTTGTTATTCATCTCCTTGACCACCATGAACGAGCCCAAATAGATTGGTTCATCAATCACTTCCTCTGCCTCTTTCCGATGTTCCGTGAATCTGGTCTTTATATGTGATAGTACAACGTCTTTGCAAAAGTTTGGTTGATTCTCGTCCTTTTTCATCGTGTACATACCGTAGAATTTCAGTGCCAGATCGACAATGATGTAGAATTCTGGCATTGCTTGAGACTTGGCAAAGACTTTTTCTGTCGAATCTGGGGTTGAAGCGTTTGCTGATGGTGATGATGTTGTTGGTTTTGGATGTGAAGTTGTGGGTGATGATGTAGCCTTGTTATGGGTAGCTAATGACGATGTAAGCTTGGTATAAGCAGCCGAAAACAATGGTGCAGTCATATTATAACCTTCTGAACTCAATGGTGAAGCATCTGAAGTCGAAGTCAACGGAGAAGCCGTAGTCCGCGTAGCCAAAGTTGAAGGTCTATCTATAGGTGAAATCAAAGAAGTATAAGCCAATTTAGTAGATATAGGCGAAGTTGAGTTTGTTGGCTTTCTTAAAACCACCTTTCTTGGCATGGTCAGTAGATTCTGAAGTAATGGTGAAGTTGACTGTGCGCTACTTGTTGTTACTGTAGCTGAAGGTGCTGTTGAAGCTCTTGACATTGAAACAGATGGTGATGTAGCCATTGGCGGTGAATTTGAGGCCCCTTCTGTAGCCACAGAACTTGGTATTAACGTTTCCGTACAGTACATATTCTGAAGCGCTCTGAGCTCGTCGTTCATAATTAAGTCCGACGGTTCTTGAGCAGTCTGGGTTTTTGAATTCTTTCTTTTATCATGGTAAGCTCCTGAAGCCCCTCCTTCACTCCTATGACCTTCAAAAGCCATTGCTTCATTACCTTCTCCACCTTCATCACCTTGACCTTGTTCAAATTGTTGTACATCATCTTGTTCAACAATTTGAAGCTCACCATCATCATCATCTTGAGCAACAACTTCTCCTTCAACTCGGCTATTAAAATCAAAGTTCAGTGGTGTTCCAGCTGTGATTATAGCTCTTCCAGCTGCTACAGAATCCGCGGACTTCGACGTTGATGGTACTGAATCTTCAATTATAACCTCAGGTTCTCCAGAAGCTAGTGATGTAGAAGCTCCAAAAGCTGACGATGTGGCAGCTCCAAAAGCAGTTGACGTAGAAGGTCCAAGAACACTAGACTGTACTAAGTCATCCTGTGGTGTACCAGTACGACAAGACAAGCCTATACCACTCATTTGCTGTAGTAATGCCATTGGAGTGGTTAGGCTTGGGGATGGAGTTGAGCTTTCTGAATGTATTGATACTACACTAGGTCGTCTTGAAGTTTGGTCTGGCATCTCTGGACCTTGTATACCACCATGAGCTCCATCTGAGCCAAATCGACCACCATAAGGACCAGATTGACCAACTTGACCACCATGAACTTCAGCTTGACCAAATTGACTACAATGAGCTCCAGCTTGGCTAACTTGGGCACCATGCGCTCCACCTTGACTAACTCGGGCACCATGAGCTCCAATTTGACCAATGTGTCCAACGCCACCGTGAGCTCCAGCTTGACCAAGATGCCCACCAAAAGCTCCGTCTTGACCACCAAATGCTTTGCCTTGACTAACCTGACCTTGTACGCCTCCAGCAACTCCAACTTGACCCATTTGACCACCTTGTCCACCTTGTTGAACCTGCCCAGGCTGAGCAAACCCCATTCCACTTGGTAGCATTTGACCGGGCACAACTTGTGGCCGAACCTGGTAAGCTCCTTGACCTTGAACAACATTTGGCATTGGGCCACGATAAGGTCGATAAGCTTGTAGATTAAATGCGGGTGGAGCTGAGTGACCTGAAATTACAGCATTTTTCAATTTTGTTAAAAAATTTTAATTGACTCACATTTAAATATACCACATAAAACGTTTATTCATTTAAAAAAAAATTTAATAAAAAAATTTTTTGACCCCCCCCTCCCCTTTCCCGATCAAAATATACGCCGCCCGGCACTAATTTTTTGCTCCCTGTCAACTTTTAAATGTCTAAACAAAAAACTAAAAAAAAATTTTTTTTATCCTCTCCCCCACTCTAACAAAAATACCCCGCCCACCACAAACTCGCGCCTTTTCGGACAATATTTAAGTACCTAAACTAAAAAAATATAACAAAAAATTTTTTTCATTTTTTAAAACTGCTTTTGATACAAAGTTGAGATACCTACCCATATTAGCCACGAACTGTTCATCAAATTTCGCTTGAGCGTTCCGCAGTAACGCCACGTTCTTTTCGAAAAACGATCTCAACTCCTTTTGTCGAGTACGTAACGCTTTCGGCAAGATCCCAGAAGCAATGTCAGTGGGTGCTGAGGTTGGGCCCGGTTTCATTAAGGCGTGCTAAAAAAATTTAAATTTCAAAAAAAATTCTAAAAAATTTCGAAAAATTTCAAAATTCAAAAAAATATTTAAATCCGTAAAATTTAAAAATTAAACAAATTTTTAAATTTAAAAAAATTTTTGAAAATCGCACAAAATAAAAAAAATTTCGACAAAATTCAAAAAAAAATTACAAATCGTCAAAAATTTTTAAATTTAAAAAACTTCAAAATTTGAAAAAAAACTTACAATCAACTCAGGAGCGAACATCCGGTGCAATGCCCTGTTAATTTCGCCGGTGGTTGGATCCCGACACCTGTAATAGTCAAAGATGAAAGCGGCTATCCATTTGGCCATTTGTTGTAGTGAATGTTGATTGAGACCATTGTAGTTCGTGATCCCGGCCACAGCGATAAGGGTACGCAGAGGGATTTGACCAAAGTGCGGTGGGGGTTCCGGTTCTTCGGTGGGGGCACAAGTTCGTTTCTGTAAAAATTACAATTTGTAACGATTGATAAGCCATATTTTAACTATTAGGTGGCGACATAAAAAACCCGCCATTTTTTCTAAAAATTACAGGAAAAGTATGGCGGGTTCTTTATGTCGGCACCTAATACATTAAAATACAATTATTGCCCACCCCCTCCCAAAAAAAATCAAAACTCCACCCAACCCTCACATACCGTTCCCAAATAAATCTGTGCGAATACCGTACAGGTGTTGGTATTCTGATCGCGCACGTGTCTCATATACATGATGACGTTCCTTCGTAGTGCTGTGGCGTGAGCGATGAAATCCTTAGTGTTTTCGACCAAATAGGGTGGTGGGAAGTTCACAGATCGTACGAAACGCATGGTTTCGTCAAAGATAATGAGGCGATTCATGTTGAGATGTTTGGGCATGAATCGAGCACAATTTTCCGCTCTTAAGTGACCTGGCCCTACTATAGTCTGAGCGTTTGAAGTCGAAAGTTGAGGCTGACGCTGAAGACACGGATTCTGAATTTGAGGCTGCTGATGCTGTAGATTCTGAAGTTGAGGCTGATGCTGTGGATTCAGACGCTGAAGCTGATACTGTGGATTCTTCATTTGAAGGAATTGACGGTACTGAAGATTCGGATTCTGTTGATTCTGTGCATTTTGATACTGTAAAAACTGAATATTCGGATTCTGAATCTGTTGATTCCCAGGATAGTACGGTGGATTATGAAGGTAGTCTCTTAAGCGGTATTCAACGCCTGTAGCTGGTATCTGTGAAACCATATTCTGAAGCCCTTGGCCTTGTCGACCATCAGCTTGACCTTGGACATCAGCTTGAGCTTGTTGACCAGAAGCTTGAAAGTGTTGACCAGCTTGATCAAACTGACGTTGCTGACCTTGTTCACCAACTTGAGCTTGACGACCCTGTAATCCACCAGCTTGACCTTGTTGACCAACTTGACCTTGATGACCAACTTGACCTTGAAGACCACTAGCTTGACCATGACCACCAGCTTGATCTTGACGATCCTGTACACCCCCAGCTTGACCTTTAAACCCAGCCTCATGTTGAACACCTTGAACTTGATCATGAGCCTCTCTGCCACCCGCTCTCTTCAAACCACTGCCACATTCAATGCCCCACTTTGCCAAAAGTGTTTTGTCCTTCAATGTCTTCTTCAATACTGCCACACTTTGAAGTTCAACTACCCTGCTGATTTTTCGGGTCTCGTTCTTCCATGAACTGTTCTTGATCTTCACAAAGTCAATGTACTGTTCGCAGTCAAAGTAGGGGTAGTTGCGGAAGAAACGTCGAAAAATGTCGAGTAGGACCTTAGGGTTTGGAGTTTGGCTAAAAATAAAATTTTTTTTTTTTTACTTAATATTAAAAATTGATATTTTTTCTGTTTTTGTTAGTTAAAGCTCAAAACTGTTGGTTTTATTACCTAAATTCAACTTTTCATTCAAAATTTAATTTTGTTACCTAAAAATTTTTTTTTCATAAAATTAAAAATTGAAATTAAACTTTATACTAAAATTTAAAATTTTTCGATTTTGTTACCTAAAATTAAAATTTTGACTTTGTTACCTAAAATTATACTTTTTTTTAAAGTTTGTTACCCAAAAGTATTATTCTTTCTACATTTTTTAACTAAATATTATCTAAACTAGCTTATTGTCAAATTTTTTTACCTAAAAATTTTTTGATTTTTTGGTTTAAAATTATTTTTTCGAACCTTTTTACCTAAAATTATACGTTTTTTTCGAAATTTGACCCCTAAATTTAATTTTTGCTAAAAATTTCAACTCTTTGTACTTTTTTTTACCTAAATAAAAAAATTCTACTTTGTTACCAAAAATTATACTTTTTTCCTAAACTTGTTACCTAAAATAATTCATTTTCAAATTTTGTTACCTAAACCCAAAGAGCCTTCAAAAGATAAACTTACTATAGAAACACAGGCAACACAAGCTCCAAGAAGTACTTCAAGATCAAGCTTGAATCACCGACTCTGATCTCTTGATTCGTTTCGAATATGTTTCTGAATCTTTGCCTCGTTTTATCATTCAATTTCTTCAGGAAATCATCGACAGATATTGATGCCAAACTTGGTGGACATTCGGTGATCCAGTTCTTGACGAAAGAGTCCGTATGAATCGTAGCTACAATGGTTGACCACATGCATTCAGAGTTTGTTCGTACTCGATAATGGCTTTTGCCTTCGAGTCGGTCGATTCGAATTAGGCCCTGTGAGTTTAGTTTGAGGCGGTTACAAATGTCATTGAATTGTTGAACAACGGTCATGCTTTCTTGACGTCGCTCAATTTGCAAGACTTTGCCTTTGTGGTCGACTAAGAGGAAGATGCAGAGAACTTCTGCATTTGAAGGTTGGCTCTGAAAAAGGTAAAATAATGTAAAATACGGCGTTTTTTATCTTCTTTTAGTTTATGTCATCTCAAACTAAAAACCGTAGCCTGAGACGCTAAAACTAAAATTTTAAATTAAAATTTCTTTTTAATTTTTTATTTAAACTTTGCACTTTAGTATCGAAATTTGGCATAAGATTCTGATTTTGTTACCTAAAATTCCATTTTTTGTTTTCATCACTCATACTTCAAATTTTTTAAATATATTTGTTACCTAAACTTTAAAATTTCAAATAATTTTTTTATTAATTAAACTACAAATTTAAAAAAAGTTTTTACCTAAATTTATAAACCTATCCCTCTAACAGTCAAAAGAAAGGGTTTTTAAACCCAAAGCTGTTCGTAGATCTTTATAACCATGCCTAGACCAAAAAAAACGCTTTAGCCTACAATTCAACCTAAATTTCACTTTTTTTCAACTAAGCCTCAGTTTAATGCCAAAACACACTCTAGCCTAAACTTTAAACTTTAAAAATTTTTTTTAAATAAAAATTTCTTAAAAAACTTACGATAGGCCCATCAGGCAGAGCGCTGAACATTTGTGACAAAACTTCAAGCGGTGGATGAGCTGCGGCTTCAACATTAGCTTCTGAAGGTCGATCTTGCTGAGGACTTCTTGAGTTATCATCAGTGAAGCCTTTCGCTAGATCTCCCAGATTATCCCACGCTGCTGCTGCGTCTGTAGGTAATGTAGCTGATGGCGATGGTGCATTTGTTGTTCTACTAGGCTGTTTATCAGATAATAATGATGGTACTGTAGCTGCTGAGGTAGATGGTACCATATAAGACAAATCTGATGACATTCTTTGACCTATACTTCCTTGTTTCTTCCCTTGCCTACTACTTGAGGCTACATTATGTTCATCTTCATCTTCTCCTTGACCTTCGCCTCCATCCTGATCTCCACTGCCACCTCTACCCTGCCCTCCAATGCCAATATCAAGCAGAGGTGCATTACCACTATCCATATAGTCATCAAAACCGCCCCAATCACCCGAATCTTCTTGTGGGTCTTCATCAATCATCAAGGCTCCAGTTTCGTCGAATTCATTTGAATCTATAATATCTTCTTCTACGGTATCCACATCTATGCATTTTCCGTTTTTGAATGCCTTGTGCCAATCCAAAACAGTGGCATTCTTTTCTCGTTCGCTGCCTTCGTAGATTTGACACATGAATTCGAGTGGAGTCATTTTGTAGAAGGCCTTGAAGTTACCGTGAATGACTTTGTTCTCGAATTGATTCTGAAAAAGTGAAATTTAGAAAATAAAAATGAACAGAATCAGAATCACATATGTTAAAGTTTAAGTACGACTAATATAAACCTTAAAGAAACAAAAAAACTTACGGCAACCTTAACAGAAAAGTCCCTCAACATGTGAACCAACACAATACCACGTTCAAACATAGTCGACTGTCGAGTCAAAATCAACTTGTTCAACAATCTTCCAACCACAATCACAATATTGGCAATCTGATTTGCAGTTAGTGCTTTCGCTTCAAGCAAATTTTTGTGTATATCATCCGCTTCTTTGCCGAACGATGGGTAAAAGTCCTGGATTGACATGTGTTTGATACAGTCCGGTACGTTGCCTAGCTCGGCGGCGCCAGAGAGAGGGTACTGGAAGGGAAAAAAAGTTAGAAAATCGGGCCCTGATATTGAAGCACCGAACTCATAAACATTTAGGGGTGAGAAACGGGCCGTCTTGGCCCGGCCCGCGGGCCGAGCTTGAAAATTGGGCACGGGCCCAAAAAAAAATTTTTTAATTTTTAAAAATTTTTTATTTTAATCCCCGTTGATGTTCTTTGATTTTATTGGGTACCATTTAAGAACTGCTAGAATTAGGGTTAAAGCTGAAGCTATATCATGGATAGCCCGGCTATTTTAAAGGACCAGTTCGCCCATTCAAATATCATTGGCAATCTGTAGCAAAAATTCGACGTTCATTTTTTCGCAAAAAACCTGAGCAGGTCGGTCCCAAATTGGAAAATTCATTTCGACACCGACCCACTCACGTTTTTTGAGAAAAATGATTTTGATTGAAATTGCCTGATTTTCGACGCTTTTTGCGACAGAATGCCAATGATATTTGAATGGGCGAACTGGTCCTTTAAAATTATAGATTAAGAAAAAGATAGTGCAGGACTATGGTACAGTTTGATAAGAGCTGTCTTACAAGAAAGGTACCCGACCTATCCGGCTCTGACTGACTTAAAACTTTTTATATAGCAAGATTATGTAAATATAAGACCTTCAAAAGAGTACTAAATGCACTTTCTAGTGAATCTCGAGAAACTCAATGTCAAAAAAATTACGTTTTGAATTGCATTGTGTTTCCAGCTTATAACTTTGTCATTTTTTGACTTTCAATAATTTTCCTTTGATATACTATAGTAGAAAACAGTCAAATAAACATACATTTTTAAAATTACAAGCGTAGCTTGTCTAGAAAGTCAAAAAAAGGCTTGAGACACAACCAAAAAATATTTAAATTTTAAAATTCAAAAGCAAAAACTTAAATTTTTTATGTGTATTATTAGTGATATGAAGAAGTTGAATAAAAATTTTGAGCTCATTCTGAGTAGAGCAGGATGTACTTTCCTTGAGTAAGGTGAGAAATGTCACATTATTAGCACAATAAACCGCTAAACAAGTATTGTCGCCGTTTCCCCTTAGAAAGCCTTGTGAGAAAGCGTCAAGACTTTTTTAAACCCGTAGTACAAGTCTTAAATTGACATTTCTAAAACTCCTCAACACAAATCTTTTTGCCTACCTCAACAACAATATAAAGACCTACATTTCCTTGAAAAAGCTGAACAAACAGCACTTCCTCCTTGACATAATCACAATTCATTTTAATCTCCATCAGTTCTCCATTGATAACTTGCTTTACACTTAATATATGCTCCTTTTTCCTGCCTTCAAAGTGTTTCAGCACCATATCAAGTACAATTTCTAGGTTCACATCCTCTTCAATTTCTAGCACACCTTCTTGCTGTAGATCTTCATTGTAGATCAGTACATTGACCTTGTTTAACACTACTTCATTCTCTTTGTTCTCTTTTCTCGCTGATATTGTAGTTTTAGCGTTATTGCTGCTGGCTGGTCGTTTGAGATGATTTGGTCGATCTGATCGTCTTCTCTTTGGTGTGCTACTCATCGTTCTGGCATTCAAGTTGGCTAGATGTGCTTGATTTTGTGCTCCTGAAGCTACTCTTTTGACGCCTTTTCTGGATTCAGAATCTGATGACATTCCTTCAAAAGCTTCTATCAAGTTTCTGACCGACTTTGAGGTGACTTTTCGGCTTGTTTGCTTGATATTTTCCTCACTGTCTTCTCCGGTATCATTAGCACCATTCTTCCTAGTACCACTAGCGCCCTTTCTCCTAATATCATAAGCACCACTCTTTCTGGTACCACAAAAATCAAGTCCATCTTCATCATCTTCTGCATCCAAATCAGCGTCATTCCTTTCAGTATCATCTCCCTCAACATTACTACCAGTTCCAGAGGTTGAAGGCCGACATAAGCCTTCAAAATCCTCTTTAAATTCACCGGCTTCAGCATATTCTTCAAGGCTACCATCATCTTCTTGAATTGGATCTTCTTCACCTCGTTCTGCCTGAATGGCCAACTTCTTCTTTCGATCTTCCCATGCCATTTCGAACACCGCCTTCTCCTTCACCGATGTCATACCGTGCTTCAGCACACGATGACAATAGTAGGCACGTTTCAGCTTGTGTTCTTTGAAGTTTTCCCCGATTTCGGCTGCGAATTGTGAAAGCAAGTGGGCGTTCTGAAATTAAAAATTTAGTAAACTTAAGTCAAAATTAATAATTTTAAATAACCAGAAACTTGGAATTTAAGATAAGCTTTAAAAACCTAAAAAAGTCATTTTTAAAGTTAAAATTGATAAAAAAAAACCAAAGAAAAAAGATTGTTAGCCAAAAATCATAATTTTTGCGCCATTTTTAAGCTAGGAATTCTTATGTTTCCATATTATCAGTAAAAACATTGCAACATCATATCAAATCAAACACCATTTCTAAAAGTATCAAAAAGAAACATTCGAGCTCAGGTATCTCTTTAAAACTAATCAATTTCAAAAAGTCAAAAAAACTAGCCTTGAATCCATACAATTAGCTGAAAAATCAAAAACTGGAAAAAGAAACCCTGAAACCTCCCTCTTTATTTCTCTGTTTTTAGCATTTTAAAATCGTCGCGGCCAAATTATACACAATAAACCAAAAGATCGAATTTTAAGCGCGATTTTTTTGGCTATAAAATCGAATTTCATCGCAACGTTCGTATAGCTTTTTCGGCCTTGCTTTGTCTCCTTTAAAGGACCAGTTCGCCCATTCAAATATCATTGGCATTCTGTCGCAAAAAGCGTCGAAAACCAGGCAATTTCAATCAAAATCATTTTTCTCAAAAAACGTGAGTGGGTCGGTGTCGAAATGAATTTTCTAATTTGGAACCGACCTTCTCAGGTTTTTCGCAAAATAAATGAACGTCGAATTTTTGCGATAGAATGCCAATGATATTTGAATGGGCGAACTGGTCCTTTAATGTGCCATAGACCTGAAGCGAGCTCACAGCCCGGCAGAAACCCAGAACAAGGCCAAAAAGAAATTTGAATCAGGCCGAGACTAAGGAAAAGGTCCCACAAACCTCGCATTGACTATTGCACAGGGGCTACGGATTTTTTTTCCGGGAAGTGGATCCACCCCCTTCACCCCACCCCCCCCTATTGACGCCCCTACTCCTGCAACAAAAGATTCAAAGTGTTGAGCGAAGCTGATCGTAAAACCATTTACCTTTTTTTTTAAAAAAAAACGCTGTCTTTACAGTGTAACCACCTAAATTTATTCAAAAAAAAAGGTTTGTAGTTTTACTAACAAATTGAGAATCAGAAAATTGAATTTGAGCCTTGAAACAAGTACAGTGGAACCTCCGTATAAGGAAACTCTATATAACGAAACCTCTGCATAACGAACAATTTTTCATTCCCCTAGCGATTCGTTATATAGAGGTTCCACTGTACATAATTACCCTGCTTTAGCCTCCCCTACCCTACTCTAAATTACCTTGATTTATCTTACCCTACCCTAATGTAAGCCCTACGATACTCAAAGTCCTAGCGTATGCAAGCTTTGATTATAAAAATAATCTCCTTTAAAAACCTTAAATTTATAATTTTCCCAACAAAAAATTCCATTTTTACCTTATTTTCTCATGTTTTCCAGTAATTTTTGATCAAAAAATGTAAATTTTAAGCTTTTTCAATACATATTTCGTGTATTTCCTATTTTCTGTCTTAAACAAAAATCTGGAAAAATCAACATCTTAAAAGCCTGTCAATACTCTTAAACTCCAATAAAAACCATTTTTCTTGGTTTTATTTTTTTAAATCAGCCCATAATAGCCCTAAACTTCCTCAAAATTTCCTATTCTTACCTCCAAAACCTTGGGTATTTCGCCAAAAACTTGATTCAGGTAGATCATGATCTCTTTGTCGTGTGCCATCCTTTTTGGTATGTACTTCATCAATGGTTGTGCCACTTTTTTGCAGACAAACTTCATTTCCTCCTCTGTTAACTCTTCAACTTTTTCTAATTTTTTCAAAATTTCTTCATTTCTTCTTCTTTTTTCTGCATTTATTTCATCTTTTTCTTCGTTATCAACTTGTTTATCATCATTTTCTTTTGCCATGTCGTTCTCCTCGTCTTTCAGCAACTTCTCCACCGTTAAATTAGCCAAATGCTTTGGTAGTTTGGTCATTACACAGCTTTTTTTGTTGAGAAAGTCGGTTCCTTCGTAGAATTCCATAAAGATTGGAGCTCCATCAACTAATGGCTCGTCTGGTTCGATTGCGTGAAAAGATTCCATTTTGAATTTGAACATGGCGACACAGTTGTTCGAGTCCATTTTGAGGATTTTGGAGACTTTTTCCAGTAGTTCCACCCCATCTTGATTCATATCGTAGAAGAGTTTGCGTAGCATTTTAAAGTCCGTGTTGAAGACGTGGCACGATGCTGCTTGGGCTTCTTCTCTGGCTTTTTGTGGGGATACTTGACTCAGCTCAAAGTTTTCGGGGTTTTCCTGACATTTAAAGAAAAAATTAATTTTAAAATTTAAAAAAAAATTAAATTCTTTTTTTTATATTTCATTTTGACTATAAAAGACAAAAATAAGGTACAAAACGTACCCAAAACAACCAATAACAAAATTTTTTTAAAAATTTGTTTTAAAAAATCAAAAATGTTACCTAAAAATCAAATTTATACTCCATTTTGACCCGCCCCGAGTCCCAAAAATAACCCAAAGCTTTCAAAACCTATATTTCAACTTACATCAGACACATCAGCTTCATGATGTTCATCATATCCATCCAGTTCGCCATTCGAAGCCAATGATGATAATTTTCGTAAGTCATTCATCACAATTTTCTTGGCCAATTTCTCAAATGGTTTGTAGGCCAATTTATGTACACATAGAGAAGCGTATTGAATGTTGGTCAAGTTGTCACCTCGTTTTGTGATTACAGTGTACAAGCTTTTCTAAAAAATTAAATTTTAAGTATATATTTTCATTTTTAGACTTAAATTTTGGTTTTTAGACTTAAACTTCAGTTACCATTTAATTTTAAGCCTAGGTTTTCATTACTTGACTGAAATTTTTATTTTTAAGCCTTACTTGAAATCTTAAACCTAAAGTTTTTTTTCTAGGCTTGAGGTTCCAACTATGGGCTTAAGTTTTTATTTTTAAGCCTAAAAAATTTAAAAATTTTTTAGTTCTAAGCTTGAATTTAAAAATCTTAGGCCAACCCCCTTAACATTACCAAAAACCACCCAAAACCTTACCTTCGGAATAGTCAAGCCTCTAAAGAGATTTGCCACAAATAGTCTCGTCTCACATAGTCTTGGACACCTGTTTGGTATGATCCTATGTAGCGCGCTGGCAATGGCAGTACACAAGTTCTTGCTATCTTTCTCGTCTAGTGGTATATTCTGATCTCTTTTTAGTCGGTAAAGAATCCTCTGAGCATCTTGAACGTTTGGTGGAGCTGTCTCTAGGACTTCTTCCAACGTGATTTTCTTTGCAATTTCTGGAAGGTTTCTTTTGTATCCGGCCGAAATTAGGTCCTAAAATACGAGTTTTAAAACTTTTTTTAAATAATAGTAATAGAAGGTGATAAGTAGGCAGATAGGGGTAAAGCTAGGAGTAAGGTAGACCAAAGTACACCTCAATATTGCCCTACCTTTCCAGTATGAACCATAACCACAACAGAATTCGGTCCTTTAACTATGTGCTTCGCTGACAATTCGTACACATCGCCAAAACAAGTGACAACCTTCAATATGTACTGTCCAGCATACCCGTATTGTTCCTTAATGTAGGCTAAAAGTTGGCTGATTTGTGTGTCCACAGGGAATGTAAATTGGTGTAGCTGATCCAGTTTTTCATTGAAAATGTACACATTGAACTGAAAATTTTTAAATATTGACTTCACCTTTTATAAAAAAAACTAAAAATAATCAAAAATTTTCATTTCATAACCTTATTTTTTTAAAAATAATCAAAATTTCGGCAAAAAATTGAAATTTCGCGCCATTTTTGGCATAACTTTGCAAGACCCGTTTTTTGTCATTCTTGCAAGAAAACAAAGTTGAAAAATTGTAAGAGAAAAAAAGGAGGAGCTACTTGTATCTAAAACCATTTAGTTTACGCCCCCGACAAAAAATCTATAGTGACGCTCCTCCCTCTCCATTCCATTCAAAAACCCAAAATTCTCACCTTCCACAAAGCAATCGTAATCTGATACAGTGCATTTTGTTCAAATTCATCCATAATATCACATTTTTGAGACAATCCTTTACGTATCACATCGATATATCTGATTTCATCGACTCGAAATGGTGCCACTTGTTGAGCCGCCGACCATACCACATCTCCAACACATTTCAATTCACCGGGCGGCAAGACAAGTTCGGCTTCTGCTCGTAGCACATTACATGAGTTGATGAAGTGTACTGTAGTTTTTCGACAAGATAGGCTCGATTCTTTTTGCCCTTTGAATATCATTTGCTTTAGGGCCATCAAACGTTGATCTCGTTTTTGTGTAAAATGACGAACATCGTTCAGTTCGGTCAGGAAGCTTTTCTAGAATGTAGGTTTTATTATAAAATAAGGTTTTAAATAGCGGATGTAACACTTAATTGAAAATTCCAAAAAACCGTCATCTAAACTAAAGTCGGGTAAAATCAAAAAAGATCAAACCACAAAGCCAAGCCCCAGGCCAAAAAAATGAGATCAGACAAGATAAGCCCGGTCAACGGGCCGGATTATGTGGACCCAAGAGCCGGGCCTAACCCAGGAGACCAGCGTCCCGCAACGAAAGATTCTACTTACGAAAATGTAAAACAAACCTTTTAAAGCTATTTACTTTAAAATATTTAGCCAGCTATTAGTTCAAACCCGTCCTTTTTCATTCCAAGCCCAATAAAATTTCTGTTCCCTAATCCAACCCAGTCTAGTCTCGATATGGGTAAAACAGGCCAAAAGCGCTTTTCCTCTTTATGTAAATAATAAAATTATATTAACTTACTCGATCAAAAGGTGTATATTTGCCAAATAGATGTTCTATGAATATATCTAGTTCATTTCGTTCTGCATGTCGGCTGAAATATTAAATGTACTTTAAAAACTTAAAAAATTTTTAAAAATTTTAAATTTTAAAAATTATTTTTTAGTCAAAAAATTAACTTACTGACTAAAAAACCGCCTTAAAACCAGTCGAAATGACATCACAAGTTGTCTGATCTCATTCGCATCCAATTCTTTTCCATTTTGCATCTTCTTCAACATAAAACTCTTGCCTCTACAAACCTCTTCATCAATACAATCCTCTAACCTTAATTTAGCTAGACAATCGGGTAGTTCTGTGATCTCATCAAAATATGGAGGTATATCAACGTCCGTTATATCGTATGTTAATGCATATGTTCCATTCTCTGGGTTAGAGGTTGACGCCGTGCAAACTTCAAATGAGTCTTTGTCCTTGAAATCGACGTGAATCAGACGCTCTTCGGATAAACCACATCGCTGTGAAACTGAGATGAGGATCTTGGACAGAGGGTAGTTCTCTGGGTATTCGAAGGAAGCCAAGGCGCTTTGATCTTGATCAAAGACAAAGACTTGAATTTCCTAAAATTTACGAACTTGATGAAAATTTGAGTTAAATTTCGAAAAAAATAAATTTTATAAGATTTTCCCAAATTTGATACCTAAACTTGCAAAAATTAAAAAAATTACTTTAATTTTAGTAACAACACAACTTCGCAAACACCAAAACTATTTTTGACCACCTCTCTCCCTCGTCAAAATCGATAATTACGACATTCAACAACACCATCATGGATAACATTACCCAATTCCCTGTCATTCAATAATATCATAAGTTCTTTCCTAAAAACCAAAAATAAAAACAAAAAAATCATACCTGATCAAAATTCATGAATATCTGCAGAGAGTCACACTTCTCAGGTATCCGATCTCCACCCGTTAGATGATGTCGAACGTCATTGACAAGTCCATAAATCGAGATGATGCTTCGAACCTTAATCCCATCGCCATGTTTGCTCAATACATCCGCTATCACATCGGCAATCAATGGACCGGCTGTCGATAGTGTTAGCAGACGTTTCCGGTTCTTCAAGTCTGAGATCGACACACTCAGTGCCATCTTATCCTGCAAATAACGTGAATTAGTGTTTTAGGACGTGAAGAGAATAACGTAAGAGCTGATTAAGAATATCGCAAGATTATAGAAAAATGTTTTTTACTGATTAACACTTAAAATATTATATAATTTACAAACAAAATTTTAAAAAAAAAACTCTTTAAAAAGTATTTTTCAATTTTTCAAAAAATAGGGCGCGACAAGCGTGAAATCCCCGCTTTTTTCTCGCAGCTCGCAAGAGAGCGCGCGCCACACAGCAAAAGAAAAAAGACACCAAATGACGAACGACCCATCGTCCCGGACAAACCTCCGAACAGCTCCATCGGTACATTCATAAACGTCTAAAAATAAAAAAATCCAGCGGCCAAAGTTAATGTTGCCCGCGCAGCAATAGCCTGATTACCTAAGTTGGTGACCGCAGCATGGTCCCGTTTCCGCAGACGGAGAGAAGCACTAACCAGTCCAGTCACAAGGATGAGACTAATTTTAGAGCCTCACGGTCAAAACTAGATTGTAAATTGACAAATAGAGCCAGAAAAATAGAACGTATCATGTTGAGAATCACATGGAGACAAAACAAGATAAGTGCCAGAATCAGAAAACGAATGGGATTCAAAAGTGCCAGCCTAGTAGCCATAGAGAAGTAGAGCGCGCAATATAATGATTCAGGAGGGCGGAAGATGGTAGAGAAGAGTAATGGAATGCTATCCGTCCGGCAAAAGACCAATTGGCATGCCAATTATGTGATGATCTGACGAGTTCAAGAATACGATTAGAACGAGAGATCTATAGCTCGAACTGTCAGCAGTGTCAGCAAGTTCGTTTGCGTAACCGCGCTTCTTGAGTCTGAAGTTTCCCATAACTATAGGCCTCTCCCTAGGTATTTTACTGTTTCTCGCGTCACTGAGTCGTGGATTTGGTGTTCCATAAGACTTCTGGCGTTCAATAATATACTCGTGTAAACCAAGTGTAGATGTGCCTAGTCCTCGTGCACTCAGCACTACCCATTCCTCAAAGCGCCTGGGTTGGGCGAGCGCGGGGTTGACCCAAGGTCCTTCCGAAAAGCGAACGGTGCCACAGGTACAGACCGTCAAACGAGTTAGAATCCAAATCTTCTCCGTTCATGGCCACTTCTAACGCTTCATAAGCCGTTGCGCCAATGTAGTCGTACAAAAACACCTTTTTATCGGCGTCAGTAACAATAACCACGTGCGGAAATTATCCGTCTCAACATACAATGACGCCCAACGATTCTTGCTAGGATCAAAGGTCCATAGCGGAAGACTGGGCTGGACTAGAGGGGAATGCGAAATTTCACCGATGTTCCCTGATCGCCACTTTATGTTGTCGTGAGGCCGAGTTTATTGATGGAAAGGCGGCCCTTTTATAGGGACCCGACCACACAAGTACAAGTACAATTATGCAATAAGATAATTTGCATATAATTGAGAATCAGTAGTTTTTTCTGTGACCGGTCGTGTCTCGGGTGACAAGTACCATACTACAACTAAATTAACTAAAAAATTTTAAAAAAACCTTTAAAAATCCGCAAATGTCCAAAATCCGCAAGTGTCCAAAAACTGAAGATCCGCAACTTTCTAAAAACCGCATTTGTCCTAACGCCCTTATGTTAGTCTGGTTATAGTAGTTATCGCGCGTTGGCACTCGGTATTTCACTTTATGTGTTGGTGGAAAGTTGTTATATATTGAATGGTTTCGTACAGTTCGCAGTATCACTGCAGTTTGTTTGTATATAGGTGCATACATCGTCGTGAATAAAATCCAACCGTTGGTCTTTAAAATGTGTTCTGGAAACGCATGAATCATAAGCGTCTTCAGTATTACCAAAGTTATTCATTTGCTTGTGTCGAGTTCTCAGCCAGCGTACTTTTAAACGATGTTTTTTACAATCTCGTATAATTTCGATCTGTAGAAAATCACGTGTATCAACGACGTCGATGATATATCTTCGGTCAACAACTTCTTTTTGCTTGAGAATTCACTGTTGTCAAACGCGTGATATACTAGTAGTTTGTGAAACCATCGATAGAACAATATTTGTGGTTTATCCACGTTTTTTATTATTTACATTTTGTATTACTCACGTATGACGCATTATTTGAAATGTTGTTAAGTGCACATTTGGTGCTACATAAAACAATCGGACCGCCAGCACATCAACTCAGCCCTTCCCCGACAAAACATCGACCAGTGCTCCGACTCTCGCCACGAACTCCCTGAACTCTTGGCATTCCGCCTGCATTTCGCCCCATTCGCCTCAAGGAGACGAATCGTCAGTCTTGGAGATTTACGCACGAGCGGACGGTTGGGTGGACTCGGCTAGCCCCATTTTGGACCCGACATAGTTTAAAGGACGTCGACTGGCGACCACGCTTCCGACCCTACAAACTTCTTTAGACCTACTACAATATCGTTTTTCCCAACTTGTCGTGGCCTCTTTTTTGATAGATTTTACTGTTGTTTCGAACGAGAAAGCTGTTTTTCTCTTTGTGCGTCAAATTTGTTACTTGAGTCCATACAACTTGCATTTACAAGCAATCACTGTATATTATTTGAAAGTAGTTCAACGTGACGCGTCGCTTTACAGTGCAAATAACAGGGTTTTGTGCCCCTATCCAGAGCCCCTTACAACTGCTCCAGCCTCTTTTCAGCCCGCCTTGTCCAGAAGACGCAAATCCAGCTCCAGATCCATTCCAAAAGCTGATACGATTGCTGATTCAAAAGCTCCATCTAGACCCAATCACTTAACTTTTTTGTTCGACGTTTAGGAAAAGATGCCTTAGGTTGAAGGTAAAAACAAAAAGGAGTTAGACGAGCAGGTAGCTGTTCTTACTGACTTCTTGAGCAAATTGCAAGCCATTACAGATAGTCTGATGCCCCTCCTTTTCAATTTAGCTTCTATTTGATAACCAATTCTTAAAGACGCTGTACGCATATGTCCGTCAGATATCATCTATAACGTTCCGGACAACAATTGAAATAAGGGGCGCACTGCTTTCGTGCGTAAATAAAAAAAAAGAAAATTTGATTTTTGAATCACGTGAATCACCAGTTTATTAGCTTTATATCGAAATTTTGGAACGGACCAAACTCAAAATAAGGGTTTGAAAATACGCGTAAATTAGATATCATTGCATAAAAATTTTTAAATTGAAATTTTTAACCACAGCACAAATATGGACACAAAGATAAATAAAAAGTTAAAATTCACAAATTGAACTGTAGAAAAAACAAGGAATAGTGCAAAGAAAACGGAAGAAAGCAGGACGGACAAAAAGATCCTTGTCGTGTGTGAGACACTGAAAAAGCGAGCGCGCCCGTGACGCGGAACATACTTCTCTCTCTTTCGGATTTTCGCGTCGGGACCATCTCGTGATGAATGGCTGGAAATAGGACGCGCTTATTACGTAATTCGTAAAAAGAGGCGGGGCTGCGGTTTTCGCGCCGGGACCTAGAACGGTTCGTAATGTCAGAGGTTTTCGCGCTGGGACCCAGAATGTTTAATATTATTAAAACGGTTGGAAATAGAATTTTGAGGGTTTCGCTGTTTTAGCGGTGGTAGCTGTAACGACTAATTGTTTCCTGCATCAAACAACTAAAAATACATTTTTGAATACTGGGACGCTTTTAATTAGTGTTAAATGTTGAACAAACACTGAATGTTTAAAATTAACATTTTTTTCTGAGCAAGGAGTACACTGCCAATGAATGGAATAATTTTTGACTTTACATCTATGAGCTCGGACGTTATTTTGTATATTCTTAACCTTTGCGCACGCCCTGTAAACTGCTTGATAATTCGTTTTTTCTACAATCCTTATCACAAACCGTCAAACCAATAAAAGTTAAGTCAAATCGTGGTCAAGCAGAATTTCAACTGTGCTGAGAGTTCATACGACGCATCGATGTGACAATTTATCATATAAAATTTAAAAAGTATTGTATCCACTAGCGTTGATGTAGGTTTTTATACTGCGTAGCCAGGCATTTGGAGCTTGTCTCTTCGTCCAGTTTTGTACTACCGCCTTTTTGAACTCGTTCGTTTATCGAAGTCTCGGTCTTCCAGCAGTTAACTTGCTTGTAAACAAGTCACAAGCAAGTTTAATTTATTGTATTCTTCATTTATCGCTCTTCACTTGCTGTCATCATCTTCCATACACTGAACCTCTTCTTCTGCGGAGCCACTAGGCTGGCACTCTTGAATCCTGCCCGCGAAAAAGTACTGATCTCCGTACTTTTTCTTTTTGATAGAGTATCCTGTTGGTTTACGGTTTTTGTCATTTTTTGTTCTGGTTTTACATCAGTTCTTGTTTTCTCTGAAAATATAATAATTCTTTCGCCTCCCGAAGAATGAAAAGACCGTCCCTCCGAGCTGTTTCCTGTCTTTTTTTATTGAAACCTTTTGAAAAACAAAATTTTTTGTGAAAGGAACTTTTTCAAAATGTTACAAGAAAAGGTTTGGTTAATATTTCACAGATGTTCAATTTACAAGTTGGTTTTTTTCGACGCTCCGCTAGAGACCAACTAAAATTTGGAATGAATGTAGATTTTGTATGACTTGCGTACGATTACATGCTTTGCTTTGCTGAATCCGATATGGAAGTAGTGGGTAGATGCTTCATCCAAATTACAACCTTGTCTTCAAAGTACTTACGCATGACACAGCCGCTCGTTATGCTGATCGTCAACAACAAGTCGGTGTGGGATCAGGCAACACTAATCTGGAACGTTAGCCCAACAACTGCACATGGTACCTGTTACCCGAATGCAACATACGATTCATGCGCGTAAATGATCAGGAATACTTCCCTAAACTTTTCCACTTTGGTATTCTTACAGGCCTTCAAGCAAGATCGTAATATTACGTAGCAACTTTGAGAAGAACTTGTATGTATGACCTGCTTATTACCAACATCGAAATGGCCAGCGACGAAGAATGGTATCATAATTTCTTCCTGAAATTGTAGGTTTTTTTGCGAACTTAACATTCTTTTATCAAAAATTGATAGAAAAACCAGAGTATTTACTTAATCTAACTGTATTTTTAACTTTACATCTATTTCAGCAAGGACGTCATAGTATATTACGACTGCTTAGAGCGTACTGCAAGTGAAAATGGGCCCAGATATCGTAAATCTTAGCGACGTGAGTTGATTCGGACGTAATAAATTTATAAAGTTGGGGACTCTACAACGATCTGTCTTTTATACTTTACTTCATATCATATGAGAATGTGATTGAGTTTCTATAATGAAAAGCTCATTTGGATTTTTCATCATATACTAAAATGTATAAGAACATTACATTCTGCAAAATTGTCCGAAAGTTCTATAAGAGTGGTTGTGGTACTGTCGGTTCTGGGGCCGATCAATAGAACATCGAACTCAAGTTTGACCGACAGTTCCGCTCCACCCAGGCACATTTGTAAATAATTTACAAATAAATGGGTAGTACCAAGTGCACGACGACAATGGCAAATCGGTTGCTTGACTTACACAGGCTCCCGATTACGAAGTGAATTATTGAGCGCAGGCTTCCGACTACGGACTGAAATCTTGCGGAACACCTCACCACGGCTCGGTAGCTCGAGAAACAGGATCATCTGGATGGGGCCCAATTGGAAACAGCTACAATGGATTGTTCTGACGGTCTTCAACAAACCTTCACCATACCGCCCCCCCCTTCCCATGGATGCAGTTAAGGGCACTAGTACCCAGGGCCGAGCGGGGACTTTTGGTCTGGGGGCGGGGGTCCAAAAAATCGGCACAGGTAGCTGTGCTGATTTTTTGCGAAAATTTTTTTCAGAAAATCCACAGGGGGGGGGGACCACGTTCAATTTTTTTTCAAAAAATTTTTTTTCTGCGGGGGGGGGGAGGGGGGGGGGTAGCCCCCCCGTCCCCCCCCTCGCGCCCGGCCCTGCTAGTACCAACCTATCCTTATAACTAGGGTGTGACACTACCCAGGTACTTTTTGGTAGGGGTTTTATTAGAAAGAGCGGTCAAAAAGTTGTCGTTATGCTTGCCACACTATTGAGAGTCATACTAAAGATTTTTCACTGCATTTTTTTAAATCTATTTTCAACTCACCTACAACAACACCACACTTCAATCCTACCATAAATTGATTCAATATTCCAAATAATTACAAGTTTAGTTTACTCAAGTAAAAACACAGATAAAAAACGACTAATTTTACATTCCATCGTATTTGGGGCCGCCGCCGCCTTCCGGTGCGACCCAATTGATGTTTTGGGTTGGATCTTTGATGTCACAGGTCTTGCAGTGAATGCAGTTTTGGGCGTTGATCTGCAGTCGGAGGGACTCGTCGTTCTCGGAGCGTGGAACATATTCATACACAGCTGAAAAATTTAGTATAATTTAGCGTTTTATATCGTTCTTTATAAAAATAATGTCAAAAGGTCAGTTTAATTTAAAAATAGTACTGATGGCCAAATATAGTACATGTGGGCTAGTTAATAGTACTAAAATATCCATTTTAAACCCAGAACTCCAATTTCTTCAAAACTTACCAGCCGGACAAAATCTTCCTTCAGGTCCATCAAACTTCTTCAAGTTCACATCTTCAGGTACGTCATCATTATACAAAGTCAAGTGAGATGGTTGATTTTCCTCATGATTGGTACCAGTCAAAGCAACCGATGATAACAAATCAAAGGTCAATTTGTTGTCTGGTTTCGGATAATCAATGACCTTGCCCTCTTCCTTTGGAAGAATCTTCTCGTTGTCCGGTTTGCCGTGGTGTAGAGTCCAGGGTTCGATACCGCGACCAATGACATAGAAGAGGCCAGTGTAGGCCATGCCTCCCCACCAGCCGAGCTTGGTGTTGAATGATGGGCGAATGTTTCGGCTCTTCTTTAGCTCCTTCCAGACTGCTGATCCTTTGAGTTTTTCGTCGTATTTCGTTGGGGTAATCGCTGAAATGAAAGTCGCTTTATTATCCATATACATAAAGAAGGAGGGGGCGAAAATCCAGGAGGACTGACAAAATCCACAATAATGGCCTAAAAATACAGTCCGAAAAGCCCCACCCATCAACAACCTTAAAATCAATAACATAACCTTACTCTTCTCCTCCAACTGTTCGAAGATGCCTTCGGCTGCGTAGATTCCACTCCACATGGCGGTGTGAGTACCCTTTAGCTTCGAGACGTTCAGTAAGCCTGCTGAACATCCGATCAAACATCCACCGGGGAAAATGAGCTTGGGGATGGATTGGAATCCACCTTCATTCAGGGCTCTAGCTCCGTAACCAATTCTTTTTCCTCCTTCCAGAGTTTTGGCTATTACTGGATGGGTTTTAAAGCGTTGGAACTCCTGAAAATTAAAAGGTTTTATATTAACATAGGCTGCGAATGAAAAAAGTTCTTCAAAAAGCAAAAAAAAATCTGAAAATCCGAACTTCAAACCTCCCCCCCCGGGGGGGGAGGGTTTGAAGTCCCCCCCAAAAATTTTTCTTACCACACCCTTAAAAAAATTTCTTCACCATCCCAAAAATACCCTATCAAATTCCAAAACCTCACCTTAAAAGGATGCAAATAAGGATTGCGGTAGTCCAAAGCCACCACAAAGCCGGTAGCCACCAGTGGTTGCCCTCCGTCCTCAATATGATACAAAAACGATCCTCCGTATTGCGTCTTCTCCAGTGGCCATCCTACCGAATGTTCTATGAAGCCTGGTCGATGTTTTGAGGGGTCGACTTCCCACAGCTCTTTCAGACCAATACCATAGCTCATTGGGCCCGATTCCTTAGCCAAATCGTAGTTTTTGATGACGGATTTGGTGAGATGACCACGGCACCCTTCGGCGAAGATGGTGCACTTGGCGTGGAGCTCCATGCCTGGTTCAAAGCTGTCTTTTGGTGAGCCGTCTTTGGCTATTCCGACATCACCAGTGGCAATACCTGAAATCGTTAAAAAATAAAAATATAGAAAAAATTTATATTTTGTTACCTAAAATGCCATTTTTTTATTTTTATTATCTAAAAATCCTTTTTTTCAAACCTTTCAAGCTTGAAATTCAAGATTTTATATTTTTGTTACCTAAAAACCAACAAAAAATAATTTTATATCTAAAATCCCCCAAAAACCTACCCTTAACGCTTCCGTCCTCGTTGTACAGAACCTCTTGACCAGCAATACTCGTATATACATCTACCCCCAATTCTTCGGCTTTTTCGCCCAACCACTTGACTAGATGTCCCAGACGAACCACGTAGTTACCGTGATTGGCCAATGGTACACCCGGCACCATGGGAACATTGATTTTACCCTTTTCCGTCAAAATGTACACTGCTTCTTCCTGGAAATTAATTTTTAAAGAATTCGTATTTTACAATAAGTTTTTTTTTTCATAAAAATGGCAAGAACTGTGTTTACAAAGCAAAAAACGGTAAGAACTTTTACAAAACATAAAATAACAAGAACTTTCTTTACAGAATCAAAAAAAAACAATAACTCACCGTGACCTTCTGATGAACAGCCGAGCAATTCTCCTGCCAATCCGGGAACAACTTGGCCAAACCAGTAGTCTCAATCACAGCACCAGACAAAGTATGAGCACCCAACTCCGGTGCCTTCTCAATAACACAAACTTTCACTTCCTTATTCTGTTCGCTAGCCAGTTGTTTCAATCGAATCGCGGCCGACAACCCACCCGGACCTCCACCCACAATCAGCACGTCGTACTCGTCACTGAAACGCTCGATCTCAACGTCCTTCCATCGCGGGTCTTTGTCGCGCGGACGTTGTGTGTAATGTGTGGTTGTCCATTTCCCATTCACAACATGGTTTCGTGCAAAAGAGCGGTGCAGAAGGCGCACCGCCGTGATTCTCATTCCGACCGCACGGAATGGGAATGTGATACTGAAAATTAAAGAATTGACAAGTTTTAGGTAACAAAATGAATTTTTTTGGTTCAAAAATGAATAAGCAAGCGACCGTGAGTGAACAAACCGTCAAATTAAAAAAAATCCCCCCCCCCCCACCAGAAAAAACAATTTACAACGTCCTTAAAAATTTTTTTAACGTAAATATAGATTGTCCTCTACTCCTTCTTCTGTCCCACCCTATTACCAAAAGTAAGCCACCTGATCCTGGCTATAGTACACAAAAACTCAATGTTCTGCCTTCCCCCCCTCTGCCTGCTCAAGTAAAATGTCAAAAATTATAAAAACCCTATAAAAACCGCCATGACTTAAACTTTTCTTAACATTTAAAAAAATCTTTCTCATGCCGATAAACAAGACTGGTCAAAAAAACACCACGAGGAGCCGTCGAAGAGATAGACCCGCTGTTCGAGCGGCGATAAGCGTTCAATGCTCAAACGGAAAATTTAAGGAGAAACGATAGAGAAACAAACAAAAGTCCAATGTCCATCAGAAAGCGACTAATAATATTGAAAATTGAAACTGATGCGCTCTGTAAGCGTGTTTGTTTTTGAGTATCTTCATTGAAGAATAAACTAATTAAAGTTTTGTTGGTAAGAGAAGCCTTGCCATTAAATTTTAATGTAAAATTTTTAAATTTTAAGTTCATTTTTAACTTTTTAAAGAGTAATTTTTGCCGTTTTTAGTCTTGTAAAGAAAGTTCTTGCTATTTTATGCTTTGTAAAGAAAATGTTGGCCATTTTAAGTTTTGTAAAGAAAGTTCTTACCATTTTTTGCTTTGTAAAGAAAGTTCTTGTCCTTTTTTGCTTTGTAAAGGAAGGTATTGCCATTTTTTGCTTTGTAAAGAAAGTTATTGCCATTTTTAAACTTGTAAAAAAACTGGTCCATTTTCAGCTATAGAACAATTAAGATTCCCAGAAAAATTATTATTGAACATGACGGCCGTATTTTACCTTTTAAAAAAAGTTTTTGCCATTCCAAAAAAATTAAATAAACCCCCCCACCCCAAACCTATTTTTTAAAATTCAAGATATGAGTAACAATTTTAAGCTATTATATAACCAAAAAATTAACCCACAAATGAAACGAAACAAAATAAAAAATAGAGATACATAACCTTTTAAAAGACAAAGTACACCATTCATAAAAAAATGTAGTTTCGAACGAATAACAAGGGAAACCCGACTTCATAAACAAAGAGGAGAATGACCCGTCTACCACGCGTTTTATCAATTACGTGCGATTCAAAGACCGCCCCACCTTTCTACGACATTACTTTTGAGACTTCAGCTCTACAGATCATGTAGCTGATTATTAAAAACGAGGGCAATAAGTGCAGAAAAAATGTAAAAAACTTTAAAAACTCTACAAAAATAAAAAATATGTTCTTGTAAGAACAACAAGATAACGAATTCAAAAAAAATACGCTTATGAAAATTAAAATTTATTATTAAAATTAACAAAATATTCAAAATAATAACCGTAAAAACTTACAACATACATTAATATAACCCCAAATCAAATAAAAAAACCATCAGAAGATGAAAAACAGCTGATCAAAGAAAAAACACAAACTTCCCGAATGAAAAAGATCTATAATTATTGACCTCAACATCAGTTTTTAAATACAAAAATTAAGTATTGGTCAAAAAGTTTGTAGAAACATCATTTTCTTTTCAATTTCAAGCTTCTTTAGACCCCTCTACTACCTAATCTACTAAAATAATCACAGTTATATCCCTAATCACTTCAAAAAACTTCTTCTCTATTCTATAACACTATTCTATAGCCAATCACAGTTAAAATTATATTTCTATAAACAATTATCCCCAACACAAACATTCTATGGCCAATCATTGTAAATATTGCCATTACAATGAAACAAGTGTGGTTTGAATGGCATTTTCGGCGTATTAAACAAGAACAATTCGTTGTGCAAGAAACCTTCACGATATAATATTCGATGTATCGTCCTGAGCTGATCAATCTCCTTCTTTGGTATGATATCACTTTCCTTCATTGTTCTGGCTGATTGGAACTCCGCTTCATCTGATAGATAAAGATGATCTTCGGGAAATACAAAAGCCCCGATTTTTCGATCTTCAGTTTGAATTAACTGTGGTACAACTTGTCGTGTAGAGATTTGACTATGAAGATGTGATTGATGTGATAAACGGATCCTCATCAGCTCGTAGAATTGAGGTATTGGCACTGCCATCTTACCTGGAATACGTTTTTGTAGCTCAAACCCTCAAAATCGAGCAAAGGCATAGAAGCACTTACCCACTGAATTCTGCTCAATAAAGTCAGTAGAATGTAGCCAGTGCAACGTCTCATCTTCTTCAAATTGATCAGCGTCCAGATTCTCAATCGGGGCCAAGAAGAATATCTTTTCCAGCCTTTCTAAGCATCCTTGAGGTGTAAGCCAATTCGACCACGGAACAAGAACATTGACATCCAATTTGTCAGTTTTGTTAAACAATTCGTTAAACTTTGTCGGGTCTTGTTTTACCTAAACTTTACTATAATTTACAAGGTAGGGAAGTTATAACATAATATATCTTCAAAATGCATTTAAAGTAATAAAACTTATAGCTTTAATATTTAACTAAGTAAAAAATCTACAAATATCAAAATTTTCAAAGTACCAGCTGTTATTTCAAAAAAGTTATAAAAAAACATGTAATTATCGCTTTTTCACTATGTTAATATCCAAAAACATTTCGTTTCAAAAAATAACCCTAAAAACTAACAAAAAATTAAATAAACTACCTTGTCCTTCCATTCATGTAAAGCACTGTCGTCTTTCGAAGTAACAAATATAGATTCACGACAATTGACCGAGTATATCAACAGGGTACCAGTTTGAACAAAAAGCTCTCTCAACGCCGCTACTCTGTAACAATAGTCGTCAGTTACATCCAACGGCTGTATTGGTTGTTCTTCTACCAAATTCCAATTCGTTTTTTCTCGAGGAAACTCATTTTCCTTATTATGATCAAACTTTCCGCCCGGAAACACCGTCGCTTCGGGTAGGATGACATTTTTCGGCCGTTTAACCATCAACACATGCCGAATCTCGCTGTTTACTACATTCTAAACGTTCAAAACAAAGCAATAAACAACTTACGTAGTGCTACGGATGCAGCTCGTTGATATTTAAGCAAGCTCATTGCGAATTGAGCTGTTGGGAACATTCTTCATCCACAATATCAAATAGAACATATTAAAACTAAACTAAATAAACTTAAAAGACATGTCTGTCGTAATTTCGATGTTATAGAGACTATTTAAAACTTATTATAGGAAAAGAAGGCTACGAGGTTAGAGGAAAACAACAAAAAATTGTATTTGAGAAAAATAATTTTTCGGATTAGGGCGCGTTCTGCGGAGAGAAGAAGCAGTCTGCGGAAGAAATATTTTACAGAAAGAATATTTGAAGAGAGAAATCGTGCTTTCGCCGGTTTAAAGCAATGTTTTTATCAGTACTAACTTCGAACTTGTAGGTTATTATTTATTCTTTACAAACGAGTTATAATGATTTTTATTGTTGTTTTTCCTTGAAACCGCGAGGGCTGTATCCGACCGAACCCATGAAGCTATTGCTCTGCTTTGCGGGTGGTGAACATACAAATCGATTCTGATTTAGCATCTCGATGGCAATTTGGTTCATGTCCGTGTATTCTGAAAGTATATTCTCCTTAGTTTGATTAGAAATATAAAATTTATGTTTATAGTGGAAGTGAAATTCGTTGTCGCAGGTATATTCCATCATACATTAAAAGGAAAAACAAATAATACAAAAAAACCAAGCATACCATCAATTAATGGCTCCTTTCCATCCTGAAGTTCATAGAAGATTCTTCGAATGCACCATTGATAATTGCTAACATATTCCAATGATGGAAACATTGGTACCGAAACCCAAAGCGACCCAATAATTATGTATATAACACTAGCTAATAACGTTGCCCCCAAGTACACGACCAAGTAGATCCATATGACTTCGTGCATACAAGTCGAAGTAAACGAAGGCGCGTCAACGCCTAATTGAAATGCTCCGTTGACTACCGACATTTTCGACCGGTTAAAAATATAAAATGAACAAATCTGCCATTTTTATTTTTTATTTTGTTTATTAAATAAAAATGAGATTTTATAAGATAAAAGTACAAACAACAACAAGTAAATCAACAATAAAAAATTGATAACATATTTTGGAAAAACACTGTTCACAGGGTTATAAAAATATACTTTATACTAACAGGCTATAACACAATTTTTACAAAAAGAAATATTTTAAAGTATAAACAATTTACACACTAATCTAAGAAAAAATTTTAACTTTAACTGAACAAAACAATAGCTAACCAATTCCAATAAGTTTTGAAAACAGTTCAAATTGCTCATTACTGTCTTCAATACCATCTAGTTGTTTCCACACAAATTCATTGAATGTGTCCAGCGCACTTCTGAAGTCTTCGTAGCATTCTGTACTCACGCTCCTTGTTGGCCAGTTCCCATAAGCCGGACAGGCGATTAACAGCTGTATCCTACCGCCCCGATACCCGACTGGCTTAAAGACGTTGCGGTTTAATGAGTTATTCCGCGTTATGTCAATTAGCCGCTCGGAAAAATCGAAGACGGCATAGAACGCCATGAATCCTATCAGAAGTTCCGGCAAGGACATTCTCTGCTTCGAAGAATCTATAAAAATAAGTGTAAGAAACAAATTTTTACAAAAATGAAGGACAAAACACGGTTGTGAAAATTTTTTAAAACTTACCATAGTTTAATTTCCTTACATAATCGTCCGTGTTTTCGATTTCACCGAGTTCTGTCCTTAACTCTTCTTCCTCGTTCAAGTTGGGCAAAATTGCCGGGGAAACTCCTTTTTGCAGGTAGTATACCACCAGTATAACCGGACTGTAGGAGTTGAACCTTCTATCTTTTCCGCCGTGCAGTTTGTTCTTTTTGGCCCACTGCTTAATCAGAGCGTTTAGTTGGACCACTCTTGCGTCGATTCTAAAATTTTTACAATATATTTTTAATTATGTTAAACGATCTGGAATTATATTTCTCTTTTACTGTTTAAACTGTTATGAAATACAAAAAAACCTTACTTTGAGTAAGGTTTTTTTGTATTTCTAAATCTATTGAGTAGTCTTGTATTTCGGACACCATGGTAGTTGTTAGTTGTGAAGTCTACCTCTAGGTCTCCGTTGGCGGACGCAAATACCATTTTTATCACTGGAATCTAAAAAGGAAAGGTTACTCAAACGTTCAATTATCATAATCATAGTTAAAACTTTGCTATCAAATATAAAAATTTAAGAATCAAAACTTACACTTGCGTTTTCAATGAGCTCTCTTGACTTAAGTCCTGATTGCTTCCTGTTTTCCTCCTGATTTAGTACTTTGTCCACACAAGTAACTGTCAGGAGGTCGTCACTAAAAAATGTACATTAATGCAACAAAATCAATAAAAACACTGACGATTTCTGTTGCAACGTCGAATATTCAACTTAAAACTTACTATTTTTTTTTCATTGACCAAAGTCAGGTCTAGGTCCGAACACTTTTGACCAAATCCATTGTGAGATCCACCGTACGCCCTTAATGTATGTTCTGGAAACGCGTTTTTCATTTGCGTTTCCAATACTTTCATAAGGTTTTCGTTGGCGCGGGTCGAATTCTCATCTGGTTTGAGCCTGAAAAGTTTACAATAGAATTTCAAAAAAAAGATTCGATGAAAAATCTGTAAAATTGCTCGTCAGACGCTGATATAATTTTCTATAAACATAGTACTTACTCATTGCAGTAGAAGTTAAACTGGTAGTTTAACCGTTTTAACAGTGACGGATTTTGCCTTGTTAGGCTTCTGATGGTTTCGGCTGCAGTTTCTAATTCAATTGGCGCTGGTTGAAGGCAACAGTTGGAAAATCCGTATTCATCTTTCATTGCGTTTTCCTTGTCGTATGTGTGGTGTTCGACATCGGCTTGTAGCGCTCTTAGATACCATATTAAGGCAGAAGACGGCGTCGAGTGCCAAATTGATTTTCTAAAACAAATTTTTGAAAAATGAAAATTATTTGATTTTGATTGAATATATTATTTTATAATGCTCTTTTTATTTAAGGAATGAGCAAACATACTTTAATTCTACATTTCTGCGTGTTCGGCGTTCCATATTCTGTATTTTTTCTTTGTGCCGAAGAGCCTCATCTTCCAAGTCGCTGTCGCTTTCTTCCGCTGGTTGAGCTTCAACTGGTTTTTTCCATTCTTCAAAAAATCGTTTCAACTCTTCCTCAGTGTCCGAAACACCGTCGTACTCGTAGTCGCTGTCCCAAGCTGACTTCTCGTACACGAATATATTTTTGATTATTGATTCTGAAAACACAACATATGCACAAACGAATTCTTATACAAATTTCCGTATGAAGTAAGCAACCAGATTAATAAATACAAAAAAATGACATAAAAATTGACTTAAAATTTAAAATTTTTAGAGCCATTAACAAAGCTGTTTGTCAATATGTTAGATAAATTTCTATTTAATAAATTAAAATTTTAAACAGCAAGATCTTTGACCACGGTTCGCGCCGTTCACTATGTACTCCTTTTTCCAAATTTTTGCGACTCATCCATAAGTGTTAAATGCAAAATCTCAATTTGTTCAAAATATATCCATTTCAAAATATTAAACAAAGTTTTATATAATTTTACAAGACAAACAAAATTAGATGTAAATCATGTAGTAAATCGCGGAAAAAAATAATTAAAACTTTTTTACTAAGGACGTAATAATTCGTAGAATTTGCATATGTTTCAAATTTTCCGCGTTAAACTGTTGCGTCATATATATAATACATTGGAACTCCTGTATGACAAACTTCTTTATAACGAACCTCCTTCATAACGAACAAGTTTTGAATCCCCGTCTACCACTACACACTGTAAAGTGTTGAGAGGACGAGGGTGGAGAAACAGAGGAGTTGGTGTTTAAATTTTTTTAATTGTGAAGAAAATTATCAAAACCAGCCTTAATATCGACTAATTTTATAGAATTATGGCGTATATTCAGCATAACTATAATAAAAGGTATTGCATTGGTTGATTAACCACAAGGAAAATAATTAAAAAATTATATACCAGACATATATACACAATTTAATCAATTGTGTGCGAGCATAAAGTTATTAGACATTCAAATAAAAACTATAATAAAACATCAATATTATTAAAAATATTCAAAAAATCGCCTTTTCTGGACCAAAATGAACCAAATGGCACCAACAAAACCAACGGCACTTTAAAAACTAATGAACAACTTTAAAATCTACTCTTTTTTAAATAAGTAAGCAAACTACTCTCCCATCTATCTTTCAATAAAAAATTTTTAAAAAATGTACAAGATACGAGCACCACTACCTTATGCACTTCAAACGCCGATTTGTGTATGATAGAGATGTTTAGTATACGCCCTGATTTTATTACAATAGTTATTTTTAAAACCCAACATTTACTGAAGCTAGGTATTACGCGACCGTAGCTTTTTCGTATATAGAACCTCACGGTAAGTTTTCGACCTTCCATGATGACGTAAGAATTTAAATGTCGAAACCTTTTTTTTGTAGCCAAAAAAGATTTGATTGCTACAGTCAAGCATTTCAGTCTATACATCGACCTCCTGTCCATGCTATCAATATACAACAAGATACTATTAGGTTGTTCTAAAAAGAACGGCCGATTTTAAACTTTCGTTGTTCGCAAAAATCTAACATTCTTTTTGGACACCTAATATATAAGTATAGTCAGTACAAAAATGTAAAGTAATATACAATAGTTAAACATACACATGAAAAATTATCAAATTAATCTCTTCAAGTAAAAACAACACAAGTTTTACAAGAGCTCGTTATAAAAGAGCTCGCTATACAGTATACAGGAGTTCGTTTTACAAGAGTTTGCTATACAGAAGCTTGATATACAATAGTTCCACCATACATACCAAATTATAACAATATATAATATATTCTTCTTAAAAAACCAAAATACTTAGCCCAAACCCAAGATCAAAAACACCCTCGTAAAAAATTAAGTATGCCAAAACCAAAAACCTTTTAAAAATCATAATAAAAAATAATTAGACCTTCTGCAATGTTAAAACCGCACAACGGTCTTTAATAAAAATATATTATTGAATGCACCTATGCCCGCAATGACCTCGCGAACTCGAACGGCTCGAACCGGCACTAAATCTTCGGCGTTATAGCGTCGCTACACTTTCTGGACCAAATTATGGATTTATGGCGTCGCTATACTTACACTATTCAAAGCTGATAAATCAATAAAGCAAACGTTTAAATCGATCAAGCCAACCAAGATGAACAAAAAGTTTAAGAACTGTGAAGCATGTTTGGCCATAATCTGAAAATGGTGTTAAAATACTGTATTGAAAGTAAAATAGTTTTAAAAAGATAGAAACTATGATAAAAGTACAATCCTTTTAACCCTTTAGTACAACATCACATCAAGACCTTATAACAAATCAATGGAACCTCTAATTGTAAGTTTGTTTGTTGTGAAGGAGTTTTGGTACACAGGAGTGTTAAATGCACTGCGTAGTAATAGTCAAGAATTTAACGGCTGTTTGTTATACGGGATTTCCGCTATAGGTGAGTTCGATATACAGGAGTTCTCCACTGTAATCTAAAAAGTTGGCTAAAATTCGAAAACTTTCTCATTATCTTTCTGCGTTGGCCTTTACACTGTTTGAAAAAACGGGCCTGTTTCAACTTTAGCTTAAGGCCAGCCTGGCCCAATCGTAAAACAGGGCTGGGCCGGGGCAACACGACCAGTTGCCTACTCTTATTTTTGTATTGTGGATACTCTTTTCGGCCGACGTTTTTTTATTTTTCCTTTCAGGCTATTGGGCTTTTTTTTATTTAGCATTTTCGTTCAACTTTTGATTTAGAGTCAGAATCAAGTCGGAATTTAAATTAGACATGAAAGGAAACACGTAGATTTTGACCATTGATATGGTCGTTTAGAGAGAGTCGGCCCAACTTTTCAGCTACAGGTAAAACATGATTTATTTTTAATTTGAAAGTCTAGAGACAATAGGAGTGATAATAACAAAAAAAAGTATCCCCCCCCCACCTACAGTAAGAATTAAGCCCTCAGATACAGCCGCCAACTTTTAAAAACCATGCCAATGTAAAATCTTTGAAAACTTTACAATTTTGCTTTATTTTTAAGTTTTAAAAGCCTAAAGACGTTAGGAGTGATATTATAGTAGGAGGTAGTCCCCCCCCACCTACAGTAAGACTTAAGCCTACAGATACAGCCCCTAACTTTTAAAAGCCATGCCAATGTAAAATCTTTGAAAACCTTACAAGTTTGCTTTATTTTTTATTTTTAAAAGCCTAAAGACATTAGGGGTGATATTATAGTAGAAAGTACCCCCCTACAGTAAAACCTAAGCCCTCAGATACAGCCATTAACTTTTAAAAGCCATGCCAATGTAAAATCTTTGAAAACTACAATTTTGATATATTTTTAATTTTAAAAAGCCTAGAGACATTAGTGGTGATATTATAGTAGAAAGTACCCCCCCCTACAGTAAGACTTAAGCCCTCAGATATAGCCACTAACTTTTAAAAGCCATGACCGATCCGGGCCAGGCCAAGCCTAGAAGTTTTTTCACCAGGCCGGGCTCGCTTAAGAAGAAAATGAAACGGGTCGGTCCTAAACGTTGGGCCCCGGACTGGGGCCGGTTCATTGTGAAGATTTTTGAATAAAAATAGTTTTTTTCGGTCAATTCGTTACCAAATCGGCGTACGTTTTTAACTGTAGGTGTAGCATAGCGGTTGGAAATTGAAGCTATAAACCAATTTTTCTTTATTAAATTTTAAAAGTATTTTTAATACTGCGAGAAACTGTCTTTCGGCTGTAATATTTTGATTTTTAATTTTAGTTTTCTGGAGGTTAAAAGTTTATCTTTTCTGTAAAGGATAAATGAATTTAAAATCCCCGAACGATTTGTTATAAAAGAGTTCCAATGTATTTATACTGTCTAAATTGAGAATTTGTAACTCTATAGCTAATATTAATGGCGTTATGGGGCCGATTACGACCTCCTCTTCTTTCACATGGTATAGGTTTTGCATCTAGGTCCGATACCCGAATTTCGCTGAACCCTTTTTTGTGGTATTCCAATTCAAAAACATAGTAGAGAGAATAAGCGATATTTTGCCCAATCTCGATTGATTGTTGATCAAGTTGACCTATGTTTCTTGCTTTTTGAATGTGAATTAATGGTAGAAACAAGTTAATTACATACTTTTGAATTTATATCAGGTTGTCCCAATATGGATGAGCCACTTAGATAGCCTAACTTTGAAAAATTGTAAAAAATTCAGTTTTTATCAGAATTTTCAAACTCCTCTTTTTTTTCTTTGAAAGCTAGTTACGTCTACTACTGAGAAAAAAATTATTTTGAACATTTGCATTTGTTTTTAAGCTGGCAGAAATTTGTAAAAATTTTGGAGAAATCTTCGTTTTTATCAAAGCATTTTGTGATAATGTATAAACTCATAAACATAATCTAGCTACTTCGTTATTAAATAAATTAATGCTCTAGAGTCTTATTGTTAAGTTTACATCAAAAAAAGTTTGATAAAAAAATTTTTTTTTATGCACACGGTAGAAAAAAAACCCTCTCAACTAAGCCATCAAAAGATTGCAAAAATGCCCTGAAGCTATGAACTGCAGATAAATTAACAAATGGTACTAATAGGTTAGATAGGCATCTCTATTATAAGAATATATAAGATTTGAACTGTTTGGTGCAAATTGGTACACTAAAAGTTGTTACCAAAAAAGTAGCACTTTTCTTAGAAAATCGGTGAAAAAACAGACCGTGATAGGCTTTAGAACGGCTTCTGATGCTACCGAAGGAAGAAGAGTTCGAAAAAATGACTTTGTCTTTGGCTAAGGGTATACGCTGGTTAAATATTTAAACCAAAAGTTGGTGTCTACACAGAAAAACCCTAGAAGGCAGTTCAAAGTTAAAATGTACTGTAAAACATAGGTGTATTTCACGTTTGGTAATGTATCTTTCTTTTGACACAAGGTAAATTTTTGAAACTTGGTAAAGATACTAAAGTAACTATTTACAACACAATGCCAAGCAAAAATTAGTTTAGCTTACTTTAGAAATTTTAAAAATATGCATCAACCATTTTTCCAAGTGGGACAAATTCACCTTTCTTAATGAAGACCGTGGCAAAAATTCAGAAATCATGCTACAAAAATGAAAACTTGTTTTTTAAACTTTAGTAGTGTTGCTTAAACCGATTTACATTAATTTAAGTCTTTACTGTTTCTTAAAACTTAGAAAGCTATCGGCAAACTTGATGTAGCCAAATTTGCTTCAAAAACTTTGAAAACTCTAAAAATGATGCTACATGTGTAAAAATAGTTTTAAAACGTAGACAAGAGTCCAATGTTACAGTATAGAATAACTGTAGTTAACTGTAAAAAAACAAGTGTTGTTATTTAAAAAACACAATCTAAATTTAAAAAAAATAAAATTGGCTCATCCATATTGGGACAACCTGATAACTTTGAAATATACTTTTATTGTAATTACTAACTTATTTGCAGGCTGTGTTCTTCTATCAGTACCAAATAACAATTTTTTAATTTTAATATATTTGCAAGTAAAAAACAACTTATAAAAATTTACAATAAAAATTTAAACAACATTTTTCTATTACAAAAAATTAACAACTATTAACAATACTTTGTGGAAACTTTTCCACTATCCAATACCGAGGTGTTCTAAGAACTTTTGGCGCCCCGTGTTGATGTCGGCGTACTTTTGCAGGGTTTCCCGAACCATTTTATTAAACTCGTTGATTTTCCCTCTGAACGTGGTGTAGCATTCTTCACTCACGTTGCGTGTTGGATGTTCTCCATAAACCGGGCACTTTATCAGCAGCGGTATCCTTTCCCCATCAAAACTTGGCTCCTTGAACTGATTCCGATTCCGGAAATAAGAGCAGTTTATATCGACATACCATTCCGTATTGTCAAAAACTGCGTAGTAGTTCATGAAGCCAATGACAAGTTCCGGTAATGTCATTGGTTGTTTTGCTGAAGCTAAAAGTAAGTTTGTTAGTTTGTTGTATTATATAAATATTCAAAGCACTTTTCAACGTTTTCAAATTGTTAATCTAAATCAGTTAGTTTATAAAGTAACTAGTACTTACGGGAATACAGCTTTGCCACACGCGTCTGCAGCGTCCAAACTGTGTCCTGTAGTCGGTTCTTTCCATCTAAATGCGGCAGGACTGCTGGTGATACTCCTTTTTGCAAGAAGTTAATTACCAACAGTACAAGACTATAAGAATTGAATCTTTTGTCTTTGCCTCCATGCATTTTGTTGTATTTGGCCCAGTTCTTTATTACTGCGTACAGCTGGGCTACTCTTTTGTCAATTCTGAAATTAATTAAATTAATAAGTTAAATGGCATTGTTAATAAGCATTTCTTAAAATACAATTAAAAACTTCTTAATGCACAATTAAAAACTTACTTAGAGTACTTTTGCAGTAGCCTTGTGTTTTCTACTCCTTCATGATTGTTGATGGTAAAGTCCACGTCGATGTCTTGACTGGACCTTCTGAATACCATTTTTGCAACCGGTACCTGAAGTAAGTTAATTATAGCACAATACATTAGCAAAAACTCAACATGAAAAGTAAAAAGCTTACAGCTGTGTGTTGAATCAATTCAGCATCTATTAGTCCCGACTCTTTTTTGTTGTCTTCTTGGTTCAGCACGTCATAAACGTCCATAATAGAAAGATTCTCGTCGCTATAATAATCATTGGTTATATTGCAAAAATTGTTTATTTACAAAAAAGAATTAAAAAAATAGTATGAATACTCACCGAAGCAACGTCAGGTCAAGGTCAGAGCATTTTTGGCCGAATCCGTTGTGCGAACCTCCGTACGCCCTAAGCTTATACTGAGGGAAAGCCCGGTGGAGTTGACTTTTCAATATATTGAAAAGGGTGTTGATTGCCTGTTTTGACTGTCGGTCGGGCATTCTTCTGAAAGCGCAAATAATTAATAAAAAACTGACAATAAGGTAATATAATTGTGACTGTAGGTTGACACAAGCAAAAATGTTAAACTTACTCATTGCAAAACGATTTCATCGTTTCTTCCAATTCTTTGAACAATAATTCGTTTTTTCCTGCCATTTGTTTGATAGCACCGCATGCCATTTTGACATTTTTGGCATGCGGTTTCAGCCAAATTCGATCCTGCGAAGCATCGTACTTGTATTGCTGCATGCTTCCCATGTCGTATGTGTGGTGATAACGGTGGCTTTCCGAAGCTAACATGTACTGCAAGAATATGGGACAGTACATGCTACTAACAGCTGCTTGTCTGAAAAGTAATTTATACAATAATCTTAAAAGATACTTTGCAAAATCAGTGTCATACCATGCTTTAAGTAAAGAAACTTACTGTAGCTCAACTTCTCTCCTAGCGCGGCGTTGAAGTCTTCTTTTCGTTTGTTCTCCCATTGCTCTCACTTTTCTATCCAAGTCGGTTTCTTCTAGGTTCTTCCTCTCCTGGTAGAACCACCAGTCGCAATCGTAGAGCTCGAAAACGTCGGCATAGTGCTCATACTCAGGTTCTTCATCGTCCCACATGTTACGCGTTTTGTAGAACGGTTCTGCATTGATCGAAGCAACGAAACCGTCATCAAAGTCAAAGCATGCCATTTCTGTTTGTTTTAATCTAAAATTATTTGAAAATAAAGCAACGTAAAAAATTGTAAAAATAGTAATTTTCGTAAAACGTTAACGCGATTTTTGTACAATAATTGATAAAAAAAAATGGTGATTGTTATGCTGTGACCGTATACAAGTCGTGATAAAATCATATTTAAACTGCACGGCGCGAGTATTGCACTGAGTTTGAAGAACAGTAAAACATTGCACGGTGCAATAAATGAAAGGCTCGTTTTTATGTATTGGCAGCGTGCAGTGTTCTATCGCGACGGTAGTGATATAGTTGATTTTTCTTTTTATTGATTTTGATTTCTATACGCCAAACGGAAGGATAACATAGGTTTAACGGTTTACTAAAGCGTTCTGCCTCGAAAAAATATTTTTTATCAAGTTCTAGCCATCAACAATCAAATATAACTCCTGAACAAGGATTTCGATTGCCGTAATAGATAATTCAAACTCAATGGTACCCTGCTCAAAGATACTCATATTTTACCTTAAGTGCGTAAACAATCAATTTTTTAGGGCCGGATGTCTATATACTCAAAATGTTTCCAAAATTAGAGTGAGTACCGTAACGATTGATTATACCAACCCGGAGAGCTTTGGTAAAGGAGTAAGGTACATATTGAAAAAATAATAGAAAACGGTACCTCCATTTTGACAAGAGAGTAATTTTTACATTTATAACGTATTAAAATTAACTTATTAAGATAAAGAAAACTTTACAAATAACGAAAAATAATACCGCAGTATCCATACCATCGCAAATTAAATTCATTTTCTTAACAAGAATAATTGGAAAAGATTATATTATTCAGATAATACAGAAATCAAGAGAATGATCGTAATAACTTTAAAAATGCCATTTTTATAAACATGATATAAATTAAAATCAAGAGTGTAAAACTCCAAAATCAGGTATTATAACAATTTTTCTTATAAGCAACTACAATTTTTAATGGTACAAGTAGCAGCTCAACTCCTACAGAACAAACTCTATAATCACTATACGATATAGCATTATGTCTGTGTAATGGCACAGTATATGCCAATTTAGCAACATAGTACTGTGACACCCAGCAACATAGTACAGTACAACTCGTGTATAGCGAAACTCTACTATGACGAACAAAGTTAAGATTTCCGAACAATTTGTTATACACGATTCCACTGTACCTTGTTAGAACATTATAAATTAAAGTAAAAACAATATTGCAAAATCCCAAAATCAGCTACTAAAATAATTTTTTAACAACCAATCACAATTTTCAATAGCATATAAGCAGGTACAGCAAAACTTCTACATAACGAACTTTACCATCATAATACGGAGTCGCTCTGACGGTGTAGAAACATAGTACTTCTGTATAACGAACTCTCATATAACGGAAAGCCCGTAGCTTTTAGATCTCCGAAATAATGTTTTAAACTCTTCTATAAGGAACAAATTTAAAAGTTCCGAGCGATCCGTTATACAGTAGTTCTACTATACCTTGTTAAAAACGTTATAATTTAAAATTAAAAGCAAAATAGTTCCCTATAATGAAACTTCTGTACATGGGGAGCGGGACTTTTCGGGGAATGCAGTTTCGGGGAATGCATTTTCGGGGAAGACTTTTCGGGGAATGGACCCTTCGGGGAATGCATTTTCGGGGAATGTACCCTTCGGGAAATAATGTTTTTTAAATTTTAAATTTAAAAATATGTTATAAAGTTTGTAAAAATAGATAGGCAGGGAACTTTTGGGATGGTTAATTTTCAGGGCAATTTCAAAAATTTCAACTTTTATCATATCCCCTCAAGGTATTTTTTATAGGTCAAAATTTATACTTTATACGAAAGTTTATATATATGTTCAAATGAACAAATAGTTTTGCTAAAGTTTCACTTTTAATTATTTGTTTTATTCCTATGCTTTTGTAAGAGAGTTCAAATGATACCCAACACCATATTTTATCCATTGTAAAATAAATGTGATTTAAAAGTTAGTAAGATGTAAAAGGGTAAAAAAATTTAAAAAAAAGACGTCCTAGAGTAAAATTTAATTTTTTTTCTAAATTTTTTAAATTTTATCTATCTTTTTAAATAATATAAAAATTTTAATATTATCGAATCACATTAGACTCACTGACTGAATCACATGTGCCTTTATTAAGTATCGTTAACGTTGACAATAAGCAACTTTTGAATCCTCGGCCAACATTACACAATAAATCTCTGACTCGTGATACCGACGCTCCTTTATAACCAACAAAGTTAACCCGAGAGATTCGTTACACAAGGATTCCACTGTATTTTCTACTGTACCATACTTAAAAAGCCACAAGTTAAAATTAACAGCAAAATTATAATGTTGTCACAAAACCAACATTTAAAACAAATTTTTATAACCAACTACAATGTTTAATGCCAAAAAGTAGATACGAAGCCCTATATAACAAACTTTATCATAATAACACATTATAGTACACAGACTGTGTAGCAGCATAGTGAATTTAAAACTGCTTCATAGCAAAATCCCATTATAACAAACACATTTAAGATCTCCCAGAGATTCGTTATACATGACTTCTACCGTCTTTCCTACTGTACTATTATTAAAACGGTTACAAGTTAAAACCAATATCAATGTTGTAAAACCCCAAAACCAGTTGATAAAACTATTCCTCTTATAAACAACGGCAATATTCGTTAAAAAAGTCTGTGTTAAGAATGAGCAAAGGTAGCTAGCACTCGTATGCACTACAAACGCTGGTCCTTTTGTCTAAAGAAGCCCAGCCCGAAAACTTTTGAACCCGCACACAAATTATTGGTAGCATACCTCGAGAAAATAGCTCTTTTAATGTCTTTCAAGCCGTCATTAACCGGTATTATAAAGTTTTTGATGGCATTATAGCTTACAATATAAAATACGTTTACATATGATAACTTTTATAATTTTTTGTCACCTTTTGTACTGCTATACCTTCTTTAGTTTATAAATATTCAAGAGAAACCCCAAAAATATAAAATACGTATTTATCTGTTTAAAAAACTACAAACAATCTAACATACAACACAATTTTAATACAAAAATATTATGTTATATACAAGAAATACAATAACTTCCAATTTAAATACGATATAGGATTAAAAGCTCTTTAGGCGTCCTCAGCCAACGCCTTTTCAATGTCCTTGATCATGGAGTTGGGCTCGGTTTTTGGGCCATACCGGTTGATGACTTCGCCCTTCTTGTTCACCAGGAACTTGGTAAAGTTCCACTTGATAGCGTCGAAAAGGGTACCACCTTGTTCCTTCTTCAAGAACTTCCACAGTGGATGGGCATTGTCACCATTCACTTCGACTTTGGAGTAGAGGTCGGGGTCGAACTTGTACTTTTCGTGGACGAAGGCTTTGATGTCCGCGTCACAGCCGGGTTCCTAAAAAATAAAATGTTTAGAAAACACGTATTTCACGTTATTTTTATAAGCTAAACAAAAAATTTTTTAAAAAATTTTAACTTGATCTACCCCCCCCGCCGTTCATTTTAAAGAATCAAAAATATTTTTTGAGACTCTGTTTTTTTACTATTCGTGCCAAACTTTTAGTAAAGGTTACTTATTAAATTACAAATTTATTTTTAATACCTAAAGCAATACTTTTTTCCCACGAGTAACATGTAGTTTCTAAGTTTTTAAACTATAACGCCTCACCATAAAAATTTATTTACACCCGCGAAAAACTAAAGCACAACATACCATGACATTGTTATTAAACATTACTATCCCAAAATAAAAACTTCATTTTTAGGTAATAATACCTCTAAAAAGTTGTTTTTCAAAACGAATTTGAAAATCCAATTTAAGTTCGCTACTTTATACATATATAATAGAAGTAGAGGTAAGAAAAGAGTCGAGCCGACTTTTGAGGCCCGCCCCGAATTTTTACATTCAAACGGTGGGCCTGATTTCCAAGCCCGGCTCGACCTAAACTTTGTACAAGGCTCGTTTCTCCACCTGTATATAAGAATCCTTATCACTACTACCTCAACTTCAAAATTCCCATTTTTATCTAGATTTGAAACATAAAACCCAAAAGATAAACACTTACTTGTCCGTTGAACTGATTGCAAGGGAAAGCGGCAATTTCCAATCCTTGTTTCTTGTACTTCTCCAAGATCTGGTTCAATTGGGTGTAGTTAGTGTCGGTAAATCCGCATTGACTGGCAGTGTTCACTATGATCACCACTTTGCCCCTGAAATGATAAAAGCTTACATTGCAGTAGTTTTTTTCAATCTTTGCAATACCTTTTCTATTCTTTTATAAAAAAACATGCTTTGAAATTTGACAAAACATGTGAGAGCCAAGATACAATCAAAAACATGCTATACATTCACTTGTTTAAGCGCTAAAAAAGTATTGTCGTTTTTGACCTGCAAAAAATCCGCAATTATAAGACCTCATTGTCTAAAAATACAAAAAAAAAAACAGCCGCAGATTAAAAACTTAAACTAAAATTATGTTCCCACTCCATTTTATTCAATATCCTAAAAACATAACCTCCAAAATTTAAAAACTTACTTGTACTTGTCCAATGAAACTTCGGCTCCATCAGAGTCCTTGGCTTTGAATTGGTAGATAGTGCTGGCCATTCTTCTCAATGAATTTATTAAAAAGTTGTTTGTCCTCAATCTGAAAATGCCAATATTAACAGAGCACTGCAATATCTAACTTGTTTAATGCTAAAATCAAAAAGTATATTAACGTTTTTGCTTTGAAATGCCATTTTCCTTTAAAATTTGTCGAAAATCTTTAGATATAATAAAATGCTTGACGAGAATCCTTAAAATTTTAACTCAAAAACAAAGTTATGCAACTCTATAAAAAGTCGTGACATCTCATAGTAAAAACCCCAATACATCTTCGGCAGAAGACTTTTAGTGTGTGTAGTATGTTATCGAGAACAGGTGGATTAATTCAAATCCAAATAAACATTACACGCAACGCTCGGGAGCAACTAATAACAAGAAAATATTATAGTGAATAATAAACTATTTGTTCGCACACGTTAGTAATGAGAAAAGCAAGCTGGTTTTGGTATCGTTTAACTGTGAACTGGGAAAAACGCTGAAATAAATGTAAAACGGCAGAACTTAGAATTTTAGGTAACAAAAGTCCAAGAAATCAAGATTCTAGGCATTTAACTTGCCAAAACTTAACACATGATACAGAAACAGAAGCAAACACAAAATCTTACTTAAAAAGCTATAAAAATTTAAAACTTTAAGCAATAAAACACCAAAAACCGTAAGAAAAAGCTCTTAAACTAAAAAAACTAAATTTTAAACAACAAAATTAATATACAAAACCTTTCTGCCAAAATACAAGTCTCCGTATTAGTAAAAATGAGTAAAATCTCAACGTTCTGTGCCCCTTTATAGCTTTGGAAACGACCTCGCACGTTCTTCAGTTATGTTTCCACACAATTCTCTTTCGAAACAAATAAACAAACGTAAACAGCGACCAAAAAACAGCAAGAAGAAGATGGGGTTTGGCCTTTGAATTTTTCGAAATTTTAAAGATTTTTGCAGAAAGTTTTTCGAGAATTTTTCAAAAACCACATTGGTCTCCTATGAGGATCAACAAAAGTTTTCCAAATCAACAATTTTTGCATTTTTCCGCCGAAAATAACTTCTTTTCAAAAATCACAAAAACTTCCTTTACAAAACAAGAAATGACAACAAAATTCCTTTACAAAAGGAAAAATCGCAAGATTAAATTTGAAATTTCAAAAAAATTTTAAAAAATCAGCTTAGTCCCCCAAAAAATTTCTCCAAATCAACAGGGAAAGGAACCTGTCGACTTTTCCAATTTTTTTGAATATCAAAAAAAACTTCAAAGAACGACCTCGCACGTTCTTCAGTTATGTTTTAATTTTATTTTGGAAGTATTTTTACAAATACAACGCCCAATCACAAAGAGTTACCTCAACATCTTGTTTACCACAATTACTGTGTCAGAGTATTGTTTTTAGAGATCGAAAACGAGTGAGTTCCAAAGAAAAAGACTTTATATTTATATTCCCTTCTACCACTCCAAAACACAAGATATAAAACACAATGACGAAGGCAGTGTGTTTCTGCACATTACATTATCATGATCAGGGATTATAATACAAATTTTGAACTAGAAAACAAGGTTAATATAAAGGAAAGCGAAAAAAGACAGTAGCGAGCATAAAAAATGATGATTAAAAATAATGATAAAGCAAAAATTATCATAGAAAAGCACAAACCACTCCACTATCATAAAGTTGTAGTATGTTACTTTAGAATGACATTTTATAGTGACTTTCTTATGTTTCGTATCTTCCACTGGAACCTTTTATCTTCAGTTAGAAAAAAGCATTACATTAGGTTTTCCCAATAATTCTGCGCCCCCTAACCCCAAAAATTTGTTTTGATATGGGGCGCAAGATTATTTGAACAACGTAGCAGAAAAATCTTGAAATTTGGTGATGATTAAAGTCAAATTTCATAAAGAAAAACAACTAGAAGACATAGATTTGTAAATATTTGTTGATCTAAACTTAAAAAGGCTCAAAAACCAAGTATAATTAGTTTAAAAAAGTCTTGTCGTCAATTTACAGCTGTTTGCACGACGAAAAGCGACAAAACTTTTTTACATGCTAATCATTACTTAAAAGTTCAAACTAAAAATCTGAAATTTTGCTTACTAATTCCCTATAGTATAAGTAATGTTTATATCAAATTTCAGCCAAATTGAAGACTTCAAACGTAAATTTTTTAAACTTGAAAATAATTAGGTAACATTTTTCACTTTTTCCGTCAAAAAAACTGTTAAAACATCAAAAATGTGGTTGTCACATGTATTTTCTTATAACTAAAGCAACATTAAACACTTTATTTTGTGTTACTTCTACAAAAACGCAAAAACACAAAGAATTCAACATAAAAAAGCAAGTAAAAACAATATTATAATCGTATAAAATCAAAAAAATTAAATTTTCGTTTTAAGAGCTCACAAACAGCAAAATTTTAATTATATTACTGACTTACAGCAAGCTCATAACAATATGCAACACTTTCCTGAAGCAGTATGAAGAAATAAAATTGTTTTCGCGAAAATCTGTAAACAATTGCCTTTTCATCGTATAAGATGTCGCTTGCGGGCTGCGAATGAAAAGTTATACGACGGCTTTTTCTCGGAAAATAAATTTATTTTTGGGATTTTTGGAAGACTTTCTGCATTTGTGTCGTATTTTAGGTTGTATAAATTTATACGTGAAGAATTTTAGGTGTTTTAATTTGGTAAGGATAGAAATCTCGTATTTTACTTACCCACCATAATTTTTTATTAATATTTTTGTTATTTTAGCTCAAACATGGAAGAACTTTCGATCCTCGGCGAAAATCCAGAAGTATTTCTTCAATATGACGATCTTTACAGGTAAGATAGTTTAATTTAGTATATTTATGTTTAGTTTGAACATTGGAGCAGATTATCTTTCTGAGTTTGGCGTTCTTATTGCCAAATCAAAGAAGAAGGCTAAGAGTAAGACGGATTTGGAGAAGATTTTTGCTCAAACCTTACAAGAAATGACTTATAAGTTGATTGGAAACAACAGAGTTACAAAGTTGGATGTGTTTCTGACTAGAAATGTAGGTTTTTTGTTTGAGTTTTAAAGTTTTAGGCATTGAAATGGCTGAAGAAGTTGAGGTCGGGATGGTTTTGGTCATAAATTCTTTGAACTTATATTTAGGGGCTTGAAATTTTGTGTGATTTGAGAGCATTTAGATGTTTAACTAATGAGCTAAACAGAGTTTATTTCAGGAAGATCAGCTTGAAAGTGAGGACAATGTTCGCAAGTACGTCGTTGCTTTGTCTTTGGGGGAAGATTGGGCTGATCCATTGTTTAGAGGACCTCAAAGTAATACTCCAGAAGGCAAAGAATTCAGAAGTCAGTTTGGAGATTTGTCGGAAATTCGAAAATACGCTGATAATTCCTTGTGTGAGACAGTTGAATGGGTGAAGATGAACAAAAACGCGTATCCTGAAGAGAATGAAGATATTCTGAAGAGTATTCCACAAAGATGGCTTGAGTTTATTGTCTACAAGTATGTTTTGCAGCTTTTTGTTGCGATAGATTTTAGAAATTTAGGCTTCTTTTGCGATCAATGACATTACTCGAAGCTGTTAAAAAATAATATATTTTGATCAGATTATGCTGTCAATTGAGTATCTTTGTCTAAAACAACACATTATGTTACATAAGTGATCTCTTTCAGGAAGCTTATGGTACCAGAAGGCTCGTTATCAAGTGTTATTAAGAAGCCAAGGCAATGGACGTCTTTAATACCTAAAAGTCAACTTCCACCTTCGTTTGTTCATAGTGCTTTTGCCAAATTGGGAAAAATGTTCAGAGAAGTTAAGGATCTGCCTTTGGCTATAGTTGGCGTGAATTGCGTTTCTGGACATTACAGGAACACTGAGGCATGTTAAATTTAATTTTTTGATGTTGTAGTAGATAAAATGATGTTTTTTGATCGAACTATTAGTTTTTATTTGTGTTTTTGGAACTATTTAGGCTTAAAAAAGGTTTTAAAAGTTGAAAATATTATTTTTATTTGCCTTAACCCTGTGGTTTTGTAGTTTTTGATAAAGAGACGGCTAGTTTTGGCTGTTTTACTGACCTATTTTTTGAAAAAATGATATTTTTCAGCCTCTGCAATACTGTGCCGCCCCAAAAATTGTCGGATCAGCTAGCAAGAGCGCTATGAAAAAGTTGAGCACAGATGAAAATGCTTCTATTCTACCATTACAACAAGTTGTTGAAGGTAGGAATATTGATTTTGGAGCTTTTTATGAATTTTCAAATTGAAATTTTAAGCTAAAATCTTTATTTTTCACAATGGTTTTAAGCTAATACCTCTCCCACTTTCAGTATACACGTCACTGGAACGAAACGGTAAATGGGGCAAAGTACCAACTCAAATCGAAGCCTACAAAACCCTTTATTACGATACCCTGTCCAAAGAGCTCACAAAACAATTCAAATGCCTAACAGTGCCACAAAAGGATCGTATCATAATCAAAATTGATGGTGTCGTCTTCTCTATGCGCGTTGTTCATGACGAAGAGTTGGAGAAACAACGAATCGAGAACGAGAATCCACAGAAAGTGCCAGAATCCTTCACGAAGCATGCTCATCTGGCGATTACAGCTCAGAAGTTGCACTCTATTAGTCAGAAGTTTAGCGCATTCGGTGAGGGTGTTCAATTGGCTAAGCGATTTGTGGCTGGTGCCAAACTTTCGAATCACTTTGATCCGCTGGCTATTGAGCTGATGGTGGCTTATGCTTTTTTGAATACGAAAGGGAGAGATGAAGGAAATGTGAAGGCAATGTAAGGCTATTCTGTGAAGTTTTTATAAATTGTGGTAGTGCTACATTAGTATAAGGTAGAGTATGACATAGTGTGGGCTATTAAAGGGTTTTTACTGTGCCATAATTTCTTAAAGTTCACGTTTTTACATTTTTAAAACAATTTAAATGCTTGTTTTCAGGACCCCCTTCTCCGGCTTTCTTCAATTCCTCAAACTCATAGCAACTCACAATTTCGTCGAACAACCATTGATAATTGACATGAATGAGAACTTTTTGGAAGAGACAAAGACTGAACTTATCGAGCAATTCAAAAAAAGAAGGCCAGTCTTACCACCAATTGTACTAATCACTCCAGAAGACAAGAGTGGCGTCAGATTGATGGCCAAGAAGACAGAACCTTTTGCGGCCAAAAGACTGGTCGAATTGGCCAGAAGAAAGTGGACGGAGCTGGTGGAGAGATTGGCCGAAGGAAAACATTGCGATTTGAGGGTAGGTGGAAAGAAAGTTCTTGCGGTTTTTGGAATTTTGGTTTTGTGGGGTTAGGAAAGGGGCGGGAAGACAGTTTGTGCGTTTTTTTTGAATTTTTGGTTTTTTGGGTTTGGGAAAAGACTGGAATGAAAGTTTTTGCTTATTCTGGGACTAAAAAGCCTTGTAAAGAAAGTTCTTGCCATTTCTGGATTTGTAAAGAAATTTTTTTCCATTTTGAGTTTAGTAAAGAAATTTATTGCCATTTTGACTATTGTAAAGATTTAATCAAGAAAGCTTTAAAAATGTTTTAAAATGTCATTTTCAGGTATTCTTCACGACAAAAGCCTCGATTTACGACCTGAAAATTCAAATCTCATCGAAAAGAAGAACCTTTTATCAAGTTCAAAAGCAGCTCCAGCAAAGTACGAGAGACAAAGTGACGAAAAAATGTGTACTAATGGTACCAGTACTTGAGTTTGATGTAACGAAGAGATTATTAGCCAAATTTGAGACTAATTTCGGATCAAAAGTGATGTTCTTCTACGATGAGTTCGAAACCGACAAGATTTTTGCCGCCTTAAGGCCGAATTTCAAGGCAGAAAATGTTCAGCTTACTGTAAGTTTTTTTGGAATTTGGTTTCGTGGTATATGAAGACTTCAAAATTGCTTTTGAAATTTTAAAAATTGGTTTTAAATACACTTTATTTTAGCTAACAAACTGTCCGTTAAAGAAGAAAAACCTCTTTACCAATGAAACCGAAGTCAATTTGAAGGCATTGGCCGAAGATTTAATGATTCTTGGCCAAGGTCTGGTGGAAACAGTCCTCAATTCAACCGGCAAAATTCTGGTACAGAACAAACTATTACCTAAAGTCAAGGCACAGAAGAGAAAGCCAAGAAATCGACCAAAAAGGACAGTAAAAAGACCAAAAAGATGAAGAAGGAAGAAGTGAAAGACGAAGAAGATGAAAATGAACAAGAAGGCTCTGCAGATGAAGGTGATAATGATGATTCAGATGAAGTTAATGAAGAAGATTCAGATGATAATGATAGACCAGATTCTGGCAATGATGATGCAGCGGATTCAGATGGAGAAGAAGAAGAAAGTGACTAAGAAGGTCATGTTTTAGTTTGGTATATGGCCGAGTTTTGATAAGAAACTGGGACAAGAGAAAATTTTTTGATAATAATTTTGTTTTTGGAAAGAATTTTGATTGTTATTTGTTGTTTTTCTTACGATTTCATTGTTATATTCTTGTTGATTTAATAAAATTTGTTGTTATAGGGGGCTAAAATACGGTTTTTTGTTACATTTTTGAGGTTGAGGGTTTTGATTTGTAATCTCGGGCCCTATTGATTTGCCTTTTTTGAATTTTGCTCCAGCCGGGTCCTTTTCATGTTTTAGCCGGGCCTTGGTCTGGACACCGGCGATCGGGCTCATACATAAGTGTAGTTCCGGCCACTTTAAAATTTTCTTTAGCCCGGCCTTTTCGGGAGCTAAGTTGGGTGCCTGGGGCCTTGTTTTATGCGCGGCTCTCGGACCCACACGTGTCGGTCCGGGCTTTTCAATTTTTTTTTTCGGCTGGGTTTAGTACTAGTAGGTCCTTTTACAAGTTTAGGCTGAAAACCGTTAAAAATTTTTTTTGAAAATTCAGAAAATATTTTTACAGTTTGTGCCAAAATTTCGAAATGTTATACAAATTCAAAATTTTGAAATAAAGCCATTTTGCAGTAATTTTACCGTCCGAAACGGTGGTTTTCCATTCCGATTTTTTACAGTGTTAAGGAACGGCCGAAGTTGTACGATACGACTTTCACGCACATCTTCGCCACACATCTTTTGGTATACGAATGTAAATGGTATGGCATATTTTTTGTCATTTTAAGGGAAGGGGGTCTTTTCAGAGTAGGGTAGGGTATAAAAAGGTACGGAATTGTATGATAGAGCATAGCAGGGTAAAGTAGCGTCAGGTGGAATGGGATAGGGTAAGGCAGGGCATGGTAGGGTACGGCAAGGCAAAGTAGAGCAATGTAGGGTAGGGCGGGGTAAGATAGGGCAGTGGGGGTATAGCAGAACAGGGCAGGGTAAATTTTTTATTTTCAGTACAATTGGTTTCGAAAAATTGATGAAGGATATCTAACTATCTTGCGCAAGATGAATAATCAAGACATGGTGCTTACTGTAACTTTCAAGAGTATTATGGCCAGCTCGGCACCTGTAAGGGCTTTTAAATCTTAATGTTTTGCTTTGTAAACAAAGCTCTTGCCTTTTTTATTTTGTAAAGAAAATTCTTGCCATTTTAGGTTTTGTAAAGAAAGTTTTTGCAGTGTTCATCAGAAGTTCGAAGGGATGCCACAGTTCGTGACCTGAAGTTTATTTATCAAGCCAAAAGTGGCTGTTCAATAGATATGGTTCGTTTTACTTACAATGGAAAGGAATTACTGTAAGTTACCCTAGTATACCTTTCTCTACCCTACCCTAATTTACCTGATCCTTCTCTACTCTACACCGTACCCTACTGTACCTTTTCCTAAAACGCCTTGTTCTACATACTTTTTGACCACATTCTCAACTTCAGAAATGACGACGAAACCCTCGAGTCCTACGGTATGACCAAGAACTGTGATGTCTACATAAGTGCTCGTATCGAGTCCGGCCTAATGGCTCGCACTCCACCATCGCCTCGAGGCTTCATAATGGCGGCCGAAATCATAGGGTCCCAGAATCCGGACACTCTGGCCAAGATGCAAAGTCTGAGGGATGCGATCAAATCCATGCACAACATCCCCGGCCAAACCCAAATGGACAAACCACCGGACTTGGAAAAGAAGGAGGGGTTGTGGACGCCCGAGAAACAAATGGAACATCAGGTAGGGTGAAGTAGAATAGGTTAGGGGAGGTTAAAGTAAGGTACGGTAGTTTTAGGGAAAGCTAGGCAATTTTTTGTGTGACTGGGGTAAGGCATGTTGGTTAAAGCAGGGTATAGTAGGGTAGGGTGGAATATGGCATAATACTGTAGGGTAGCATATGGTACTGAATAGGGTAAGGTAGGTAGGGTACGAGAGGGCGAAAAGGATATGGTACTGTAAGGTAAGGCAGAATAAGGTAGGGTAAAATAGGGTGCGGCAAAGTATCTTAAAGTATGGTATGTTGGGTTAAGGTATGTCAAGGTATGGTAACACAACATAGGGTAGCCTGCTAATAAAAATTTATGCCTATTTTCAGATAACCCGTAGTAGAATGAGAGATCTCCTAAAACGACGTAAGGCTGCCACTTCAAAAACACCGGATTCTGCTTTTACCAGAGACAGCGGATCGGTTTGCAATTCTGCACGGTAAGTATTTTTACTATAAGATTTAAAATGACATTTAAAAGGTTAAAATAGCCTTTTTAAATTATAACAGCGAGAACTTTCTTTACAAAACACAAAATTGCAAGGACTTTCTTTACAATGTATTTTCAGATCTCCAATGTTATCAGAGCCCGGGACTCCAAAAAGCGAGCCAAGGGCCCAGTCTAGCCTTTCAACACTGAGTACGTCACCAGCAGCCACAACTTCTGTTAGTAACTTATCCCAGACGTCGGTAGTAGAGCCAGTAGAGAAGCCTGTGACTGAAAAGGAGCTTAAGGTAAAGTTTCATGGCTTTTTTCAGAATTTCCAAAATTCCAGGTATTTTTCGACCCGGCCGAAACAGCTCGTGACCTAATAGTCATCCACCAAGAGCTGTACGATCCACCCAAGAATCGCGAAGAGCTGGCAGTGATCCAAGAAGCCGTGGAGCACAGACGAAGAACAACTTGTGGCGTATGTCGAAGGAAGCTGCCCATAAGTCAACAGTCGGTTCGATGCCAATGTCAACTGGCCTTTTGTTCACGTCACAAGAATCCGGAGGATCATCGCTGCAGCTTCGACTACAAACTGACCGGTCGAAAGCGGCTGGTCAAGGAGAATCCGAAAGTCACGTCTGGCGGAGCTCATAAGGGCAAAATTGAATAAATCTTGGTGTAAAGTCTTGAAAAATCATGTGGATATATCTTTCAAACTTTGAAAAACGATTTCTCATAGTATTCTCAAGCTATACCTCAAATTCTATCAAGATAAGCTCTTTGTCAATATATTTCAAGCCAAAACTCACATCCGAAAACAATTTTTCAAAAAATAAACCAAATTCTTAAAATCTTCATTAAATTTTAATATAAATTCATGTACAAATCGCTTGATAACATCAACTTGCCCATTAGAAACGGCGCTTCAAATAACGTCCACCAAGAACTTAACCGTCCTAGGTAAAGTGAAAGACTTGACACATTTTCTAATTTCAAGTCAAGTTTCTTTTTTTTTATTTTATTTTATTCCTGGTTTTTGATGGATAATGTTGCTAAATCGTAGCATTCAACGACAATGCCTGCCAACACGGACACTATTTACTGGATTCCGAGAGATTTATGAAACTGGCGATGGAATGAAGTCGATATTGGACGTTTTCGGGCCGAAGGAACCATAACAAGTAGAAGATTATACTAGAACTGGCACAAAGTGACCCATTTCATCGTCCGGACAGAAGATGACAAAGGCTACACTGAATTCAAGTCTGGAGATAATATTGAAGATGTTTATATGTTTTCCTTATGTTTTAGGGATTGTTTTAAGTGTTTTAAAGGGTTTTTGGCTTCACATGATTAAGGTAGACATGTGTAATATAAAATTTGATTTTTTGAAAAGAAGACAGACGATTTATAGGTGATGTTTATATGTTTTAGGAGTAGAATTTAATTTAGATTCTTATTCTAAAATCAAGTTTTTGAAACTTTCATTTTTGAAAAAGTTATGGCCGTTTTATTGCGGGGTATACCTATTGTAACCTGTTTTTTCAGATTTGCTCAAAGGTAAAATATGTTCAACTGTAATACTAATTTAAAGTAAGATCCTTATAGCTAATGATCAACAAAGGTGCCATCATTCGTATAAATTTTGGTTGCTGTAACATGTAGACTGGCACGTCGATGAATCAATGTTTTTCGATAAGTTGGTATCAGTACGAGTACTGATAATGAGCTGAGGAGGGTGAAAAGTTGAACTGACATTGAACAAACGTAGCCAATAACGTCAAATGGGGTGGTGGTTAATATCGAGTACATTAATATAAATACTGGCACGAAATAGAGTATTAGGGGGTAGAAGGCCTGAAAATTGAAAAAATAGCATTAACTTTTTTTACAGAATGAAAAATGGCAATAACTTTCTCTACAAGGTTAAAAGCATTTACCTGTAAAATCATGACCTTGACAACATATTTCTGTGCTCTAAATGTTGTCATTCCAGCGTTTTCTCTCATTTTTAGAATAATTTTTTGACCGAAATAACACATCATCCCGTATTCGACCACTAACATTAGTTGGCAATGAAGTTGACATAACAGGAAGAGGTAGTTCTGAAATTTAAATATTGGGATGGTATTATAAAAACATTAAAAAAGAAAGACTTGACTATTATTGTACAGAAAAAGTTACTGCCATTTGAATTTATGGGTAGGGTATGGCATATTGAAAAAGTGCGGCAGGGTGGGTTTGAAGGCAGGACTAGGTAGAAAATGAGAGAGTGGTAGGACAGGGTAAATTAGAGAGGCGGATAAGGTGGAATAGAGTAGGGTAGGATAGGACTAGGTAGAATGATATACGGTAGTTAAAAAGGTATTGATGACGGTAAAGCAGCGTAAATTAAATAAGGAAGGGCAGGAAAGGACAGAACAAAGTAGTAGGCTAAGACAGGACAAGGCAAAGCAAGGCAGGGCAGGGAAAGTCAAGGCACGTCAAGTGAAAGCAAGGCAAACAAGGCAGGGCAGAGCAAGGCCGGGTAGACTCACCTGTTCAACAACAACATATCTTTTAACCTCGACGTTCATATCAGTATGAACAACAACATCATGTAGTCTTTTATCACTTTCTCTACTAGTACAACAATAAAAGAAAATGCAGTGCAAAAACGTGTAAAACGCGAAAATAAATGTCATAAGACAATATTTCCGTCGTCTCCACGTCTTTTTGTTACAAAGTATGTTATAACGGTACCAAAAATGAACCGCATTCAAAGCTGGTACCACTAGTAAAAAGAATACGACCAACATTAGGCAGATGTCTATACCTACTAAAGGCAAATCTTGTAGGTAATCGTTCTCAATGGTTAGATATAGGGCTGAAGGGGTTAGAAAGGCGCTCTGGAAAGAAAGTTTTTGCATTTTTTATTAATTTTTTTTAAATTTAAAATTTAAAAAATTGAATTTTTGAAAAAATTTAATTTTAACAAAAAATTTAAAAATGTTACCAGTAGTACCAAAATACCTACCGGCATGACAATTCCAAACACAATGGCATAGCCAAGATCAACAATGGTATTGAACCCTAATATCCAAGTATATTCTTGCCTTGTCTTCTTGTATACTTGATACGACAATACGATGACTAATAAGCAACACGTTGCCGCAATTGTCATGGTTGCAAAAGAAAATAGTTGAAAAAAGGCGTTGAAATGCATTTTGAATCTAAAAGAATGAAAAGACAATAAATGGTTTATAAAAAAAAATAGAAATTGTAAAATACGACCATTGGAGGATAAACTTTTCGTAGCAACGGGTCCATACGACAAAATATGGCATGACTAGAGCCAGAAAATAAGTTTTGTTTGGCTAGAACTGTTGAAAAAGCTTACGTTTGGGCTTAGGCTAGGATTTAGGCTAGGGCTTAGGCTTAGGTTTAGGCTTAGGCTAGGGCTTAGGCTAGGGCTTAGGCTAGGGCTTAGGCTAGGGCTTAGTCTACGCAAGAGCTAGGACTGCAAAACAAAAAAGCGATTATTAACTAGTCGAATACGTATGAATTGCACTGTAAATAAGCTATCAAAAATTTTATAAACGTTGTAGTTGTTAATGTTTGTCCTATAAACTAGATTATTCATGGCACTATAACTTATAAACCTGTTTTTTGATACCAAGCAAATGTACTTCTGAGAACCAAAAAGCTGTGGCACACTAATATAAAATTGTTTTTGAATTATTGATATATTATAACTTAATTTATTTGCATACAGCAAGTCATACATTAATAGTATAATATAATATGAACATAAAAACAAGATATAATCGTATAACCTTATCAAAACAATAAAAATGTAAGACTAAAAAAGAAAATAAAATCAAAAACAGCAGTAATTTTATTATTTGAAAAAATTATTGTTAATAAAAAAGTTTATTGAAAAAATAACTATTAATAATACAATTACTTTAATTTTAGGTACATAGCAACAAGATAGTTAAAAATAGCTTTGCAAAGTTTTCATTTTGCAAGAAAAAAATACTACCTACTGTTTTGCAGTGCAACTTGGGCACGGGTGGCAACGCCCTACGTCCAGCCTGAATGCAAGTCCTGTATAACGAACTCTTCTATAACGAAATTTCCGTATAACGAACAAATTTTGAATCCCCAAGCCCTTCGTTATACAGGAGTTCGACGGTATTCCACTGTATCAAAACTGCTTTATAAAGAAAAAATTTAAGTTCAGAACGATTTGTTGTACAAGAGTTTCAATGTATAGTTGTAAAGCCTTTTTAAAAGGAATAGTGTTAGCCATGCTATTCGAGCGTGTATTGCCAATGATTGTTCAAATATTCAATTATATGGTATTAAGAAAGTATAAACATACGTCTTGCAAGTTTGTAAAGAAAAAACTACAACCTACAGTTTAAAATTCCTAATATGCTCAACTGGTTTACATATAATATAATAATAGGCTGCGTATATTAAACATATATTTAGGTATAATTTTAGCATTTTAAACTCGGAATTGTTTATGATAATAATTATTACCTAAACACCGGTCATGCTGCATCAAAAGTGTAAAAAAAGTTGGCAGAAAGTTCACGAGCTTATATTGTAGAGTATCGGTTGGAATTAGCAATAACTTCAAAATAAAAACGTCATTTTTAAAATTACTGTAACTACTACTATAGTAGGCTCAATGATGTGACTTTTGCAATAAAAATTTTGGAGAATGACCCTACTGTAACATATTGTTCTATAAAACCAGTTATGCAAAGAAAAGCATAACAGTAACAATAATAAGACGTATTAACCAAAGACGTATAACAATTTGTTTACTATTCTAAAAATAAGTTATAATTGCGTGTCGTCATAGACAATATTTAATATAAGACAATAGATGTAAGCATTACAAGATACAATATAAGATACAAATTAGTTTTTTGTAGACAAAATACATTATTGGTTTTGTAGGCCAGTTTGAACAAAGATTAAACAATTTGAACAGGCACAGTCAACAGCTTCGTAGTTCAGTGCACGGCACCCTGAACCAATAGAGTGCCCCAGGTCCCTAGATCAGATCCTTAGCCCAAAGCCCTATCCCAGAGCCCTAGCCCAGTGCCCTATCTCAGAGATCTATCTTAGAGCCCTGACCCAAAGCCCTTCGCTCTGAAATAATGAAGTTTACGAAGAAATTTCATTCTCAACATACATAGCAGTTTATTTGTTAAGCCAATATCAAATGATATTAAAATTCAACTTTTAAAAATAGTAGTGATTCAGGCCATTCTGAGCAGTGAAGTGCCAAACAGGCCAAAAGCGGCAGTGTCTGGAGGGATGATCAATCCTGGGTTGGCTACAGGAGCCACCGGTCTGTAACCACATAAGGCCAAGGCTTCGGCTTGAATTTGGGGGTCTAAAAGTTGGTTTGCTAATAGTTAGGACCTTTGACTTAAGAACTTAAGGAGCTTTTTTGGTCGGCTGGCGAATAGGCTTTTAGGCTTGGCCAATAAATTTTAGGCTTAAAACACGCCTTTTGGTTTTTTTGAGTTTTAGGCTTAGATTTTTGGTTTAAAAGTTGATTTGTTGTTTTAGGCTTAGTGTATTAATTTTTAAACTTAATAACCTTTATAGGCTTATGGTATTGTTTTTAGGCTTAGATTTACACTTTTTTGATAAAAAAAATTTATTATCCATAACGTTCTTTAAAAGCCAGTTCTCGATCGTTTTATTAGGCTTAAATTAGGCTTGCAAGTGCAATTTCTGTAAAAATATTAAAAATCTGATTTCCATGCCATTTTAAATTTTCATTTTTTTTCATTTTCTTATCCCAGCAATCCCAACAGTCCAGCGCCAAGACCAGCGCCCAATGGAGGTTGAGCATACAGTCCACCATATGGTGCTGCTGGTGGTGCCCCATAGGCACCATAACCTGGAGCACCACCAAATCCTCCGCCATACCCGCCGCCAGCACCATAAGCAGCGTATGGAGGTGGAGCACCATACCCATAGCCACCATAACCACCGTAACCACCACGACCACACAAGGCCATAACATCGGCTTGAACTTGAGGGTCTGAAATGGAAGTGATGGTTAGGGTGAATAGACGGACGGGTTGGTGAGGAGGGTGGGGTATAGAGAGAAAGAATAGCCCTAGTCGATTTGGTGAGGAGGGTAGGGTATAGAGAGAAAAAATAGCCCTAGTCTTTTGCTTTAGACCTAGCCTTAGCTTTAGCTCTAACCTCAGCCTTAGCCCAGAGCCCTAGACCAGAGCCCTAGCCCAAAACCCTAGCCTAAACCCTAGCCTAAACCCTAGCTTAAGCCCTAGCCTAAGCCCTAGCCTAAGCCCTAGCCTAAGCCCAAGCCCAAGCCCAAGCCCAAGCCCAAGCCCAAGCCCAAGCCCAAGCCCAAGTCCAAGTCCCAAGCCTAGAGCCCTAGACCAGAACCCTAGCCCAAGCCAAAAGCCTAGAGCCCTAGCACAGAGCTTTAGTCCAAGGCCCTAGCCCATATCTGTAGCTCTAACCCGAGCCCAGAAGTCTAGCCCTCGTTCTAGCTTAAGTTTTAATGCAAGAGTTAGTCTAAGACCAAGTCGTTGTTAAAACCCAACCTTTAGCCTACGCCTTAGCCTACTTTTTGGCTTCAATTCTTGCCCTAGCCTAAACCTCAGATTAAGCTCTAGTTTTACATTTTTTAGGCTTCAACAATAAAGAACTTTTACCTACTGTAAGATAATATAACTTACGTTCCAAAAGAAGCATGAGTTTAGGAAAGTTTTCACGAATATCGTCCTTCACTTTTTCACCTTCTTCTTTGTACAGTTCGGACAGTTTTTCAAACGTTTTTTCAACGACTGTCCTAGCCTGAAATTGTAAAATACGTTGACGATTAGATATATGTCTTTATGAAAGTTTTAATCATGTATTGGAAAGAAAGTATCTGCTTCTTTTTGTTTTGTAAATAAAGTTCTTGCCATTTTAGGCTTTGTAAAGAAAGTCCTTGCCACTTTTTGTTTTGTAAAGAAAGTTCTTTCAATTTTTCTGTATACTCTTACCTTAACCAAGAACTTCTTGGTCTCTGGAGTCAACGCATTACTGATGGCTTCTTGTTTCTCCTGTAGCTTCTTCACCACAGCTTCAATCAGATCTTTTAGGGCTGGGCTCTCCTCACTCAATGTCTTTACCAAATCTTCTTTTTTCGGTATTTTCTGGAAGATTTTCTTGGCCGCGCGGATGTCCTCACCGCTCAGTTTTCCCACTTTCTCGGCAATTTCGACCGGTAAAAGCTCTTTCAGGCTGTCAATTGTGGTTTGGGTCTTGTCTTCAGCATGAATTGGTACTAGTAGTACTAGTAGGACAACTAGGAATTTCATTTTAAAAATATTGTTGTACTAGGTAATAGGTATATGATTTTGGAGAGTACTGTAGTTTTTTACTGCTATAGTACTAAAAAATTAAAAAATATGGTACTGTATAGCACTATGCAATACAAAAAATTAGTGATGCAGCCAAAAAACAGTGCTTTAACACACTTAGTACCAACTTCTCAAAAATATAGTACTGATGATACTAGGGCCCCTTAGCACTGATTAAACTGCTCAGTATGACGGTGTAGGTATAGCCGGTACGGCCGTGGCTTGTACCTATTGACCATAAATGAAATTTTTTAAAAATTTTTGAGGTTTAAATGTAAAATTAAAGAAATTATAAAATGACAATGTTTGTTCATATGACAGTATTGCGACACTTGCAGCTGGGTAAATACAAGTTCGTATGTTTGGTGTATTGAACATCATTTGTAGAAAATGGAAGAAATAAAGCCTTGATACTGTAATGTAAAAAACAAAAAAAATTTTTTTGTGTTAAACTTTATACTGTATATAATATACAACTTCTGTTTTTGTTGCCTTTACCTTAACTTATACACAAAGCTAAAAACATAAGACTAGGGCTAGGGCAAGAGCAAAGACAAGGTCCAGGGCTAAAGCTAGGGTTAATTTTTTAAAATTGAAGGTATTTTTCTAATGTTAGCAGAATAAACACTGTTTATTATTCTTCTTTTCACTGTAAACAAGAGTGGTAAATCAAAAAATAAAATTTTTTAATGTTTGTACAAACCGTCGGTTTTAAAAAATGTCGTAAAAGTTGACTGAAAGGCTTCAAAAAAGACTAAAAACCGTTAAAATTTTAAAGAATCTTCTGCTTCTCCAGACCATTCAAACACATTTTGTTCGTATTTCAGGTAGAGCCTTCTGGTAGCTTATTTATATAGGGCAGGGATAATAGTAGAGGTAGAGTAAGATCAGGGAAACTACGGTTTTTCTCTGGGGTGGGGGGGGGGAGAAATTTTTTTGGTCCACAGGTACCTACCTGTGGATTTTTTTTTCGGATCAGCTCTGGGGGGGAGTCACCCCGAACCCCCCCTCCCAAACGACGTCCCTGAGTAAGATAGTCCAGGTTAAAGTAAAGTAAACGAGGGTAGGGTTAGGGTTAGGGCAGGGCGTAAAAAAGTTGACCCCGGTTTTTCGGCCAGACCTGGCTCCCGGAGACCATGTTTTTGTTTTGGACCTTGGCTTCGGGCCAGCACGATCCGGCTCGGCCCTTTTCCAATATTTTTTCAGCCCACCTCGCCCCACGGCACTTTAAGTTTTTCAAATTATTGTGCTCCCCTAACCCCACAAAGTTGCTTTGAGGGGGCACATTATGAATTGAACAACGTAATAAAATGAAAAAACTGTGTCTTCTTACTAGCATTTTCAAATAGTTATGTGCCCTCTAATCCTAAAAATTTAGTTTAAGAGGGGCACAGGATTATTTGAAAAACCTGATAACATTAGAAAATGTCAATCTATTTCTTAGAATATTCAAATAATTCTGTGCCCTCTAATCCCAAAATTTGCTTTGATACGGAGCACAGGATTATTTGAACAACTTAATAGTGATATTTTCAAATATTTTTTTAAAATTTCAAAAATCAAATCGCCACTTGAAATTGATGCCTCAAATGTTTTCTACAACTCAGCCTTTTTAAGAAACCACCAGAATTCAATCGACAAACCGTGTGTTTACTCTACTGGCAAGAATAAAAGAATCGTATCCTTAACTCACCAAAACAAGATTCATACCTATCTTACTCAATGACCTTTAAGGAACGCGCCTTTTTTACTTGTAAAAGGGAAACGTATTTGCAAAAAAGGAAAGTGATTGGAACATGAATTGCGTTATGTGTCGGTTTAATTACCGTGTAGTTGGGATGAATATTCTGGAGTGGTTTTTGTTACCGGTGAAAGGCTATTGAGTTGGGTGGATTTGAGGGTGGGGTAGATTTGGGGGGGGGGCGAGGGTTACATATGAGGGTGAAAAAACACAGATTTAGGGGGAGAGGAAAGGCAGTGCAGACATGAGGGTCAGGGTAGATTTTAGGTTGGGGTTTGGGGGGGGGGGATTAGAAGGATTATAGGATAGAGCAACACAAGACCGTAGGGGTATGGATATGGGTAAGGGTAAGAGTAAGGGTAAGGGTAAGGGTAAGGGTAAGGGTAAGGGTACGGGTAAGGGTACGGGTAAGGGTAAGGGTAAGGGTAAGGGTAAGGGTAAGGGTAAGGGTAAGGGTAAGGGTAAGGGTAAGGGTAAGGGTAAGGGTAAGGGTAAGGGTAAGGGTAAGGGTAAAGGAAGGGGTAAGCGTAAAGGTAAGGGTAAGGAGTAGTAAAACTAAGGCTACGGTAGGACGTGTTCTTTTCAAAAACGCTTCAAAATACACCTCCTACCCTCTTTATCATGTTTTTTTCGAATTTGACCGCAATTTTCCATTGTTTTGGAAGTAATTTTAATTTGACAAGATTGTCGTAACAAAAACAATTACTTTTTGAAACTAATTAGCGCGAACTTTCAAGTTCAGCAACGCTTGTTCAACCTCAATATCAGCATTTTTTTCGTTTTTTGATCATTTCAAAGCAATTTTGATCAAATTTTGAGGGTTCTTTAGGCTTAAAATGGCTTTTTTAAACTTTTCAAAATTTCAAAAAAAAATTTTTTTTTAAATTAAAATTTTTTTAATTAAAAAATTTTTGTTTTTCTCAAACTTTTTAAAATATCTTCATAAAAGACGACTATACTAATAAAAACCGTATTTTTGGCGACAAAAACGGTCAACTGAACTCCAGAAATTGAAAAAAAGTCATTTATTTTACAGGTTTGACTGATAAGAATCAGTTCAACCTGTAGGTATTGTTCGCGCAAAGCCCAATTTCTGACCATATGACATGACATTTCGACTTGAAAATGGTTTTTTAAAGCATATCATCTATACTTCGCCATATTTTTTTAAAATTTTGTCATTTTTTGGCTATTTTTACAAAAAAAAACTTTTTTTAATTAGCATTTTTTTTAAATTTGGGTGAACGTAGCTTTATGTGGTCTATTTTAAGCTGGTTTTTCGATTTTTATTGTATTTAGTATCGTATTTCATCAATAATGACAATTTAAAATTTTTGAAATTTTCAATTTTTTTTCGAAGTTCAAAAAAACATTTCAAAAAATATTTTTCATAAAAAATGCTACACTATCTACTCACAAACTTTTCATTTCCGATACAAAAATCAAGAATTACACTCACTTTTCATTGTTTCTTCCTTTCAATTGAAAACAAGCCAAATTAGGTAACCTTTCATTAAACATTTCGAACGTATTTTCCTTACACTGCCGTGAAAAAGTAACTTTTACTAATTTTCAAAAGCTTTTGTAGGTTTTCAACATGGTCAACTTTATTCCACTCTTTAAAACACTGCTTACGGTGGGGCTTTTGGGCAGTGGATTCGATAAAGTGGTGGATAACTTTGATGGTAGGTTTTTGTGATAAAAAATTAGATAAAAAAGGAGGTTTTTAACATTTGTAAATAGTAAGAAAACTGAAAATTATTTTAAGTTTAAATTTTTGCTAAAATATTACTGTACTTTAAAGCTACCACGCTTTAAAACGTCATAAAATAAACCAAAAAAGCATTTGCATTGGCCGGGAATCGAACCCGGGTCGCCCGCGTGGCAGGCGAGCATTCTACCACTGAACCACCAATGCACGCCTCCCTCCTCTCTTCATTTCTTTCCCAATCCTTTTCCCTTCGCAAAACAAGTTTTCAGAGCAGAGAATAGCGCGCGCTGACGAACACAAATACCTAGACCGGTTGAATCCAAAACAATTTGGACAATTCTTCAATCTTATCGATGTTACCGGACTAAAAGAGGAAGATTTGGTTGATAATGCTAAGAAATTGGCTGAAGAACCAAAAATTGCACAGAGCGCGAAATTGTTGGTGGTGGATGTGTTGAAGGCCAACAATATTAGTGATGAAGTTGTGGAATTTATTGAAGAAGTAAGTTTTTAGGGGCATAAAAGGACGTTCTTTCGATTTGTCGCAAAATATTTATGAAAATGGCACTAGAAATTAGAGAAAATCGATGGAAACCATCAATTTTTAGCCCAAAACACCGGTTTTTTTAGTCAAATAAGAAGATACCTTATGCTTTCTTACATTTTTTTACTTTCAACAAGCTAAAATACCAAAAAAACTCCATTTAAAATACGACAACGCCAGTTTAAGGTTCAAAAACATAAAAACAGTAAGTTATCGACCATTTTAGGCTGGAAACCAGTCTCAATTCTTGTTAAAGACCATAAATGGAGAAGAAGACGACGTGCCAGAAGCTTTGAAGCCAATTCTGACAAAGTTCAGAAAAATCTCCGGATCTGACAGTAAATTATTAGAAAAGGTGCTTGGAGCTACAGTTAACATTTTGAACTGTAAGTTACTTTAACTTAAAAGAATCTTATCCTAAACCCTTTCAAATCATATCAAATCTTATCCGTGAACCACAATCTTAAGCCAATAATGACATTTTAGCGCCAGAAGCAGTTCAATTAGTTGAAAAGCAATCTCCCAAGCCTAAAACCGAGTCTATCTCAACCACAACGGCCAAACCAACAACTCAAAAACAGCCTACAAAGCTTCATGATGAACCTGTCAGTGCTGGTAACAGCTATCAAACCATTTCTATGGCTGTTCTGCCACTTTTGATGGCTTTTACCTTACACTAGAGCTCTACTTTAAATTTATCTTTTGAATTTGTAATTAAATTTTATAATTTTTGGCGTTTTTGTTCATTTTTCTACCTTTTTCTCCGGTTTTTACAAAACTTTTAAATATAATTTTGATAAAACAAGGTTTAAAGTTTTAAAATAGTGTGCCAACTAATATTTTCAATATATTTTATTAAAAACGTCCTAATCATCCCGTTCCTCACCCAAATCCATCTGTCGCATGAGATCTTGGTACCAATCTTCAATTCCTGGGTAAAACTTGGCGATCTCCTTCTTAATTTGGAATCCAATCCTAAAATTACAAAGTAAGTTAAATTAAAACAAATTATATGGTGATACTATTTCTAACATATTTAGACATATATTTTTATTTAATTCTCTGAAAAAGTTCTGACAAGCTTTTTAAAGGTATACTTTCCAATAAAGCTGTCATAACTCTTACAAAAATGAAATTTTCGAAAACTTGACTTTAGATTGAGAATCTGCATTAAATTCTAGTTCTAAAACATATAAACATCACCTACAAACCGTTCATCTTGTTTTAAAAAAATTATGTTTTATATTACACATAACTATCTTAACCAAGTGAAGCCAAAAACTGCTTGAAGCACAAAATCTCAAGCCAAAAACCTTAGACAACTTCCTTTAAAACATTCAATAACCACTTCAAACATAAAACAACCTAAAAACCAAACAAAAACAACATAAACTCTTACCATCTGTAATCAACAAAGAATATCGAACTTGTAAGAAAAATGATCCAAAAAAAGTTCCTGTAGTCCTTCTTCAACGGTGGATAAACGTATGGTCGTTGAGGGAAAGGATTGTCCCTGAAGTCGGTGTAGCCTTTGCCTGACTTTCTGTCCGAATAATGAAATGGGTCGCCGATCCTCTTGCCAGTTATGGTATAATCTTCTACTCGTTCGGGTTTTTTCGGCCCGAAAACATCGAATATTGACTTGATTCCATCGCCAGTTTCATAAGTCTTTCGAAATCCAGTAAAAAATGTCCTTTTTGGCAGGCATTGTCGTTGAATGCTACGATTTAGCAACATTATCCATCAAAAACGAGAAATAATAAAATAAAAAAGAAAAACTTGACTTGAAATTAGAAAATGCGTCAAGTCTCTCACTTTACCTACGACAAGTTCTTGGTGTACGTTATTTGAAGCGCTGTTTCTAATGAGTAAGTTAATGTTAAAAAATGATTTGTACAAAAATTTATCTTAAAATATAATGGAGATTTTGAATATTATATTTATTTTTTAAAAAATTGTCTTTGGATATGAGTTTTGGCTTAAAATATATTGGGAATGAGCTTTTTGAAGACTAAAGTTAATGTAAATAGTAAAGCAATAGTTGGATTGTTATAAAATTTTGAGTATAGCTAAAAAATAGTATGTAGAATAAGTGTTAAAAATGTTGGTTTCAGATTTTCATTTTTAAATGGCTATTTTCCACTCTCAAACTTGATGTCCTTGATATAATTATGGTTTATTAATCCTCATAAATACTTTTTACAAACACAAATATTAATACACCGTTTAAGCCAAGTTGACACAATCTCTAGATTGGCCAGGGTATTTTGCTTCCAAGTTGAATCGACCGGCATCGAACGTCTTTTGAGGAATGGAACCATCAGTAATGTAGCGGGATGGAATGTTTACAGTGAATTTTTGGTAACAGAATGGAATGGGGTTGTTGTAATGGCATCTGTGGTAGACGTTGAACTTAGGCTTCAATGTCAGGACTGATTTTTCGGAGCCTTGGAGTGTGAAAACGCCTCGGGCGTCGGTTTTTCCTTCGGCCAGCTTATTGTCTGGGGTGATGCTGTTTTCATCGTATAATTTTACTTTCTGAAAAGGTGAGTGTTAAGGTTTTAAATTGTGAAGTCGATATAGAGGAATCTGTTTTATCAAAAAATTTGATTTTTTCATTTGCCAAAAAGTTAGGGCTAAAAATCTGCGAAAAAGCAAGGTGTTCAGTGTAATATCGACATAAAATCATGTAAAGCATACTTTTTTAGTGCCTTTTCAGTAAATTTTTATTAAAAATGTTATTTTCTGTACTATTTCAGTACGATTTTTAAAAAAAATCTGTGTTTTTTGTTAAAAAAGGCAATAACTTACAACTCCAGCAGCTGGTTTACCATCACAAGTCAATGTTCCTTGAACGGCGACGCTTTGAGTTCCGGCGCTAACGGCAGTAACTAGGAATACAAGTACTAATGGGGCCAAAAGTTTCATTTTTTGGAATTAGAATTTAGTTGTAGGCTTAAATTTGAGTTCTTTAGCCTGCAAGGTAGTCGGCTAGTATAATGATAATAGTACCAAAATTCAAATTTGGGTACAAAAATTTAAGTTATCCTTAAAGTAGCTATCAAATTTGATAGAAAACACCTCAAAATTTAAAATTTAGTAAAGTTTGGTATAGACCTTTAGCTATTGACCAAAAACCAAGCACGATATGATTTTATGGAAACGAACCAAACAAACACCCTTTAAATACGATTGTTTTGGGTATGAAATTTCGTTATCAGTGTTTCCGTCTTCACAAATAAATAATGAATAAGCCGGAAAAAGAGGTGCGGACCGAGGCTAAACTATTATTAAAGGCTAATTTGTATAGATATGAATGTCACAAAACTTTAAATTAAATTTTATTGTTAATGTGAGTCACGTACATATTGTGATTGGGACGGACATTGAGTGTTGTGATTTAAAAGGTCAATATTGTATTGTTTTTGGAAAATTTTTGATTGAAATGACTGACAATTTTAATATATGGTAGGGCTAAGGCTAGGGCTACAACTAGTGCTAACCTCGGGCGTAGGCCAGGGCTTAGGCTAAGGCTTAAGGTAGAGATAGGGCCAGGGTAGGGAATCGTTAGGACAAAGCTACGGCTAAGGCTAGGCCTAGGGCTAAAAACAGGGCTAGGGCTATGTCAAGAGCTTGGGCTAGAGCTAGGACATAGGCTAGTACTAGGAGGAGAAGTTTTTTTTTCAAAAAATTGAAAAAAAAGTCTTGGCGCTTATTTACATTGACTTACATGTCGAAAAACGACAAGACTTTTTTTTGGCATTTTAATAATAAAAAATGTACATGTAGTTTTCAAAAAAATAATTATGAATATAAAAATTGGTGATTCATCTTCGTTATCACAAGTTTTTCAATGTATTGTTTCTTTCATTAATCAAACATTACTATTCAAAAACATAATTGAAACAACAAACAATATAAATAATATAGCTTGTGAAATGGGGTCAAATATTAAAATTTTAAAACAATAACATTAGGAACGGTCTTTGATGAGTCAAAGAATGTTCCCGAAAAGAAAAATGATCTTAAGAAAAGATTCTAATTTTAAAATTTTTAAGCGCATTACAAGGTAAGGTCAGGCAAGGGTAGGGCATAGGTAAAGCTAGGGCTAAAGGTAAGGTTAGATTATGGCTAGGATAAGGTAAAGATGGAGGTAGGCTAGAGCTAATGTTAATGCTAGGTTTAAGGCAAGATCAAGAATAGGAGGCAAGGACTAGGCTAGTCTAGAGCAAAGGAAAGCAAGGCAAGGCACGGCAATGCAATGCAATGCAAGACAAGGCAAGTAAAGTCATGTCTATTCAAGTCTAGTCAAGGTAAGGCTAGGCTAAGTGTAGGGGGCAACAACAAGAGTAGGGGCTAGGAAAAGAGTAGTGGCAATGTCATTTGCAAGGCCCAAGAACAAGAGCAATGCTAACATAAATCAAAAACTCAGGGCTTGAACCACGCTTAAGGACACTTTTTTAGCTTGGCCGGGTATAGCTAGAACAAGATTAAAGAGCTGTAAAATGATTTTTAAAAATCTTTGTTTGTTATACTTTATGTTTCTCTTCATTCACAACTCACTGTTTTCTCCCTTTTCTCACTACAAATATTCTTTTTCAGCTCACAAAGTCCTTTCGCTTTTCATTAAAAATTATCAGCCTTAATTAAGGAATTACAAGATGCGCACAATGTATTCGAATAAAATCAGTTGAGTAACTTCATTAGATCCTCGATGAGCACTTTGTTTTTCTTGAATTTGCAATCGAAATGGCCCGAGGTTGAAGCGCGGCCGAATCGCCGAGGAACGGTGGTGAATGTGCCGGAAGTGCCGTTCCATTATCTTATATTGGGAGCTATCAATGACATTGCTAAGAATGACCCGGAACTGGTCGCTTTTGTAAGTTGTTGTAGGGCGGTGTTAGGGTAGAGTTTTGGTTGGGCTTGTTTAGTAGTTAAGGGTAGGGAAGGGAAAGGAAAGGAAAGATAAGGAAAGGTAAGATAAGGCAAGGTAAAGTAACATAAGGTGAGGTAAGGTAAGGCAAGGTAACAGGTAAGTTAAGGTAAGGTAAAAGGTATGTTAAAGTAAGGTAAAGTAAAATAAGGTGAGGTAAGGTAAGGTAAGGGAAGGAGAATAGGGTAGGGTATATTAAGGCCAAGCCAGGAGTAAATTAAGCAAAGAATAGAAAAGTTATGACTATACCTCAAAATTTCAGAACCACTATGACAACCCAGATATACCAAACATAACTTATGCTGAAGTCAAATCACAATGTCAAAAGTTGTCCAGGTTTTTCACACATGAGAAGATGCTACATAAGGGGGAAGTGGCAGCGATCTGCCTTCCAAATTCATATCATTTTGCTGTTTATTTTCTTGGAGTAGCCTCGGTTGGAGGTGTGACTACTGGTTTTAGTCATAAGGCTAAGCCTTGTAAGTTTTAAAAATTAAAGTTTAAATTTTATATATTTTTTGGAACTTTTTCAAGGTTGTCTTTTCAGCTGACTGGGTATACCAACTAAACAACTCAGAATCCAGAGTTTTATTGACCAACAAACACGTTTTTAAAAACTTGCGGAAAGTATTTGGACAACTTCGATATCTAAAGGTAAAATATGGCGTATTACATTTTACTTCACTATTTCTAACGTCTTTTTTACTAGACCTTAAAGGGGCCTACTAGGTGGGCCGAAGCAAACTTGACAGGGACCAGGCTAGGTTTTTTAAACGAAATTTAAATTTTTTTATAAAATATGTTTTAGAACGTAATATTACTGGACGCAGAACCTGATGAAGTTATAACTCAACCACGGTTGAAAATCAAATCTTGGTATGATGTTTTACAAGCACCAGCTGAGTTCAACATATTGTAAGTGAAAAAATAATAGAGTAGCGGAAGGGTAGAGTAGGGTAGAATAGATCAGAGTAAACTAGTGTATGGGTATGATCAAGAATCAAGAAGGGTAGGGTAGGGAAAGGAAGAATAGGTCATGGTAGAGTAGAGTAAGGATATGGTTTGGCTTTCCATATGTCTTATATTAAACTTTTTCTATAGTTTTACCGTAGCTCTATTTTAGTCTTCCCTGAGATGTTAACTAACACAGCCTTGTCTTAGGGTTTGCCTAGCTTGAAGTTAGCTTTTTTAATGTTATCCTAGCTTTATTCTAACCTTGCTCTAGCCCACGTTACACTACTATACGTTTTCTTATATCAAACTCCAAAACAAGACTGATAACTTTCAGAAAAGTAAAAATAGATCCAAAAGAAGACCTACTAGTTCTGCCATATTCAAGTGGAACAACTGGGAGACCGAAAGGGGTGATGATTACTCACTACAACTATGTGGCACAAGTTATATCTTACAAGGTGTAAGTTGTAATAGTTTGTTTGTGATTTTCGGTTTATAACTGTTTTACTTGCAATAGGTTATGATATAGTTATGTGATGGTTAATAATTTGATATTCTTTTTTAAACATCATGTTTTTCAGATTCACCGAGACTCAAATATCAGTGCATTTAAAGAATTTTGGGTTGGATTTTAATGCGCCAACGTTTTCCTTACTGTTCAGTCCGTTTTATCATGCCATGGGCTTCTTTTTACTGTGTGCTCACTTATATCGAGGACATACTATGATCATCTTTGCTAATTTAAAAATGGAACGGTTTTTACAGGCTATCACGGAGTTCAAAGTAAGAATATAACTTTTGTTGATTTTGTAAGGTAAGGTGCGGGCATGGTGGATGGTTTTGGAGGGAGGATAAACTAGAAGGTAAGGAAAACAGGCAAGAAAAGTAAAGGAGGATGGGTAAGATTATTTTAAAGTAAAAAACGATGGACAGGGCCGGGCGCTGGGGGGGGTGATCGAGGGGGAATCTTCTCCCCCTCCCCTTTTTTTGACTCCCGCCCCCAGACCAAAAGTCCCCGCCCGGCACTAGGCATGGGAGTTTTGTAGAAAGCTGGACGTTTAGGGTTGGGTAAGATAGAGTAGAATGAGGGAAGGTTAGGTAAGATTAGGGCTTGAAAAAAACAGGAAGGGGCAAAGCAGGGTGAGGTAGCGTAGGATAAGGTAGGGTAAGGTAAAGTAGGGTAGGGTAGGGTAGGGTAGGGTAAGGTAGGGTAGGGTAGGGTAGGGTAGGGTAGGGTAGGGTAGGGTAGGGTAGGGTAGGGTAGGGTAGGGTAGGGTAGGGTACGGTAGGGTAGGGTAGGAGAGGGTGGGGTAGGATAGGGTAGGGTGTGGCCTTTCATACTAGGCTATGCTAACATTTGGCTTATATTTTTATTTTTTAGCCCAGAATAGTCTCTATGGTGCCCTCAATGTTTTCCTTCTTTATAAAATCACCACTACTCGACAAGTACGATGTGAGTAGTATATTGAACTTTGGTTGTGGAGGATCAGCGTTGACGGCCGAGCTGAGTGAAGCTTTCTATCGAAAATTTCCGAATTGTAAAATCATAAATCAAGCTTATGGGTTGACGGAAATGACATGTGCCATAGCTTCGAGTCCTTTCAATGCAAAGGTTGGCAGTGCTGGAATTATACTGCCTAATATTAGTTATAGGGTGGGTTTTTGAAATCGGTTTTTTTTTATTTTTTAAGTTATTGTTAGGTTTTTCACATAATTCTGTGCCTCTTCTTAAATTTAATATTGTAGGATTAGGGGCTAAAAATTTTTTGAACAACCTAAAATTTGTCATTTAAAAAAATTTTGTTTTTTTCGAATAATTTTTGAAATTTTATGTTTTTTAAAAACGTTTCGAAATTAAAAAAATTTATATTTCAGATAGTCCACCCAAAAACAAAAAAAGAGTGTGGGCATCAAGAACCAGGTGAATTGTGGTGTAGAGGACCAACAATGATGAAAGGTTATTGGAAGAACACTAGAGATACCAAGGCTACTATTACCAAGGATGGCTGGCTTAAAACAGGTATTTTTTAGCCCAGAGCCCTATTTCAGAGCCCTAGCCCACAGCCCTAGCCCAGAGCCCTGGCCGACAGCCCTAGCCCAGAGCCTTAGCCCAGAGTTCTAGCCCCGAGCCCTAGCCCAGAGCCCCAGCCCAGAGCCCTAGCCCAGAGCCCTAGCCCAGAGTCTTAGTCCAGAGCCCTAGCTCAGATCCCTAGCCCTAGCTCTGGTATTAGTCCTAGCTTTAGCCGTGATTTTAGTTTTAGTCCTAGCCCCAGCCATATCCCGAAGCCCTAGCCTTGCTTTTAGCCTTAGCCGTGATGCTAGGTCTTGACTAGTTTTGCTCTAAATTAGCACTGCCTTAGTTTTGGGCTCATTTTTAGACTTTGCCTTAGCTTTGTATCAGCCTTATCCTTATATCTAGCAAAGTTTACTAAAGCAATACCCTTAGCCTAATCCTAACTGAATTTCACTCTGCTACAACTTCCAGGCGACCTAGTAGCCGAAGCCGAGGACGGTCAACTCTTCATCGTCGGCCGCCTAAAAGAGCTTATAAAAGTAAACGCATTTCAAGTGGCACCAGCTGAGTTAGAAGATCTTATTCATCAACACCCACTGGTCGAAGATGTAGCTGTAATAGGAGTACCAGACCCAGTATTGGGGGAGAAACCTCGTGCTTATATAATACGAAAAAGTGAAAAACTGAAGCCACAAGAAGTGTTCGACTATGTAGCTGAAAGAGTAACGCCTTATAAGAAACTGGTTGGTGGTGTTGAGTTCGTAGAGAAGATACCTCGAAATGAAAGTGGCAAGATCATGAGGAGAATGTTTTTGGCTAGTTACATGGTCAATCATAAGCCTAAATTGTAAATTTTTGGTGAATAAAAATGTTCATATTGATTTGAAAAATCTATTGGTTTAAGCAGCTCTAGTCTGAAGCTAAGTCTTGCTTTACAATTAGCCCAGCCCTGCTTTGCCCTAGCTTATTATCTAAGGCGTTTGCCGTTGCATTACCTTTAGCCTTGGCCTTGGGCTTAGCTCTAGTCTTAGCCTTAGACTAGCCTTGCTCTAAACTAGCCTTTTCTCAGTTATAGGCTTAGTCCTAGCTAGCTCTGGCTTTAGTTCTAGGATTACTTTCCCCTTTTGCCCTAGACTTAGCTCTGTACTGGCTTTGCTCTAAACTAGCAATTTTATAGTCTTAGGGTTGGTCTAGCTATAGCCTTGCTCTAGTCATAACGCTGCTTTAGTCGTAGCGTTAACTCTAGCTCTAGCCTTACTTTAGCCGTGGAGATAACTAGACCTAGGCTTAGTCTTAGCTCTAGCCTTGCTTTAGCTCTAGCTCTGGCCTTATTTATAGTGTTAGGATTAGAGCTAGTCCTGGCTTTAGCCTTATCTTTAGTCTTAGATCTAGATCTAGCTCTAGCTTAAGTATTACCTTTACCTTCATCTTTAGCCATAGCCTTGCTCTAAAATAGCTTTGTTCTATGTTAGGCTTAGTTCTAGCTCTAACCATGCTCCAGCTTTACTTTTAGTTTTACCTCCATATCTAGCCTTAGCGTTAACTCTAACTCTAGCACAAGCTAAAGACCTTAAGTTTGCTTTAGCTTTAGGTTTGAAATACTCTAAGGCTAGCTTTACCTAATTATATTTTAGTTCTAACTGTTACCTACAAAAACTTTATTGAAATCTCTAAACAATGACATTTACACAAATTTTAAACTCTCAAACTCCCCAAAACAAAACCGGTTTCACGAAACCCAACGTAGCATAAACCGAGTTGGTTTCCGTGGTAACCACCGTTCTCACGTCGTACCTTCATTCCCCTCACTTCTGACGGCTTTTTTTTGGGAAAGCCGGCCGAACCCCCCCTAAAACAAGCGGCTTCCCTTCTTTCGTTGCGCCCATATCCAATATTCCAAAAAGGGGAGAAAAGAAGGTCTTGGCCTGAATAAGAATAATGAATGAGGATTATTATTTTCGATTAGTCGCTTCTTTTCATGGCCATAAACTGGTTCGGCTTCGATGGGTTTTTGGGGAGAAATGGGTTGTTTTTTGTAATTTTTGAGGAGTTTTAAAGGATTGGGTAGTGAAAGTAAGGTAATTTTGAAAAATATAGTTAGGTATTAGTATTGAAAATCTAATTTTCGAGTTTTTTAAATTTTTAAATTAGGTAACCATTTTAAAAATCTGGTAGGTTAGTGTTTACTTTGTAATAAAGTCTTTGAACAAAGATAATTTGGTTTTAATGTAAAATAAATTTAAGATAGAGTAAAGAAAGTACACATATACAGGGCCGGCTTTTGGTCTGGGGGCGAAGGTCGAAAAAACCAAAATTTTTTTTCTAAAATCTACAGTGGGGATCACGTTTAACTTTTTTCGAAAAGTTTTTTTCTGGGGGGAGGTTTCCTTCCCCCTCTGCACATATACATTTAATGAAAAGGTAGGATAGAGTAAACGTTTTTAAGCTAGGTTGCAGTAAACTTTACTTTAGGTTACAAAATGCTAAGGTAAAGCATGGTAAAGCAATTTTTTGAACAGGCCAGTTTGAGAAAAAATGAAAACGGACTAGTCTTAAACGATGGGCCTAGACTTGAAAAACGGGTTGGGCCCGATTTTCAGGCCCGGAACGATCAAAATTTTGCTCAGATCCGGCCCGACCTAAATTTGGATCGGGCCCGTCTCGGTCTGTTCCTCATGTTTAGTTGGGCACGGTCTTCGAGCAGGCCTTAAAAGTCGGCTCGGCTTGTTTTTTAGGCTTAAGATCAGGACAGGGTAATGTCCTGATCTTAAGGCTTGAGTAGGGTAAGGTAGGGTATGTTTGAATAGGGTAAGGTAGAATAGGGTAGGCTATAGTAGGATAGGGTAAGGTAAGGTAATGTAGGGTAGGGTAGGGTGAGGTAAACTGAAGTAGGGCGAGGTAAGATATAGCAAGTTAAGATTTCTCCGAAAATTTCAAAAAAAATTTAATTGTTTACTTTGTGTCTAAATTCCGTTACACAGGTAAAAGAAGAAGGAAGTCCTGTTTTTGTGACCAAAATATTGTCTTTTCTAGTCCGTTCTTCTTCTGGAATTAGCGGTCACTTGGCAACGATTGTAAACAAGGGAGACAACACCTCGCCAGAAAAAAATTTGCAAAAAAAGTTGAACGTGGTCCCCCTGTGAATTTTTGGAAAAATTTTTTGACCCTCGCCCCCAGACCAAAAGTCCCCGCCCGCACCTGGCTAGAACAAATGCCTTTGTAGTATGGTACTAAAGTTTAAATTAGTACGGTTTTAACATAACAGTATCATTTTGGGCTTTTAGTAACATTTAGTATCAAAAAATATAAAAACAGTAACAATTTGAAATTTAGTACTATTTAGCACCAAAAAATATTATAACAGTACTAATTTAAAGTTTAGTACCATTTAGTAACCAAAAATAAAAAAAAGTATTTATGATGTAATTGAAATTTGGTCGAATTTGAAAGCCAAAACCAGCTGAATATATAAATTTTCGATTAGTTTTGGGAACGAATGAATCTTGCCCTGGCCTTGCCTTGGCCTTGTCCTGGCCTTGGCCTTGCCCTGGCCTTGGCCTTGGCCTTGGCCTTGGCCTCGGCCTTGCCCTGGCCTTGCTCTGGCCTTGCCCTGGCCTTGTTCTGGCCTTGCGTTGCCCTGGTCTTGCTTTGGCCTGGCCTTTCCCTGGCCTTACCTTGCCTTGATTTGCTGCTTGCCTAACATGTTATATCCCTTTTATATTACTCATTAAATTTTTATAGTTTTGTTTTCTCCTTTTTTCATTTTAATCCGTGACGGAATCTCATTGCACATAGTCTGCGAGTATTGGCAGTACAATTTTCTCTGCTGGCCATTCTTTTTAAGCATTCATTTAGAATTTAAAAACACTGCAACGAGCAGTTTTTCGAGATTTATTGAGAAAAAAAGACATTCTGGGCTATTTTTGAGGGATGGACAGCGTTTATGAGGGCATGAGTTTTTGGACGTGGTTTTATTTTTTTTTGAATTTTGTAAACTGAACCTTAATTTAGCAAAAGCTTTTTTTACGAACTAAAAAAAAAGAACTTTCTTTACAAATTAAAAAATGGCAAAACTTTCTTTACAAAACAGGAAAAGGCAAGAACTTTCTTTACAAAACGTAAAATGGCAAGAACTTTTTTTACAAAACAAAAAATGACGAGAACTTTCTTTACAAAACGTAAAATGGCAAGAACTTTCTTTGCAAAACAAGAAATGGCAAGAACTTTCTTTACAAAACGCGTTTTTCATTTTTTTTTAATTTTAAACTTTTAATGTAAATCTTAAAATTTTTCAGATATTATCCTTGATGTAAGTAATAAAACAACCTCAATTTTTCAATGTAATCGCAGACCTGATTCTACTTTGTAATCGAAAATACATATGAAGTAAATAATTGCCAATAACAATAATGGGGACTGGATATTCGACGCTACCGACCAATGATGACAATGACATGTTCGTGGCCGCGGCTTGCAAAGATCTTGGGTAAGTGGTAAATTAGTTTTTGAAGGTTTAGAGGTAAAATACGACGTTCCTGATAAACGTTTTTAAAAAATAGTTATTTAAAAAGTTTTTTGCCATTTTTAATTATAGGATAGGTAGACCTGAAAAGGGCTTACTAAGTCTATCTCAAACCCTAGCGCTAGTTATAGTCTTAGCGCTAGCTCTAGCTTTAGGTTTATTTCTAGCTCTAGCTCAAACTCAAACTCTATCTTTAGTTTTAACTTTAGCTTTAGCTCTAGCGCTAGCTCTAACTCTAACTCTAGCTCTAGCTCTAGCTCTAGCTCTAGCTCTAGCTCTAGCCCTAGGTCTAGCTTTAGTTCTAGTTCTAGCTCTAACCCTAAAAATTATATTTTGAGGGTTTTTATTCATGTATAATATTTTTTTAGCACGAAGCACTGTACGACTCAAATATTTCGAAAAGAACCTCAAATTAGGCCGACATTACACAGAGAGTCGATCAACACATTAGCGACAGTCAGGCCTGGAATTGTCATTAGTGGAAGCTCGGATAGGGTACGTTTTTATTCTTTTTAATTACAAAAAATTTCAAAAAATTTTTAAAATTTTTAATTTTTTCGACAATAACTTCCTTTACGAAGCTAAAGGAACGGAATTTTTAAAATTCCAAATTTCAGAATGTAATAGTGCATAATATGGACACAGGTGAATGTGTTAATAAATGGAGTGGTCACGAGAAAGAAGTGACTAAAGTTGTATATAAACATGTTGGTGGTAAACACTACGTACTCTCAGGTTCTCGCGACACGAATATCAAGCTATGGCGGTTTAATAACCCCAAGGCGGTGATGACATATCATGGACATGAAATGAGTTTAAGTGGACTGGCTATCATTGATGGTAAGTTGTTTCTTTTTCCCTAGCCCTAGCTTAGAGACCCATCTAAGAACCTTAGACTAGAGCTCTAGCCCAGATCCCTAACCCGGAGCCCTAGCCCAGAGCCCACAGCCCAGAACCCTAGGCCATACACATGTTCATCTCCCACACCTTCAGATCTCTGTTTCGTATCCGGTGGTCGTGACAGTACTGTACGACTTTGGGATTTTGAAACAAATCAACCAGTTCGTACTCAAAAGATCAACCGTAACATGGTAACCCATATTGACAAAGTACCTCAACAAAATCTGTTCATACAAACCTCCGAAGATCGTACGTTACGACTCTGGGATGTACGAACAATGTCAGTCGTTTTTCAAAGTCAACCACGGAATCAGATTCTGACTCATTGTGACAGTTCGGCCAACTCAAATTTGTGTTTGACAGCTAATGGAGGGTCAGTCAATGAGGGGTGTGAGGTTACTGTAAGTTTTTTAACTTTTATTTTTTAATATATAGACACTTGGGTACTAGTCAGTACCATTATCAACTTAAAAAAGTTTTGTCGTTTTTGAACGTGCGAGTCCATGGGCTTTGGCGACAAGACTTTTTTACAGCTATGTATAAGTCTTTAACTACATAAACTTTATATATATATATCTATATGTTAATGTAGTAATACATTGTTTTAGTTATGGGACCTCCGAGCTCAAGACGTAGTAAAAGAGTTCAGAGGACATGAGAACACAGTAAAGTCAGCCATCTTCATGCCACAACAAGTAACGTGGAAGAAGCTAGTAATAAGTGCGTCAAGTGATCACACAGTTCGAGTTTGGAATTTGGACGATGGAAGTAAGTATTATAGTTTTGGTAAAATACGGTGCATGTAGGTGCGGCGACAAAATAAAAAATATTGATAAGGAGAGTATTATTTATTTAATGTTAAGTTTATGGTAGACTAACCTAAGGCAAACGATGGCAAGAGCTAAGACATAATTATGGCTATGGGAGAAAGCTAAAGCTAGGACTACGGCTAGATCTAAAGGTAAAGGTAGATATAGTCATGGGTATGAGTATACTAAAGGTAGATATAACCATGGGCAGGGACGTCGTTTGGCGGGAGGGGGAGTGGTTCGGGGTGACATCACTTATGCGTATACGTGGAAGAACATAAAGAAAGGGTAGCTGAAGGATAAAGTTATGAAAAGCCTTGAGCTATATTTTGTGATAGGGCTGGTGCAAGGCTAAGGCTAGAGCTTGCTATGGCTATAGCTAAAGTTAAGACAAAGAGGACAAAAGCTAGAGCTGGGACTATTTACAAAATCTTTTAAAAAATTTTTGAAATGTGTTATTATAGGTATGTTATGGAAAGAAACAATACCAACAAACGTGGAACTTCATGCTTGTGTTGGATTTGCGGATGGAAAGTAAGCTTTTATTTAAAGCCGAAAAGCCAATTTAAAATTTTTGCACTTTTAGTGTGGTGGTAGCCGGTGACGAAGCGATGTTATGTGGAATGAGATTGTACGGTAAAGCTGGTCGACCGTTCTTATTTTGCAACTCAATTCAATCCAACTTCCATCATCCGACTATGATGCCTGGGGCTACTAGTAGTCATAGCATAGGATAAATTATTATGTTTTGTACCATATTGTTACCTAAAAAACTTTTTTTTTCTGTTTTTAAGATAATTGGTTGATCAGTTTGATGATTATCAACGATTTTGTGCTCAAAATAAAAATTTAAAGAGTTAAAAAAGTCTTGTCGTTAATTTCTGTAGGTCTGAACGTTAAAAAACGACAAGACTTTTTTGAACACTTAAATATCATTGAAATTTTTGAAAATATTATATTATGATATTTATCATGCAGATATTGTATATAATAAAGGTAATGAATAAGTTTAAATCACAAACTGTTTGAATAAGTGAAGTAGAAATGGCATTAAAAGAAAAGTAGAAAGATTTTTGATATTTTGGACGAGGCAGTTAAGGTAGGGAAAACTGAATGTAATGTGATGTATCAAAAGTAGGGTAGAGCGAATTATTGAGCGCAAGCAAAGTCGGGTAAAACTTTTCTTTGGGTTTAAAGTACACTTTGAAATTTCAAAACAATGCATTTTGTTATTAGTTTTAGTACAAAAACATGTGTCGAGGAACTTGATGACCAAAAACAGTATTTGATTAGCTGTTCGAAGAGATTGACCAAATATAACGTAAAATGGAGTGACCATATAAAAGCGAACAGACACACATCAATAGCAATATTCTTGTCCATTTCATTGTTTTTTGTAATTTTGTAATTTGTTTAAAAGTTTAAAATTTTTTACTTTGACAATAGTAAATACCAAGCTTAAGTGAAAGGCAGCATTTTTGGAATAAGGTAAAGTAAAGTAGTAAAAAATAAAAAAAAATAGTGTAAGGTGAAGTCACACACAGTAGAGCAGGCCACAGTAGAGCAAGATGGAGTAATAGGGTAGGGTGGGGTAGGGTAGGGTAGGGTAGGATAGGGTAGGGTAGGATAGGGTAGGATAGGGTAGGGTAGGGTAGGGTAGGGTAGGGTAGGGTAGGGTAGGGTAGGGTAGGGTAGGGTAGGGTAGGATACGGTAAGACTGCTCCTTTGCGTAATCCTTTCTCTAATTAAACTTCAAAACCACTTTCATACGTTTGATCGTTGTAATACGAACGTTCATGTAATGTAGCAAGTGGATTTTCAGCCGTTTTGAGGTTATAATTTTTTGCGGCGAAATCCGCCAAAAAATCGCTTTTTAAATAATTGATGCAAAATACATTCGGAAACGAAAGAAAAACGGATTTTAATGGCATTTTCGAATTTCTCGCGTTTTTGTAATTTTTTAAAGACTTTTTCCAGTGTTTCACTTTTGTTTACAAGGTGGAATTTTAGTGTAAAATTAGTTTTTTTAAAAACCTTAAAGATTAAAACTTTTTTTAAGTAGGTTAACGTACCTTTATGGTAGGTCTACCGCAGAAGCTATGGTAGAGGTCAGGACTCGGCGGGCACTTTTAGTCTATGGACGAGGGTCGGAAGAGACTATGAAAAAGCTACAAATATATAACAGATATGAAAAGAGCTATAAGAGAAAATATTATAGAGGCTACGGTCGGGGCTAGCGCTAGGAACAAGGTATAGCTATGGTAGAGCTACGGTAGAGATAAAGTAAAGATATGGTTGATTTTATGATAGAACAAGGCTGAAAACTGATTAGGACATAGTAATCGCTGTTGCTAAGAATAAGCTTAAATTAGAGCGGGCTAATGCTAAGGCTAGGGCTAGAGCTAGAGCTAGTGTTAGGGCTAGGGCTAAGGCTAGAGCTAGGGTTAGGGCTAGAGCTAAGGCTAGAGCTATGGCTAGAGCTATGGCTATGGCTAGGGGTGAGGCTAAGGCTTTGTTTTTGATCTTCCAATGATCATTACTTCATAATGCATTGCATATCGCGTAAGCTCCAATATAAAATGACATAATTTTGCGTCAATTATTACGTCTCCGTCCATTGTATTTGAATAATAATAAAAGTTTATGAGGTTTAGCTGGGGATATTCTACATGACCGACTTCTAGAATTAAGGTTTTGTTGAGCTTACAAAACGTATTTTATAAATTTTGTCATTTTTTATGTTTTGATAGTAAATTTTGATACAGATTTTAATAAAAAATAGCAAAAAATTATTTTTCAAATTTTAAAATTTTAATTTTTTCAGATTTTTATGACTTTCTAAAAGCACCAAGCAATGTTTGTTTATACTTCATTTCATATATTATTGTACATTTTGGCAGTGAATGGCGTTCCTAGTTATATGTTTGGTAAGTTCTATAAGATGAATGATATAAAGTGGCATAAAAAAGTTTTGTCGTAAATTCAATATGATTTTCATTTGAAAAAACGACATAACTTTTGTGCTAGTTTTAAACTAAGTTTTATAGAAGAAATACATTGTCATAAGATTGTTCAATTAGTGTTACACCCACGGAGGCGGGGACTTTTGGTCCTCCCCCCCCCCTTGCGCCCGGCCCCGGTTATACCCGCCTTAATTGTAACCCTATACCTAGCTTCTTTATCATTGTTTTAAGTTTATCGTTACAGATGCCTTCAAAAAAGCGGATCAAGACGTGTCAGTCATCTACAATTTTACAGAACCTAGACTTTTTAATCAGTTCGGTAAGTCATTTTTGCTTACAATTTTAGCCTTCGTATTTTACATAATATTGAACTAAAACTAAAAAAATTGGTTTAACTTTATTTTAGAAAACGCTCCATCAACATTGTCACACGCTAAGAATCAGTGGATGCAATACACCTATTCAACTTCAGAAGCCAAGAAGCGAGCTTACCTCGGCTATGTCATGCTGAAAACTGCTCAGGTCATGAAGACGTAAGAATACCCTACCCTACCCTATCCTACCTACCCCACCTTACCCAAGCCTATGTAAATTGTGAATAAAAGCCTCATTTTAGTCCAATAACCAATCTAAAACACATCAGAGGTGATGAAATGGTAGAAGCCGCTAGCTGCGAACAAACCAAAGGACCTTGTGTCAATTTTAATTACCGTACTTACGATGGTAGCTGTAACAATATCAAACATCCAGATCAAGCTGCTACTTATACTGCCTTTCAACGCGAACTAGATGCTGACTATTCTGATGGTAATTTTATATATCTTATTTTTCGTATTTTACGAATGTTTTTTAAAATTTTTAAAATTCAAAATTCCAAAAAATCCAAAAAATTTTTAAAAATGACATTTTAGGTCTAACAGAATTCCGAAAAGCCATCGACGGATCAGATTTACCCAATCCTCGACTATTATCGACCATGTTATTCAACTCTCGACAGAATGACGAGCGAATTCGAGAGTTGAGCGCCATGTTTCCTTATTGGGGAATGTTCGTATACACTGATATGGTACAAATTGGCAGTTATCAGCTTATAAAAGGTAAAATTAAAACGTTTTTTTTTATTTTTTGATACATTCTAAAGGTACTTTTGTTGCACTTTAATTTTTTTTGGTTTAAAAAGTTCGAAAAATACGAAAGCATGTTTTCGTGGTGGGACCTAATTTTTGAAGATTTGTTATTTTTTAATGTAAAACATAGGTTTAAACGGTTTTTTATGTTATAAATTGTTGCCTTTTGTTCCGACATAAAACGTTAAAAAAAATTTTTGTGGTAGGACCCATTTTAACAAAATTTCTTAAATCTATGCTATATATGTAAACAGCTCATCAAAATTAGCCCTACAATACCAATAAAACTATAAAAAAATTTTAAAAAAAGTCATTTTAGACGGTCGCCACGTTCCACTACCGTGCTGTGAAGCGACTCATCCAGAATGCAAAGCCATTAAAATTTTCGCGTCAGACCGTTACTATGGTGGATTTGTTGATTGTATCGACTATGCTAGGACCATGATAGCTCCAAAAGCAAATTGTGCATTTGGAGCTAGAGAACAACAGAATCAAGCTACTGGTTATTTGGATGGCAGTACTATTTATGGTAGTACTGAAGAGAGGGCGAAGAAGTTGAGAGAGCTTAAAAATGGTAAGGATATCAATAGTAGACCTAAGTTTAGAACTAAAGCTAGGATAAAATAAGGTAGGGCTAGGGATTAGGCTATGACAAGGGTAGGGCAAGGCTAGGGCAAGGCTAGAGCAAAGCTAGAGCTAGTGTTTAGGCGGGGGGTCTGGGCTAGGCAGGTCTGGGCTAGGGCAGAACTAAGACAAAGTTAAAATAACGCTAAGGCAAGGCTAGATCAAGGCTGGGACAAGGATAGGACAAAGCTAAGACAAGGCTAGGGCTTACCTGGGCTAGAGGCATGAGCACGAGTGAGGGCTAGGGCAGGACTGAGACAAGACTAGAGCAATGGCAAGGCTAGAGCAAAACTAGTGCATGGCTACTACTCAGGCTAGTCCAAAAAAAAGACATACGTCTACATTATTACCTACAATACTCTAATTTAGGCCTCCTCCGAACCTCCGACAGTGCTCAATACAAATTTCCAATGCCAATATCTACCGGTATATCTGACGACATTAAATGTCCTGGTGGACAATCTGAGTGTTTCGTCAGTGGATCAGAACATGTCAATTTGCTACCACCATTATTAGGGCTACATACTGTTTGGATAAGGCAACATAATCGAATTGCTGGGATTTTGAAAGTAAGTTTTTAGGTATTTAACAAGGCATTTTAAAATTTTTTAGCCTAAAAAATGAAAAATTCTCCCCTTTCCAGACCTACAACCTCAAATGGAACGACGAACAACTGTACCAAGAAGCAAGACGAATTGTCATAGCTCAAATACAACACATTACCTACAACGAGTACCTGCCTCTGCTGATTGGCAGAGAAACCTGGCATGCTTATAAGTTGAGCCAATCGAACTTAAAAACAAATTCACAGCCAACGGACCCATACGATATGAATGTAGACGCTTCAGTTGTTAATGGTTTTGCTACTGTTGCTGGGAAGGTAAGACGGTTTTGATATGGGGCACGTTAAGGAAGGTGTAATATATGTATTAGATATTGTAGTAGGACTGTAGAAAAATAATTTCGTTTTAAACGGTTTGTTACCTAAAAATCTGTCTTATTTAGTTCTTCTACACAATGATAGCAGACTCAGTAGCACAAGTTCAACCAGACGGATTTAGAGCTATGGATAGAAGTTTGAGCGATTACATGAACAAAGTCAAAACATTGTTGTTTGGAGAGGATATCGAAGGAATCTTGCGGTAATTTTCATTAAATTTACGCTTCAAAAGGGGTATACTAGTTAAGGATACAGTAGAGTGAGGAATGATGGAGAAAAGTAGGGCCACTGATAGTGTATAAGTAACACAAAGTGGTGCAGGGCAGGCTACCCTGCACCACTCTATCTTTCTTTAACAGTAAAGTACCGTAACAATCAGGTTTTGAAACGAATAAAATTTTTTAAATTTGAATTTTTTTAACAATTTTCATGACACATTTCAGTTACCTAATGCGTGACACCCCGGAAGCCTACGGTCTTCAACTACCCTACGACCTGCGTGGTCGTATGTTCAAAGGCACAACAAACATGGGTCTAGATTTGGCTACAATGTTGATTCAGATGTCTAGAGATCACGGTATTCCAAGTTACACCAAATGGCGTGATCATTGTGGACTTCAAAGTGTGAATTCATTTGAAGAACTCGAGAAAGACATTATCAATCCAGAAATCCTGATACCGGCCATGAAACGAGTCTTCACTAGCGTACATGATGTTGATCTGGTGATATTGGGATTGGCCGAAAAACCTGTTAGAGGAGCGGTTTTGGGGCCGACGTTGGGTTGTATTGTGGGGAAACAGTTCAAAAAGGTAGGTTTTTTTGATTTGTCAGGGTAGGGTAAGGTGGGGTAGGGTAGGTTAGGGTAGGATAATGTAGGGTAGGATAGGTCAGGGTGGGGTAAAGTAGGGCAGGACAAATTACGAGTAAGGGTAGAGTAGAAAAAACTATTGTAACCAATTTTAAAATTTTCAGACAAAGTTTGGAGATCGTTTTTGGTACGAAAACACGATAGCTCCTTGGGGTTTCTCAAAAGCTCAACTCAACGAAATTCGCAAAACGACGTTAGCTCAAGTGATTTGTGAAAACAGTCAGCAACCTCTAATTCAACCTCAACTTTTTAAGTCAGCTGATAAGAAGGAGTAAGTTAAAGCGTCAGGCTTATTTTGAGTATGCAATTTTAATCTAGAAGGGGAGGGGGGAGGAAGCAAAATTTTTTAAAAATATTTTTAAACGTAAAGTAGAACTAAAAAGGTTCACCAGCCTCGGACCGGTTGTTAAAGCAAATTTGAAAAAGGCCATACCGGGTCAAGACATTTGAGCGCCCAAGCGCTCCTGGGGCCTAAAGTCCGAAAAGTCCAGCTTAGGTCCCGAAACAAAAGATTTGGCTAGCGAAAAGTGTAAAACAAATCTGATGTTAATCGGGCCGGGCAAACACAATGGACCCGGTTCAATTAAACCACCCACCCACCCTACCCTAACCATCCAATTAAGACCCCTTTAAAGGTCTAATCAAAGGGGCAGGCCACGTTTAATTTTTTTTCAAAAAAAATTTTTTTGGAGTATGGGGGGAGGGGGGAGTAAAAATAATTTTAAAAAAATTAAGTCTTGTGATTTCAAAAGTAAAAAAAATGTTTTAGTAACTTCCCCTTACTCTGCAACACATCTGATCTAATTCAACAAAGCTTCGAACCCTGGAGAGACAGTGAAGTTGTGGTTCAGATGCCAGTCACAATGGCCACAGTTGAAAAAGCAATCGAGATCGGGTTAAAAGTTGTGAAGGAGAGACGAAAACGAGAGGCTGATAATATCAAAAAATGTAAAATTTACTTTCAGATTTGAATTTTTTAAAATGATGTTTTCAGTACAGTAGAAGAGACTTTAGAACATCATACTCTCATTATAAAGAATACTAAAGGGTTACATATTGTGACATTTTAGACCAAAAACCTTATCAAACTGGAGACCCATTGCTGGCTTATGGCCAAATGATGAGGGCTAAAAAGGAAGCTTTACATACATCTACAGTATCCTCTGTATTACTTGAAGCTACCCGATATTTGATGAATAAGTAAGTTTAGCAACTATACCCTGCCCTATCACACCTTTCCCTACCCTATCTTATCTTACCTTACCGTACCCTACCATAACTTACACTATCCTACCTACCATACTCTACCCCATTTTTACCTTATCTTACCCTACTTTACCTCAACGTAACTTATACTGCCGTACCCTAGACCCTACCGTACCTCTGACTTGGCTTACCTAGTCTACAACAGTAAAAATTAAAAATTTTCAGTGGCTCCCTAACCAGAAGTGGTGTCCTAGGCGGAGTACAACTTGACCCAGAAACTCTACAACGAATCCTTCCAGACTTTGAAGTTTCCGAATTCGTGGGTAATATCGGCCCATTTCTCGGCCAAGATGGATCGATCGACAAGTGTCTACCCAAAGACCTACCATGTGATCATACCTCACCCTACCGCACTTTCAGTGGCTGGTGTAACAACCTTCGCTTTCCGCAGTACGGTAACGCTTTCGGGCCGTTAAGACATATCTTCGCACCCGAATACGACGATGGCATTGATGCCCCCAGGGCACATGCTGTTAGTGGAAGAAAATTACCGCTAGCTAGAGCTATATCAAATGCTATTCATGTGGATTCACCGTTTTCGGATGAAAAATTTACGCATATGGTCATGCAGTTTGGGCAACTACTAGATCATGAGGTCACTCATTCACCGGTTGAGAGGGGTAGGAGCATAATTTAAATTTTTATGCTTCAGTTTTCGTTTTTAAGCTTAATTAAAAAAAATTAAAGTTCATAACCCTTACCACTTCTCCAGGTCCAAACGACGAAATCCTGAACTGCACCAGATGTGATTCTCCCCAAACGTTATCAGTTCATTGTATGCCAATCCATTTGCCCGATGATGACACTTTTCATCAAACATACGATGACAAAGGTGAACGCCGTTGTTTCCCAATGGCCAGAAGTTTGTTGGGACAGTTGAGTTTAGGATACCGGAATCAGCTGAATCAATTGACGAGTTACATCGATGGAAGTGCCATTTATGGATCAACCAAATGTGAAGCGGCCGAATTGAGGCAGTTTGTTGGAGGGCTGATGAACTTCACTCGAATTGGTAGCTTTAATAAGTAAGGTTTTGAGGAAATAGAGGAAAACAATTTTAATAACTCAACGAAGTCCATTGGTTGAGTTGAGCTCTGCGATATTGTTTTAGATCAATTTCTTACTGAATTATCAATTTATGAAAAAGCCCTACAATAAGATCAAAACTAAAGGAACATGTTCGACAACATTATATGATTTAGACTGTGCCTTAAACATTGAAAAGTATTCTACAAACAATAAAGAAGATTCGATTATCATTAACCTATCAATTCTCCACTTTTTTCGCTCCAAAACAAGCCAAAACACTATTCTGACTAAAACATTGGTCTAAAACAATATCGAGGTGCTCACCATTCAAAATATTGCTCAAAAAAGCACGAACCGGTCAAATTCGGTTAAGATAGTCGATGTTTTACCTAAACCAACAAAAATAGTTTAAGAAAAAACACTTACCAATCGACTTCCGATACTGTTTTAGCTGGAATTGAGCTGAATTCATCGCATTGTTATTGAAACAAGGTAAAAGTGTAGATTTTGATAAAACCTGAAAAATGGATTAAATTTTTAATATTTTACAATATATAAACAACAGTTTCCTTTAAAATCGCGAAATAAATCAAGAATATTCGCCTTGAATATTATTCACCGAAAAAATTCGAAAAATATTTTTTTAGCAAAAATTTCGAGGAAATTTGAATGGAAATCTAAATTGAGATTAGTTAAGGGCTAGGAAATGGCTAAAGTAAGGATAGAGAAAAGTAATAATTTGTTTTAAATTAACTCTAACAAAAACTTTCTTTTCAGTGAAGCCCTACCTCAAGGAGACCAAGAACAAGACTGCCGTTCCAAGCCTCGTTTCCCTTGTTTCGTAGCCGGAGACGAGCGGAACAGCCATCAGCCTGGACTAACAACAATGCATACCATATTTCTACGAGAACATAATCGTATAGCACGTGAATTGGCGGATCTGAATCCATTATGGAACGACGAGAGGTTGTATCAGGAGACGCGGAAGATCGTGGCAGCAATGTTTCAACACATTGTTTATGATGAATATCTGCCAAAGCTGTTGGGACGACGTTATATGGAGAAGTATGATTTGTCGACCAAGAAGAATGGGTATTATAGAGAGTACGACGACTCATGTGATGCTAGTATCAGTCATCCGTTCGCTACGGCTGCTTTTCGATTTGGGCATACTTTGATTAGGCGGTGAGTTTGTGTTGTTTTAGTTGGTTTAGTTAGGGAAAAGTGGAATTATGACTCTATTTTTGAAGGTGGATTTTATTTGGGGATGGTAAAATTGTGGCCAACACTTTGGCTGTGGATTTCTTAAGTTAAGTCACTAAAAGTCCTTCTAAATCATTGAATTACAGCTACTTTCCTCGCCTAAATCATTTCTACAAAAACGCAACAGAACCAGTAGATTTACAAGAAAGTTTTAACAATGTAGAAGCCATATATGATAAGGATAAGGGTGGTATGGACAGTTTGTTGGTCGGACTATTAGGTACAAGATGTATGGCATTTGATCGACATATCACGGATGCTGTGAGGAATCATCTCTTTCAGCAAAAAGGATGGCCATTCTCTGGCTTTGATCTGATTGCTTTGAATATTATGAGGGCTAGAGATCACGGTGTTCAACCTTACAATCGCTTTAGGTATGGTGCGATAATTGTACCTAAACTTAAAAAAAATTTTAGAGAGTTTTGTGGCCTAAAAAGAGCTCGATCATTCGAGGATCTCTTGGAAAACATGGACGAATCAGCTGTGAATGCTTTGGAATCAGTTTATGAGAGTGTTGATGACATTGACCTATTCCCTGGATTGTTCTCGGAACGACCAATGGGTGGGGCGTTGATGCCACCAACAATGGCATGTATAATTGGAGAACAATTCCAACGATTGAAGAAGTGTGATCGATTTTACTATGAAAATGACATTCCTGAAACCAAGTTTAGTCAAGGTAAACAAAATTCGATTTTTGATTCCATTTTTTATGTTATGGCTTGAATATTACAGAATATATTACAGTATAGCACCTTTTATTATGATATACTAGGGTAGGCTTTAAGGGTAAGGTAAGGTAAGGTAAAGTAAGGTAAGGCAATATGAAATAAGGTAAGTTAGGGTATGACACGGTAGAGGAGAATAGCTTAGGGTGTGGTAGGTTATAGCATGGTAGTGCCAATTCTGGTAGGTTGGGTAAAGTAGAGTATACCAAAATTAAAAACGTTACAGTACACTATCACCACAATGTAAAACACCTCAAAATCTATATTTCCAGAGCAACTCCAAGAGATACGAAACGTCAAGCTAGCCACAATACTATGCGAAAACAGTAAAATGCTCTCCAGAATCCAACCAGACGTGTTCAGTATACCAAACAGCCTCAGTAACGCCCAAATACCATGTGAAAACTTTCCCAAACTCAACTTGAAACCATGGCAAGATACGACCGGATGTCGTATAGGTAACAGTGACGTACCCCGAGGTACGAGTAAACAAAGGTCACCTTGTGTGAATTGTATGTGCACGGCGAATGGACCAGAATGCAGATCGGTTAGAGTAAAGGATTGTAAAACGCTACTACGAGGCCATTTACTGGCTGATATCAAGTCTGATGTATCGTGCGTTGTACAGTGCGCGCCTATGTTAAGGAAGTTGTAAATGCTAAAGAAACGGTTTTATAAATGTCTTCAACCTGTTGGAAACCCAGTTCATTCAGTTTCATAATTTTCATGTGATTTTATAAGGCCTCAGATTTAGTCAGCGTGATATGAAGCTTGGCCTTCAATGTATACATATTATGTCGTACTTTTCATTGTATAGTTTATACTACGGTATTGTACAAGCCTTGATTATTAATTTGATACAGTTCATCACAGTTATTGTACAAAATTGCATTTTTTGAGTAATAAATATTTGATAATACTACATGTATTGATAACAAATAGACCTTGCCCAAGTATAAGGTGCGCCAAAAGTTCTGTTACACGGATTTTTAGTCAAATATTTATTTTAACTACAAACATAACTAAAACAACTACTAACAATAGTAACATATAGTACTGTAAACCTCCGTCAGGAATTTATTAACTGTTTTTTTAAGCATTAATAGCGAACTAATACAAATACAATTCTAAAACAAAGAATGACAAAACTAATATTGGAAAGCGTTGCGCCAGGGCACAATTCGTTCGTAGCTACCACTTGGTACTTCTTCTGGTTTGTTATACCAGTTGAACCAATCAGTTGAGGCGGGAAGATAATGCCCTTTATGTGGACTAAAAAATATAAATTGCTAGAAAAGATTATTCAGCAGTTTTCACGGTAACTTTTTATGTTCTGTTATCTGATTTATGTCACTTATCAAAGAACCCTCCCCTCTCCCTCCCAGAAAAAAATTTTTGAATAAAGTTGAACATGGTCCTCCTTGTGGATTTTTAGATAAAAATTTTCACAAAAAAGCATTTTTTACCCCCGCTCCCAGACCAGAAGTCCTCGCCCGGCCCTGATGTTTATCACTTTGACTGCGTCTAATAATAATAAAAATTTTTGTTAATGAAAAATTGTAAAGTCTTACGTTGTGTTATATACACTATATAATACTTTGTATAAAGTTGCACGCCATGCAGTGTGTAGATAGTGCAGCGGTTCGTACCCACATCCTGTATTTTGTTCACTTTCATGTATTTGTTCATTGTATTTTAGCATTGCCGATATTTGTTGTTTAAATTCCAGCGGCCGCAGGAATAAACTTGCCATTTCCACAGAAGCGGGTGACTTTTTTAAATACTGATTGTAGCGTCTGACAATTTGATTAAACATGTGACTGAACCTGATCAAACCCTGTAGTCTGAAGGTATGATGTACAAAACTGACAATGTTTACCTTGTCCACAAAGAAACTTCTCTAAAATTCCAAAAAAGTTAATTTCTTATGATTTTAACTATCTCTCCGTAATCAATAATACAGAACCGGTATACATGGCTCCCGCCCCAAAAAAAACATTTTTGAAAAAAATTGAACGTAGTCCCCCAGTGGAAATTTTAAAAAAAATTTTAAAAAGTCGTCATTTGTGCTGGCTTTTTTGACCCCCGCCTCTAGACTAAAAGTCCCCGCCCGACCCTGCCGATATAAGCCTCGTAGAAAATTAGAAAACTTTATTACCTTATCTAAATTGTCGTATTCGGCCGTCAAACTGTCAATGTAATCAGAGATTCCTTGTACGGTTGGATGCCGGCTGAAAATGTAATTATAAATCAGTCAAGGTAGATCTAAAGGCAGTGCTTTGCCCGAACCAGTCCGGAGCGTTTTTCACCGGTCCAGAACATCAATTTTTGGGTTTGGTCTAGGGCTAGACTTTTACCGGTAAATTGATTTTTCGGTAAAAAAAGCTGGTAAAATTACCGGTAAATGTCCAACCCTAGTTTGGTTCGGTCTAAACTTCTAATTTTTGGGTCCATCCCGGTCTAACAAGGAAAGTGCCCAACCTGCGCCGCTCAGAATCAGCTCAAAATTTTTATATGAATTCCTTGTGCTACCAATAGTACCCTAAAAAATTCAGCTCGCGCTTTTGAGTTTTAAATTTAAAAAATTTTGTTTTCCCGCCATTTTGGCAAACTTGGCATTGTGTTTCAAGCTCTTTTTTGACTTTCTAAACAAGCTACGCTTATAAATTAAAAAATGTGAGTTAATTTTAGGGTATTCTACTAGTATATCAAGGAAAAATAGTTAAAAGTCAAAAAATGAGAAAATTATAAGCTTGAAACACAATGCCAATTTGGCGGGAAATTCAAGATGTAATTTTTTAGATCTTATATTTACATGTTTTTCCTATATAAAAATTTTCAAGTCTATCAGAGCGGGGCAGGAGCGGTAGGGGTACGTAGGGTTTTTTTTGTAAAAAAACTTACTAACAACAATGTTTTAAAAAATTTTCAGTTATTTTTTCGCAATACATTAAAGCCTTGCTTTGGTTTGTCATTCGAACCGGTTGGCCAGTCCGTAGCAAGTCAGCCAACGCTTTGTCTTCCTCTTCCAGCAAATCAGCTAAATCATATGCCAAAACAAAACTCGGCAGTTCTTTATGTTCTCTGTCGTTAACGTTGGCGGGTATCTGCGGAATGGTTCCTGTAGCTACAATAGATACAACAACTTGAGCTTGCGTTTTGCTACCTATGGATATAGCCTTGCAAATATTGTCTGTCGTGACGATAACTTTGTACATTTCTAAAACTTCATCATCGGTCACGCCGCACAATTCTTTAGTAAACAGCAGCACGTTTTGTAGGTTTGTTTCGTGTGGGAAAACAACATCATGAATAATTTCTAGTTTTTCGTTCAACACAATCAGAAAACTGGTCGATAAAAGCTGCAATATACAATATTAAAATTGTCCTAAGTTTTTAAAAGGGAGAGGGAGTTGGTGAAAATAGGGGTGAAAAACGAGCGGGGTCTACTTTTGAGGTTTGACCCGTTTTCATTTCTTAACGCAGGCTAGCTCGGTCAGAATATTTAAGTTTTTTTGATTTTCAGGCCCGGCCTGACTTATTTTTCTTACGTTACTTAGAACAACATCTTTGTCTTCTTTTGGTTCGTCGCAGATTCCAGCACGGTACACAAATGAAATATTTGAATTTTCTACTACTTGATCGTACTGTTGACCCTGTTGCAACAAACGATTTTCTGCATATGGTAGAGGCCCACGAGCAAAAACTTCTTGATCTTTTTCGATTTTGATGAATTTGGCGTTCTTAATGGTAAAACTCATGGTTTGCTTACGCTTTTATCTTTTCTGAAGTTTGATAATTACGATTTTAACATTAAAAAAACGCATTTGGGTTACAGGGGAGTTGCACCATATATCACTTAACTTTTGTAAGTTTATCTCGACTGAAACAGCATAAAATGTTGCCGGGAAAAACAGTTTTAAAAATTGTAAAAAAAAAGTCAAACATAAACAATAAAAATTTTTTTATTTAATGCCAAAAGTACAAAGCATTGTTAAAAACGTATTAAAATTTTAAAGACAAGCTTAAAAACCTACTGAAAATTTAAAGACAAGCTGTAAAGCGATCGGCTAACATATAAAAGAACTGAAACGTAAAGTTTAACGTCGTTTATTATAATAGATGCGCTAAGGAAGCGTCTTTTTTGGCGTTGGCGTGGTATTCGTAACAAATAATTTAAATCCCGCCAATGTGGGAAAGTTGGCATTGAGTTGCAAGCAACTTTTAGACGTTTTACAAAACAGCCTTACAAGGAAAGTACCCTACCTGCCCCGCTCAGAATCAGCTCAAAATTTAATACGAATTCCTTGTACTACCAATAGTAAATATAAAAAATTTTAGCTCGTTTGTTTGAGTTTTATTCGTAATAAAAAATTAAAATCCCGCCAATTTGGCATTGAGTTGAAAGCAATTTTTTTAGCATTGGGTTGCAAACAATTTCTTTGGCATTCAGTTGCAAGCAACTTTTAAACGTTTTGCGTAAGTTGTTTTTAGATTTTTTACAAAACAGCCTTAGTCTTATCAGAAAAGCCCCCGAGTGCCCAGCTCTGATTGACTTTTAACTTTTCATATAGAAAGATCATGTATTATAAATATAACATCTTCGGCAAAGTACTACATCGCGCTTTCCAAGAAATCTCGAACAAATCGAAATTAAAAAATGACATTTTCAATTTTCCGCCAAGTTGGCGTTGTGTTTCAAGCTTGTCACTTTGTCATTTTTTGACTTTTAATAATTTTTCTTTGATATACCAGTAGAAAACCTTTAAATAAACAAACCTACATTTTTAAGTTTAAAGCGTATCTTGTGTGGACAGCCGGAAAAAGTGCTTGAAACACAATGCCAAATTTGCCATATTGGCGGGAAACACAAATAATTTAAATTTAAAACTCCAAAGCGCGAGCAACAATTTTTTATGGGTACTGTTGGTGGAACAAAGAATTCATATAAATATTTTGAGCTGATTCTGAACGGGGCAGGATACTTTCCTTGTTAGCTTCAGCAATTACCTCTGATAATGGGAAAATACTGTAAATATGTCTTTTGGTTTTCGAACCTGTAAGTTGTTTTTTATGTAGTGGATTACACAGTAGGTTATTTAAATGCAACGCTAATTATTGACGTTTTTCCTCGAATGTTGTTTATGGCAGTACGGAGGAAATGGGTGTTAGTAGTAAATGTGTTTTTCTTTTACTTGTATTGGTAGATGAGGGTCGAGTGATTAGTTGAAAACCGAGAGGGAAAAATAAGAAAAATTTCAAAAACTTTTGGTTGAATTAGAGCTAGTAAAATGGAACTAAAGCTAAGACTAAGGCTAGGACTACGGCTACGGGCTAGCACTAAGCACTAGAGCTAGGGTTCTGGGCTAGGGTTCTGAGCTGGGGCTCTGAACTAGGGCTCTGGGCTAGGGCTCTCGGCTAGGGTTCCGGGCTGGGGCTCTGAACTAGGGCTCTGGGCTAGGGCTCTGGGCTAGGGTTCTGAGCTAGGGCTCTGGGCTAGGGCTCTGGGCTAGGGCTCTGAGCTAGGGCTCTGGGCTAGGGCTCTGGGCTATGGCTCTGGTCTGGGGCTTTGAACTATGGCTCTGGTCTGGGGCTTTGGGCTAGGGCTCTGGGCTAGGGCTCTGGGCTAGGGCTCTCGGCTAGGGTTCTGGGCTGAGGCTCTGAACTAGGGCTCTGAGCTAGGGCTCTGGGCTAGGGCTCTGGGCTAGGGCTCTGGGCTATGGCTCTGGGCTATGGCTCTGGTCTGGGGCTTTCGGCGAGGGCTCTGGGCTAGGGCTCTGGGCTAGGGCTCTGGGCTAGGGCTCTGGGCTAGGGCTCTGGGCTAGGGCTCTGGGCTAGGGCTCTGGGCTAGGGCTCTGGGCTAGGGCTCTGGGCTAGGGCTCTGGGCTAGGGCTCCGGGCTAGGATTCTTGGCTGGGGCTCTGGGATAGGGCTCTGGGCTAGGATTCTGGGCTGGGGCTCTGAACTAGGGCTCTAGGCTAGGAGCTAGGACATTAAGCTAAGACTACGACTAGTGCTAAGGCTAAGTCTAGAACTAGGGCTAGAAAAAAGCTCTGTTTTTAAGCCCGGTCCAATATAAATTTTTCTCATGCGCGGCCTAGCTCAACTTTTCACGCGCAAACGGGCCGGGCTTTTAAAAATCCCTGTCTGACCCAACTTAAATTTGAGCCAAGGCCAGCTTGTTCCTTATCTCTAATTTGGGCTAGGGCAAGAACTAAGCTTTAGGCTAGATATGGGGCTGAAGCTCACAGTAGCGCGTATCATTACAAAGTTTTTTTTCCAATTATGCACATACCAAACCTTTTTCAACCTACCACCTACAACAATTTATGGGAACGTTTTTCAAGATCGTTCCCATCAAAATAAACAAGTCAAAATAACTACTTAGCTATTTTAATTAAGTTTTTTGAGAAATTCTTGTTTAGCGTCTATAGTCAGCTGATATTCTCATAGTCACAACTAAGTCGGTAATTGGAGAATTTCCAGAAAATAAATTTACCGTTTTCTGAGTTACATTTACATCGTAGAATGTTGAGCTTAAATTGACTGTTTTTGAGTTAAAATTTATATTTTACGGCGTAGATGTTAACATAAATTCTTGCAAATGGTTGTTTATTTCTAAATTTACTGTGGTATTTTGGAATAATTAGTGCCAATTTAGAGATTTTACATCTATATTTATGTCTTTATGATAAAATAGCACAATTGTGTATTATATTGTAAAATGTTTGCTACACTTACAACTTTTCAAAGGCTTTAGTACTATATAGTATTGAAAAAAATGTTTGGTACTATATAGTATCAAAACAAATTTTAGTACTATATAGTACAACAACAATTTTTAAGTATGTACTACGTACTACTTTAAAAAACCTTGTTTCAGATGTGGTTCCAAGCACTTGCAACCTTAATCTTCTTTTTTGCAACATGTTGCTGTATTATGGTGATATATCTGTCATTTGTGTCCTACAGAAGAACTCGCTTAGAGTACACATGGATATTAGGCTTTAATACATTGATCGACTTTGGATATACTATCACATTAGGAATTTTTATGCCTGTAAGTTGAAAAAAGAAAAACAATAGCCTTGTCCTAACCCTATTTCTAGCCCAGAGTCTTAGCTCAAAGCCTAACTCAAAACTTTAATCCAGAGCTCTATCCCAGAGCCCTAGCCCAGAGCTTTAGCCCAGAGTTCTAACTTATAAACTTAGTCCAAAGTTTTAGCCCAAAGCCCCAGCCCAGAACCCCAGCCCAGAGCCCAAGCTTAGAGCCCTAGCTCAGAACCCTAGGTCATCGTCTTAGCCCAGAGCAATAGCTGAGCACCCTAACCTAGTGCTCTAGCCCAAAGCCCGAGCTCGGAGCTCTAGCCCTAGACCTAGTTCAAATCGCAAGATCTAGTTTTAGTTCAAGCCCTTATTCAAGCTCTAACCCTAGTTCAATTCCTAGTCGTAGTTTATGCCCTAGTTCAAGCTTTGAGCTTTATTTCAGATCACTAGCCTGAGGCGTCATTCCAACCCAAACTCAAGGCTTAGCTTTAGTTTAATCTTTAGTTCAAGCCCTACCTTACCTAAAGCCCTAGTCTTAGTTTAAGCTCTAATTCAAGCTCTAGCCTTAGCTCAATCTCTAGCTCTAGCATTAGCCTTTACATTTCTCTATACTTTCAGACCTGTGTCCTGACTCCAACCCATCTCTACCTAACCATGGAAAACGAAAACCTCCAAATGATGACTCCATTTGCGGCCGAAGTTTGTATAATGTTAACAGTATTCTTCCTACTGTATATTCCAGCTACCAACGCAGTGCATTTTTGGTATCGTTACAACGTGCTGTGTAATGACATAACTTGGTCACGGTTTAAATACCTGGGTATTTGTTTGGTATTTGCTTTGTACAAGGTGGTACACATGTTGGTATTCTATTCTTGTAGTATCAGAGAGTCCAAAGAGACGGTTGTGGATATAATGAACTATACAATGACTACCGGGAATGTGAAGAGACATATGGGATATCTTGAGGTAGGTTGGAGTTGGGCGCGTAGAGTTTTTTTGCTTTTGCAGGCGGAGAAAGGCATGTTATACGACGAAAAGTGTTTTAGGTTAAAAAAGGTTTTGCGGTTTGCGGGAGACATGTTATACGATGAAAAGATTATTATGGGCAAAAATTGGCATCTGCAATCAAAATAAGATTTTATTTTGAAGTTACAGTAACCTACCGTAACCATACAAGTTTTTAAAACGAGTTTGAGTTTATAGTTTACAGTAATTTACCGTAATCTCACAGACATTTAACACGAGTTTTAATTTTGAAGTAACAGTAACATACAGTAACTCGACAATTTCTTAGAATGAATTTTACTTTGTTGTATGTCAAGCAAACTGTCAGCTGATGCAACTTATCGAGTACGGTATGATGTGTTACTTTGGCCATAAAATCATCATGTATATGAAGAAGAACACAACCCCAAGCACATACAAAGCTCAGGTGTATGTGGTCAAAGTTATGGTACTGCAAGCCGTGTACCCCCTGATACTGTACTTTATACCGCTATTCGCCCTTATCTTCTCTATCTTCACTGGCAAGTCTTTTGCTACTTTTGGATACGTCTGCTCTATATCTGTACAACTTTTTACATTACTGAGCACGTTGTCTGTACTGTTGTTTATACCAACATATCGAAGAGCTTTGACCGAGAAGAGGAACGATATTCATGACCGTAGAGGAAGTGTGCGAACGCATAGTAATATCACTGTTGGTGGACGGTCTTTTGTTGATATTTCAAGAAACAAAGATTAATAAACTATTATATAGTTTTTTTTTAAATTTTTTGATAAGATTAAAATAAGAATTTAATTTTTGAGTAATATTTCAATGAGCGAGCACCTCGATGTTGTTTTAGACTAATGATAGAGTAGGGGAGATCTCCCCGCCCGTCCGAAAAAAAACCGTGCCGGGATCACTTTTGAAGGTTGGTTTGGGCCCGGATTTCAACGTTTAGGCTTAAGCTGTTTTTATTTTCTATTAGGCTGGCTTGGCCTGGTCAAAGAAGTTTTACGCCAGGCCTGGTCCGGACTGTTTAGAAAGTTTTTAATTTTAAAACGCGATAAGTAATTTTAAAAAATTGACTTTGTATTGGTTTCTTTAGGTAACTAGTAGATTGTGGTACTAAAATAAAAAAATATTTTGGGGTTGGGTTTAGTTTAGCTTAAGACCGGTTAGAGCCTAAATCTACACGGCCTACACGACTCGTTCTTCACACTTGTGTTTGAGTTAGCATTGGACCTAAATCGATGACCACTATGCCCATTGTCAGCAGACGCGAAAATCAAAGCCGGGCTCGTAGTGCAAACCGAAAATTGAGGAGAGATGATACGCAAGAGTTATAACTGTTTTTAGAGTACATTTTAAGGTTTTAAAAAATATTTAAAAACAGATTTTTTATATAAAATTTTTAAAAATTATAATATTATGTGAAAAAATGCATTTTGAAAAGTTTTTTTTTATTTTATAAAAATATTTGTAACGCGGTCGTAAAGCCAAGTTTGATTTGTTGAAAATGGATTGTTACGATGGATTGGGAGTAAGTGTTTTTTTTGTTTTAGTCATTATTCTGGTAGGATAGGATAAGGTAGGGTATCATAAAGTAGGGTAAGGTAGGGTAGGTAGAGTTGGGTAAGGTAATGTAGGGTAAAGTAGGGTAGGGCAAGACAAAGTAAGATAAGGTAGGGAAGGTAGAGTACGGTAGTGTAATGTAGGGTAAAGTAGGGTAGGGTAGAATAGCCCTATGATAAGATAGGGTAGGGGTTTTCCAACTTTTCAAACATTACATATTATATTTCAGTTTCTGGTACCACTGAGCTTCGTGTTCGTACTCTGGGGAGCTTTGTATGTGGCACAGAGTCAGTACGCCTTCGCGGCCAATGGACTGAGCAAGAAGGCGATCGAGGAGCGGATGAAGGTCATTTTAAAGAATGAAATCTGATGTAATTGCAATATGAATAAACTTTTCTACCTTATTTTCTTATATTGTTTTAACGAAATGTCACTAATTTATTGGGTTTTTAATTTATAAGACGAAATGTCAATAAATTTATTAGATTTTTAGTTGCAAAGCTAAATGTCACTAAATCATTCGAAATTAAATTCTAAGACGAAGTGTCACAAAATTTATTGGTTTTTGATTATAAGGAGAAATGTCACAACATTTATTGGATTTTTACTTATGAGACGAAATGTCACTATAATGATTGGGTTTTTACTTATGAGACGAAATGTCATTATATCGATTTGATTTTCACTAATAAGACGAAATGTCACAAAATTAATCGGTTTTTTGATTATTAGGCGAAATGTCACAAAATTTATTGAATTTTTATTTATGAGACGAAATGTCATTATATTGATAAGATTTTTACTCATGAGACGAAGTGTCACAAAGTTTTATTGAAAAAAAGCAAAAATCTGACGGATAATGAAACTTCGAAAAAACTAAAAATCAATTTCTGTTACTTCTCATTTAGTGCTGTTTGTTCGTCTTCCAACCGGTCGAAGGTATTTAAAATGGGCTGTAATTCAAGTTCTTTCAACAAGGCTTTGTCATTTTTTGGGTGTAATACACGTAAAGTAAGTTTAAAAGCTTATCATAATTTTTTATTTTGTAAGAATAGGATAGGGTAAAGTAAGTTATGTAGGTTATGATAAGTTAAAGCCAAAGCAAAGAAAAAAATTGCCAAGTGTTATCTTAAGCATATTTTCAGGAGTACGACTTCTCCCACATTAACATAATAGAGATTATAATTTCTAGCAGCACAACTTATATCACGCTGAATTTCATAGATGATGATGGAAAAAGACCATATATGATCTTAGATCGATATGAAATGATTTTGGCTAAACTTTTACAGTGTTTCGAAAAGAAACGTCATTTTATTGTTTCGCTTGATCTATCTGATGAGTGTTTATGGTCATTGCCCTTGCTTCGCACGGTCGCGAACTTCTTGTTGGGTAAGTAGGCATTTTAGATGTTTACCGTGTAACTGCTGTATAAAGAACTGTTGGTTTATACTCTAACCATTATTTTTAGAACATCTATCGTCAGCATCAGTTTGCGTTAAGCTGCGTCATTCAACCCCAGTAGATGAATATGCGCTATTTATTGACTTCTACAAGAAAGTTCATCCTATTGTTGATGTTTTACAAGTCAGCCACCCAACCATGCTCAGATATCTCATGGATATTGAAATAAAAGTTTTGGTTCTAGAACCGTGCCCAGACGACTGTAAGTTTTTGTTTACAATATATAAGAAAGAGTAGAGTAGAGTAGAGTAGAGTAGAGTAGAGTAGAGTAGAGTAGAGTAGAGTAGAGTAGAGTAGAGTAGAGTAGAGTAGAGTAGAGTAGAGTAGAGTAGAGTAGAGTAGAGTAGAGTAGAGTAGAGTAGAGTAGAGTAGAGTAGAGTAGAGTAGAGTAGAGTAGAGTAGAGTAGAGTAGAGTAGAGTAGAGTAGAGTAGAGTAGAGTAGAGTAGAGTAGAGTAGAGTAAAAGCAAGGCGACACAAGGTAAGGTAAGGTAAGGTAAGGTAAGGTAAGGTAAGGTAAAGTAAGGTAAAGTAGCTTGCTCTACTTTGTTATACCTTATGACTGCTCTATCTTACTTTAATCTATCTTATTGTACGCCATCAAACTTCACAATTATTAATTTCAGGTTGGCTTGCTTTGAAATATCTTCAAGTGTCCGAGGTTCGACTTTTTTATCCGTGGGATTTAGAAAACTATGTTCGAAACGGGATTCGGATGCCAACAGTCGAAACAGTTATATTGTGTTATGAAAAAGAAATGAAAAAAGTAAACATGAAGAAGTTTCACGGGAACTTTGCGAAGGTGTTTCCGACTTTGGAAAGATTTACTATTAAAGCAGATGAACCTCTTGAAAAACCATATAAATAATAAATTTTGTGACATTTCGTTTTTTATTGTTTTTTTTTTCAATTTGACCGTTCTTAAACTTAAAAATTTTGAATTTATTTACAGTTAAATACCTCTATATGACACAAAACCTGCAATCATTTGTAACACTTTCTGAAGCTATGGTTTGAAATGGCATTGTGTTACTAACTCTTCTTGTCGTTTCTTTTCGCATCAATCTCCGTCGATAAGTTGGTATTAGCACTAGTACTGATAAAGTACTCAGAAATGTAAAAGGCTGTACTGAAACAGAACATACTGTTCCAATCAGGTCGAATGGCACATTGTATAACATCATATAGGCTAGTACGAAAATTGGTATAAAGTAGAGAATTAAGGGGTAGAGAGCCTGAAAAAGTTATTTTTAAAAATGTTATAGAATAATCCTTTGCCCAAAGCCCTAGCCTAGAGTGCCAGCCTAGTGCCCGAGTCCATAGCCTCAGCTCAGAGCCCTACTCCAGAGCCCTAGCCCAGAGCCCAGACAGAGCCCTAGCCCGGAGTCTTAGCCTTGATCTAAACTTGTCTTAGCTTAGCTTTTGTTTTGCCCTAGCCTTGCCGTAGCCTTGTTTTAGCCTTGCCTTAACCTTTCTCAAATCCCTAGCTTGTTTTATTATGAATAGCTTTGCCGTGCTTTCCCTTGGCTTTGACTCAATTGCCTTGCCCTGACTTTGTTGTGGCCTTACTTTTAATTTGCTCTAGACCTGTCCTAGTTTTGCCTTACCCTTGCCTTTCTCTGATCTTACTCTAGCTTATTTAGGTAATAAAAAAAATAAAATACTACAGTACCTGTAAAATCATGACTTTGATGACATGAGCTTGAGCTTTATGCGTAGTTACGCTCTTTGTTCGTTTCATTTTTATTATGATCTTTCTCCCATAGTAACACATAATGGCATATTCAACGATGAAAATCATTTGGCCGTTTATTTGACATACTACAAACGTCCATGTGCCCTAAAAGGATTGAACATGTTACTAGAGCTGGAAATGTTGTTTTGAAAAAAAAGTTCAAATGATAAAAAAATTTTTTAAATAATTTAGAAATGCTAAAAATACCATACCTTCTCGATAGCCACGTGAGTTTTAATGTTATTTTTAAAAACCGTATTCTCCACGATATCTCTCACAGTATCCTCTGATTCTGGTATTAGACAAGACCAGAAGAAGCAGCAGTGTAAAGCACAATATAAAGCAAAGTATAAACACTTTTTGCAGTACTCCCAACGAGTCCATAAGCAACTATGACACAATATATTGTATCGATACCAAAAGTGAACTGAACTGACAGCTGGTATAAACAGCACAAAGAATACTGTCATTGTTACATAGATTTTGACCATGAAAGAAGAAAGGTCTTGGAAGTTACTGTTTTCGATTGTAATATAGAGGTTGTTCTTGGTAAATATGGCACTCTAAAAAATTTTTTATTATCCAATAAAGCTAAAAAAGTTAGGTTCAAGATTAGACAAAAGTTAAAACTGAGACTGATTTAGAAATAAAGCTCAGGCTCGCCTCAAGCTCAGGCTCAGGCTCAGGCTCAGGCTCAGGCTCAGGCTCAGGCTCAGGCTCAGGCTCAGGCTTAGGATCAGGCTCATGCTCAGGCTCAGGCTCAGGTTCTGGCTCAAGTTCTGGCTAAGGTTCAGGCTCAGGCTCAGGTTCTGGCTCAGGTTCTGGCTAAGGTTCAGGCTCAGGCTCAGGCTCAGGTTCTGGCTCAGGTTCTGGCTAAGGTTCAGGCTCAGGCTCAACCCAATGATTAAACTCAAGATTAAGTTCAGGCTTAGACTCAAGTTTAAGCTAATGCTAATCTTGGCTAATTTTATGTTTTACCCCAGCTCTGACGAAGCCTTGCTATAGCGATACCTATAGCCTTGCCCTACCCTTAAATAAGCTCATTAAAACCCCAATTTCAGTTCAACTTTAGGTTTAACCAAGCCTTACCATATCCCGCTTCAGTTTAGGTGTAAAGTTTTGAGATAGCCCTAGCTTTATATCAAAAAAAAACAAAAAAAAAGTTTTTCTTACCGGCATGACCATTCCAAAAATAATAGTATACGCAAACTCGATCACAGTATTGAATCCCAATACCCATGTGTATTCTAACTTGGTCTTTTTGTAAGTGACATAAGATATGTATATTACGGTGCTTGAGGTTAGCGTTGTTAGCACCGTGATAACGGAAGATATTAACTCAAACAACATTGTCGATTGATCGATAGCTTAAACGCCTATTTTGAAACCAAAACGTAGTTATTGTTGGTTGATAATAAGGTACAAAGATGATATTTAGTAGAGGGAATGTTAAATTATAACGTCATTTTACTGAAGCTTTTGTTGTTATTTAAGTGATACTATTGTTGTAACGTAGATAGCACTATTGGTATTCTGAATATTTAAAAAGTTAAAAATTATATTAAAATTGGAAGGATAATATCAAAAAATAATGACGCAAAGATGTTCTGCCACTTTTGATGCATAAAAAATTAAAAAAGACGTAGAGCAATATGTCAAAACAAAATGTAATTCCTCAGTCTGATTTTACACAGTCCAACACATAATTAATATTTTTTTGCGAGTCAGATGAGCAAAAAACAATAATTTTAAAGGTGACGCAGCAATAAGTATGCATTATATTACTATAAACAAAAGACAACAATATTGTTAAAACACTCATAAAACAATAATGATTCTGAAGCTTACAGAGTAAAGTAGGAAAAGCTGTTACTTTTTTAGCACGTTGTATGAACAATGTGCCAAAAAGTAATTAAAAACAACATTAACTGTACCTAAAAACAATTTAATTTTGTTTTGTTAGTTACACTTGAGAATATCACAACTTTTTTATTATACATACTCTTAATTGAAGTAACTAACAAAACAACAATATCAAAGAACAGTTTGATAAGTTTCAAGTGTGTTTTTAATTTGAAAAGAATGAGGTCAAAGACAATGCAAAAGACTAAGATTAACGCTAAAACGAAGGTTAAGGCTGGTTTTTTCTTTCTACTGGCTATGAACAAAGGGCCAATCCTAAATATAAAGATTCTGCATTAGAAGCCCGGCCCGTTTGCCCTTAAAACAAATATTTGAGTCAAACCAGGCCTAAACAAAGTTTAAATTGGCTCGAGCTTAACACCCAAGCCCGGCTTGTTTCTCTAATTCCTACTTTGCTCTGATCAAGTCTTACAATGACTAAAACTTGAGGCCTGTCTTATCCTTGATCAAGCCCTACTATAGCCTTAACATAGCTTTACACCAGCTCTTTTCTAGCTTAAATTTAAGCTGTAATACTAACCTTACTACAGCTATCATATAGTTAGTTTTCTTACCCTAAGATGGTCATGTCATAGCTCATAGACCTGCTTTCGAGCCGAGCGACGCTCGAGCAAAATTCAGACAGACCAAGCTGGGCTCATAGTTTTCGGTTTATGGGCCGGACTCAACTTTCAGCTCGGCTTGAAAACCAGGTAGAATAGCCTTGCTTACCTCCTACTCTAGCCTTGACTAAGCTCTACCATAGTTTTATACTAGTTATAATTTAGCTTTGTGTAGAAAAGTTATATTGTATATTTAATCTACTATAGTTTCTTTACTTGACTCTCAAGAATCTTTATTCTAATTATGGTAAGGCCCGTATATGTAGATGTTTTACCAAAAATTAATTAAAATAATTTGTTTTTTGTTGTCCTACTTGTTGGTAGATGGCAATAGAGAAGAACAAATTTACAGTAATGTACATAAAAATATAAAAATAGAAAGTAGATTGACAATGTGTGCCAATTTAAAGCAACTATAAACACGCTTTACAAAGAACGCTTATTATTTACATAACCAAACATCTATTTGTTTATAAATTATTTATAAAAGTTGTTTTAAATTTTCGATTATAGCTACGTTTGTAGGAGCTAAGCTTAGCATTACCCCCAACCGCAGCCCATTCCAGCCTTAGCCTAAGTCATCTTTTACCACAAGTCTAGCTCAAACTCAAGCCCCAACCTCACCATTTATATTAGCTCGACCAGTTCCATCAGATTCATCAGCCTAGCTTGAGTGTTAGTCCTAGCTCTAGTCCATCAGCCTTGAACTTGACTCCAGCTCAAATTCCAGTATCAGTGCCAGCCTCAGCTTTAGATTTAGCTCCGGCCTTAGCCACAGATACAAACAAAATTACAGCTTCAGCCCTAGATCCAGCTACAGCCTAGCTTTATATCATTTTTAGCTTCCGCAGTCTTGCCAGCTTCACCAACCCCACCGGCTTCATCAGCTTAACAACTCAACCAACCCCAGTCTCATCTCCAGCCTTAACCCTTGCTACTGGCTCAGCTCTAGCCTTTAGTCCTAGCCAAGGTTTTAGTTCAAATAAGCCGTTTCAAATTTATTATCAGTAAAAAAATTTTAATCATGTTACTTTTTTATCAAGTTTTTCAAATCTATCAAATCATCAACAATGCTTTCAAATGTCTCCTCGGCTACAATATTCGTCATATTATCAAGCAAATGACTAGTTTGATGAGCTTTAGCCTTTTTCAGAAAGTCGGTTATTTCAAGTAACTCATCGTTTGGTGTTTTTTGTTCATAAAGATTGTAGATAGCTTCATAATCTTCAATAACATGTCGCAGTGAAGTACTTAATGGATGTTTTATGTCAAGCTTTAGTAAATCTACTTCATAAAGCTTTTTGAAAAGTTTGGACGGGTTACTTTTGGCTCTCGTAAAGGCTTCTTTTGCTTCTAGTACAAAACTACGACGAATGTAAACTTTTGGAATCATTATAACTTCAAAAATCTCGGTATATTTTGCTAGCTCAATCATTTTTTGAATGGTGTCTTTTGTTGATGGAATCTGAATTTTGATTTTGTAAACGATTAAGGGGTAAGAGGGTTTAGTAGAGTAAATTTACGTCAGGTAGGGTATGGTCAATAGGGTAGGGTGCGTTTGAATAAGGAAGCCTTCAGGATATAGTAAGCCTCTGGGTACGGTAGTTTTTAGGAAACGGTAGGCCATATGGAATGGCAGGCTTTAGAATATGGTAGGCTTTAGGGCACAGTAAGATTTAGATTACGCTGAACATCTAGGAACGGTAGTCTCAGATTACGGTAGGCAACAGGGTACAGTAGGCCTCAAGGTAAGGTAGGGTAGAGAAGGTAGGGTAGAGTAGGGTAGGGTAGGGTAGGGTAGGATAAGGTACTAACATTTAACATAATCTTTAAATATATTACCCTAAGCAATCCCCTAATAATTTCAATGGAACCATCAAACAGTCGCCGTTGTTCATCATCAAACTTGGTGGCCAAGGCGTCTCTCAAGCTTTGAATATGTTGTTGTACTTGACGCAAGTTTTCTCCATACGGATTATCTTCTCCTTCTAAAGCTAGGTATCCGTTGTCAATACTTTCAATGATTTTGTCAACTTTACCATACATTTTTTGATCATCTTGTACCAGCTTTATAGCCTAAATAACATTTTTTAGGTTTATATAGCCCATTTTGTGTTCAGCATTAAAACTTGCAAACCCTTTGACATGTATAAATTACCTTACCTTTGCCTTATAAGCCAACAAGTCTTTATGAATCTCAGCAAATGATACATTGACGTGCACATCTTCTAACAGCTTACTGACGACGTCGCGTATTCTAATATCAACATCACCGCACACAGTAGAAACCAATAGACATAAAACAACTAGCTTCATATTTAAACGTCTAACGAAAGTAAAATGCTATTGCAAACGTTCACACAGTTGTTAAATTTTTAATTATAGCCTAAAGTTTAATTTTGATTGATTATTTAAAATGACATCATATTAACAATTGAAAGCATTGTTCTAACCTAGCTGTAACCTTGCCCCGGCATTGCTTTAGCCTTGACTTAGTTTTACCTTGCCCTGTCCTTGCGTGGCCATTACTATAGTCTTGTCCTAGCTTTAATCTTGCCTTGGTTCTAGTCTTTGTCTTGGCTTTCCCTTGTTATGTCTTAGCTATGCTTTAGCCTTGCCTTACACTTGCTTTAAACTTTTTCTAGCCATGCCTTACATTTAGCTTTGCTCTAGCTTTGGTTTAGCTTTACTTTAGCGCCTTGCCTTGGTTTTGTCGTTATCCTTTTTATACTGTCACTACCGTTCGTACTATATCGCACGTTGAGTATATATCGGTTGCCCAAGACGTATATCGCACTTATGACTTTCGTTCTGTATTCGTACTGTCCCTACCGTTCGTACTTTATAATACGTTGAGTATATCACGGTTGCCCAATCCGTATATCTCATTAAAAATGTCATTTTGAGAGTATTTATGACATATATTCTGACTTTCGTTCTGTTGTACTGTATAGTACTTAAAATTTTTTCATATTGTCACCACCGTTCGTACTGTATAGTACGTTAAGTATATATCGGTTGCCCAAGCCGTATATCTCATTAAAAATGTCATTTTGAGAATATTTCTTACATATATTCTGACTTTCATTCTGTATTCGTACCGTCAATTCCTTTTCATACTGTCACTACCATTCGTACTTTACATTGAGTATATCACGGTTGCCCAAGCCGTATATCTCATAAATTTAAAAAACCGCCACCTCTCAGCCCACCAAAATAGCAAATGGCATGCTTTAACCCTGTGAGCGCTTCCTTCTCCGCACAAAAAATTTAAAAATCAATTTTGGCATTGCGCAACATTGGAGGGAGGTGACTAAAATAAAATATGTTTTAGATCTCTACTGCGGAATCCCAATTTTACGCATTTCGTGAAAGAAGAAGAC